TCGTAGTGCAAGTCGGTGAACCACATGAAATGCTGGAGATTCCAGAAAATCTCCCCAAATGTGGAAATTTTAAACCAGGATTATTGCAGTCAGAAGCTCAAAAATTTGATGCAAATTACATAAACTTTTCTTAAAAGTTCTTTAATCAAAAGAGGGTTTTGGTTTTTTTTGCCATTTATAAAATATTCGAATTAATAATAGTATCTGAGCAAGAATAATTATCATTTGGGAAGTTAAGGTAAATTTATGTTGGTATTTATATGATAATTATAATTCGAGGATCTAAAAATTGAATTTTCGAACTAAATTGGAAATATTTGACTCGAAGATCATTAGATATTATAATAAAAAATGAAGTCAACTTTATGGGTTTAGTGTTTTGCCAGGTAAAAGTGATCAATTGTTATAATTTTCTTCTCAATTTAATTGGCTTTATCTACACAAATTCCAATTGAATTAAAGCACATTCAAAATAACTGTTTAAGTACATGCATCACTAAACATGATTCACTAAAACTAGAAGCTCTAATGTATCAGCATTTAAAAGTTTTGCATCCTCAAACTGGAAACTTGCAGCTTCAAGTTCCTAATCAACTTATTATCTACGTAATGAAACTGCAAATGAACTTTGAATTAATATGAAAAATAAAAGAAAGAAAATTTTGTTAAAAATTTAATGAAAATCTTTTTACATTCCATCTCACATTCACAGGAAGGAAATGAATTATATCCCAAGCTTGTCTGATTTCATTATACATGCAAGAAATACGACTCATCTTAATCCTACATTCACGAAATCTCTTCCGATTACAAAGCTAAACAGCTTCAAGCACCATAAAGTTCGTTTCGACTGAAGCGTTTTAAAGGAATCCGATTTCGAGCATTACGTCACTTTTCATTCCACATAAAAAAAATCATGCGGCGTATAAAACGTGGATACGAAATGAAATTAAAGGCTTGAATAACACACGCATCATTAAAATTTCATATCCACAGAAAATTATCTCAGCTTTCTTCAACACAAGATTTGCTTTTCAGTTTCATTCAAGAAGAAAATCTGATTAGACGATTGGATGTAAATGTAACGTTAATTTATTTTACTTCATTATTTGTTTTCTTCTCCAAAGAGATGATTTGATAAGACAAGAAATGAAGGAAGTGAAAGGTGCTGGCATGGGAGTAGAGCCTTTTTCCAAAGTTAGCATGAATTTCGCATCTTTTTTACAAATTTCAACTTTCAACAAGTATAGTTTTCGTTGTGGGCGATGGAATTGAAAAAAGTAAACGTAAAACTGTTGTTACACTTATTGACTGTTTATGTAATTTTTTGGAGACCGATCCAATGATGTTTAAGTAACATAAATTGAAAATGAAAACATTGCAATTTTTGTCTTCAATTGGACACGAGGGGCACAACTTAGACATTTTTTTTTGGCTCAACTTGGATTATTGTGGTTCATCGAAAATGGAGCACGTGTGCTTAAGTATAGGTGGAAAAGTTTATTTTTGATCTACTTTGTAGATTTCTTCAAAAAGTAAACAAAGAATCAAATTAAATTCCAGAAAACACTTCAGCGATATTGAATTTTGAATTTGAGGGAAACTAAATCAGTTGNAAATAATTTTCAAAACAAATGAAAAGTAGATGAAATTTAACGACTTTTTTGAAAAGTAGACATTTCAGTAGATATAATGTCTGCCAACACTTGTCATATGCCGTTGCCATAATGGGGCAAAATTCTTGTCTGATTTAAATCCTAATAACTTTTTGTTCGTTTATCGATTTTAAAGTGCTAATCTATTAAAATAAAGAAGAAACTATGACGAGCCTTTCTTAATATGCAGTGTTGCTCAATATTTCATTTCTCAATGCATAAAACCTTCTTAAAAATGAATGTCCATTTCTAAAAAGGTAGATAAAAAACATGAGATAAATGAGTTTCAAGTTTGGAAAAAAAATTATAAAGCTAGGATTCAATTTGTGAAAATTCGTTTATTGACGAAGAACCACTAACTATCTAGGTGTTTGGAAAAAAATACATTGAAATGGTTCCATCAGTAAATATGCAATTGTATCCACTCTTTCATTTCAACGGAAAGTGGAGGCCAAATTATGGCGCATGCCAAAAAAGGAATATTTCTCTATATCTGAATGTATGTAAAGGCAAAATGATTATTTATTCAATTTGTGTTCTTATCAATTTGTTTGTTTGATTGTTTATAAAAGCTTCTTTAATGGAGCTGCTACAATTTACCAGGTGGTAAAACTTTCGGGTTTCCCAATGCTTTACAACTAACAACGTCAACTTCTTTAATATATCCTCCCCACAATCCGAAATGTCTTGTGGTTTCTACTCTAGGTTATGAGTTATCCTCAATTTTTCCTTTCATCCTTTTTCTTTTGTTCAATGCTATCACACATTTTACAAACAATACATTTCCTGTTGTTTTAAATTAATGTCTCACACTATCCGTTCTTTGATAACAACATAAAGTGCTACTGTTGTTTTCCTGCCTTGTCTTCCGCCTCCGCTTTTTCACTGTTTGCTTGTTTGTTTATGGATCTTTTAAGTATAATCTATTGCAGGTATCTCTCAATGGTTTCTATAAATACATACTTAGGATGAGATTTGAAACATTTACCAACAATAATAAGAAAGGAATAAACTTAAGAAAAGCCAATAATTGGGATTCTCAAATTAGAACCAGCAACATAACCGAAATATTTGTTTAATTATTTTGAATGTTCATGAAATTAAATTAAATGAGTCGGTTACATTTTACAAGCTACTAGGTAGAAGTTAACTTTTTTCTTAAGACATTGTTGGTGCTTATTTATAGTTTAAGAAAATGCAAGGCAATTAAAAAACTTAATAAATCTCTAGGTAGTCGAGTGTAATGCGCTAGAAAACAAAGGAATGACTTTAGTATTAAAAATATAAAATAGACAAGAGAAAATTCTGTAAACTTGAAATCTCTTGAAGCTTTCTTCCTCTGGTCTTAATGTTATTTTAAAATCTTCTGTCTGAGAAGGAAAGAAAAAAGAAAATCTCTTCCAACTTTTTATTTTCCACCGAGATAACGAAAATATATAACGGAAACACATTTTATGCATTAAAATATCTTCTAGACAGGCCATAATCGTAAAACGTCATCATCGAATGGGTGTGCAAGGGAAAGCATTTCACAATGAAATTATTGCCTTGATGGGTTAAACTTTTAATATAAAAAAGTGTTTTGATAACACGAAAGTTTACTAAGAGTTGGATAATTAAAAAGAAGCGAAACATTTTGTATTGTTAACTCGAAGGAAAACGAAGAAATCAACTGATTTGTAAATAAATTCTTTCATCATAAAGTGAAAGCAAAACACAAAAGGAAAAAAGTCACGGAAAAATCTTCTTTTGCTTTTCCTCTGCAATTTTTTTTTTTGAATTATTAAGAAAACATTTTCACGCTTATAATGTGAAAAGATCACATAGAAATAAAACCACCATTAATTATAATTATTTTAATTAATTCTTTTTCATTTCCCACACTTTGAACAAACAAACTTCTACCACATCATATAAAATTGTGTAATTTCTTTCAATTATTTCTCTCATCTCTTACTTTCATAGTACATAGTAGAAAATTGGTTGGAAAGAAGGAGTCAAGCAGCGAAGTTTCCTGCACGCGATAGGTTACAATAAATTTAGAAAACTCAACTCTTTAATTGTTATGTGTATGTTAAAGCTATGTCGACATTTGAAACCATTGAAATAAATTAATTTTTAATGATGTTTCTGTTAACTGTTAAGGAATACGAAAAATCTTGGAAAAAGTTTGCGTATGAATTTTCCACCATGAGAGAATGTAGAAAAGTTCTGCTACCCTACCTAGTTGTTTCCTGCGTTACAAATGTCACGAAATCAAAATATGAATTGTGAGCTTTCCTGATAACAATTGCCTTTCATTTTCACCTGCCTTTAAAATGAATTTACGTCACGTTCTTAGCAAATTTACATTAGAGATTTATTAACATTTTTAATGTGCGCTCGTTACTTAATTCAATATAACCATGTTTGAGTTTGATGCCAAAGATTTGGGTTTACTCAAGCTTTGCTGTAATTGTTAAGTCACATGGAAATAAAAAATGAAAATTAAATTTAATTTTTATTTACATTTGATGAGATTATGTTTAGACAGTCGCATGAAATTTTATTGGAAAGAAGGATTCATCTAATTAAATTTGTTAAGAGCTTTGAAGTTTGCACAGAAATTCGAAGCATATAAATTAATTTTGGAACTTTATGTTTATCATAAAGAGACTTTCGAATGATCTAATAATGTGGTTGTTTGATCATTTCTGGTTGGTATTACTAAGTAATCAATATCTTAATACATTTTACAAACTTGTAGATTGACTTTGAAAAGAAAAAAAATATAAACGAGACTTGGAACTAATAAAAGTGTTCAATCAACATGAATGAGTCAAACGACTTAAGGAGAAAAGTGCCTTAAAATGTAATCATTTGAAATATGAATCAAATTTTTGTTTAGATGGATTTCATTGAATGTTCTTCAGCATTGAAAATTTTCTTAAAAATCACATCGATCAATCAAATTTATGGTTAAGGATGAATACGTCAAGCGATTAATCAGTTTTGAAAGGTAACAACAAGTTTAAAAGCTGATTCGAATTAGAAAATTGAATTTATTTTTACTATTTTATAAGAGTCAACTTGATTCCTTTTAATGTTTTGTACATCTGAGAAGAAATTTTCACATAAATTAAATTTTAATTAGTCTCCAATAATTTCCATGCTTTAGAAAGTTTCACGTTCAAACTTTCTCGAATTATGCTTGAAGGTTGTTTTATTTTATTACATTGTATCCAACGATTTGTTATCATGCTGGTTCCTAGAATTAATTAATTTTGCTGACATAATTACAAAATATCACTTTGACATTGTAGAAATTCTTCTCGTGTAAAGAACGAAGATGTATTGATAACAAATCAAGCTTAAATCTACTCACAAATGCGAAATGTTTCTACATTGTTGCAGTAACCTAAAACTTTATCGATCAGACCATTAGATAAGACAAAATAATGTCTCGAAAACTAGAAAGCACTCGACAAGAATCGAATCTTTTTAAATAATGTCAAGCTCTTTGGCAAACAATCAAAATGGATTTATTTGCAGTTTTTTTTATTCCCAAATATGCTAGCTCAGCCCTTGAACTATTCGATCTTTTAAGCACTCGATGATGGTGTTTAAGAGCCAAGAAAATAAATTAGCAAAAAAAATTAATGTAGTTGAAATGTAATGAAGGTTTCTCTCTGAATCTAATGTCGTAAATGGTTTTTGCGTGTTTCAATTCCCTTTTATATAATATAAGAGAGAAAAATCATCATTAACACGTCTACATATTTATTTGGATGAAAATTTCGATATTGGAAAGAAATGCTGTGTCGACTCGAAATAATAATTTTCAAACTGTGTTTGGATGGGAGGGAAAGTATAAACAGAGCAACTAATGTGAAAGCAGAAGGATAATGAAAGTCGATAGCAAAAATGTTTAATCAAAAAACAGTTTGTGGTAATCGATGAATCGAATGTAATTCCTAATGAGTTTTACATTTAGATCGACTATATTAGTTTCTTCCAATATCCGACACTCATCGACACTTATCGAGTGGAAAGGGAAGGAACTTACTTATCATCAAAATTATATAAATTGAGCATGGGGCATTTCATCAAAACCAGCAAATCTAATTAACACCACGAGAAATATTTATGTTAATGTTAATTATACGGTCGACAATAAATAGCTCCATAAAACCTCTCCCGACATTCGACTGACTATAAATCGTGTTTTTTTTTATTCTTTCTTTCGTCGTCGACAATTATGCTTCTTCAAGTGAACTCAAAAACAAACCACGATGAAAGAATCCTTGACTAATAATAAATTAAAAATTCTTGGTGGTAAAAGCACTTTGGAAAGATTTTCTTTAAGACTTGAAAAAAAAAGCCAATGTGGTTTGTTGCTTTCGAGTTCCATCCATGGAAATGAAAATCAAGAGTTGTTAAGAAGATTTTCTTACTTGAAATAATGCGGAAGTATATCTCAGAAAGTTCCTGGAATAGATCTTCAGTTTTCCCATTTAATTCATATTTCAGCTCGCTTATAACAACAATTTCTTCCTACTTGAATTTTCTTTGAAAGTTTATCTTAATTTTTGGAGCATTTCAAGTTATAACGATAACGGTAGCCAAGTATGATGAACGTGAATGGCAAAATGTGAAAGAAAAATCTCATTTATGCCAATTAACTTTACAAAAAGCTCTGTAGCGATCTCTTTATTACAAAATACAATGCTCATTCTCGTTGTGCTTTGCTAGGGGATTTCATTCGTTTGTTGAGCTCAAAAATAAACATTTTCTGGCATACGTAAAAGGGCGTCATAAATAATTTTTCTTTTCATTCTCGTGTTGCCCATTAACCATTTTTATTGTGCAAATTTTATTATTTTACCTTACTTCTAAGCGATAATGTCGTTGAATTCTTACTTTCTCTACTCCGAACCAAATTCGTGCTATAAAAGTTGCTGTCGTCGTGATTGCATTATGTTAATTTGAATGAAAATGTTTTACTTCCCTTGACATTGCCACTCAAGGTGTGCCCATCAAATATTTTCGAAATCTCATTATTCTCATCATAAAAACATCAGACTGATCCCCACGTTCTCTTAGTAAGATCTCTTTACATTTATTCGCTTTTAAATTCACAAAAGCATTCAAATCTTTTCAAACAAACCCTTTTTCTTTCCCTTCATTCGCACATAACAAATTGTTTGAACCTTTCCCTGAACGTGATGTCAACATTCGATTCAAACACTACTTTGTCTATTTTTTCCATCACTTTCATGCAAATATCCTTGAGATAGCATAGCACATTGTCAACGTATGTGATCTCTATGGATGCTAACAGAAATAGAAAGAAGAGAGATAGAGAGAGAAAGAGACACATGTTGATCCAAAACTAAATATTCGGGGGTGGGATATGTGTTACCATTTCGAGCTTCAATTCCAATAGCATTATCACATTTCATTAGTCATGTGGATGAAGCAAAAGGGCAAGTGATTTCCAATTAAAATAAGGCAAGCTTAAGAGAAGCTTTACAGATTGTTAATTAAGCAATTTTGTTAACATTGATAGAGCTTAGTAGGATGAATGAAATGCACAAGATGGAGATAAGTCACACATTTCTTCCCTTTTCGAAAGACAGAAGTGTGTAAAATGGCTTAGAAAGATGCTTTATAAGCTCCAAATCTGTTGATGTTTCTTTGAACGTAGGTTGATTGGGAAGTAAATGCAAATATTTAAAATATTTCAAGGGTTACAGAAAGTTCATTTCAGAAAAAGTTTTCGCGAAGGCCATAAAATTTGGATAATATTGCGAGTATCAGAATGAGCTTGAATTTAAAGATTTTCGTTTATTAAACAATTTTAGGAAATTCTTTTTGTGAAAACGAAAGAAACTTTCAAGTAGAATCCCGAAAGTCCATAAATAATCCAGATTTGTTTTTATGTCAGTTTGTTCAACTCAAGTTGGTTTGCATCAGAAGGTTTTTGTTCAAAGTTCTTTACTTCTAAATGTTTCTGTTGCCCAAATACAAGAAAATGGAAAAAGTTTCATTTTTTATTTACTTTCTAGGAGTCTTTCCAAAACATTTGCATTAAAATCTTCTCTTTATGTCAAGAAAGTTGGTATTAGAATGAAAATACATTCGATTTTAAATGACTTCAATGTTTATATTCTTGCCAACAAGTCTTCATTCTTGTAACTCAGTTCGAAAGATTTCTCCAATCGAGTTGATTTTCTGCTTATCAGCATCAACTTCATTGATTTCAATATTCCTCAACATCACACACATGAAGCGTTGATAGTAAACACGTGTTGATGTTTGTTTCAAATAAATTCACTAACGAGTTCTTGAACTCAATAAAGAAGCAAAGAATTCTCCAAAATATAATTTAAATATTTTCCAGATAGAACATTTCGTATTCGAGAAATATTTAAACATATTAGAATAAAATTTCAACTCTCTCAATGACATTTACATACCAAAAGTTTGTGCAATTTCATATAACAAAATATTTGAAAGCTTTTCCAAATGCAATTAAACATTTCCATTGATGACATTTATCAAAAATTCTCTAAAAATTCTTTTTGCTTTTGGCCTGAAGTAAGTTTCTGTCATAAAAATCTCTTATGAATTTTGATGAGTTCTTATCAAATCAAAGTCTATGAAATTTATGGAGTCGTATAATAAGTCACAGCTGTCGGCTCCAGTTCCACCTCTTGACGTTCGATTTGAGATAACATGACATTGAGTCGTAAATAATTCTAGAAATAAAATCTGAAATTTAAAACAAAATAATGAATCTATTTTGATAAGCTGATTGCCAGTTTAATCTTGCGAGTATTAAAAGGCCCGGTTTGATCTGACTTTTGAAATCTCATCCACAAACCAGTTAAGCAACAAATGGAACGATCATCTTATGTGTCTACTCGTAAATTTTATGGCCGGTTTAGCGAAGCAGTTTTCTGCCTCCGAACATTTTCAATTTGCATCGTCATAAATACAAAAGAAAGTATGAGAAGTAAACAAGCTAGCGCCATAAAAAAAACAATTCACTTCACGAACACACGAGTTCTGCATGTGAATAAACTTGTGTAACTTCTGATTGGATAGTTTATGAAGGCTCGACGCATTCAAATAATATTTTACTGTGTTTTACACAACTACAAGCTATGAAAACTTCCAAGCAGATTCATTTGTTTGTGTGATTTATTAAAAATAACAAAAACTTCTCTAGACAAAATAAAAATTTCAATTATGAAACCTCTGAAGTGAAAATTTTGAAGCTTTTTCGTGATGTTATTAAATTGACCTGCTTTAGAATTTTTCTTTTTCATAAAAGCACAATGGCAAGTAAATAATAAAATTTGACTGTTATTCGTTTTTTCTAACTTCATTTTTTCCACCCACAATTCTTTTCAGAAAAGTATCAAAAAATGTTTTCATGCCTAGCAACTTGAGATTCAGGAAACCTCATCAAGTTCATACAAAGTATGTTGACTAATAGAAGTGAAATAAGAACAATTTTTTGTAAAGGTTCCTGAAAAAGCCTTACAATTGCATTTTCCTGAGTTCATGTTGTTCACGTTGTAGTAATTTGGACATCTTAAAAGCTCCTGAGGGAGTCTTTTTTGTTAATAATTAAATTAATTTAGCTTTCGTATGCAATATTTCTCAAGGTTTCAAGGGCTCGTTCAAAAGTTTGTTTAAGTAGCTAAGTGGAATGAAAACTAAAAGCTTTAGAATTGTAATTCATAAATATTTCACAAAAGGAATCAACTAAGAATCTTTCCTTCTCCCTGATTAACCAAATCCGACAAAACATATGCGCAGTGCTTGTGAATGTGTGAAATTAGCTGTTTTGTTATCAATTTTCCTCGTTTACTGATAAAGCATAAATATTTAAAATTAATCAGAGTTTTTGTTTTGAAACCTTCTCGATGTTTCGTCTGCTAATTCTAACCGTCTCGTCTCACGTCTGCTTTTGAAACGAGAACGTTCTCTTTCATAAAATGTATGACAAATTAGTTTGTGGAAACTCAACTTGTCAAACTTTCATTTTAACGTAATGTGTGACGAGAGATGTTATGATTTGATTTTCAAATAACAAGACAAAGTGAAGAGCTATCAATGTCGAACTTCTAACTTGCAAGAATAGTAAAAATATTATCAAAAAGAGAACATTCGATATAACTTTAGTTTCATACGTCTAACTGGAAAGTTGACCATTAAACAAAATTCATGTAGATGTTCTTTGTAAATATCTAAATATAAATGTACACAAGCTTTTCAAGCTTAAAATAAATTTATGGTTCGATTTGAAATTTCAGACAACGTACAAGTGAGAAGTTTCTTCAACAAAATAAAAACTTTACCAACACGTATCAATTTAAAAAAAAAAACTTAGTAACACTTATGGCATTTCTCTCATTCTCTCTTTTTTTCTAGACAAAATATTTATTTAATATGTAATTGAACTGAAACCGGGAATTAAAGTTGCGCAATTATAAAACGTCTCGACTTTCAAGTGAATATTTTCATTGATAATCTTGCAATATTATTTAATATCTGCGATTTGTATTTGAATCAAGAAATGACTTGAAAATCACTTCACAACACGTTTTATTAGTTTGAAAAATCAGGTTTTCGCCGGTTTGAAATTATCTCGAACTTTACAAATATCGCACACCGCTAAATCTCTAAAAATATCATCAACGAAATTATCAGTTGCACTACAGTCACACGGCTCGTGTGGGTTCTTCTTATGTTATTTTCGGCAAACATGTGCGTATTTTAATATCAATATTTATCAAAGCAAATGGTATGTTCTTTTCTCTCGCGAATGTTCAATAGAAGTCAAAAGCAAAAGCGTAAAATGTGTGAGAAAAAAACATTCAAATCAACTGCTACACAAACATTAGTTAGATTAAGTTGCGAAGAGAAAAATGTACGATTGTATACATTTTATTTTTCATTTAATAAGACAACATAAAAAAGGAAATATCAATTCAGTTTCTTTCAAGACTTCGATGCGGCAAGTTCAACTCGGTGACAACCATCGTTAAAAGACCAATCGATTTTCTACGCTCCATTTAAAAATAGTCAAGAAAGAAAAGAAGAAAAAAAAATCTTAACGACTGCATTTTTAATGTCGTAGAAGGAGAGAAAAAAAACCTGTTGAATTTGCATAAGACTGTTTTTGTTACACTTAACTATAACAACGGCATATCGACACGTTTGATCATAAACTGCATGTTACTGAACAATTCAGTTAATTAAAATCTAATCATATTTAGATAGTGCACGACTGCAACGTTTGAACTTGAAACATTGGAGGAAGCAAATAAGTATAAAGTGAACTGCAGTTAAATAATACAACAAGTGCAAGCTATAAAAAGTTGTGAAAAAGCTTTTGATTGACAACGTTGAAGCAGTTTCAATTTTTTTATTTCAAAATGTGTGGTGTAACAGGCAACGCTCAAGATGGAAATTACAAAGTTAATGATCTTCAGTTGAAAGACAACAAAAGAGCTCAGTTTGTAAGTATCTCCATCTGAATATCCTAACAATTCTCAATGAAAAAAAAATCGCTTCATTGTATTGTATGGCAAGGGATGAAAATTTTCTTAATGTCAAAAAAATTCCACACAAAAAAAAGTTTTCACATTTTCAATTAAACTCACAAGAGTTGAAATGAGTCAAGGGAAACTTCACGTTTCAATCTGAATGGTAGACAGTTGATATCATAATGATCTTATATATAAGTTCTATTTTTAAATTCCATTCGAAAAGGTCTTTAAGAAGATGAAAATTAAATAAAGTGATGAAGAAGAGAAATTCCATTAAGATTACAATTGAGTTACTTACTCAATGTTGTCGCTCCTGTTGACAATGACAATGAACATGTCCATTATTTTTTAAATAAAAGCCACAGTCGCTTTATTTTGGTAATCAGAAATGTCTATGTGCTTAAATGCTTTAAGAAAGATAACAAAAAAGACAAAAGCATCTTAAAAAAACGATAAGATAAACATCGAATCATTCTCAAGTTCAATACAACAATAAACGAGATTGAGATAAAAATACTGCTTGCTTCTTACACTAAAGCATCGTAATAATCTTCCAAGAAGATCTTATGAAAGAAGAAGACACTGCTCAGACTCGCTTATCACAAATGAGATTACATTAAACGTGCGTTAGATGAAGCAATAATCGTAATATTTATTTATGTTACTCAGTTTTATTTAAATGCATTCCTCCCATTCCAAAATTCTTCATCCGTCCTCTTCTTTTTTGAGTGAGAAGCAATATCAACGAAACAAACGTAAAAGGAAAGACAGATAAATCGTTCAAACTGTTCAAGTTGTGAGTGACACGTGAGTTGAATATGAATTAAATGAAAGCCACTTGTGCTTCTCTCGGATTAAAATGCTTTCATTTTTAAATTGATTGAATTGAAATGATTGCACAGAAAGTGAATTTCCTTCTTCCTTCTTAATTTGATGGCACACTTTATCATAAGCTGCTATTGTTGTGACGTCTTAATCAAACAAATGACGAGATATTTGAAATTGCCGCATCTGAGTCAACGTAAACACTCAGAACAGACTTTCTCTCCATCAATTGGATTGATTCTAAACATTAATAAATTGCTTCAATCTAAATTGACTTCACCAAAAAACCAGAACGAAAAGTTGTCGCTTAATGATTGAAAGGCTTTGACCTACATTTATTTATTTATTGAAGAATAATGGACTCAGTTTGTGGGAATTTCTTCAAAAATCTGTTTATTTGTTGCTTCGCGTTTATGACAGATGAAAATTTCGAAGTGTTTCTCCTTCATGAACTTCATCTGATGCTTCGATGATATTCATTAGAGAACGATGCTTGAAGACTTTTCTTCCATCATTAACTAAATGAAGCTCTTATAATTGAAGCCATTGAAACCTCATTTCATTTTAATTAACTTTTTTTTATCATGATTTACAAGTCTCTATGTCGATGACTTTAAACGATTTGAGGGTCAACTTTGAATTTAAAAAACTGTCGATTGGTGTAATAGTCTCGACATTTAAATATCTCCATGTAAATGTAAATTACATTCCGTTCTGCCTCCAAGTCATGTTCATTATTTACGAGTATTAAATCTCGTGATTAAACATCTTTGCTAAACGAACAGAGCAACGACTCTGAATAAATAAACGTTAATGAATTGACATTACAAAACTTTGCACCTTTATGAATGTTATGCACTTGTTTCCGTAAACGCGATTTAATTGAATGCGTTAGAATGTGTACATTATTTAATAAAAAAAAGCAGAAATTCGTCAGTATTATTCGACACGGGAAATCTTTTCAGCAAACCGAGCATACATCGTCAAGCCACATGAGAAAATTCGGGATGTAAATTGAGTCATGCATTATGAATGATTTGAGTTTTGTTTCGTGTCGAACAAAAAGCTTGTTGGAAATGAAGAATGTTCTTGTTACTTTATCCACTGCCTATACATATTTATGTAGTTGAAAGAAAATACGCGAAGCGCCATCGAAGCCGGATTGTTAAAACGTGTACAATCTCCCAAGTTTCTCTTTCAAGTATCATTAACGTTATGTTCATTCATAATCATGTGTCAACAATCGACTACGTTGCCCCTCCACCTAACTTCTGAAAGCCTTAGAGTAAACAAATTGTCTGTATCCATAAGCCAAGCAGGTGTGCGAAATCAATTACCAAGCGGTGGAATTTTTCTCTCGCTTTTCGCGGCGTATTAAAAATAGAAAGAAAAAGGAAAAAAAAATTATGGGTGTGTTCGTTTACGTTTATAATTCAAAGATCAATTTTTTTTTCGTTTTCTTGTAATCTTGCTTTCTTCGTTTCCTTTTCGCATGACATTTGGCAGCCCACACTTTTTTCTCGCTTGACTCTCGTGTTAAATGAATTGTTTATTTAAGAATATTTTTGATGCAAAATTATGTAAAAAAGAAAACATAACGAACAATGTATGATTGGGGATTTCACAGCTTCTTATTTATTTCGGCTTTAACGTAGCTTTCAAAATGGAAATTTGTGGAAATTTCTGCTTCTGTTATTTAGGGCAGTAAGCAAAAGTTGGCGCTGGTCTTTCTTTTTATTCTTTCTTAAAGGTCAATACTTTTCATTATTTATTATTCAAGCGAATATCTAAGAACAAAAAAAGGAAATGAAGAAAGTTCACAAGATTCTTCACTTCATGAATGTATTCGTTCGCTTTGGTTACACAAAATCTCAATTAGCAATGATGAATTTATAATATCACTGAATAGCTGATAACACTCGATAGACAAGCCCACTAATTGCACAACGCCACATGCCTTTAATATCAATACGATCGTGTGATTTATGGAAGGCAAAGATGAAAAGTTTGTCTGAAAATTAAATTTTTGAAGAAGTTTTCATAGTGAAAGAATCTAAATTCATACAATATTTATTATTATTAAACATTCAAATGATTGCGTTCGAATCTTGAGTCGCACTTGCTGTCAAGGTCAAAGATGAAGGTGGCAATAAATTATTTTGTGTTCTTACTATCACTTTTTGTGCTGTAATTTTGATACTTTAACTGAGAATTGTCGGGCGCCTGCCTCTGATTTTTATACTCTCATCATGAAGGTTGGCTAGCAGTAACAAGCACTAAAAGTGCTCATAAGTGGATATCTACATAATTCTCGTCTTTCGCAAACAATTCAAGAAAATGTTTTTATTTTGCAAATCTTTCTGCGTTGTGAAAATTATTTTTACACTCACATGATGTGACGTAAATATGAAAGTAAATAATCGAATAGTTTAGTCACCCAAGAAATAGATAAAAATAGATTATCTACATCATGTGGATATTCTCTTAATTTATGTGTTTTTATTGGAAAGCTCGCACACGAAACTTCCCAAAATTATAAACACATACAATGTAGTTCTGTTGTTGATAAAATTTTTGGATAACGTAATGATGGAGTGTCAATAGCAAGACTTAAGTATATTTGCGTCTCAAGGGCGGCAATTGGCATTATAAAGAAGAAGACTTAACACATGTTTCTCGGTTTACATTAGAGAATCGAATAGATCGATCATAAGGAGAGTGTACATTATTAGATTATAGGAAACAAAGTAATTTGAGGGATTGTCGGAAGAAACCTCCAGGTCATTTGATAGCATAATCAATCGTCAACGATTTCCATCATCACAACTGTTATTGATTTCTCAATGGCATTTTTATGACATCGCATTCATCCCCTGAATCATCATCACAATAGCATCATGTTCAGTGTCAAATAGCTACAATTTCACGCCTGTAATAAGCTGCAATCATCTAACATTTATCAATAAAAGTACTGACAATCAAATCACTCGCAGTTCATAAAAAATTTAATATCTATGAAGGTGATGAAAGAAAGAATTGTAAAGTCACGACGAAGAACGACGAATTTGTAATGAAAAAAGTGTCAACAGCGAATTTATAACTTACTCTTGTTGTCAGTCGTTACATTTTTATTGGATAAATATTTGAAGGGAAGCCAATAAAGCATGCGAGATAAAAAGAGATAACTTTTAGGTTTTTATCTCGAGTCTATTGTCGTTTATTAATATTGATAAGAATTGTTACATGAGAAACCACACACAAACCGAATTAATTATGTAAATGTTAATTTTTCTTCATTCAGGTTAAAGAATCTCTCAAGAACTTAATCCTAAGCAATGAACAAATTGAGAAAGTCGGTGAAGCGTTCAAGCAAGAAATGTCATCAGCTTTGGATGAGAAAACATCATCATTGCAAATGGAAAACACATACATACCAGAACTACCGAATGGAAGTGAAGAAGGAACTTATTTGGCGCTTGACTTAGGCGGAACAAACTTCCGCATCATTCTCCTTGAACTTGCAAACGGCGAATTCTTGAAAGAGGACTTTAAATTTTATCATATATCAGATGAAGCACGTCTTGGATGTGGAATCGAACTTTTCAATTATCTTGCCGAATGCGTCAAAGATTTTATGACGTTGAAAAATATGCCATTTGACATGAAGATTCCCATGGGCTTTACATTCTCATTTCCAATGAAGCAACACTCTCTACACTCTGCTGAACTTGTTACTTGGACAAAATCATTCAACTGTCCATCAGTTGTCGGTTGTGATGTCGTTCAATTGCTTCAAACATCGCTCCGCAAACATGGAATGAGAAATATCGAAGTGCTTTGCATTCTTAACGACACAACTGGCACATTGGTAATTTACAATTTCTTTTTAACGTCGTGAAATGAGAAGCATTTTTATGGCAGTAATTTTATTTTCGTTCAGGTGGAAGGGGCACGTTTGGATGCTAAAACACGTATTGGGATGATTTTAGGAACTGGATCGAATGCAGCTTTTCTTGAACGTGCTGATCGCGTGCATCATTGGGAAGGTGAACGTCATGGCGAGAAGAATGTTATCATCGACATAGAGTGGGGAGCTTTTGGCGATAAAGGTACTTGAAGAATGGTTTTATTGTAATGATTTGAATGTCAGTAGACGAGTGAAATCGAGTGAAAGAACAGATGAGAAAAGTTTTAGTAACAGACTAACCAGCACATTTATTAAATTGCAGGTACAATCGACTTCATTAGAACTGAACATGACAAAGAAGTTGATAATGGATCTTTATTAAAGCGAAGTTTTACGTAAGTTCAATATTTGTGTTCATTCTTAAAGCTCAGTTTTAATGTTAGACATCTTGAAAATTATTTCTCCTTCATCAAAAAGAAATTTTTTTTAAAGACTAACAAATAAACAACTAAAACTTTCAATTAAGTAAATATTTATTCCTCGTCTTTATTATCAAGACAAGAATGAAATTCATAGCAGTTATTCCTATTTAATGGGAAGATTATTAATAATATGACGAATTGTTATTATTAATATTATTCATGATTTACTTCATTCAGTAATAAATTTCCATAGAAACTGTCACCTTGAATCTCCCCACCAATGTTAAATTTAATTTCATGACGAAATTTCTCTCCCAATGTTGACGATTTCTATTCAAAGGAATAATAAAAAAATGTAATGAAATCCTTAATTAGATTCTAAGTAACAGCATTTCACTGCCTGGGAAACCATTAAAACTCACTTATCTATTTCTTTGTTTTCTATTTTCCATGGTTTCACCTTCAGTTTCGAGAAGTACATCAGCGGAAAATATTTAGGCGAAGTTGTTCGTGTTGTTTTGAAGTCACTTTGCGACAAGAATCTTCTGTTTACGAAAGCTTCAAAAGATCTTTTCCCAGCACCTTGGAAATTTGGCACTGATAACGTTTCTCATATTGAAGAGTAAGCAAAAGTTTATTTAATGTTCATCGGTAAATTCATATAGATAAATCTTTTTCAGAGACGCACTGAATGGATGTTCAAACACCAGCACCGTCAAAGTTCTTGACAAATTCAATTACAGATTTAATATCGACTACGACGAAGACGATATTAAAGTTATTCAGTACACGACAGCTTTAGTGTCGTATCGAGCGGCATTGCTTGTTTCTATTTGTACTTCTGTGCTATTGAACCGAATGACTGAGACAGACATTACAGTTGCTGTCGATGGATCAGTCTACAAGCATCATCCCAGATTAAAGAAATGGATGGTGCAATTAATCAAGGAATTGTCACCTGAGAAGAATGTAAATAAATTACATGAAATTTAATACTGTTCACAGCATATCATGTTGCTTTTGTACACGTTTGTTGATTGTTCTTTTTCCTTTCTTTCCTCTTCGCAGTTTCATTTGATGTTGGCGGAAGATGGATCGGGGAAGGGTGCAGGTCTCGTGAGTGCCATTGCTCAAAGAATAAACACTCGTAACGTTTGCATAACAAATGGAAATCATAACAATGGTCATGCAATGAACGGTCATGGAAAGGAAATGAATGGACTTGGAAAACACATGAATGGTCATCACAATGGAGTTGTGAATGGTTCTAATGGTATTCATAATGGACATTGATGAGCCTTCCCTCAATTTACATAAAAAATATGAAAAAATATAACACAGAAATAATTGACAGTTACCATCAATGTAAAATGTAAATGTTTACACTGCACTTTATTAATACTTATCACAAGTTGAAACATGTTTTCCCTTGCCATTCAATAATTTTATAATTAAATAACGAAAATGTTATTTAAACAGTACAAATCAGCGAGAAAGTGCAATTAAAAAAATATTTTCTTACTTTTCCTAATTAATTAACTGGAGATGTTGATTTTTATTGAATGTTTTCAATGAAAACTAGGAAAACTCAAATCATGGCGTGACGTCATAATGAGAACCCTAATGAAAACATGTGTCAAGTAACCTCAAAGCATATTTTTACTTTTTATGTACATAGCTGATGAATCAGATTCATAAAATGTCATTTTAAAATCGAATCTTCACATGTTGATTAATTTTATATTTTTTATGAATTTTTTATGATCTTAAGAATAAGTGGCATAAAAATGGAATGAAATCAGATTTTAATAAGAATTTGAAAATGTTATTTACTGAAGTCAATTCTTTGACAGGACTGGAAACTTTTGTAAGTTAGAAATGTTGAAAAGTAAATTATTTAGGTATATAAGATAAAATAAAGAAAATTCCATGTGAAACATTAAATTTTAAACTCAAGGGTTTTGTATAAAAATCTTCTCGATAATTTTACTTATTTAAGGGAATGTCTTGACAAAGAATTTCTTGCAAATATTTGTACAGGTTTATTCTGATCCTTTAGGAATTATTTAGCCCTGAGTTCTTACAAATTTAGATAGCAAAAATATCTACCAAGACAGAAACGAAGTGAAAAGCTGAATATTGAATGTTTGTGAGAGCCTTTTTCAAGACTAAATTGTTGAAATTGACGGGAGCTCTCTTTACACCCCATGGGCAAGCTCTCGATTTGCTTTCACTAAAAGCTAAATTTATAACTTGAGTTGTGTGAAAGTACAATCGGAGAAAATCTAGAGAAATAATAAAAGAATGAACTCAATTGCGCCATTGTCCACAATATTATACCCAAGAGATTGAATTAAAATTTCTTTTCAGTAGTCCATTACTTTTTACGATCATGACGCTTTTTAACTTCAAATGAAAATATATTTTAGAAACTCGAAATGATCATAAAGACAATTTTAAGAAGAAGTCTTTAGATAGCATCAAGTTGAATGTTTTAAGACAAAATATTAAAACTGATTTTAAGCCCACATGTCTGTCGTGATATTTATAATGTGTACGAGCTTTTCCATTCCACCCTGAAATCTTCCCTTATCCTTATTTATCCAGAATGTTGGGATTAATCTTCAGAACCACGTGAAAACAAGACAAACTCTCTTGTATTTATATAACTTAGATATTCATTTAATATTCCTCAACTGTTTTTCCTCTCATTCTTTACATCATTTTGTGTATGAGACATGATGTTTGTCGACTTTTTCCTTTTACAAAACACATAAATCACCGCAAAGCAAAAGGAGGAAAAACATGAATTAATTATGATGAGAATTGTAATTGTGAATGTCTGAAAACGCAAATAAATGAATGGAATTGGATTTCTGTGAAAGAGAAATAAGCATAAAACAAAAAAAAAGTCAAAAAGTTTCACGAAACATAAAAATCTCATCGTCTTAGTGAATGATTGGAAACGTTTTTCTTAACAGGGTTTTTGGGACGTCCATTGCTATTTTTACGTATTTATGTGTGATGATTTGAAAACAAAGATTGTATGGGATGCCTACATATGAATGAAATAGGCTTTTTGTATTACATGATCATTACTTTTTCTACACATACGTTTTTGGGCTTAATGTGTCAGCGTTGAAAAGAAATAAGACGAAAAACTTTCTTAGAACAAGCGAGCAAAAAGAATGAATCTTCGTGGTGATGAAACCATTAGGGAAGTTTTGTTTCCTTCTTAAAAGAACTATCTCCATTCTTCTTCTTTTTTGCATACGTGACTTGTGGTGTAATCGTTGCAAAAATGTTCAACTTCTCAAGTTTACGGCACATCATGACAAAAATTTAAATATAAAGAGTGAGATTTGAAAGATATTGTGAAAGTTTTGCAAGAATGAAGTTAGTTGAGCAAATTCGTTTGGAATTGTTCAATTATTTAGAAGTTTTCAAGTTGATGTTATTATTACAACGAATAAAATATTTACAACTCAAAAATCAATAATCTCTCAATTTATGCTTGAAATTCAATATTTTATTGCATCTATTCAATATATTAGGTCACCTGATAGATTTAATAAATATTTTCTTCATCATTCATCATTCAATTTGATTAAAAACTGTAAAATTTATGATATTCCAAATAATCAAATTAAGTTTATTGATAGAGTGAACTTTATCATCACGAAATCTAAAGTCAGTATCTAGATCAAACAAATAAATTTACTTCACGAAGATATCCTGAGAGTATACATCAAAGCGTTAAGATTATGTTATGCTGATAGCTCCTTTTGTTGCTTTTACTTTACAAGAAAGCAAAGATCTCAAAGAAATACTTAATATTATAATAGAAACCCATAACGAAGTTTACGATTCCAAATGCAAACTTGTCCTTCAAATCTCTTTATCTCTGGGTTCAACTAAAACTCAGTTAACATGGAATGAGAAATTACAAGCATAATAAAATTGTTGAGTGCAACATATAGCTTTAGTCGTAGATTTTTTCCAGGTCATGCACAATTTATATCTCCATAAATAACTTTAGCTAATAATACAACATGCTTAGATTTTCTGACGTCTTCTTAACTTTGGATTAAATATTCGTGAGTGTAAGAATTACAAGACTGAATATATTTGCTCATATGATGCTTGTTTGATAATGAAAAAAATAATAAGAAGTTAATGAGAAATTTGTATTAGAACATTCGCCTTTGGCAATTCCCCTCAAGTTATGCAGCCAGCATTTCCCAAGCACTCGAAACTTTCTATGCTGATATGACTCACAATGTTTAAAATTTTCTCCCACATTCCTGTCTCAATTCAGTAAACTTTAATTTTAATTAAGTAAGAGAAATTACATAGTCGACAATCTCTCATTCAGAAAAAGAAGAAAGTGTTTTTTAGTATCATAGACATTGTATTTTAATTTTCCTTACGAAAATGAAGAATGAAATTAAAAGTTTTCGACATCAGCTTTTTTTCATTGTAAAATGTCACGTAAATATTTTGAAATTACTGCAATTGAAATAATTGCATTTTCTTTGTTTTTACCCCTTTTTTGTGGTCGTCTTGGCTTCTAGAACGACATCCTTTTGTGAATGAAAGCAAATTCCTTTCACATCCCATAAGAAATAAAATTAAACCAAATCCAATTTCAGTGAATCTTTTCTTGTTGACAGTTGTTGGGTTATTTGTTTTGTTTCATTAAAGATTAAAAAGTTTTAAAGCGTCATAAGATTTACGAGAAAATTAAAACGACGTTTCTATTGAAAGTGAACAATTCAGTAAAATTTATTGCCATCATAAGTCTTACATATTTCATCTTTTACTGCATCTCGTTTAACTCTTGAAGATCAGAGTCGAATCTAAACCAACAGTTTACTGGCACTGACACTTACGTGTGGGACGGCTTTTACAAAATCGTTGACAGTGCAAGCGTAGCTATAACCACGTTCAATATTATCTTTCTGCCAATTTATGTAGTTGATTTGGCTAGAAACATCCGTGCAGATAATATAATCCTTTTTGATTTCTTCGAGAGTAAGATGTGGATTGTTGACGCCAATCAAGACCACCCCCGAGTTGTCAGCTTTGTTGATAAGTATTCTGTAGAATAGTTTTGGCACAGGAATTTGTCGTGTTGAACCGTTCACATAAAAATAGAGAGGCTGTGGGTTGCCATAAATATCTCTTAGTGTCGCTGTTCCAAATGTCCCAGTATAAACATCCAAATTGATGTTACGATCCGCAGCAAGAATCCTAAAAATTAAATTACTTATTACATTTAAGTCTTTACCGACTGACTCCTTATCATAATGTACCTTGAGCCGTCTTCCACAGCAACCCAGTTAAGTGCATTAAATTTCTGCCACTAATAAAGATAACGAAAATATTAAAATCTTCCATGCAACATCATCTCGAGGTCGACATTAATTGAGACCCAAACAAATTTACATTGTTTGACATTAATTTTTATAAAAGATTTTCATTTTGATTATTTTAAATACCTGCGGTGCTACATTTGTGAAGTAAAATGTTGCACGATGCTGTATCAAAAAAGGGAAGTTAAGAAATCATTAATTAAAGTAATTTTTTCTTTTGAGGAAGTTGTTACCTGATTTCCGAAAATGAAATCAGCTTTAGCAGCTAAATGTCCGCGAGCTGAGTAAATTTAATTCTGTTTATTATGTTATTCAAATACGACTTTTAAGAAGGAAACTCACACATATAAACGTCGCTTGTCTCTTCGATGTATTGCAAAGCCAAATCATAAGAGCCAAGAATTCCAGCAATTGTGTTCCTTTGATTGTATCTGGTATAAAGACTGTCAACATTTTTTCCCCCAAAGAAACCTCCAGTGATAAAGTTGGGGCGTGGAAAGCCTTATCAATGACGACATCATGTAAAAGCTCTGATAAATATTTAAAAAAAATTAATTTTAAACGATTTGGTCACCTGCTTGATATCCGTCGTTGGCAGGTGTAAGCTGGTAGTATGAGTAATAATTTTCCTCACGGACTTTGTCATGACACGAATCATAGACATTTAAAAACCTATTTCCAACATCGAAACCATGCTTAACAATATAACCGTTGTTGTAACAACGAGCACCCGATTCCCTCGCAACATGAACCGGATAACTTTTGCATGAAAATTGAATAAAGTTATAACGAATTCCATTGAATAAAAATTGATTGCCTGTCGTGCACGACGCCATAACAGTGTTTCCTGCATTTGAAGGTGAATCGAATCCGCTGGAACAATAAAGTTCGATTTGTTCGTTTTCATTCATAGTGATGATCCCGTCTCTACCCGATGGAAAGAAGAATTCTGACATTCCAGGACGAATGAGAAGTGGTTGTGGTTCGCCTGTTCACCACAAAATAATAAAGAAAAGATCTAATCTCATTAATTTGCCCTCGCAAAACATGAATAAAATTTCTCACCCAAGTCTCCATTCACCTTAATTGAACACGACGCGAAGGCTTAAAAAATAATTTTTTTAATTAATTTTCGAAGCAATTTTAAAAGGCTTTTCCGATGAAAATATAAAATAAAAGAGAGACTCTTCCAACCTGTACTATCATCAAGCTTTGGTTTTGTTTGGTCGGTCAAAGAAGCAGTTTCATTGAACCGCACACAATATAAGAGAACCACAATTATCACAATTTTAGTGCGCCACATCGTATATGCCGATTAATATTTCCCTTCCAATCGTGACCTGTTATGATTATGGATATAAAATCAACAATAAAGTGGCGAAACTCAATTACTTAAATTAATGAAAATTCAACTCTATTTATACTATTCACTCCCACACCTCTTCATCATTACTTATCATCATCACACGATTGATGGTGAAGCTTTTGAGATTATATCGATTAAGTTTGTTTGTGATAAAATATTATTTTAAAATGGAATTCTCCAATACGTACTTGTTGTAAGATTGAGAATTGAATTGCAATCTCTCTTGATATCTTTTGAAGTTTAAGTGTAAAAGCATCACATTGTTGTTGAAAGTAGATAGAAAAACGTTCACAAGTATCGTGATGATCAAAAGCTTGTTTGCACTCGTTTGTCACGCGAGATATTTTCTTATTTATCAAATCAATCAAATGTGAAGTGATTTATATAAAAGTTGTTCTCGTTGCGATAACAAACGGTGGTTGAAATATTTAAACAAATCATACATAAAGAAGATAAGCTGATTATAGCCAGAGGGTGACTCTCAACTTAACTCCACATTGTGTTTGTATTAAAAAGTTAATAATTCAATTTTATTGTCATAAAATCATTCTTCATAACAATAGATTTCTAACATTCATTTCGGAAAAGTGCGGAACAACGTTCAAGAACTCATTAACGTCACAAGCGTACGAATATCCTCGACTGATATCAGTTTTTTGCCAATTGATGTAATTAATGCTATCCGATACGTCAGTGCAGATGACATAATCGCTCATAATTTCATCAAACATCAAGTGAGGATTATTAACACCAATCAAGACAATTCCCTCGTTGTCGCTTCTATTTAAAAGCACCTTGTAGAATAACATAGGAACAGGAATTCTACGGTCTGCACCATTAACAAAAAGATGAATGTTTCGGAAATTTCCAACGGAATCCCTTAAATTCATTACACCATAAGTTCCTGTATAAACATCTAAAGTTATGTTTCTGTCAGCAGCAAGCTTCCTTGTACCGTCTTCGATTGCTTCCCTTAACAAAAAAAGAAAGAAAATTTTTAACAAACTTTCTAATTCCAAATTCAAGAAAATTGTAAATTGATTTCTTTTTTACCAATTAAGAGCATTAAACCTTTGCCACTGAAAAAGGAAAAAGAAAATTAATTATGTTGTTTTCATAAATATTCTGACTTGGTTGAACATTTTCCTAGATTTTTCCTTAAAAAATTATTTTAGATTTCCAGTCAACCAATCCCTAAACATTCATTTCATTACCTGTGGCGCTATGTCATTAAAAGTAAAACAGAAAAGATGAATTAGAAATGAAAAAATATCTACCCAAAGTAATTACAAATGAAAGCTCACCCGTGTTTAAAAAGTAAAACGTGGCCTCTTGCTGTAATATTTTAGTATAAGCTCACTGAGTTTTCTTTTTTTCTTTGGCCTTTTTTATATTAAACCATTTACCTGAGATCCATAAATAAAATCAACCTTTGCAGCAAGATGACCGCGAGACATGAAAATATCACTCGTTGCCTCGATGTAAGTTTCAGCCAATTGAAAAGAGCCAATTAAACCAGCAATTGTTTCTCTTTGAACTGCTCTTGAATACAAAGCGTCAACATTTTTGCCATCGAAAAAGCTTCCGGTAATGAATCTGGGACGTGGGTATGACCGCTGATATCCTGGAAAGGTGATTTCAAAGATATTCAAACATTTTAAATGAAAGAAAGAAATTTTCAATGTAAACCTTCATTGGCTGGTGTGAGACGATATTTCGCGTAATAATTTGCTTCTCTGATTTCGTCATGGCAAACTTCAAAGACTTTGAGAAAACGATTTCCAACATCAAAACCTATTTCAACTTCTTCTGCATTTTCATAACATTTTTTCCCAGTTTTACGTGCTACATGAGTTGGTATTTGTGTACATGAAAAATCTTTGAAATTGTAAGGAACGCCTTGAACTTCAAACAAATTTTCATCAACACATTTCGCAGTCGCTAAATTAGCAATGCCTACAGGCGAATTGAATCCGTTTGAACAATAAATTTCAATTTCTTGACCATTATCCAAATAAATAATTCCATTTCTATCTTCAGGATAGATAAAGGCAGCTGCACCTGGTTTAATTATCAGCGGTTGCACATCCGACAAATCTCCATTAATATTTATTGTGCAACCTTAAATTAAATAAGATGATAACTTATAATCTTAGATATCGAAATTGAAACTAAATCAATAATTTTATTAACATCACCTGAATCATCGTTATTAATATAATCAGACGCAACTACACTTCCCAAGCAAGCATTAACTAAATTAATCAATATCCACAATTGCCTTCGATCCATTCTTATGAAGTGTTGAAAATGAAATATTCACGATCATTACTCTCACTTCCCCACAATCAATATTAAAGGTTTTGAATGAGTTAAGTTTAATCAAAACTCTACTGATTGTATGCTAACAACATTTATAATTCGTGTGACAAATTAACGAGATAAGATTTAAAGCACCTTCGTGGCAGCAACTCGAAGCGTTTCTTAATGGTAATTGTAAATCGATAAGTTTCAGGTAAATATCAACGTATGATTGAGCTTAAACAATGTGGTCGATTAAGTACAATACAATGGAGATATTTATTTCATGTTAAATTAATAAAGACGAAACTGTTATGTTCGTTAAATGTGGAACATTCCTGAGAAAGTCATCAACAGAACAAGCGTAAGAATAGCCACGTCGTATGTCTTCGGGTCGCCATTTGATATATTTTATTTGATGGGAAATGTCGTTGCACACGATATAATCTCGACGAATCGCTTCAATAGATATGTGAGGATTATTCACACCAATGAGTGCCACCCCTGACTTTTCGGAAGTATCGATAAGAATCTTGTAGAAAATTTTCGGTACCGGAATTTTCCGGTTATCAGGATCGAGGTAGATTTCCTGTTCATTTCCATCGGTATCGTTGAGTTTCATAACTCCATGTGTGCCTGTGTAAACGTCAAAAGTTTTCTTTCTATTCGCAGCCAATCTTCTGCTTCCATCTTCAATCGCTCGCCTAGAAAATTCAAAGAAAGTATTTTCTTTTACTATTTTTTTTCTTAATATTCAATGAAAATTTATGAGACTACAAAATTCTGTTTTACCAATTCAATCCATTGAAGCTTTGCCACTGAAATTGAAATTGAAAAAGAAAATAAAAATTTGATTTATCTCTCGAGTGATAAATGAAAATTCTTAATTGAAGTTTTCTTTTCTGATTACTTGAAAACTTGATTAATTTATGTAATTGGGATGATGAAAGTTCATCTCTCTGTGTTTGGATATTTTAAACGACTAACATAAATACGAACAGGTTGGAAAGTTCTTGCTTTAATTTCCGATAATTTAATAGAAAAAGTTTTTTAAATACTTGAGGTGCAACGTTTATATAATGAAATGTGCTTCGTTGTTCATTGATATAAACAAAATCTCCCCTTGCAGCTAAATGACCTGAATGGAAAGCAAACAAAAGCTTTAAAAATTTCACAAAACTTATTCAATATTAAAATTTCGATTAATTTCTTTCGAAGGGAAATTTTGTTAACTCACCACGGGATAGAAAAGCATTTCCCTTCTCTTGAACAAGCTCATGTCCCAATTCTTCTGATTTAAGTATTTTCGATATTGTTTCACGTTGTCGACTTCGAGTGTAGAGAAAATTAATTTCCTTGCCCGGAAAAAAATCATCCTGAAAGAATTTGGGTCGATTCAACCCTTGTTGAGCAGCAATGTTTGCGGGTGTGAGACGATATTTGACGTAGTAGGTCTGCTCAGTGACTGGGTCATGGCAAACATTCATCACCTTTATGAGACGCTTTTCAACTACAAATCCAATGTCTACCCATAACCCTCCATTGAAACATTTTTCTTTATAAGATCGATGAACAGAATGATGTGGAAACTTTCGACATGAAAATTCATTCAAATTATACAATCTGCCATTCGAATAAAACTTATTCCCATATGCACAGCTGACTGACACCAAATTTCCTTTTGCTTCGTGTGGACGTGAAAAGCCATTTGTGCAAAAAACTTCGATTTGTTGACTTTTCTTCATTGTAAGAATTCCTGTGTGGTTCGCTGGATATATTAACATCGAAGTTCCTGGTCGAATGAAAAGTGGTTGGGGACTTCCCAAGTCATTGTTGCCAACGTCTATCTCGCATTGAAATCGATCGTCTAAGGTTACTTTGTAACAAAAGGGTTAATAATCTTGGATATGTTCTAAGGTGATTATAACTTTGTGAGAAGATTTCATAATTAATGTGAAATTGTGATTAACTTTATAGGTCACGTTGATACTTTTCCTTCAAAATCCAACGATTAAAATGAAATGAAGTAACATTAAATGTTTCGCAAATTAATTCTTTCTTTGGATATAAGAATGAATGAAACGGAATTTTTCCCAAAAGATTTGTTCAATATTAAACACAAAGGTTCAGTTGTGAAAAGTAATTTATTTTAATTCTTATCGCTTTCTTTTATCTCGGTACCTTTAAAGCATTCACAATTAAAGCTTTCAACAATTTTATTTATGTTCCTAATAATTTGATAGAATTTTCAAGACAATTTCTCTTCTTTCATCATGAAAAAGATCTCAAGTTAATTGAAATAAATATATTTCTACTCACCGTTGTCAACGCTCAGGTATTTGAAAAAATTATCCAAAAATTGATATCCGCTCGACTTATTCTTAGTCACGTAGATAAAATCAATAAGAATGATGAGAATCCATTTGCTTGAAAATATTCTTTTCATAGTCTCTAAATTGTTCACGAAATATTAATAAAATAAATATCGTCAACGTCTTAATATGATGGGACGTTAAGGCACTCTAAGCATCTCTCACAACTGATGTTGCTTATTCGTTAAATTCGTTAAATTCCATGATTGTAACGGTAGATTGAGCTCGTGATACTTTCATAACTTTCTCATCATTGAAAGATGTTTCTTCATAAAAACTCTTATTTCAAATCAATTAACGCTAAGCAACAGATGTTCGTTTTTCTGTATCTGAGATAATTTGTTATCAATAATTTAGCAGATTTTTTGATTGAAATCAATTATTCACGTCGAAAGTAACAGACAATTTATTAACTAAGATCTCAACTTGGATAATCTTTCACTATCTTTATATATCATGTTAAAATTGTTGGATTATTCTCAAGATCAAGGCTGCTGTCAATGATGAAGCCAAATTAATATTTGTGATATTAATGAAACCTGAAACTTTTATTTTATCATCGCAATAAAAACATGAAACTTGTTCATGGGCTTAACTTTAACCTTCGGGGGTGAAAGAATATCATCTCAACTTCTATCAGAGTTTTGTTTATAAATATTCCAATTACGTTTGATGAGTATTAGCCTTAGCATTAGTAAAAATGTCACCAAATGGATTACGACGAGAGAATATTCCAAGAGAAATGTAATTTGATTAGAAGATTATCTACTGTTTGGGGCTTTAGGAAATTTAATCGAACATAAAATTATGTCAACTGGTTGTGAGAGGATTCCAACTTAAACAGTAGATTACTGACCCCAGATTACATAATGGTCGGGCATATCCACTTCCCTAATAATATTAGCCGAGTGTCATCACAAAGAAAGATCTCTTTTCAAACTTTCTATTCATGAATGGAAACAGTTGTAGTAATTGTGACATTCAACCTTCCGTCGTTGCTATACAAAAGTAATTTTTGATATACGGCAATAGTCATTCGATTCTAATCAATCTTGAACATGAGAAATACAATTCATCATCACAATGCTCTTGAGTCAACATCAAATTTTGATATCAGTTTCCCTCTTGCACATTATTTGCATAAATTTAAAGAGTATTCAAGCACGGAATTTGAACTTTGAAGTTTAAACTACCCTTAAATCGCTGTTTGAACGAGTTTACATGTTTAAATGTTTGTGAAGTATGGAGAAAGAAGAGAAAAGTTTTCTGCAACACTTTAACTACAAAATCAATATTGGAATTGAACAAGCAATGAACAGCTGGAATCTGCTTGCTAAATAAAGCTTGGTTACCCATTGGACTTGACATCTAGTTAGCTTTCATTTCAAGCTCAGCCATGCTCACTGACGCTGTAAACTATCAGGCTCAGTGAACATCAAAAGCACGAACGTTAACCAGTAAACGTTTCATCATGACTGGTCTGATTGTAAGGCCAATTCTTTGTTCAAAATAAATTATGAAAGCATCACATGCTTTTGCAATACGTGCAATGAAAAGTTTTTGTCTGAGCTGTTGCAAAGACATCACAGCCAATGACTTGTATCGACATTTCATTCAAGTTCCAATGAACAAATATTTCTGTGCTTTTGCTTTTCACTTGCCATGGGAAATCAGCTTATTCTGACGTCAAATAATATTGCAAAGTCGCGAGAAATTGACGTCGCACGTGCTTAATACTTGTTCTTGCAGCCATTTCAATAAATAAAATATTTTACACTTTTTTGTGTCAGAATCATTCGGTCGATGAACTTTACTGGGTTACAACATTTCCATAATTTTTTGACAGTCTTCAGCTTGCTATTTGGTGCAGGTAAGAAACTCACACTCGCTCGTCCATTACATCTTGAAAGCTGTCTAGAAGTTTGGGGGAAAATTTGCATTTTCAGTTTTATTCTACAGCGAATAAACGACGACAAGCATTCAACGGTGATATCTTGTAAACTGAAAATTATTTCAAGAAATTTTCTACAGCAGACACAACCGAGATTTGATAATCTGTATGAAAAAGTTGGAAAAGTGATGATGACATCGGTGCATTGAGTTTGGCTTCGTCTAATGGAGGTTTAAATGCATGAGGGAATTTCTGCGATGTAAACCAACTAACAGCGGTATTTATGAACATTACGATGCACTTGTCGGTGTGGTATCAGCTCATTATGTTCCATTTGTGATATGAACTTTGAAGAAGAGGAGACGACAGTAAGATTTTCCGTCTTTGAATTTCTATTTTCGTTCATTTCTTTTATGCTTTTACTGAGAAGGGAAACTTAAAGCTTTCATTCAGAAATTTCTTTTCAGATGCCAAACTTTTGATTACTTCAACTTACAAAGAAACTTCAAAGGCACTTGATGTGTTAATAGAAAGTTAAACTTATTAAATTTAAATCACTGTCAGTTCATCATTGAAAAAGGAAATTGAATCAATTGCAACATTTTGCTGTTTGCTTTTAAACGTTTACAATTTAAGTGTTCAAATATTCCAACAAAGCTTCAATTCTTCCGTTTAAACATTTTTTATTGAATTGAATTTGGAGCTGGGCAATGATAAATGAAACATTTGCATCGCTGAATTTGCGTCGATATCGCCCAGCGCTGATTGCATCGAATGAACTGAATAAATCTTTTTACATGTCGCTGTAGAAATTAAAATGGAATACTCAAGCATAACGGAAAAATTCTTTATAAAAGCAATGAAGGGTCATGAAAAACGCTCCAATAAAAATCGATTTTGATGAGGAAAATTCTTGTCTATTTCCTTTTTATTATTTTACTTCTGTCCCAATCGTTATGCGCTTACGAATTGGACAAAAAAATGCAAGAAAATTCTTATAGATATTTTTTTGCTTTTCTTCTTGTTTTTGCAATGACAGAAATCTGCATGCGGAACAAATAGAAAAGGAAGACAATGAATTGAAATCGAATTATGGAAAGATAAAAATAAATTTTCCATTCTGAGTTGCTTGCGATCTTTGAAAATAGATCCGGAAGTATAGTTTCTCTATCGAACTGTCGTTTGCTTATCAACGTTGAAATTGTGTTGTCATTTTAAAGAGCAATTTTGTTGATTCTAGCTACGATGAAAACATTCAGTTGATTTGGGAATTTGCATAACGGAAAAAAAACTGACGAGAGTATAAAAAAATTCAGCAATTCTTTTAGCGAGTTTAACAGACGATGCGATAGAGTTTTCAGATGATGAAACAAATACCTTTTAACTTCCACTTCAGAGAGCTTTCCCTAATGAAAAATTCCAGAATCTGACCTGCTTGGTAGCATGATATAAAAATTTTATCAAATAAAGACTGAATAAATTTTGTTTGAGAATTTCAACAAGACTGAAGACAAATACAATGCAACAACTTCCCTGCACTTTACATTACTTGCTTTGCTCTTTGGCAACTTAAAAGCTTAATAACATCCAACATATTGTATACATTTTGAGACTAAAATAAAGACGACATGGGGAAAATCGTTTTATTGTTTACTGCATTTTAATCACATACCAGCCAAACATTCCATCAAATGACGAAAACGAGAAAAATTCTTGTAAGCTCAATTTGTGTTTGTGCTTTAAGGATAATATTTTCCCGATGATGGATGAGATAAATGAATGTAAAATGAAAGAAAAAAGTTTTCTGTTGACTAAGTTTTAAGTGCAAGGAAAGTTTTTTGAATGCATCTTTGATAAGAAGCGGAATCAATCTTAGAATTTTTAACTGCTTTCAGAAGTGCTTTGATAAATCTAGATGCTGAAGTATTTGAATTGAAATTCAAAAACACAGCAGAAAGCACTTAAAATTGAAAATCAGCATGAATTCAAGCAAAAGATTCCAATGAATAAACATTCGACGCCAAATATTCCCCAACCAAAGTTCACTTTCTTTCTCTTTCCTCGTTTTTTTTTAAACATAAAGCGAAATGAGCGCAATTTTTCTTTCAAGCTATTTTGTATTCAGAAGCTCGTAAAATTTTGCGAGCTTTGCGTTCGTTCAGCATTATTGAGGCGAAACATATAAAAAAAGGAAATAGTCATATCCACACATTCGTTAAATAGGTCAAAATGCTCAATGTGATTCGTGAGGGTTCATGAAATGGAAATCAAAGGAAAGGAAATTTTCAAAATCATAGAAAATATCAAAAGAAAGTTAAGAAAAGTTAGAAAAAAATAACCTCATGAGCACTTAAGCAAAGATCTAAAAAGGGAAGGAAATTTTACGCTTCTTGCTTTCTAACTTTTCCTTCTTACATTTCGTTTTTTTTTGTTATTTAACGTAACCACCATCTTATAAGAGGATAAAAGAAAGAAAATCTTGCATTCTTAGAATAGCATTTCAACCAGAAAATTAGCTTGTTTAGACATTATTATGTTTGCAACGTTGAACACTTCGAGGGCCATAACACCATGGAATTATCGGATATTAAAACTCTCTGATGTATTCCACCATAGAATTCAAGTTTCGAGGTGGAGTTTAGAAAAGTGTTGAGGATTTATTGCGAATAAAATATACTTAACTACTCTTCTGTTCTTTAACAGACGCTCGGTCAGCTCTAAAATCTGTTTGAACATTCTCTCGAACATTCACATCCCAAACACTCTTTTTTTGTGATTCCTTTCGTTCCTCTCATGCTAACTGAATGTGTCATTTATCAAATGCGCTTTTATCAACTCTCGAGAGACCATTGTGTAAATTTTCCACAAATGCACCTACTACTAAACACCATGGAACTTTAAAATTTATTACATTGCTTTTCCTTTCTCTCATATTCATTTGCTCGTTGACATTCACCACCGTTGAAATGTTTGTAAGTGTCTTTGCAGTGAAAGAAGCGCTATAAAAGTAATGTTTTACTCCAACCAAAAATTACATCATCATCAGCATGTTTTGGGAATGAATAAGGGATAAGAATGTGAATGAGTAAAGGCAAAAGCAAAGTGAGAAAGATAAATGGCAACATCGAGAATCTACGCACGTCATATCGATGATTTTGAAGAAAATTTATATATGTAGATATATTTTTTAATAATTTTATTACCTTTCAAGCTACCAACGCATAAATCAATACCATGCAGATGAGCACACTTCTTCTGTTAGCTAGCACTGACAGTGTCGTAACAAATTGCCAAGCAATATGTATTCAACATCCAACAAGAAGATTCCTTTTCTCCTTTCCTTCTTATGTTACAAATTCAAGAGCGGAGCGCAAGTTAAGCTTATTTTCTGATGTTTTCATAAAGCAAAGTGTCGTTGAGACACACGAATATTTTGTTTTTTGTTTTTTTGCCTAACTCATGAAATCCTCCCCCGCAACCTTACGCAAACGAATCATGTGGAGATTCTCTCATTCTTTTTTTTCTTTACTTTTTTTATGAAAAATTTATGTTCTCATTGTCTTCGTTGTGACATGAAAGCGTTCTTTCTCTTCCTTGAAGAGGCATCATAAGGCAATGAAAAGTTTTTGAACCGTACATAATATTTTTCTGTTTAAATTTTCCTTCCGCGAAGATGGTGTGAGAACAACACACACTCCATTGTCAGGATTCAAGACACGAGAATAATTCAATACAAATTTGATTAAGGCACTTTTCATCGCTTGCGAGTTTCACAGTGAGAGAAATTGGCGATGATGTGATGTGTTGTGAAATGCGCAGTCGTGCTGCTTGACTTCCAAAACTTCCATACACGGGACCATCAAATTTCCATTTTCGAACTGGGAAGAAATGGAAAAAAGGAAACTTCCGTGAGAAAACTTCCAATGAAAGTCGTGCAGGCAGGAAAATGCAACATTAAAGCTCAGACAACGGGTTGTTGGTCAATAAATAATTCAACGTTAACCATTTTCCTTTATTATCGGGTTCAAACGAGGATTTTTGAATTTTTTTATGACATTTTTATTTCAACTTTCACTAACGACTTGTTAAGCGCAAATTTTGCTTTATGCTATTATAAATTATTTTCCAAGAAAAATTGTACCTCGCTCTTATACTTATTACTTTGTGTTCATGGTAACAGATTGGACAGGAAAGCTTTGAGAAAATATTCTCATTCCTTCGGATCAGGCAAACACACAAAAAAGATACATTGTAAAGACCCGAAAAACTTTTAATTAACGGCAATCTTTTTTCTGCTTCCTCTTTCTTTGCTGAGTGAGCAGAGAAGCATTTTCAACGTACTCAACTTCGTTCCTTCTTCTTTCTCTTCTTCTAGTTTTTTTCTTTAAGCCTCATGAAAGAACCAAGCAAACAAACGAGCAAGCAAGCAAGCACAAGGGTCTACGTTGAGGTGAATGTTTACATAGTAAAAACATTTGTTCATCCTCAGGGAAAATGTATGCAAATTCGAAATGAAATATTTAGGCCTGAAAAATACTTTTTTAAAGTTTCTTCTCCAGATTCGGGTTGTAACATGGTTGAAAAATCCTTTGAGAAAAAGAAAATCAAATGTAGCCTTGGAAAGTTTTGCGTTCATTCAAAAGTTTAAAACAGACTTTTACCCTTCGAACAGTGAACTATTGGAAAAGCTCATAAAAATAAAAGTTTCTATTCTTCTTATTGTAGATAAACTCACAGCATATGGTCAGCCTTTTTGTTTATCATTGTTGTTTTATTTACTTATTTTCTCGTAATCTCTGAATTTAACATGCTTTTGGCAACACAAAACTTCAAGCTTTATTATTTAACTAAAATTGAAACTTTTTCATTCAACTTTGCCTCATATGTGCACACAATTCACCCCCACCTCATGCACTCAAATATTTTCAAAGTCCTTGTTATTAAAATTTATTAGTTATTGTTTTCGCGCATTCACACTGAAAAACTGCTGTTATAAAAGAACATTTCAATTAAAAAGTTTGAAATTACGATAATTTCTCAGTTGAATAACTTATAAGTATCGTAATTGTTTAATAATCTGCAAACTTTTAGGGTCAGTAAACATTCAAAGTTCACAACATATCGCCTCATAAATGTGAATTTCTTTTTAAACCATTTTTTATGCAATTTGCTATGATTTGGAGACATGACTACCTGCAATATTTTCAAGTCAATTACTATAGATTGTTATCAATAAAAGAAAAGCCCCGAAAGTTTCAAGAACACAAAATTCATTGATAACAAATATAGCCAGCCAATTTATGTACTTACAAGAGGGAAAACTTTGCCCATCGTCAGGATACAACGCCACAAAAGAAATAAATTACGAATTTCTTCTTAGCTTTCTCCCCCTCATTCTCAATAAAACAATAAAACTGCTAAAACACACAACGAAATAATAAAATAGTGTTTCAACGAGAAGGAAAAATGGCAAATGTACGTTACGAATAAGAATGTGTGTAGAAAATAAACAACAGTCCATGAAACCAACTGGAAAAATGAGCTTCGTCTTTCCCTCTTTTCTTTTCTTATTCTCAAGTAAATGCAAAAGCGAAAAGCTCATAAAAGTCGAAGCTAAATGTGAACGCTCATCTTAGAAAGGAATGGGGAGAGACAAAACAGAGAAGTTATGGCACAAGATAATGCAAATGAAAAATATTTCACATCTTTGTGTATTTGGTTTCGTTTGAAACTTTTCTTATGGGAGGGAGGATGAGAGGAAAATGGAAAAACTTTGTAAGCCAACGGATCTTTTTCTGTTTTCTTTTTTTTATTTCTCTCACTCTTACTCAGTCCTTTTGTTGGTCCTACTACTTTAACCATTTTCATGGTTGCGGGACACTTAAATTCTGCTTGCTTTTCTCTAGGAGGCGAAAATATATTACATCATACTTTAATAAACTTTTCTGTAATCCGAAGAATCCTTTTAATCAGATTAAGATTTGTGCGGATAAAGATGAGAAGAAAAAAAATTCTGAATAAATTTCGGATAATTTGAGAATCTTGCATTGGTCATGATGATCTTCAATCATAATTTTTAGAGTCGGAGCATTAATACAAACAAATCTAAATAAATTTAGTTGCTTGAAATTTGATTAATTTGCAAATTTATAATCTTTTCAAACAAATGATTTACATAGAAATGAAATATGCTGAGTTTGTTGTGGATATTCTCGTTTTGATCTCTTATCTCATGCACACTGTATTTAAAATATTTATATGCATGAAACCGCAAATATGCATCGCTGACTGTAGTAGACGTCACATCGAGTGTTGTGCTAGTGATAGTGACATTGTCAACTCTCTGGATCAGCATAATTAAATTCATCAAAAACAAGGAGAGAAAAAGAACTTTAAAGCTGTTCAAACGAAGCTTTTAATGTTCAAGGGTCGAGTTGTGGTGAATGAATAAATGAAAATTTTAAACAACAATGTTCAGCTGAGCCAACATTGGAAATAATAATGTAAAACTGACGACAAATTATTTTTCATCCCCTTCGAGTTTTCATAGTATTTAGGTAGATAAAGGAGGATGTCAAAGCATTGGAAAGGGTTAATAAAAATTGAACACCAAAACATGAGACGTAAATCCAACCAGAAACAATAACATGTGCAAAATACGCTATAAAATTTGTTGAAAATTATATTTTTTGGCTCTCGTACATTGACAAAACCAGTTAAAATTATAATAAATTATCATATTACACACATAATTTTCATTTTGCTACAGTTATTGTTGAGTTGTTTTGTGGAGATTCGTCACAAATAAATGTGAATTGTGAAGTGGAACAGTGCCAGAGTTCAAACCTTGTCTAATGATGTTTGAAATGAAAATTTTGTTTAATGTTCAAGTCAAATTGCTTGGAATTCCAAGTCCTTTCTTATTTATTCACTGCTTGAATTAAATTGTTTACATATTATTTTAATTTCTGAATTCTGTCACAAGGTGATAAAAATATTACAAAATTTCAATTAGCATAAGTTAAAGTAAATGTTTTCGAGACAAAAAGAGAGCAGTGGAGGGATGAAGCAATCTTAACTTGTTAAATTTAAAATTCTGTCTTGACAACAACAGCATCACAAGCAAATAAAACTTCTTCTTCATCATCTCAGTCGACAAATCCTCGTTTTCTAAGGATAATTAAGTAAAGCAGGTTGAAAAGGTGAAGACATGAAAACTTATGAAGAGATCTAATTGACATGTCTATACGAGGGAAAAGGAAAATGGAAAGAAAAAGGTTCAAGAAAATCTTCCATGTAGAAAATTGTGTTTGCCCTTTCAAAACCCGATAATTTTGACAACGAAAATGTTGACTTCGTGTACGAGCAAAGCTCGCTCAAAAATAAATTCTCGTAGAGAAGTTCATTCATTTCTGAACTGAATACATCCCCAGTAGACTGAAAATGTTAATCACTTCACGCTTAACAACATCACCAAGCGCCACTCTGAAAATTCATGTTTAATTTCAGTGGAAATTTGTTAGCAAACATGACACGACATCAGTTATTCCACCACTGCTTTTGCCGGTTAAATATGAAGTGAAACCCCAAACGCTCCCCAACAAAATTTATTTTATGAATCATTTTTTGATAGATGTTGAGACATCGCAAACATTTACTCATTCGTTGTATACACACTAAACTTTCATTTCCACTTTTATGATACCATTGGTGTTAAATAGTATGTAGCATAAATTTAACAAGTCACACTGTTCAAATATTAATCATTTTTCCATTTCAATGGTTTACTATTCGAAGCCTGTATCGGGTAAAATTCATTTTTTTTCATGTGTTGATGTTTTGTTTCAACTTTTGATTAATAAATTATGAACATCACATTTCATCATCATTCAATGCTGCTGGCGTATAAAATGATTTTTGATACATGAAAACGATTAGCTCATCCAGCAGCCGTTAAAAACAAACAGAATAAACTTTACTCATCTTCCTTTTCTTCTACTCATTCTCTCATCCATCGAAGCTTTTACAAAATCAATAACCACATATCTACATAGCTCCTATCGAATTTCACTCTTTATTCTGTTTCGAGAAGAATTTTTTTTCTTTTTATCCATTGGGTCACAGATAATGTGTTGCTGAACGGCATAGACATTCAGATATTGAAAACGTTTAGCACATGTTCGTTTACGAGACGTAACAAAGTGATGTATTAATACAATATTTTCTCCCCCTTTACCCTGGTTTCCCATCTATCGATGTTCCTTGGCAATTTATGATGTGGGAAATGTTTTTTCTTTCTTCTTTTATTCCCTTCTGTTTTCCACAGGGACGCACAAACTTTCCTATAAGTACGAAAGATTGCATGTAATGCTTGTTGGGGGAAATAGTTTTGTGCTATCAATTGCTGAATCATGATTCGATACACAAAGATTGTATTCGATTAAAAAAAACGAAAGCTTTTGTGACGAATTTGGAGCAAGAAAGTTTCCCTTTAATTGCTGTTTCAATAGTCGCATGGAGATTCAGTGAAACTTTAACTTTTTTTTATCGAAATACCAACTGACAGTAGTCGTAATGTTTACTTTGATATTGTCAATAAAATCCAACGTAGAAAAAAAATGTCTTAGGATACGAACATTAATTATATTTTACACGATGATTTATAAGCTTGTGATGATTAGGGACATAAAGATTGAGTAAACAAACAGACAAACAAATATTTACAAATAGAAATGAAAATATTTCAAGTCACTCAATATCATCGTGTTGTTTTTAAAGGTGTTTCTAACAACAAGTTCGTTGCTATGTCACGAAGCTAAAGTTTTGAAAAGGAAGCATTACGACAAAATCCTATGCTTGGAATAAGCATAAAGATGAGTTATGGTTATGATACGTACATATGTCTTGAAGCAATTGTTAAGCTGCACCATTTTTTCACATGGCAATGAGAATGAAACAAGTTGCAGGAAACTATTACTTACAAGCTGTGAAAATTGATATTAAGTGGAATTGTATGCATGAAACCATAAGACAGTGAAGAATTAATGTAACATGGCTCGTCTTGTCCCCATCTTCAAGAGAGAAATGGTAATAAATATTTATTTGTGGAAACATCTATTACTCGATTATCTCGGAAGGAAAATTTATTTCCTGTCTTTGTTCACCGCTTTACATACCTACATGAACTTCATATATAGAATAACAAATTCTAAACGTTCACCAACTCTCATGCTTTGACGTCATTAGTCACTCTTTATAATCATGATCCTCGACAAATTTATGGGCTTTAAAATAACTATTCTATGATTTAAATAAATTGAAAAATTCCTTTCAAGATCGCGTTGCTTCTTTCTCTTCTTCCTTTCAATCTTGTCTCTGCTTCTGCCTATGCCTTTGCCTTTGTCATGACAATTACCATCAACATTCTTCTACGCACATTAACTTGAGTATTTTAGTATTATTCAAGTTGCTTTGAGAAAAAAAGAAGAAGATAAGAAAGGAAAGAAAGAAAGGAAACGAGATATGAAAAGGTTTCTGTAACATCGATTTTCACATTACACAATTTGCTTAAAGCTTTTCTTATTTTAAAATTTCATGCGATAACAACTCATCGAAAGTGAGATCAAGCACTTCATCCATCGAGGACTTCACGACTTCTCAACAAAACTTTTTCCATAAAAAGTTTGAAGAAAGGGAGAGAGGCAGGTAAAGAAACGATCAACATTGAACAGCCGGCCAGAAAGGCGGCGAAAAGTGAATGAGTGAGTGAGTAAGAGAGAAAGGAAGAGAAGCATCATCTGGCTTTGTCATTTTTTATTTGCGAAAGAAAATTTTTCGTGAATTTATCCGACCATGATGAGGCGTTGTCAACGTGAATGCTGCTTTATAGACTCCTTTTCTTCCTGCTTTGATAGAATTTGCTTCACATTGTTATCGAATAAATTTTTTCTTCATCTTAAATCACTGATTGAAACTTGAAAGTGGTGAGAAGTGACGCCCGAAACGAAAACTGCTGTCATTCAACCGCTTTTCCTTTTTATTTTCCTCTTCAATTTCCAATCCTGGTTAAAACTTTATCCGCAAACTTTGGCTTCATGAAAAGGTTTTAAGAAATTTTCTCATCTGATACAAAATAAAATTGCATAACAGTGACTAACTTCTTTTTCTTATCAAGTTTAATTTTTCCCTTTCCATCTTTTCGATTGAATGAAGGGAAAGAAAACTCAAAACTTAAAGTGGAAAAAGAAAATATTTGAGTTAAAAAGTTTCTGTCAAACCAAGTTTACACAGTTCTTGCATTTAAGCTAATTAAAAATTCCCTTTCATTCATCGAAAAACTTTACAAGCGAATTTATCTCATTCAAATCATTTTACACTGCGAAAGAAAATTCAAAGCTAACTTAACTCTTAAATTCTTTTAAATTGAAATAGCAAGCTTATTATGAATAATTCTTCTTGACTCGTGTAGTCTGCCGACAATTTGATCGTTGTCGAAAATAACATAAAAGCGAAATTGAATGCAATTTGCAGTAAAAAAGAGGTAGCAATTTAAAAAGTTATTAATTAGCATAAGTTTTGCATTTTCATTTTATTAAAAGTTCCATGGAAATGAAGACAACACTAAAAGCATCAATCAATCATCATCATAACCATCATTACCATTTCAATATGAAATCAATTCTTCTTATCGGAAGTGAATCATAAAAAAAAGCGATGCAGTTGTAATTCATTTCTTTTGTTTATAGCTCGCTCAAAATTTTATTCCATTCTATTTATTCCTCGTCTCGAATTACTGGAAATGCAAATGAAAATGCACAAAATACAAGGATAACGAGAAAAGTTATGACTTTGCTGATGCTTACATAAGGAATCTACTTGTTCTTCTCTCCCTCTTATCTATCTCTCTTCTTCTTTCCCTCCCATTCGTGCTGTCAAAATATTTCACACAATTTTATCTTCCAGGCAAGGCGGCACTGGCAAAAGCTTTTTATTATTGCATGAATTTTGACATGGAAATTTGTTGCATTAAGTAAGTCGAAAGCTTTTTGAAACGGGTTTCATGTTTTATCAGAGCTTTTCGGATGGTGTAACAAATATTATGCAAAGTGTAAAATTATACATAATGCATGAGTTATTTGTGGGGTGGATCCCGTCGAGCTGGAAGATTCATCATGATATTGTAAATATTTGTTGAGTCAAATGACAAATTGATATTGCAGTGTTGCACATATCATAAGCACATAGATATGGTATCAATTTCAAGATGTAGATAAATGTTGAACTTTCGACTTATTTAAACATTAAATACAATGAAAGTGGAGACCGGAATAAACAAAAAGCTCGACTTCAGCATAACATCCCAATAAGAAAAGCCACATGACTTGAATGATGTTTAGACTGACCTATGATTGAAATAAAATTGAGTGTAACAAAAGCTGATGAAAGGTGGAGATGACCACGACCTTTAACCATGTTAGCTTGAAGCTTCACAATGGAAAACCCACAAGTTCTACTCACCTTATCCGATAAAAAGTAACAAAGGAAAACTTCTTTTTCTTCCTTTCATAAATCATTTGGAAAATTGCAATAGATTTTAATTATGCTGGTTAAGTTTGTTGGAAAGAAAAACTTTTTAAAGAAGTGATTAAAAATGCAAGCAAATGAATCTTAAAGAAAGTTTATAAGCATCTTGAATATCCTTGTTTCAAGACTCTTATCAAGGCATACCGAAAAGTTGGGATGAAAAACTAAGGAAAAAAAAACGAGAAGCTATTCAAGTTGAGATTAAGATCATTAATTTGTTTTGAACAATAACAAAATGTCAGATGTTTGTGGAAGAAAATCGCTTCCGAATCTTCATTTCATCATCATTTGGATGTTTTGAGTTTTCTCTTTCTCAGAAGAGTTTAAATAGGAATGAGGGACGATAGACGGTAAATTGAGAAAGCAGCTTGCAAGGGTAGGAATGAATAAAACTGCTGCTTATACAATAATTTAATAAAATAAAAAATATTTATGTTTTTCTAAATGCGCAGTTTGCTGCATATATTTATAACTAAGAAATGTTTCGCAATGTTGTTAAACTTTTACGATCTTATGCATTCACATAAACTTTTGTCGTACGCTGTCATGTCGTCTTAAATTGAATAAGCAACAAAAATTTTACTAAACTCCAAATAATGGAAAACTTGTGAGTTAAACATTTTCTACAGTCAGAGATAGTTGTCAATATAATTTACGAGTTACTTTTCAACAAAAAGAATCTAATAAATTTTGTCTCAAGAGCGTTGTTGAAGCTGCTTGCTTTTGACTACATTTATTACTTTATTTAAGAGCAATTAGGAACGAATGAAGTACTCAAACTTTCATATTAAATTCAGACGAACCTCATTCTCTTACCACAGTATAATAAAACGTTGTTTATGATAAAGAATTCAAATTATTTATTTTAATAGTGCTTTAGGAGCTCTCAACAAACGCTGAAACAAATAAATTTCGACTTGCTTCATTTTAATCATTCTACTGTAATTACAATGAACAATTAAACCATTCGAAAGTTTTTATTTCTCTATTTTCAACTGTGAACTTTCTTCGTGCAACTTTACATTTTGCCAAAACATTTTTCACAGCAATCAACGCAATGGAAGGCTTTCAAAAAGAATTTCGCTAAGAAGTTTATCTGATCATTAAAAAAAAGTTTCTACGAATGAACGATAAAGCATTCGTTGATTAATTAAATTTTATTTTGCAACCTTTTCAAGATTCCTGTTATGCAGACAACTCAAAGACCCATTTCAATATTATATTTAACTGTCTGATAAGTAGGTCGACTTGTAGCTTAGAAACAAAAAAATTTAATTTTAATTTCGAAAGTAAAGAATTTTTTTTTCCTGCCGGGTGTTTGTTTGTGAAACTCTTAAAATTGTATATTTTTCGATTGAATATCGAAAGTTTAATTATCTTAAATGTACGTAGTAAAGCAATTTAAATTTGAAAATAAACACAAATATTTGTCTACAATTCATTCTAAATATCTCCATCGTTGCTAAATAATGAGAAAGCATTGAAAATAAATATCCTGAGGAAAAAGAAAAGTTAAATAAATAAATTTTTTATTTTCTGTTTTGAGATCTATTTTATTTCCTTAATGATTTTTTTATTGGTGGGTGGACATTTTTATGTTAATGAAAACGATACAATATACATGATAGAATGTTTACAAATTGTGCGGGTGAAAGTGAATTTACATTATTACATTTTATTTTTTATTGTGATATAAACCTTATAGAATGTTGATGGTCTTAAATTAGTACCATGTTTTGCTTTTGAGATTTACAGTGCATGAGAAATATATGTTTAATGTTGGGACTTGACGGTCGTTATCGACACTTAAGAATTTATTGTTGTGACATTAACTTTTGCATAATGTGAATGTTACTGCTATAAAATAAGATTTCATGGTTCAAAGTTGAGTTTTATGTCGAGAAAGAACATGAAAGTTTGTCTGAGGTATTTGAGTTGCAATTCAAGCAAGAAAGTTTGTAAATAATTTCTTGTATAAATTGCAGTTGAGCATTCACAATCTTTTTGTTTATGTTGCACGCACTCAGTAAAAACGTGACGTGCATGTTCAAAAAGGCTTGATATGCAATCAAATCAACACTTCAAGTAATCAGTCATGTGAAAGAATCCAAGTTTATTCTTTCAAGTGAGCGATTGAGAGAAGTGAAAGGTGGTAAAATTGAAAAGACCGAAAAGAAGGCATTAAAACTCTTTTACGGCCATATTTAAGCTATAAAAGCTTGTGTCGTTTTTATGTTATTTCAAAATTGCATGAAAAAAGTCATGTTTGAGAAAATTGAAAATTGTTCTTTCCCTTTCATTTCCTCCTACATAAATGATTATGTTGGCAAATTTGAGTTTAATAGAGCAAAACGTTTTTCAATCTGCTTTTTCTCAAACGTGAGTTTTTTCCTCTACTGCGTTTCATTTAGCGCCTTAAATCTTAATCTTTGAGTCTCTTATGGAGCAGGCAAACAGCCAACACCATCGCAACATGTTGATGATTACTGTTTACCTTCTTTATAAAGGAATCAATATACCTACATAAATATGCTTATGCATTTCTTTTTTATCACGGGAAAATAAATTTTTTTCATCACATGGAACGAACGGAAAATAGATTTTCCTCTGTTTTAAATTGAATGAACTTTGTTGATTTTGTGTGGGTGTGAGTACGTGTTTATAGTTTTTTGTTTGCGTTGCTTTTAGTTGAAAGCATTACTCGAGAGAATAAAATTGCATTCTGAGCAACAAACACACATACGAGAAGTGGATTATTGAATATAGCTGGGATTAGTGTTCTCTGGAAAAATTAATCCATGTGCTGTGCTTTTCTGTGTTTCTCAATTTTCACAGAGAACATGAGAATTTTTCATCCTCGTAACCGCTTCAAGCAAATCCGTCTTCGCTGTTGTTCCTCGTTCGCAATGTGTTTGTTTCCATCGAACACGCTCTTATAAATTCATCTGCTATTTCAATTTAACACAGTTTTTCTGATAGTATTTTTATGTGTAGGTTTGTGAGAATATTAAAAAAATTTTTCAATGCAGAAAGCTTTTTTACTTCGTGCTCATTAAAAGTTTTAATTATTCCATGTCATTAACATAAGCTTTGGTTTTTTTTATTTTTCATGCAATGCATCATAGCACAACATGAATTTTTAAATCATAAACGTGCATGTACGTAAAGATGAATTGTTTGACTGTAAGTTGTAAATTTTTTTAAGAAAATTAATCAAACCAATTGATACGCTGCGATCATACGCAATCATACGCAACAAAATCTTCCCAACACAATTTTCCATCATTTCATTCAATTTAAAAACAGATTTTGCACTTAAAGTTAAATTTTATAATTTTCTGTTTATATATTTATTTATTTAAGTCTAGAAAAGTCCTAAAGTAATCACCTTTTACGATGAAGCGATCTTAATGAGCGGTCGTTCCATAATTTTCATTGCTAATTTATCGCTCAAATAAAAATCGTTCATCGCTAATTTCCGCTCAACTCCAAATAATTTTATTCGGAACCAGCTGGAGTTGAGCGGCGCTAATCTTACGTCACTACATCGTCATTAAATATTAAGAAAAGTTTCTCACATTAACCCTAAATCGACTTAGAATATTCCTTTCTCTCTTTTTTTTTGCTTCTCATTGTCTTTTGTGTTGTTACCGTCAATTTTTAAAAGTCGGCTCGTGCCTTCTTCAAGCATACAGCTGACGTTGTCGACATGCGGCGTTTTCGTACTTTTAAATAATCTGAAATTAAACAAAAAAAAGGAAAAAAAGCTGATTAATAAAAAAGGCTAATTTATGAATGAGAACAAGATTGGTAATAACGAAAATCTGTCGGAGAAAATTAATGGGCTTCCAAGGATATTGATACGCTTACTGAGAACGGATGTTTGAGTCGCGTATAAAAAACAATGAAAGACTCTTTTTTGTGATATAAAATATAAATGAGAATCAGATCGTGGTATTTGTTGCATCTGTCGATTATGCGCTTTATTACGCCGCTTTTGAAAGGATTGAATAGCAGCGACCACCCCAAAACCCACAAAGACTGAACAGCAAAATAAAAAAACTGAATTTCTCATTGCAACCCACAATTTATAGAGTCAAGCATAACAATTACTCATTTTTTTGCTTTCATAATTTAATTTTAATTGAAAAATTTCAATGCGGTTTTGATAATTGTACTTGTCTTGAAATTACAATGCAAAACGTTGGGAATTTTTTAATTCAAACTTTGATTACGCATTGATTATTGTTGATGTTGTAAAGAGTACTCGAGTCTCGTTCAGTTGTATGAATGATTGATTTAGGCGCTCTTTAAGTGAATTACCTGACGCTTCTCATTCAAACAAGAACCCATAGAACAACATCAAATTTCAAACCATCATCGTCACAAACAAAGCAAAGAAAAATTGGTCGTGGTTCAATCACTATTCAAGCGGATGTATGTAATTGATCCTTTTTGTTATGACATTTTATTCTGTACATTCAAAACATAACTTTTCAATGTCAATAAATTTCGTATTTCTGCATGAAGAAAAAAAGGAATTCAAAGTAAATTTCTGATTTCCTTAAACCAAAACAATTTTCAAACAAAGCAAAAGCACCCGCTGGCTTCGAAATCATATAAATTAATTTTTCTACATCATGAAACTAATTTAATAATTGATTTAATATTAAACTTTGGTATTTGTATTTTTTCTAACATATAAATTTGAAGTTCAGATGAAAACGTTTTGAAAAAACACGCAAAACAGCAAACAGTATCGCCCCTCAAATGTTCGGTACAAAAAGTGGTTTTAAATTAAATTCATTCTGCAGTTGAATTTATTTTTCTAAGTTTTCTTGTTCGACATGAGTCGGCTGAGTTGTGAAACCGCAAGAATGCAATTTCAGTGCATATCGAGAACTTTTCTGATATCACAGCTTGAACTTTAAACTTTAACGCACAACTTCTCCTTCACAACAGCTGTTGTTATGCTTTTTAATGATTTTCTGCTGTCGTCGGTGTTTGAGTCATACTTGTACGTATAATTGCAAAGCATTCAAAGCTTAATCATACAGCTGAAACACAGCAAGCATTTTAGCCGTTAGTGAGATTAAAAATGCACATAATTAAGCCTTTTCGACGAAGGCAAGAGATAGCGGCAACTATTGCAGGATATTCCACGTAAATATAGCATAAAGAAACTGGGAAACATGAACAATTCCGATATTAAAAATAAATTAAATATTCTGTCCGAATAGTGAACAAAAGCCAAAAATAGAAATGTATAATTTTTAATGCATTTATTCATGAGATGAATGATTATAAAAGCATTTCTTTCCTCCACTGAATTTTTCATCCCCATCATGTTTCAAAATGTGCACGAGTGAATAAGTAAGCAAACAAGAATGGAAAGGGATAAAAACTGAAGAGCAGAATGTATAGAGCCAATATGGCCTTATTTCATTTCATTCCTGTCGCTTTGTATTTTTATTTTATCCCTTTTTTTTGTGTGGGTGGAAAATGGATGTACATTAGGATTGAGTAAAACGACTGTCGTTTAGATAGCGGGACAGCGTCATGTGCTTTTAAGTGTTATATGGCTACCAAAAAAAAATGATATGAAGGGCTACGAAAATGTTTTGAATTAATTTAATTCCATGAAACAAGCAAAAAAAAAAAGCGAGCAATGTCGACAAATAGATGTACGCGAAAGAACAACAACAAATTATGCAATTTTTATTTCCCGCTCGTTCTAATTTTTCCATTTTTTTGTAAAAACGAATGAAACAATTTTCAGTTTAAGCTTCCGCTATCTGGTTAGGTTGGAAAAATATATTTAAGAACTTATTCGAAAAACTTGCGGTTGCATTCTTTAATCTGGCATGGAAAAAAGAAATTTGATCGTTTCTGGCGAGTTTGTTTGAAGTTAGAATGTAAATTTTTATTGTTCAATAATTTCTGTTCCATATGTTACATGTTGAATGAAATGTAGAAAAGGCCACGAGCTAAAAGATGATCGTGCCGTACTTTGAAAATGGCCACAGAATGAAAGTCAACAACACTCACGTGCTGACGCCTCATTATCAATTCATTTCGATCAAATATGCTAATAGTTTTTCGAGGTTTTACGGTTCCCGTTTCCGCTTTTTATTTCGTGGTCTCATTATCATATCAAAAAGAGAATATTTAATATCCTTTGGTCAGTTTATCATCGGAATGTTTCTCCCCTTCTAGAGACTACTACCTCGGCTTCCTCGGCACAGTTAATTGCAAAAACGCAGATGGCCCGAGAAATAAAAAATGAGCTCAATATGGTTCATGAATTAATTCATTTTTCGGTTAGCACGAGAATGAAACTCAAGTAAAGTGAACCCAGAGATTCTTAATTGCGGATGGATGAGGCAAACAGAAAAGTTTTTATCATTCTTGAAGCATAAATTTTCGGTGTTTCTAATTGGCAAAGTTCCGGTGAACAACATGATAATCAGTTGTGCTGCTTGACACAGATTCTTGCGAGGCTTTTTAAATGAAAACGACAGGAAATTGTCCAGAATGCGGTCGTTCGAATAGCCTGAAATTCCTGCCATTTTTTTATACACTTCATGTAAAACCTCAAAAAACATTTGGCTTGTGGAATCTCATAAAAATATTTGAAGCTTTAATACGGAAATTTTCGATTTTTATTTCATTCCCTGAAAATGTTTCTGTTAAACATTAAAATCTCCCGAGTGTAAAGGAGAAGCCGTATGCAAGATAAAAGTTTCATCAAAAGTTCGGTGGGAATTGAACATTTTTTCCGTTGGAATTTCCTGTTCGCAAATGCCGGTACTCTCCCATGAAGCTCGGTCTCACAACACCAATATCGCATTTTCCCGCTTCATTAAATTATATTTTTTATTATTTTCCTTTCTCTTCCCACTCGTCTTTTTTTTTTCACTTTGGCAAGTTAAAATATCCGAGTTTTTGTTCCCTTTTTTTTATGTAAAACAAATGTCCGGAAATCAAATTTGAGGGAACTTTGCGGGTTCGTTGGATTGTAATAAGACAACTTTTTTATATCTGAGCATAGCTCTTGTGTTAATTGCTTTTTTTTTCGTTCTATTTATAAGAAAGTAAAAAAATCTGTCTTGGTATAAAAGAAAAATTAATTTGTCGCCAATAAAGTGGAAGAGAATTCATTAACAAGTTGTTGGTAGGTAATAAAAATTTCCGTTTTTGTATTTTTCACTTAAAATGTGCTTATGAATTATTATGACAGTTCCGACTTATTAGTTGCATTTAAAAGTCAACAATGCATTAGCTTTTAAAATATATTTCTTCAAGTTGTTGGTTTAATAGAATTATGACATTAAAATGAAATAAAAACAACTTCTAACACGGATATTTGCGTTAGTAATCATACTTAAAGAATGAAAATATTTGTTGTTTATGTTCTTATGTTTCCACTTTCTTCAAGGAATTAAACTGAGAACAAGAAATGAAAAAGTATATTTCACGCTATTTTATTTTTATTAGATTTTCTCATTTCACGCTTATGTGACTGTTCAGCTTTAACGTAAAATAGTTTCCTTCAACCGTTTCTTTCCTTCAACCGACTACACATTGCTTGCATTGTGGGCATGGCGGAAGAAAATTGTTAAAGCACATTAATTCACCGATTCAACAGCGTAACGAATTGCATAAGACGATATGGAACAATATCCGAGTGAAGATTGTATTATGTCCACTTTGTGAAATTTATTAACATTCATCTATCTTTGAATTTATTCTACTTTCTTCCGTCTTTGAATATAAATTTCTCTTCATCAAGAGATGAATAAATAAAGAATGAAAATCCCTTTCTTCCTTCTTAATCGAGAGCCTTGGGATAACCGTCGTCTTCGTGAATAGAAAAAAGGAATAAAATAATGAAAACCATCAAGTCATTGAACATACAAAAGGGACTCGTGATAAAATGTGTTAGCCAAAGTGCCCCGGACGAAAAATAAAATAAAAAAGGAAGGAAAAAAGAAAACCCTTTTGCACAATAATAATTCTCGACAACTTTTCTTTTGCTTTGGCTTTGGTTCAATCGGGCCGTCTGCCATCATTTCACTTTTCGTAATTCACCACGGAGTACTTCGAAAATCTTGGGCGAGTTAAACTTTCTTATTTCAACGATTTTTTTTTCTCTTTTCATTTTTCGTTTTTTTTTTTTTTCGTCAGACTTCAGTGATAAAAGTCCCAACGCGGGCAGTCGCATAAAAAATAAATTTACATCAATTTTTCATCCAAAGAAATCCTGTGCGCGGTCCCCGTCAGCGCTGGATTAATATTTGATGGAAATTAATTGTTTTCAAGTCTGACTTGGGAGTTATTAACCTTAATGATACTGCTAAAGATTGTTTCATTTACTTCTGGAATGTGTTTATAGACTTACCTGTAATTTTTCGTTGACTTCCACACACTTTTTTTGTTGCAAAACTCGTTGATGCGACAGTTTTCCGTTTACTAACTGACAGAGGATTCTGAAGAATAATTGAAGGTTCACTGATGTTCTGCATCAAAGGACAAATATTTTCACATCCAGTGAACATCTGAACATGTCTGTTTGATGACTCGAGTGCAGTTATTGGCTGGTAGTGTGATGACAATCCCATCGAATGGGTGGTGTGATGATAAAATTTGGGAATATTTGACAGCGACGTTGGTTCCCATTTCAGTTGACTGTTAACGTGTGCAATCGGTGATTCTTTTGCAAAGTCAAAGCTCCACTTATATGATGCCTGTAACTGGTATTTGGTCATTTCCATCTGAGCGAATCTATGTCAAAGAGAGTTGGAAGGTTAAAATGGGAATCAATAAAAATCTCATTAGGAAGTTATGCAGAAAACGTTGTTGACGAAATGGGAATTTAATTCGATTTCAACTGGCACTCACCTTCGGAATTCACTTTTAATGACGGGTCCGAATAAAGACTTGCTGACTTTGTTAATCTTTTGAACTCGTTCAAGTCGTGCCATTGCTGACTTGCGTGGCGATGCCACTTGACGAACACGCATAAGAAGAGAATTACGACTCATTGTTATTCGTGATTCCTTTTTTATTTCAAATGTAGATGTTTTATGAAGTAGAAAAATGCTTTTTATTGCCTTCTAGATCGAGGTGAGTTTTTACGGCTTTTGGTAACTGACGATGTGGGAGTATTATGGATTAAAGCCCGTTTTTTTGCAAATTAATTGAATTTTATGTCAGATTTATCGATTGTTTTACTTCCACTAACATTCACTGTTGAAATTTATTCACTTGATTCGAAATAAAATTGAAAACTGTCTGACTGATGAACCGTTCAAAATTTTATTAAATATTTATTCCACTTCAAAAGTATACACAGTTGATCAATTTACCTAGTTGAGTTGTACAATTCGTATTTAATTTAAATGTAAATTTTTTTATTGAGTTTGACACGCGTTTTTATCCATTGACTACAAATATTTTGATTTTTTTTATTTCATTATTTTTCCACAAATAAAACTAAGATTTTTTTTTGTATATTTAAAATAAATCGTCTCCTTAAAAGTTATGATGTTTACACAAGCCCGACACAATTCCGAATGAGTGGAATGAAACTTCGATGACGACTAAAATGTGACGAATCTACCTGCAGTTTAAAGTTCCTTCAACATATTTTTTTTCCAAAACGTCAGACCCCGAATGAATGTTTAAATATGTTAAAGCGAGATAGATTGACTGAAGGGGGAATGAGGGAATACTTAAGAGAAATAAAAAGGAAGGGAAAGAGTAAGAAGAGACAAGAAAGCCAGTGATGTATGGAAACATTGAGCCAGTTAAACTCATTAGTTGCTATTTTCAGTCTGATAACGAAAAAATAAATGCGAACAATCGTAAAATCTTTTTTATTGTCGATTTTGTTCAGTGTCGTAAAAAACGACGTCACTGATTCTACCTTATATGAAGCCATAAAAAAGGATTTTCAGATGCACTGCTTAAAAAAACATTGACGATAGAAGAAGATTCAGGGCCTAAAGATTACATTAATGTCGAGGCATAAGAAAAGTTTACCTGAGATAATCTGAAGTCCCTGAATGGGGAAAAGAATGTAAATAAGTTTTCTTTTTCATTCTCCTTCGTTTCGTTCTTCACAGCAAGCGAGTAAGCATTACTCAAGAGATAGACACTAAAGCCCTTTAAAGTCAGTAAAAAAAGAACACAACAAGAAGTTAAACTATTTAAATATCCTTAATAATTGTAAATCTAGGATGAAGTCTTTTCAAATATTTTAAGGACAAGAAATTGTTTTGTCACACGATGTCAGACGATAAACCGCCCTAAAGTTGTGCAATATTTAATGAAATGTAAGAAAAAAAGAGAAAATGAGGTAAGATATGGTTATTCAAAAATAAATTATTCAGTCATTTATTCAGTCGTGTCAAGGCTGCAGTGAAGTTAATTTGCATGATTTTGCTTTGACATTCTGACTTTTGGTGTTGAAGAACTTTTTTTTACACAAATCATTGTCAAAGTTTTTATTTTACTCGAAGAAAGAAAGTCAAGATGCAATTTGTTGACACATTTTGAGAGAATTCGACATGGACGTTTCAATGAGAAAGGCAACAATATCTACATAAGTTCATTCATTTCCGATGAAAATTCTTCCAAGTATTCTCTCGTAATCATCAGGAACTAATTTCTGATAAATGGGCAACAACCATCGAACGACGTTTGCAATCTTGAATATAAATGATCTTTTATGCTTTACCAGGGTGAGAGTCAATAAATTTGCAATGGATGAAGCAAAGGAATAACAAGCAGCAGCAAGCAAATTGAAAATGAATTTAGTTAATAAATTTGTAATAAATGACTCAACCAAACGATTATTGATCACAACCAAAAGGCGTATCGAATAACTTTCCTTCCTTCTATTATTTCTTTGCCTTCAAACAGATTCTGTTAGGCAAGCTGAAGAATAATGGAAGATGAGCCCGACATAAAAGCAATTTGAAATCTATTTTAGTAATCGCAGACACACATTGAGTATCGCAAAGTATTCGATTCGAAAGACATGCATGAAAGGAATAAAAGCCATATGAAGATGAATGATCATCGTTGAATAAAAATGTTGTTTGCCCTGAATTTCTAACACGCTGACAGCAAAAAAAGCATTTGCCTTTTATCCATGATTTTCTCAGGGCTTAAAGGCGAAAAGGAAAACAACGACCTTGCGATACGAGATTTTGTGGGAGAATTCGAAAATCCTTTTTCATGCATAATTTAAGATTTATTTGCTTGTTTATTGTTTTCGGGAAATAAAAGATAAAGTCTAGAGAGTGTAGCGCATAATCGATAGATCGCAAAGCTGTAGGGATACTTAAACATGTCGACGTTTATTATGGTCAATTTGAATATCCGACCGAGAACGATTGTTTGTTCATTTCCAGACCCAACTTGGCTTTGTTATTGTTCGTGCTTAGATATTGATAATTCTTGCTACTCGAGTGGAGGCAGCATGAGCTGCAAAATAGAACATTCATTTAAACATACATAAGAATGTTTTGAAATAATTCAACATAACAGAAAACATATGTAAAAGTTTTCGATATGAAAGCAACGCCAGTAAATATTGTGTGTCAGTTGATCCTACCACAATCAATGACCTTTTAATATCAACGAAATGCTTTGGTTTTTCATCACATACTACGGTCTGGGGCGAAATATCAATGCTTATGAAGTTTTTTTTGTATTTATCCACCTGGTCGCCGTCGGTCGTTTAACGAAGTGAAGAAAACAGAAGAGAAATAAATTATAATAATAAGAGGATTTCTTTACTTCTTTTTTGCTTAGTCGAGCATCGAAGAAGAAAAACAGGAAAAGAAGCACACAAAAGAACAAGATGTGCATAATTACACAATTTTGCACAGTGGCCAACAATATATTATTCATCGTGTTGTGATGCTTTCAAATCTGTGAATGGTTCATTTGTTGCTACTGCAAATTACCAAAACTTTTTTCCTCTTCATTCTTTGTTGTTGTTCAATCACAGAGAAGTGAACATTGAAGAAAAATCACCACAATTATCTTGATAATAGTGTTTAAGAAGCCACTTGAAACATACATAAATGAAGATTATGTTTTGTCGATATTTTCAAATCTTGGTTTCTTGTTTCTTGTTATTTGATGACAAGGGACTATTAAAGTTTGTTGTCATTCATACTGGCGTGGTAAATTCTTTGGTTGTGGATGTCTGCAAAACATAATAAATTGGACAATAAGGGAGATTATCTCAAAGGCATTACATAAATTCTATTTGAAATGTTTAAATTGACTTCATGATGATCATGGAAGTTTCAATGTATTGAAAACTGCTAAGGATTTCGAAAATATCTGAAAGAGAATCACTGATTAAAGTAATTTTTCCTAAATACATTTGATAAACCTTTTTGATAGCGAATTTTTATCAGCGCCTCGACTTGACTTGATTTGATTTGACTTGACTTGACTCATTTTTTTTACTCAATTTGGAACATTCCTTTGACTTGACATATTCTGGTTACTTGACTTGAAACAAAGCCCAAACGAGTCATGTTCCCGCCTGCTTTGTACAAATATTTGAATTTCCTTTGTTTATTGCTAAGTAAGCCAAAATCTTCAAAGATTATCAATTTGGAATTTAATTAGTTGACAGACTTTCTTGCCTATTCAGGGAATTTTTGTGTCATTTTAATAATATTTTCACCCATCATTGAACAAAATTAAAGAAAACTGTCAAAGGATAAAATTATCGATTTATTCTTCCAAACATTAACTTGCGTAACGTTTATTAAAACTTCTTCTTCCTTTTAATGAAAATTAATTTCTGCTTGAAAATTACCTACGTGAGTAAACTTCAAATCGATTATTATTAATTGAATAATGAAAGTCGAGCAGTTTCATGTTTCTGCTTTTCAAGATATCTGATAGAATATGTAAAATTTTCCTTCTCGAGTTTATCATCTTGAATATTTCTATTAGCATAAAGCAAGCATCAAATACAAGTGCGTAAGTGTTTTAAAAGGAAAAAGAGTGAAGGATGATATTCATCAAAAGGGTATCCGAAACAAGAACTTTTCTTTAAAGCCTATCCAAGCTAAACAACTTCAAGCGAGACTTTTACTCCCACATACTCATTCACATAACATTTGAAGTTGAAAGCAATCGTGTAGGGTAAACTTTTGTACAAAAAAAGACAAGAAGCTTCTTTTTTATATTTGAGTTTTTTATCTTCCTTTTCTCGTATCATTTCAATGCATGTAAATTGTTACCAGTCCTATGTAAAGTTTTCTTTTAAAAACTCTTGCAAAATTTGAAGAGTTGGTGAGTTTTGCTATGTAAATATCTTTCTTCAACCATCCCGTAATGCAAGAATTATTTTCTTCCCCATCTGAATATTTCAGCATTCGATGAACTGTCAGGTTGAATCTTGAATCTTCATCTCCATCGTCTTCTATTTAATTTTAATATTTTAAGAAATGTCTTGATGATCTCTTTTGGGACGGAATTATCAACACCAACATGTTTCAGGATCAACAAAAGCATAAAAGATGATTCAAAGTTTATGATTTCTTAAACGAGAGACGATTCACGGTTAAACATTCATCATGTAGCTAAAGATTTTCTTTTTTTTCCTTCTTTCCTTTTATTAAATTCTTGTGTGTTGTTATGTGCTGTTTATTGAATTTCTTTTCCATGTCGAAAAGGGATTTTTTCTTTCTTCATTTCATTTTTGTGAATGATGAACATGAAGACGCAAGCAGACAACAACTGAGAAAAAGGATTCGAGGAAAAATGTTAAATCCTTTTGTGAGTTTGTATCGTCTTCTCCACGTCAAGGGAGCGCAATAACTTAGAATGATTTGGTTGAATTCGTCTTCTTTGATGTTATTTTGTTATAATGGCGATACAGACAAATTTTATTGCTTTTCATATAACCTCCGACCGTCTTTGTATAAAGCGAATAAAAAATTTTATGGAGCAAAGCTGAGATTTGTGTTAAACCGGGACCAATTATTTTATTAAATCAACTCACATCAGAGAACTTTTTATTGGTAACAATCTGAGTCAGAGTAAAATAAGAAAATAAACGGTCGTTAAAAGAAAAAAGCAGCGTTTAACGTTGATAAAAATATTAAATAAATATATTTAGGGCCAGTCATAGCTACTGTTGAACATAATGAAATGAAATGAAATGAATGTCCAAAGGAAATGGACCCGAAAATTTCTTGATTTTATTTATGGCTCGGCAATAAAAAACCACCAAGCCGAAGATGAAAATTTAATTCTTTCTAAAGTATAATTTACACTTGCATTCCAACATTAAATGAAATAAAAAATGGTTTCTCCGACTTTCATTTCATCCTTTTAATAATGCAAAATTGTGTTACTTAGGAGTTAAATAGAACCAAACATAAATTTTAATTTACAACCCAAAATTTTAGGGTTTTATGAGCTGATCAAATAATGTGGAATAAGAATAACACATACATGCATACAATGAACATCGAGTTATTTATTTATGGATCTAAGGAATCCCTAATAATGCCTTATCTCTCAATATTCAGCCCAAACTCAAACAAGACGGTTAACAAGAAAAAAATTTCCCCAAAATGTCTAGAAAGGATGCTTAAACATTTCGTTTGATTTAGATGGAACTAAAGGAGAGGAAAAAGGCTTGCTGAGGCAAGACGATTGGCGTAAGGAACAGAAATTAATCATCCTTTTTATTTGTTTACTCATTGCCAACCGTCGACCGCATCGTATTCATGCTTGATAATGATTTTTCCTTGAGATGAACTTGGAATCAGTGGTGTGGCAAGTCGTTTTATGTTTCATAAATCATCGATCGATAACTTAAATCAATAAACCTCTCGATTCTCCTTCACACTGTGTGACTCACTCACTTTCTATTCAAAATTGATCTTTTATGCTTGCTTAAACATTTTTATCTTGCTATGACGACCTTTTTTCCTTTGCTTTTTGTTTCATTTGTTATGTTCTTGTTCACGCTAAGAGCAAAATTATCTTCTCGTAAGAATCTTTTCATGCTTTCATTCTTACAAACTGCATTTGAATTATCTTTCAATCTGATTTTTCTCTTGATCTTTTCCTCAACGACTTTCGTTTGACGAGATAAACGAACAGAGGAGAGAAAAAAAAATGATAAATCGACAAAAGTAAGAGCCCTCAAGCCCTGTTACAAATTGAACAATTTAAAATATTTTACAAATGATGATGCACTCTTGAGAAGAAGAAATGAACCCAAATGATTTCAAAGGGAAATGAGAAATCATATCAGACTGACATAATCAAAGTTCATGTCATTACTTGCACAATTGCAACGTTCAACAGTCACAAGTGTCAGAAAGAGTTGTATGAATGAATGAAATCCCTTTCTTATGCTTTTCACCAATTAATTCTCTTCTTTTTTCATCTTAAAACTTATTTCGGGGCAATTAGTTGCGCCATGTTATGTTGTTGTTATGTGGACAATGATAAACAATTTTTACCCCTTTCGCCTTCGTTTTTGCTAAAGAAAGGCAACTCGATACATGGGAACAAGAATGGAAGTGAAAGAATAAAAAAACGTTACGAGATTTCTTCTCATTCATGGAAAAGAAATTTCAATCCTTTCTCTTTCACCCTTCACGGGACGATGGTCACCTTAAAGTGGAAAATTAAATGTCATTCTTCTCAATCGGAATTTAATGAACGAGCACATAAATGTATCGAGAGGTGTGAACTTTTTGTCCTCAATGTGCCTTTATCGATTTCAATATCAACATACAAGCAACAACATTAATTTGAAGTGCAAACATGAAAACTCTTCGATTATTTTCAACTATTTTTCTCAGCAAGAAATTCACACGAGGTGGTGAATGTTTGTTCAAACGAATCGAACAAGAAACCAATTTTAATCAATAATAAAAAGAATTCACACAGTCACGCTGTTATTGGTTTCACTTAGTTTATGGTTCATATGAGTGTGGGCGTATGTGTGTGTGTGTGTCAAAAAGTTTTTAATAATTCCATGCACGACCTCGTGAAACTCACCGATAAAATTTCGAGATACGAACAATAATTTTTCACTTGTTGATACGTTTTCGATTTCTCCTTTACATTTATTTCGATGGGTGTGCTTTGTGGACACGAATTGAAACCTTTAATATTCAATATTTATTGGTGGCAAATTAGCACAGACAAACCTATGTAGTAAAATAAGAAGTTTACATTTATGTTGTTGTAGAGAAAACATATTTTCGACATAAACAACATAAATTGTCACACCTTGCTGAGGATGAGAATTTTATTTTTAGACATAGCAACATAACAACATCAAAAGCCGTTATTGAAGGTGAAAAGCCAGTGAGTAACAAGTGTTGGAATGTTGCGGATATTTGGTTGAGAACATAGCGCGGGTACTCAGCGTCTGAAATATTCATTCCCAACTCATTTACATTTCAACGGCCGGCCAAAAATCCGTTTCTCATGCACACACCCGAATCAATCTGCTTCCTGTAAAGTGAATTAATTATGATAATTTCTTTCAACTGACCACCTTCATTCCCACAGTCGTCCTTAAGTAACCAAGCAGAAGAAGTTAAAAAAAAAACCGTTGAAATTATTAAAGCTTATCGTTTCAATTGCAATGTTACTTCTTCTATGTTTAACAGCAAAAGGATTTTCAACTCAGATTTTATCGTAACGTGATGTCGCTTCCTCGTAATTAACAACAAAACAATCCACAATCGTTGCGATATTATCTTGAGAATGGAAGGAAGGAAGGCAAAGGAGAACAGAAAAAAAACAACACTAAATTTACGACAAGGGAAGTCGCCTATTATGATACAAGTGGGGAGTTGAATGAAGGGTAACCACGTTCACTTTGAAAGCAGGTATCAGCCTTTTTTTCTTTGCCAAAAATAATTTGCAAGTTCTACGAAAATAGTCGCCACTTCTCAGAATCTTCAACAAAAGAGTAAACGAAAGAAAGACTTCTATTGACCCCAATCAACTAACTACGAGCTGAAATCTTAAACACGCTTCGTTGCCTTTTGTGTGAACTAAAACAAAAGGAATTTAATTGTTGAGAGATTGAAGAACATAACGAAGACATTTAACTTTCCATTTCCTCCAGCATGTTCTTGAAGACGTCTTGGACATTTAAGTCTCACTTCCAAAAAGGAAGCAGTCAAAAATTGTGTGGGAAAAAACGGCTTTTCACTTGTGACAAAAAAGCATTGTGAGAATTTTAATTGTTCTAAAGGCACCAGATTTAATTGAATGGGCTAAAGTCGTTTATTTTTCTTTAATGTTTAAGGCCTTGCGAGAAAGTTATCAACTGGAAAAATGATGTCGTTGAACACATGACACGAATTTCTTGGCAAATAAATGTGATAAACACCGCTGGTGGCCAAATGCGACTTTAACTCGGCTTGAGGATTGAATTACCGTTTTTGCCATTATATTTAATTAATTTTTTTTTCAAAATGAACAAAAGGAAAAAGGCAGCAGCTTCACAAAAGGCGACTTAAATTTCACCTTAATTAATTCATTTTAATGCTTGTTCGGACGCAAAAACCATACGGTAAAGAACCGGCGTCGATCTTAACCGGTGAACATCTGTCAAAATTTCTCTGCTTGTTTCATGCACCCGAAAAATAAACTAAAATTATTTCAGTTTTTCGGGTCTAAACGAATGAAATTTAATTTCTTAAAAAACGTTTTTCCATCCATCTGTGATGACCCCTAGGATCATTATGTTTTTTAGGAATTTACATAGAACAAACACTCAATGCTTGTGCATGATTCCCTTGAGTTTTGATCAATGTATGGGGCGCGATGGAAGGGATGAAAGTAATTTCTGCTTTCGACTTTCACTAAGCAGTGTCATGAAATTATGACCGATGAGTTTCATTATGATTGATCACTGTAATTACTGGTAATGTTTGATTGTGATATAAAAACGTATGGATGATGATTTGGAAGAAATAGAGAACATCATGAAGCGCCTGAATTAACTCTTAATTACCAACTGGATTATGATGGCAATTGTAACATTTTACCTTACTCACTCGCTCATCTGTAAAGTTCGGAAACGTCAGAGCTTGTCTCAACCCAGTACATGTTGTGCAAGGCGCGTACAATCAACCCATATTCATCCTTTTCAACATCGCTCTATCAGACGGAAACATGATGAATTAGATTTTTTATGATGACGATCTTTGTGATATATAATGCGGAATGAAAATGGATTGAAAAAGAAATCTCATGTACGCGACTGTGGAAGAAATCGTGGAAAAAATTCTCTTTTCTAATGCAGCAAAATTGTATTTCATTTCCCATAGAGCGGAATAAGAATTCAATTTTTTTCTTTCACTTTAAAGGAAGATAAAATATGAAAAATCAGCTGCCAGGTGAATGATGAAGCCAACAGTCATTTAAAATGTGTAAGTGTGGGAATGCAGCTTGAACTCGAATGCAAATCTTGATTAAAATGGAATCATTATGTTAAAAAGTTGTAAAATTTAATGCAATTTTAAATTGTAGAATTTACAAATTCATGCTTTGAAAAGATGTCAACTTCATTTAAACATTCATTTCTTTTTCATTTGATTGATTTTCTTCTTTTCTGTCTTTCAAATGGGTCAGAACAAGAAATTCTACATTCCTTGAACATGACATGAAGGGTGACGAGGTCAAGTGGAAAAAAAAATTTACCGCAATTTTAAAACGCTTTTAAAAATTCAATCTGAATAATGTTCAAGTTTTGTCGTGTCTTGTCATATTTAGAATGTTTCGGTCAAAACAATCTTTCAGAATGATTGTTAGAAAAAAAATCAATTTCCTTTTAAAGGATATCTTGTGATGACTTTCCACAGATTTCTTTTTAAACATTTTTTTTCCAGTTATGTTGCATAATCGAGTTGCAGATTTTATTCCAAATGAACAGTATAAAATAAGAGAGATCGTCAAAGTTGAATGCTGTGAAAAAAAAAGGAAATTTCCAACTCCATGATTTTATTACAAAGATTCTAAAAAGCGGAGAGTCATAAAATGTAAAAATATGTTATTTAACTACTTTTAAATCTCATTATACAAATCGATAGAAGTCATAATTTAGTGTCGAGTCTTCAGCTTAACAATAAATATTCTATGAGAGTGTTAAGGGATTCTGGGATCATGGTTTGCACTATTCATACATTTGCCACACATCATAAACTTTATTTTCCTTCCTTTTCTGCTTTTTCTGTTTGCATTTAATTATGTATGAAACTTTTGACTTATTCACGATGAAATCTGAGGTAGAATTTCTACCAATTTTTGGTTTCTCTGTCACCATAATGATAACCCACCAAGTGCAAAATGAGAAATTTAAAGATTCATGCATGAAAATTACTTTTTTTTTTTTATTTAATCTTCCATAGCCGGTAATCACATTAATAACATTTTATTCTCCGAATCGGAAACAAAACCAACTACTGATGTTAAAAATTGTCGTTGAAAAATATCAAGCAAAGTTGGATAAAGCTGAAACAAAAATGCGTAAAAAATCTTCACATCATAAAATTCGTAAATTTTATTTATTGATGTTCATTAAAAAGTTTCAGTGAAAAATTGTGAAAACAGAAACTGAAATTGACAGACTATAATGATTTTTATGGCTTTTCAGAATATTGATTCCATTGTGACTCTTAGAGAGTGACAATGTTTCTAGTAATGACAATCAAAGATGCAGTCAGTCAGTCAGTCCCTCCATTGTCTTCAATCAGAAAGTGTTAAATTTTTCATAAACTGTTAGCTATGGTACATAAAATCACCGTATTTATTAGTTGGTTGAGTAGCAAACAAATAAGTTAAAATGTTGAAATAAAAGACTTTATCGTGTTACGATATTCAGTCAAGAAAAAAAAGCATCCAAAGCCCTTTACATTTGAAAATATGTTCGGTAGATCATCATCGTTGTTGTCGTCATCAGTAGCTGTTAATAAGGGGTGAATGTACCATTTTTTGCTGACGACTTTCCTTCCGCATTCAAATAAATTTATGATGTGAAGATTTCTCAATTGTCAGTCGAATTCATCTTTTTCCCTGATGTTTTGATGTTTTTTTCTCTGCTGATGTTGCTGCAGGCGCCTTCAGATTATTATCTTAGGGCAACTGCACTTTGATGAACAAAGAAAAAGTGCCATAACTCTTGTCAGAATCGTTCTTGTCAATTCATCTATCGAATGAGTTTTGATCTTTTCTCATTCTTTTGGCACACATTTCTCAAGCACCAAATCAATTGATTTCTATTTTTATCAATAAAATCATAAAGAGAATATTTTATTACATTTTTCATCCTTTCATTAATAATAACAATACTCAAAGCTAGATGTTTACTAAAGGTTGAAAAGAATTTCGTCGTAAATTATTTTATTAATCGTGATTGCAATATCGACAGATTGATGTTTGTTGATTATCATTACGAAAACGGGAAAAAATGTTTTCGACAATATATTTAGTGAAGCTGAAAACCATTTTTCAATTTAATGGGAAACTGCACTCTTTTAAAAAAAGTATCGCTTTATTGGAAATCTGATAAATATCCAATTTCATAATGTACGAGTTGAAGCAATGAGTGAAGTCAACAACTTGGGTCAAGCTGGAATAAAATATTTTCGTTTTAATAATTCACTCAAAAGATTATTAAAGACGGAACTGAAATGTCATGATAACTGATATGATAGCAGAATAATGTCGAAAATTGTTACTGTCAATCATTTGAAATTAAATTGAACAAGTCGACGATAAACAATTTTCAGGTAAAAATATCAGCAAAATGAAAAATGAGTCGATTTTAATTTTCCTCCGTAACATTAACTTTCCCTCTTGCGTTGTACCATTCAATTTACTATGCAAATTGAAATGAAACTTGAGAACAAGAAGAGCATTGTTCACATTGCTGTGTTCTTGATTAAACTCAATATTCAACGATGAGGAAAAGCTAAATTCTCAAACCTAAACATTTAGGGAGATCCTTTTATTTTTATTTTGGTTTAAATTCGTGAAATATTTTAAATATCATAACATTGAAAACAATATTGGAATATCGATTCAACGGTGATTGATTCAATACGCTTGAAGCGCATAAGGTAAAAAGTTTGAATTGAAACATAAGAAACTCAAACTCAAGTTTCTATCCATTTCCTTGTCTGAAAAACAGCACTCAAGTCTCGAAAGGGATTTCAATTTTCCAATTTTCACAATTGAATTTAAATTATGAATATCATTTTTTGAACGTCTGCAGTCTCTTATATTCTTATCGTAAAGCTAACAGTGAATTTTCTTTTTCTTTTTTTGATGTATAAGGAAAACGAAAGGAAAATAAAAAGCTTTACATGATTGTGTAGTAAAGTGGAAACTCAATTTATGCATACATACGCATTTCACAACCCGACAGACGCTTGTACATAGCAGGAAAAGAATTCATAAATTTCCCTCAACTCTAAGTACTCACAATTCTTGAAGAATATTTTGTGCCATGTTGGCAAAACGAAAATTGGTTTCCTATTTCCACACGAGACTCGTTCAATACTTGATATGTATTGTAAGTTGTTTGAACATGCGACTTTTCTTTTATGAAAAACTATCTCAATTATGGACACATTAGAGAAACACGTTACAAATTGTAATATTTATAAATGTACGTGTATACACATTAGAATGTCTTACATCATTTATTTATAACCCAATTTCATACAGAAATAAACAACGGAAAAGTTTTCTCGTCTTCAATTTTGTATTTCGATTGAAAGTTTTGAGAAATTTTTCTTTTCCGTGCTTGAGTTTCGAATAAATGGAAAATTGAAAAAGCCTCTCTTGGAGCCATTTTCATTCCATGACGAGTGATTTTCCATAGCGTAGCAACATTACTTAAGAAATTATAATAAAAAAGAAATGTTGAATCTGCAGGCAAACCCATTAACTGTGTACTTTATGCAAATGCAAATGTTTAGCCTGAAACTTTCTTCAGCAACTGCTGGAGCGCTTCCCTAAGTAAAATATAATTAATTATTTTCAAACTCACTTTAACGGAACTTTTGCTTGCTTACATTTCAACTGGGAAATGAAATATCAAAGTGAATGTACGAGATACAAAAACAACAAACGCCTTTAACGCCGTACATGTAAATAATGGGATATTCATGCATGATTAATTGTTGTGAATGGAAGTGTAATCCATACCTTTCTCGGATGTCCTTTTACATATCCTTCTGTTGTCGAATGAATGATATAATCTCTCAACTAACTATTATACGTTGGGAAAATCAAGTATTTTACATACATCGTGTGTATTTAGAAGACTAGGAAAGTTGCATTAGTTACGTAACAAAATCACACAAAATTTCAGCATTTGAAACTTTATAACTCACGTCATTTGTTAAATGTCCTTCTCAGGTGCTTTTAAGCATCCAGGATCGAGGTTGGACTCAACCTTTCTCGCTGCTATCATAACATGTGTCGTACATTCCTTTACACACGTATTTTATGCTTTTAATCTCATTAAATGCTACCAGGAATTGTTTTCTTTTCTGGTGAAAGAATTAATTTTTTCTCTCTCTCACTCTTTGTTGGGGATAAAAACTCAATGACAAGAATACAAGTTTTTTCTTCCTTCGTTTCAAGTTCTAACAGCAACGATTAATCATATGCACGCCAAGCAGCAAAAAATGATGAATTTCTTGAAATTAAATTCAAATAAAAAGCAATTTCTCCTTTCTCTTCTTTCTTTATCACCTTTCACAATCTTTTCCCATTTCGATTATTTTTTCCCTTTTTTTTCCTCTTCATTCTGCAAAGCACTGGTTCAGAGGACATAAAGTTGAGTGAGAGAAGGAGAAGAATGATAAAATAATTTATCAAAACGTAGCATTGTTTCCATACATTTCAGTCTCATATTTACATAAAAATGTCATCAATTGAATTGAATGCGACAAAAGATTTATTAATGCACTCAATTTGCATAAATATTATTCAAATTTCAACTCTTTTTTTTGTTATTATACTGACTTCTGTTTATGTGTCATTTGAATTGGATTCTAACATCAGAAACATGATCCATTAGTTTTTTTTTATTTTAAAATCCATCGACTTGTTGTGTTAGCTACAACTAGTCATGTTACTTCATAGCTGTCATTCAAAATTTGAATGAAAAATTGATTTATCTTTGGAATTTTTGTAAAATGGAATAAAAAAACATTTCAAGGAAATTTTAAAACTGGTTGAGAATTTGAAAGATTTTCAAGCGGTTTGTGACAACAGCAACTGAGATAGAAGGAAAAATATCAAAAAATAGTTTAAACCACTCTCTCGACTTCAATATGTCAAACACAAAATTGCTATTTTCTTTACGCTCTTCAAATGTTATGTGTATGTAGATTCGCTGTGCTTTTCATTCTCAAGCGAAACGGGGAAAGCAATTCAAGTTGTCACATGCAAATCCACCATAGTACAATCTTAATAATTTAAGAAAATATTCTTCCCTGCTGGCAATGAAAGAACATCTCAAAATCATTCCCGAAAGGTGTAAATAGATATAAACAAAAATAGAAATTCCTTGGGCGCCTCTTCATGCCGGTTGAATTTATTCTCAGGCAATGGCAAAGCAAACTATTATTGTTATTGTGATTTTCGTTTAACATCTTTCAATCCTTGGATTATTCAAGGGATTTTGGAATAATTTTTGAACTTCAAGAAGACAACCAACCCCTTTATGATTCTTAACTTCAATCTCACACTCAGTCAGTCACAATACTTACATACTTACATCGGGGTAGAGGAAGAAAAAAAAGGCAAAATTGCCTCAACTCTGTTTTGTATTTAATGACACGAGTCGAAGTGCACGCATAAAAATGGGAACAGAAGAACAAGAAGAAGAATAAATAAATTTTTATGAAAGTAAGAAAGAAATCTGAAAGAAGAAGAAATTAAATTATGTCATATGCGCAATTGTTGATGTCGCTTCAAGTTGTGACACCTTTCTCGGAGAAATTCTTCTTCTTGTTCTTAATAATTTTTGTGTGTATGTGTAGACAGTCATATATGAATGGATGAATGTAAGAGATTTCTGATGTGGAGGATAACAGCTAAATTGTAAAGGATTTGTTTATTTGATTTCTCTCAAACCCCTCTTGAGTTTTATTGTTAATAAATTCTCCTGTCTTTTGTGTCGCTGTCGTATATTTTCCCTTTCTTCCCTTGTCCTCGGAGATATGTTCATCATCTTGATTTTTAGGCTGTTGTTATGTTGAGTGTGGCGTTTTTGGGTTGATATAAATGTGGATAAATAAGAGATTTAAGTTGCATAATTGTCACTTGAAGTTTGTTGAGAAAAGTTGTAAGAAAATATGAAAATTTTAAATTCTTTTTTGTGTTGCATCTTTTTCCTTTGCGTCTGGTGTTGTAATTAAACAATTAAATGAAGAGTTACTGCACATTTACTGAACAAACAGCATAATAACAGCACTTAGCTCTGATATTAAAATGGAAATAACGAATAAAAATCTTGTGACTCTAACAGTGGTGGTTCAATTAATTCAATTTCTGCTCGAAAGTGTTCAACTGAAGAGTATTACAAGAATACGATCTGAATAAAATTAGCTTCATAACAGACTCGTTGTCGTTGTTGTGTGCCAGTAAATCTCATTGAAATTTGATATAAATATAATTTCTTGGGAAAGCATTGGAGAAAGGGAAAGACAAGTAATTTCCATACGGAATGTTTTCATTATGCAAATCACAAATAATAATTTAATTTTTTTCTCGCTTTCTTCATTCTTAAATATCCTCGAATATTTTATCTTTCTTCAACGATAGGAAAACAGACAAACGAATTTTTTCTCTTCTTCTTTCTTTGATTTGCTTTGAATTGAAAGAAAGCAAAAAGTTGTTGACAAAATATGTTTTCGATTCGTGTGTGTGTTTGCATAAAAATCATATTAAATTACATCACGGAGAAGAAGACGAAGAAAGATTGAAAAAGGGACTTGACGATTCCGAATGCGAGCGATGTGGCTTTAATCACAGGCAGAAAACAGAAGTGAGAAACATAAATTCGATTTTAATTTAATCCAATCCAATTTCAAGAAGGAGAATTGTGAATTCAAAAATTGTCACGAATTTCTATAGAATGGAAAGTGAAAAAAAAGTAAAAACGTCTTCATGTCATGAACATATGCAAGATGAAGCAGTTGAGGAAAAGTCTTGATTTATGTTCACTTTCCTAGCACAGGAATGCATTTTAATGAATATTTAATTAATGCAATTAAGCTTCATTGAAAAGATAAGCGGGTTAGCAAGGATTTAACTTCCTCTGAACATGTTGAAGAAGCTCTTGATAGTTGAAGATTTTAATTCTTTAAGTATTTATATTTCATGAGTGTTGTTAAATTAATTAAAATGCGATCATTTCTCTTCTAACTTTTAACGACTTTTGTTCCATTATTTACCAAGGAGAGAATTAATTTTGGAAAGTATGCCACGGCTTTAAAAGGCCAGCGTGTGTCTGTCTGTTTTCCTGCTTGGTCTAAATTATCTCCAATGTCCATGAATTCTTATTTAAGCATAAAGTCGTCTTCATAGCGCGATCTCTATAAAAATTCTTAATTTTTTTTGCATAAAATTGAAACTTTAGAGATGATTCTGTCATTATTTAGAAAGCATAAATTTCAATTCACTTGCTCATTTTTCTTCATAATCTTTAAAATAAAACAAAAATATTACAAAGCAAGAAAAATGTCTTTCATGTTTTTGCTTCTTACAACTTTTTGTTTCGTTTCAACTTTCTGACCTTTTTTGAATGAAATTAAATGGACAATCTGAACTCGTAACGGTCAATTTCTTCCCTTTCATAATTAATTATTTTTTGTTATTATAATTTGAATAAAAATGCTTCCAACCAAACCCTGGCCTTATGCAAAACGTTGACAAAAGGCCTTGCGGTTAGAGAGAGATCTTTTTTTAACGTTTCCATAAATATTGATGGGGAAGTGCTTTCAACGGTACAGCAATGAAAAGACCAAACATAACAACCTGTAGATCTTTTTCAGTGTCACAAAATATTGCACAGCTTAAACGGAAGAGAACGGAAAAAAATGCTAAAAGTCGATAAAGTTTCCAACTAATTTTTTTTCTGTTATTTATATTTTCCAGAAGCAAAAAATTATTTTCCTTTCACCGTTTAGCGAGCTAACAAATGTTTTTATAAACTGTTTCTCATTCTTCCTCACGAATTATTATAATAATGATTGATAATGATAGTTTATTTGTCATAAATTCAAACTTTGGTAAAAAGTTTTTCTCGTAAACTTTCATTCTATCGAGTCATGAAGTGTCATTGCAAATTGTGTAAGATTGAGAAATGAGAAATTTAAAAAGTTCGACACTGCAATTTGGAGAAAGTTTGTTAAGTTGACCGCAAAGAAACATGTTACAGTTGAAAAAAATCTTTTAATTGAACAACTTTTCATTTCCTTATTGAAAATCTTACAAAATTAAATATTTGAATACTTTTCCGCAATTTTTTTTTTCGGATCTTTAAAAAGAATTCTTTCTGGTGATTTTTATTTTTCCTTTTCGGTTAGTTTCACTAATAGAAAATCATTAGAAACTTTTTGATGTAGGTAAATATTATTTGAAGAATGTTTTCTGATGGAGAAGTTTTCAACTGTTGAAGATGGAATGAAAGTTTTCTCCATTTTAAATTCGTACGAATCAATATAAAATTTTAGTAACATTAAATTCTTCTTATTTTAACAGTAATGAAGCTGCTGAATGTTATCCTCAAACATTTCCTGAGGTTCGCGTTAAGCAACGAGTAATGCGATAATCAGCTTTAATATTTTATTCCAAAAGGGAGCTGAATTCTAACTGACCAAGCATTAAGTGAAAATTTCACAATCATCATCAACATCAAGATCGATATTAAAGATTCCACTTGTGCAATGTGTGTACCTTTTGGCAATGAACGGATTTTTTACATTTCAATAGACGATAAACGGGATTTTCATGATGATGCTTCAAGCTATAAACCTTTGAGTAGAAAAACGTTTTAAACCTGAATGTTGTTGAAAAAGTTCTCATTGAAAAAGGATCCAAAGATAATATTACAAATGAAATCATTTTTTAATCAACTTTTAGAGAATGAAGAATAGAAACAAAACTTTCAATATTTAATCGACGAATCAATTTTAAATTGGATTAATTTGTGAGTCTTTGATAAGCTCAGGTATTAAAATTTCATAATCCTTTTAAGCTTTAATTGAGCTACTTCAAACTTTGAACTTTTAAGATTTGTTTACAAAGGAAATTAGTCGCGACTCGCTATGAAAATTAAATATTATTCCAAGTAGTGTTTGGACTCTGCCCTTTTCTTCTTGTAAATTCGTAAGAAGACGTTTAATAATTCAATTGTAAACAACATAATTAAGCGACTAAATAAATATCCTGAGGGACAGAATTTCGAGTATTTTCCCATCAATTCAATGATTATGTGAAATTCTATATAAACTTCAATCAAATCATTGTTTAGATATTCTTTAGAGGCTTAAAATGAAAGGAAATGTTTGTATTTTCTTTGTTGTCATTGGAAAAGTTGTCACTTTATTTCCATGACGTTATCAATGAAACTTTTTTCCAAATCAATGCTGAAGTAGAAATGAAATTTCAGATTTTTATGACGTAAAGGTGACGTAAAATGAAAAACAATTTTGATTTAACTTTATGTTGGCTGTTATATGATGAATCAGATAGAAAATGCGTAAATATTTTGACTGAAGCATTTTTGCTGTCTTTTTCGTTTCAATTCCCGAACATATTTCGCTCTTTTTTTATTGATTTTCTTATCATCAATCATTGCCAGCTTTTATTGAATTTATTGCAACTTTGCTGATTGATTTTTTATTGAAATGTTTGTGCCATCTAAATCTACTATGAAAGATTTGAAAGAGGAAATTTTCTTGAAGCGAAACTCAGCTGATTTTATTCATGAATTATTCATTATTCTCGCTATCAAACTTTTGAAAATTTGTTTTCATTCTTCTGATTTTGAACTTTTATTGAAGAAAACATTTTCGATGAAAATTATTTCTTCATCTGAAAAGGCTTCACAGGAAATGACGTCACATGTTTGAAGATTATCGAGAAAAGAAGAAAACCGAGCTGAATTGAATTTAATTTCTTATCAATTAGGAAGCATTCACGAGTAAGCAGTTTTCATTATTTCACCCCTTTGCTTTCTCTTGGAAGGAAGGGAAATTTCCTAGCTTGACGCCGCCCTTTCTAAATAACGCTTTAAAATAATTGGCTGTTAAAGATGGGATGAGAAGGGATAGGAAGCGCTCAAAAAGACGGTTTGAAAGTTTCATTCTTCAATTTTAAGATAAAACGGATAAACACTTCATTTCGATATAAACAATTTAACTCAAACTTAAAGTTATTAAAAATTATGCTGAAGAGTTTCTCTAATTGAAAGCAAGTAATTTCTAGAAGTTATCCTGCAGATAAAACTTTCCAGAAAATAAACTATAAAAGTTTCCTAAAAACTTCTGTTTCAGGAACACGAATTCAACATTTTACAAAATGCATCTTGAAGAAAAGTTTTCTTTTTGAAACATTCTTGTAACTTATGTCGAAGAAAGCACTCAATCATAATTCATATGGTTTTAATGTACTACGTTTTCTAAGTATTACGTAAAAATTTCCTTTCATGGCAACATAATAATTATTTGAAGATATCTTGGTAAAAGCCAGATGTTTCTAATTTCGCGATTTGTATTCCGTGCACGCGATTCAATGCATTTTTATTTGATATTTATGTAAAGAAAGATATCACTAAAGATTTCTTATTGTTCTGAATGTTTCTGCAATTTCGAAATATTCATTTCGCTTATTTTAAACATGTTTTAGATTCTTAATGTGCACGCGTTAAAAAGAGATTTTCCTACTGAAAATTATTCGATCTCGGCTGCTCTTCTGTTTGTGTTTATGCTACAATAATTTAAGCTTCACTCAGCGTTCATCCTGGGGAGCTATAAATTACCGAACGAAGCACCATTAAAACTTCCTTTTGTCTTGTTCTCTCTCTCCCTTACAACCATCTGGTGATTTTGCTTATAATTTCCGTATCCATTTGATTTCACTATTGGGCATATTTTTCTCTTATCCATGAATTTCACTTCCTTTCATTCTGCTGCCCGGGATTATAGATTTTCATCGGCTCTTGATAAAGATTTGAAGCAAAATCTAGAGGAAGGATAATGGGGATTCGTATTACATACTTACATACAAATCGCCATAGAATTAGAGTGAATAAATTGATAGAAAAAGGAAGTAAATTAAACGGACTTTGTAAGCTCTTCTTTGAGGGTAGTCTGAAGCATTTCTACTTATCCACGAGATTAAATAATATTTTATCTTTAAAGCTATCTGGATTCTTATATAATTTATTACAACTTCACTTTAAACATTCTCACATGTTCTTTGCAATTTCCAATAAAAAGAAGTGGACTTATAAAATCAAAAACATAAATTCTCACGTAAAACTTACGTTCCAACAAGTATTGAAATAAATAACGAAAAAAAATGAAATGAAATCATTAAATCGTTTCATTTCACCAAACTTAAACGAGCGATAAAAATGTGCAAACTTTCAATTTTACACTTTACTAACATTCGAGGAGAGATTTTATAGAATTTTTTGCAGAGTGCATGATAATATGGCAATCGTGTAGTGATTGGCGATAAATTCCGTTCACATGAGCAATTTAAATAATAATTTGTAGCAAGTTATCATTTTTTTACAATTTCAAACCTCAAGCATAAAACATAAATAATCATAATTTAATATTCGCGTGAAAAATATATAAATTATTCATTTCTCCTCTTTTTTCCTCATTTCTCATCATGATGAGGTTGAAGTTGTAGCAGATAAAGTCAAAATGGTGTTTTTTCGTACATAACATGCTACTCCAGCTACTTGGCATTTTATGACATGGCATCGTAAAAAATTTTTCTGACCAACCCAAACTTTTTAATTTATTCATATTTTCCTGCATTTTTTTTTAATGTTTTATGTACAATAAGAAAAAAGTTTATGACAGTTAACGGTAGTATGAGATGACGTTATGTAACTGAAATATTTTTTACCGGATTTTTTTTCTTTGGAATATGTAGATTCATGTAAGTGGAAATTTCTTGTAAAGCTTTTATGTTGTTATTTACTCATGCAGATACCTACCTAGCTGTCTAAGTAGATCAAGATGTAGCTCAAAAACCTCAAAATGCAATCTCATGCATTACAAGATACGTGAAAATTGTGAAGCTTGCTTGTTGCATTTATCAATTCATGGTTGTTAAAGTTTTGAAATGTTTATTTTCAATACTCAAACTTTTATAGTAGAAACAGACGTTGCAGCAAATATATTTCTCAGGAAGAACATAAATGGAACATTTTGTTCTTGATAACGTCGTCGCTGTTCGTCATACGATTAAGAAAGAAGACGACGAAAAATATTTACACGCTACTTGAATCCTCACGTATGTATTTATGCTTCCGCCATTTAAATCCATGCTAAAATATTTTCAAAAAGCTTATGAAACTGAATTGCACACGTAGAAAAATGCAAAGAATTAAACTCGTAGTTTGCAGCTTGTACATAGAATTTAAATTCATAAATGAGTTTCCATTTTTCTGTTGTTGATTTTCTTTCTTAGAAAAATATTTGTGCACAATTTATTTCATTCAATTCAAAAGTAAATAATGCAGCAACCAAAAGGAGAACTTGAAACATGTCCAGAGACATATTTTTCAAAAAAGAATTTGTTAACTTTTTAAACGAAAACATCCATATGAAGAATAAACAAAATCACAATTCACCAGTTTGAAAGGCAGAAAAAAGTAAAAAAGTGAAGAAAGCAGAAATAAAACCAATCAATTTGAAGTCGAAACGGGATGGAACACTGAATAATAAAGTATTTTTCCTTTTGAAGGATAAGAGTTTCTGAAAATAAATGCGAATCATCATATATCAAAGAAAAATGTATCAGGAAATGTTTCTGAAATTCATGAACCCGTCTGACTTTCATAAAGACGTTGCCAATTAAAACTTGACTTTTAAATCATCAAAGCGAAATTCAATGGAATGAAATGTTTAGAATTTCTAAAAGAAAACTCATTCATCATCATCAACATCAAAATATTGATAATACTTATTGATACTGAGAAAGTTTCTCGAAATGAAATCTCTTCCCATATTTGTTTAGATTTCTCTTTTCCGTTTTAAGCTGATGAGGGATTATTCAATTTAAATGAAAGTACAAGCGTAAGATGATCAAAATTATAAAGTTGTGCACATAGACATACATCATGTCTTTAACTTTTCCTGATACATGCTGCCTGATGCGTGCTTAGAAACATGTACTAAGAAAAAGAAATTTTACGCTTGTCACCAACTTTTCATAAACGACATTGAACTTTTTTTAATGAAAGGATGTTGTCATCGTCAACATCTTTATTTCCAAGTCAAGTTGAAAAGAACTGAAAGCTTGAAATATTTAATCCTTCTATGCTTGTTCTCTGCTTTCAAGTATGAAATTCTGACAGAAGGTCTAGCGGTTTTTTTCAGTTTATTTCTACACAAAAAAATATATTTCTATTCTTGTTATTCAAATCCTTATAAACATTCTTCAAAGTTGTTTCGAAAAATAAAGTAAAAAATACATGAAACGTAACAAAATTCTCACAGCTGTCTCTTTACATCTCAAGCTTACACTCTTACGTACTGAAATCTTTTAAAAGTGTAAGGCTCAATTTCCTCCACAAGCTCTAGAATTATGCTGAGTGCAAAGACGTTGTAACCTAAAACGAGAAGAGAAGAAAATGAAGATTGTTCAGGAAATTCAAATCGGTGTTAGTTAATCAAATGGAAATATTTATGAATGTTGACTATTAACCTAAAAACAGCAGCTCGAAAATCGGTGAAGCTCCTGCTGGGTTTTTGTCACTAGCAGCGAGTTCAATGATCAACGATATGAAACGAATGACTTGTAACACAATCACAGAGTATTTGAGCCAAATCCACAATGATATGAACATTCGATTCTGATTTATGACTCCGATGCATAGTGAAACGGAGAAAATTGAGAGGAGTCCGAGTACCGTGGCGAGAATGTACAATTTTCCGATTTCACCTGTAAAAACATTACATAACTTAGAACTGAACACAAGTTTTTTTTTGAAAATGAAAACCATTGTAATTATCCTTACCACTCATACAGCTTTGTACTGAGAAGAAAATAAAAGAATAAAACACAAGCTCAATGAATGCAATAAATTTTCCAGCACATCCCAAGTTTAAACACGACTGATTCTGATCGATTATTTCACGGTCGGCGTAATAAATCATCTTTTGTGTATTGCAGCTCAAAATAGAGAAAAACTTCTAATTTTTTTATGTGGAAAACTTGTAGAAATCCTCTAGTTGAGGACGAAAAGAAATCAATAAATATTGGAAAGTTCGATGTTCACGCTAGACGATTTCACATTAAACTGAGAGTAATTGAGAGCAATACTTGATGTGATAGCAAACAAACGCTTTGAAACTGATAACCTTTCGTGTGAGTCATGGGGGAACGAAGAATGCGGCGCTGTAAACAGAATCCAATAAGAGTCGAGTAAATCAAATCTTATTGTCATGAAGTGGAAATGTTTGAGAATCTTACATTGCGAAAAAAAACATTTTGATATTCTTTTTCTTATTGAAAACATTTATTTAATCACATTCACTGTATGATTTAGTTAATTGATGTGAACATTCATTAATACGCCTCCAAATCAACGCCAGTTATTCGAAGGTCTTCGACATTTGTCAGTTGTTCCCGTTCTATCGATCCTTGTTCAATTTGAAGAAGTTTCTTATAGAAATAGATCACGAAGATAAATCCCGCGGTGCTTACACCTTAACAATGAATAATTAAACGTCTTCTTAATTTTCTATGTCATATGTCTCACCTATGTCAGCCCACATTAGTAAATCAATATCAGATACAGAGACTGGAGGCCCAAGAAACGGTGTGAACCATAAAAGAAAATCTATTAAATGAAATCCAGAAAGCAGAAGCCATGCGAGGATTGGAACTGATTTGAACTTGAAAATAATATTTTTTTATTTCATTATTCAGAAACACGAGAAGCAAATGTATGTAAATAAAAATATCACGAAAAATTTTTTTTTGACTCTCACCGACTTAACACCATAAATCAAAAGCAACGTAAACACGAAATCGAGCGTGTAAAATCCAAGATCGGTGTAAATTGCTACGCAATGATACTGAAATAAGTCGTTGAGACATCCCATATCTGCATTCTCAAAGCTTTGAAATCTCTGAAATCTCTCAAGAAATGCAAAAGCAATATGAACTAAATCATAAACTGCAACCGAGATTGCAACAAAAATTAAATTAATACGATAACCGAATATGTCCGAGTACATTGTTCACTATTGAAGGCTTGATCAGAACTGAGAGTAAATTAAGTTAGGATATTGAAAGCATAAAATACATCAAATTACTTCTGGCTTTTGTTCTTGATAATTTATAAAAAACGAGATAAAATTTATTATGACAATAGACCTTTCACTTCTTTTAAAATTATGGCAATAGAGCATTACTAAACATGCGAGTAAAACATTAAACATGATAAAACACAGTAAAACATTTCCTAATCAAATTTCTCCTTTTCATCTTATTATCTTTTCTAGTTTACTTCTATGAAAATGATATTCATACATTCTCGTTTAGCACAGAAAAATCATTACGAACGCTTGTTTTAAGTTTGATATAAAGTTTCCAAACGATAATGTAACAAAGTATGAGAAGAACTGAAAAAATCATGTTTTAACTTTTAGAAATTAAAAAAGAGAATACAACGAACTCACCAAATTCAATGATTTCAGTGCAATAGACAAAGAATACGTCTTTGAACGATCCGAAATACATTAGAATTAAAAGCATTATTGTGTTTAAGAGTACCCGAATCGACGCTAAAACAATCCAATAAATCAGCAAACTGTGATTAATCTATTATAAAAGTTATGTTTTAATATAGCTCAATGGGGTTTTTAATCTCATTAGTCATACCGCAGTAGCTCCATGAATTAACAAAACATTACACAAAATTGCGATTGAAAATATTCCAAGAGAAATTAACTGGAAAGTTTCAACTTAAAAATATGAAGAAGAAAATAATTTGTGAATCACAAGATTACTACAAGAATGATTGATCTTCTCTTACATCCCACATAGAACTTGAATTCGATAAAAACTTCAATGATGATAGAAATTATATCATAAAATCCCACAGCAACACCAGCCTTCACAAGGTCCAACTTAACACCACAAACTTTGTCATAAAACATTTTAAAATGAATTTTAGTAAAAAAATTAATCACAGAATTAAAGAAACACTTGTCACATCAACTTTGCAGCTATTTCTGATTACGTTCTTTCGAGAAATTTCAACTCTCTTTGAGTAAGTAGCTTATCAAGCATTTATGAGTGGAATGAGTGGGACCCAAGAGTTTATTTGGATGCTTCAAAGAGTAATAAATAAAATTAAGAAATATTCACTGTCTTGTTTTCTTACATTTTAAATTTTTCTGCGGACTCATTCCTGGTTGAGAAATCATTTGTTTCTATTTAATAATTCATCTCTTTCTCTTTAGTAAAACTTTTACTTCCGTATATTGCTGATAATTTTATCTAACTTTCTAAGCACACAAAATAGATAAAATATGTCACAAATTTTTAATTTATTTTCCCTTCTCATTAATTTGAAATTTAGAAAGGCTCGTAATCTTTGATAATCGAATCTGATTAAAATTATGTTAAATTATTAATAAGCATGTCATTGAAAGATTAATCATTGACTTGCGTATCAACCACATTGATAAATATTTTAATCAATTTAGCGGATTAATGTTAAAAGAGACAAGCATAAATCGATAATCACGATATTTACCTCCCTTCGTAAACGTTACCTCGTCATTATCATTAAAATAATTCCATTTTGAAACCCAAAACAATTTATGAAATCCAGTTGAAAGCGTTTTTTTCTCATTTTCATAAACATTTTAATGCACTTAAATAATCGAGAGCGCGTAACATGAAAAATAATCTACAACTAAGCATAAAAAAGAAAGAAAACATTTTCCACATCACACTTCATTCTGCAGTCTGGTGAAATCGTTTTGATCTCGATGCTTTAGTTGATTGTATAAGCTCAAAACCAAAAAGAAACTTGAAATAAGAACCACTGAAAGAAAAAGTTGAAAGTACAAAAGAAATGAAAAATGTTTTGTGAAGGAAACCTGCGGCTTACCGTAATCAAAAACTTCAAGAAGCGTGTAGAGAAACCTGTAAGAGATGTTTTCAAAAACGTTGTAGGCGAAAATTTGAATCAAGAAAAGTGTTCCTAAAACAATTCGTAGAACTGCGATAAAAATCCAATAGATCAGAAGGAATCGATTAAGCTGTTGAGATAATTAATAGCTTCGGAAAATAAAAGAATAAAACGAAATATAAAAGTTAAAAATGATTCACTTGAAATGCTCCCTGGATCAGCAAAATAGCCGCCAATATGCTAATTGAAAAGCATGATAAATAAATCATTTGCTGCGTTTGCACTGGAAACAAACAGATCAGAGAGTTAATTGATTTGAATGAGCGCTCTCAACACACACGAACAACATTAATCAAAGTGAAAAACGTACTTTGTGAGAAGTATTCAACTTCCACGATAATTAACATGATAATAGCGAAAATATCATAACATCCGATAACAAGAGCTGATTTGATTAAATTCAAATTAATTCCGCAGATATTTTTGTACAACATGATTTTTGTTTTATTTGATTTAACTTCACTTTCACGATGAGAAACTTACGAACAAAGAATTGAAACTGAGTATCACTTAGTGAGACAACACATACAAAATATAAGAATATCTTATCATAAAGTGAATTGATAAGAGAAAAAAGTTTCACAAGTTCCGTCACATGATGCGATAACATCGTAAAAAATAATAAAATGTATCAACTCATGTATTGAACTTATCTTTATTCTCATCATAAAACTCTACTACTAAGAGTCAGCTTAGATTAGATATAATAAAACGTTCTCAATTTTTATTACCTTAAACTTGAAGAGAATCATCGTCGCGATGTTTTGCATTTAGACCTACTTAAAAATTACACGTGCGTTAGAAGAGACCGTGGAGAGAAATTCGGAAGCATTGAAAATCTCGAGCGTTGCGCTCAAATCTCCTAAAGACGAACCTAAAATCTATGAAAATATTTCAAAGTGTCAATAGAAATTTATTTATACATTCGAAATGTACTTTTTAATAAAATGAGAAAACATTCGAATCAAGTTCATCATTAAATGTGTAAAGCTCTCTCACAATAAGTATTTTGATAAAAAATATTTAAAGTTTCAAACTCTCGCATTGCATTAGATGGTGCAAGAGTAAGATGACAATCGAGTCATGAACTGTTCTTATCAAGGTTTACATTCTCATATTCACTGAGCCACTTATCATACTTCTCGTTAATTAATAAATTATTGAAGCAACAGAGAATGAAAAAGGCAACAAAGTCGATAACTGAAAGTTAATGACAGAAATGTTACTTGTAATTGAATTAAAACAATTAATGAAACTACTCACGAAGCTCAATTGTTTTAGAAATGATTGTTTCTTTGGAATATTCATGTGAGTTTCCCTCAAAACGAATCATATACTGAATGAAGCAATGATAACATAGAAGAATAATGTGAACAACTAGCCAAATCCCAACATAAGATTGCTTGAGCTATTAAAAATTTATTCACATTAATTCAAGTATGTAAATATCTGAAAAGTTACTTTCAAATTCACCTTTATAACTCCATACACGAGAAAGCCCAGCGGGACGAAAATGGAAATAATAAAAGCCATTTCAAAATATTCTGTTATACAGGAAGAGCAATCTTCATCTTGTATCACATTCACAATAGTTTCAAGATAAACCGAAAATTGAAGTAACTTTGCAACTGCATAAATTAATGTTGAGATAATGAAAAAAGTTTTCAATTTTGACTTCATTCTGTGAGAAAGTTTAATCAAGAACTGACTTTGAAAGCAAGAAAACATTAAGTCAAAACGAATATGATTCCTGGAAAGGTCAGAAGTATCAAACTTTGTCTTAGCGATAAGACTTTAAAATTTATTATTGCTATCATTTGTTTCTGTATTTGTTAAACAAAACTGATAGTTGAAGAAATGAAATAAAAATTCCTATCGAGATTAAAGAATTTATTGTCACTGTTGAAGATTCTTTTAAATAGAGAAACTAATTAAAACGCTATCAGCGATTCTCTGAATAAACATTAAGTTTGTGCAGCTTCTTTCTTCTACTTTTAATTAGACCAAGACCATTTTATTTGCAATTCTGTTTAACATTTAAAACCTTGTTCCCATTTTATTTCAATATCTTAACAGAAAATTCTCGGTAAATTACAATAATAAATATGAAGCTTTTCGAACTCTTATTTTACTCTTAAACTATTCTTCAAAATGATTGCTCAGTGCAATGCTTGCAAGTGTTTATCATTTTTCTACTTTATCCTTCAATTCCAATTTCGTTACTATGAGAACGATAGTTGATCCAAATATTTCAATATTGTTAATGCTATGAAAAAGATAGCATGGAGAACCTTTAGATGCAAGAAATTAATGATTCACTTAATTGATTTTCACTTACAGAAAATTCATTAATTATAATCACGCTTGACAAGATACTTGAGATGAAAGTTTCTTTTCTCTTTCTATTTTAAAACTCGAACAGAAATAAATTATATTAGAAAGGAGAATTAATCTATCTACAGTTTCAGTATTGGATTTAATTTGAGGCACTTAATCTTAGGACAGTTGGATTATTTAAGAACTAACGGACATATCGGAACAGTTTCTTTATAAGATTTGGACAATCGAGGATGAATTATGTTTTTCACGGGAGTCTGTCATCGTCTTCTTGTTCTTTCAGCTTCCTTTGAAACTCCATCATTACGATCAGAAATGATATGTTTAGCACTGTGAAAATAAAAAAGAAATGAAAATCAAATGGAATCCAAATAAACCATAAATCATTCGCAAATAAAAACATTTCCATTCGGAATCATCATCATGTATACATTTCATCTCATTTCATTACCCCTGCTACTGGTTCGACTGTTTCGACTGTTTATTTTGACAAGTCCCTGTTATTTTTTACTCTCTGATATTTTGGTAACAGTTTTTAAGTGCAACATGTGACTTATGAGAGTAAACATAATCAAGACGTTGTATTGGATTTTGGCATTACATAAGCAAGTACATAAATTTAAAAATCGCTTCCATCTCAATTATCTTTTTGATTCATCTTATTGACAAATGATTAGAAATTCATCATAAACAGTATTGAAGAAAAGAAGAAAAGTTGCAAATTTTTATCGAAACCGCCTCCAAGTATTGAACTTTCATTAAGATCAATGAAATGTTTTCCATTTTCTTCTGAACAATTTGAAACACAATTCTGACGCCTACACATCAAAAACAGTTTCTCTTCCAATATTGATTAAATGACATGGCAAATGAACCACGGGATATGTTCGCGAAAGAAACAATATTTGGAAACTTAAAACATGAAAAGCAGGGCTTCGGTCCGGAACCTTTTTCCTGTTCCGGAACAGGAAACGGACCTTAAGGGGACCATGAACTTGTTCCGGAACAAAAACGGACCGTTCCGCAAACGATAAATCTGTTCCGGAACAGGAAGCGGACCGTTCCGCTAAACGCAAACCTGTTCCGGACCAGGTCCGGAACAAAAAGGACCTATCTAATTATGTAAGAAAAGTAAAAAAAAAATCAAAAAGAAAAAATTGCTGAAAGTGAAAAAAAGTCATCAAAATGGCGAAAATAAAACTAAATTCACGATGTGTCTGTTAGAACATACATTATCTCAGTAATGCTATTATTGATTTAGTTTTCTCTTTAATCAAAACAATCTTTTGATCGTTTTCTTTATTAGAGAAAACTAAATTTTATTCATTCGTTAATAAGAACTCAATGAATAAAGTAATGTAATTTACAACAGAGTCAAGTTCATGCGTGTTTATATTAAAACTTACCGTAATAGAAGCTTTACAGTCTTCCTGCTTGCAAATTCCTTTGTTTTTTTTGCTGTCATAATCGAAAAATGCATAAATGCCTTCTTTAATATTTTTTTTCAGCGGCATTTTTTTTCATTCACTACACTTTAAAGTTTTCACAAAAAAAAATTTAACAGTGTTTTTTCATGCATTGAGTTGCTGAACACACTCTATTAAAAAATTCAAAAAATAATTTACTGAACAGTTAAAAATTTCTAACCGCGAGAATAATACGCAGAACATCGGTGTGCGAACTAAGGTCCGTTTTGTTCCGCGGACCTTGTTTTTGTTCCGGAACAATGACGGACCTTGAACAGGACCATGAATCTGTTCCGGAACATAAACGGACCGTTCCGCAAACGATAAATCTGTTCCGGAACAGGAAAAGGACCTTGTTCCGGAACAGGAAACGGACCTTAAACGGATCTCGGAACACGGACCGAAGCCCCGCAAATAACTTTGTACNCATCAAAAACAGTTTCTCTTCCAATATTGATTAAATGACATGGCAAATGAACCACGGGATATGTTCGCGAAAGAAACAATATTTGGAAACTTAAAACATGAAAAGTAAAATTCTCTGGCACGAAGTCAAACATTTATTTGTAATTTGCATGAGGCAAAATTTTTTGTTATAAAGAAAAAATATAAAAAAAAATAAAAATATTCTTTTACATCATAAAAATAAATACCAGATTGATTGAATATTTACAGAATCAAGAAATATTAATGATATCCTCGAAGCTACACAGAATGGATATTTGGTTTTTTCGCTTATGTGCTTCCAATGATTTTTCTTCTTTTATTTCCGGATGAGGCTTTCATCTCATCAAATTTGTTCTTGAATCAATTTTCTTCTGGTACAAAGTTAAATATTTATTTCGTTCGAGTGATAAATGAGAAGCATAAAAGTTTGTAGGATTTAGATTGCTTATGGATTTTCGAATCATTCATCACGAACCCAAACCGTGACGTTGATCGGATACTGTTTGGTAAGGTTTCTTTTCATATAGAAATGGCAGGTTAAGAAATGAAATTACTGAGGTAAAATGTCGAGATTTATAAAAATTTACACTTTCAATGAAATTGAATTGGATTTCTATTCGATTCCCTCATTAAATATTTAAATAAATGCTATAAACACAATGGTTAGAGAACATTTTTCATTTTAAAAGCTCACCTAACAGAAACAATTCAAGACCTGTGTACAAATATGATTTGTCAGACGTTCCTGTACTCTTCTTGCTAACAACAGGAATGACATCAAAAAGAATCATCAATTGGATTAGAACTATCATCACAACAACGACGATCCAGGATACTACATATCTTCTAATATTCTGTAATGAGATACAATTTATTTTATGCTTATTGGATTTTTTAGAGGAGAATTTTCTTCTTATGAAGAAACGTTCGACTTATGAGAAAAAGGAAAATAAAAAGGAAAACATGTGACGATATGTGTAACATTTACCAATTTTTATTGACAATCAACCCTTAGCCATCCCAAAGGAGTGTCGTTTCTTACCTTAAATGAACCGTAGACTAGCAACGCTGACGCAATGATGAGAGCACATAAACAGGTACCAAATGTAAGAACATCTGAATCGTCTGTTGGAATCAAATTGAGGAAAAGTTGAGTTTTCCTTGGATATCTTTATGGAGGTTATTTATGTGTGGGAGGGTAGCTCACCTTTAAAGAAGTGCAAGGCGAAGAAGAACAACAGCGTGTATTGAACTATCTCGTACACACCTATAATGATGCCTGCTGTATTCAGACTAAATTGACAACAGAAGCAATTCGCTTCCATTGTGTAATTCAAACTTTAATTCTCTGCACTCCAAATTTTAGTCTTTAAAGGTTTTTATCGATTTTTCGTCCTACGAGAGAAATTTTCTAATCTTTCCTTTCAGTTCTTCTCGGAATTGAAGCTTTGATTCTGTAAAAGAATTTTTGGTGAAAAAAAAGTTGAAACAAATTGAAATACTCAGCACCAAATAACGCTTCAAAAAAACAGCAAAAAAGTATCAAATGCTCGTTTCGTAAAGCTAATTATGAAACAGTAATTAAAATATTTCGTTTCCTTGGCGTTTCTCTCATCCACTTCAATGGAAATTAAGAATTAAGTTAAGAAATTTATAAAGAAAGCTTTTTTTTAAGATTCAAATGAATTTTCCTGTGAAAGAATTCAGGTAATTAAAAATTGTATTTTTCAATGTTAATTAAGGAATAAAAAGTTTTATCATTTTTTAATTATCTGAGAAGATGGAAATTTAATTGACAAAAACATATAATTTGCTTTTATTTCAAATATTTTCAATTAAAAGGCAACAATGTACCAATTTTCATGATTAATCGTCACTATTTATGATGTAAAAGTTTATTAAAATAGTTAAAATTGCATGTCAGACGAACAAAGAAAAGTTGAAAACAATAACGTAGATTAAATCCACGATGAAATCAATTTTATTGAATATTTTTAAGTGAAGAAAATATTTTAATTGGAAATATTTTACAAAGTATAAAAAGTTTTGAAATGAAGAAGTCGAGATGAATTTATTTTGTGGTTGAGATGGTTGAAGGAAGCAGATGAGATAACCGAGAAATCAGATGAAGTTTTGATTTATAGATCAACATAAACTCGTTAAATGCTTTTTCTTCAATTTAACTTATCTAAGTTTTCAATTGAGCGAAAGAACATCATGAACAACTGCTTGCTATTTAAATATCTGCTTATAAACTTTATAAAAATATTTATTTTATTCTTACCTGAAGAAGTTTTCTGTTGGATCTCCACTGATTAATGCTTTTCCTCAAATTCATCAGAAATCAACTTCTTTGATATCGAGCAATTCATTAGCAACTCAAATTGTTTTCCAATAAAACTTTCTTCACCTTCACCTTGTTCTATCATCTCACAATTGCAATTTTCCTTTTAAAATCTTTTTGTAACATCAACAAAGTTTTTCCGCTCAGTAAATAAATTTTTCCTCTTATTATTATTATTCTTTCTTTTTCCTCTACGTTTTTCTTCTATAAATAATTTTCTTTTATTAATCTAAAGCTGAATGAAGGGAAAAAAATAGAAAATTTTTCAAATTCTTTTTATCTTCTCCACGATTCTGCGGGAAATTTAAGTTATTTTTACTGGTTTTGTTTGTAAATATTATTTTTCCTCTCAGTTTTTTTTGCTAAGCACGATGCAAGTTATCAGACGCTTCATAAACTTTTCACACTTTTTCATCACCAACAAATTTTTGTGTTTGTAATTTCCTTCTCAAACGACCGTCAATGATTATCTCGCGAGGTTTACATTTGAACTCCATGATTCGATTTGAAATGCTATTGAACAACAAGCTACTAACGTATTGAAATCAATTTCATTTCTCCTGCTACTTAAATATAATTTTTGCAAAACTGATCATCGTAAGAATGTTCAAATGTCATTAAAATTATTTAAGATGCTCATGCATAATTTATTCAATCGAACAAATGCCAAATCATCTGCGCAAATCCATTTAACATATTTATTTTGATGTCATCCAGAGAGGGACTTTTAAATTTAATTAACCGATTCATTAAAAGCCACAAACTGACTCTAATGATATAAATAAATTAATTACTTATGATTTATGCAAACATTCACGTCTCTGATTCATTTTACAATTATTGGAATTGCTTTCTCCTGAATCATGCACCAATACACCAGTGCATTAAATATTCAATGATGTACTCAATGTAATTGACTTGAACAGATCAAAATCTCGGAATTTCAGCTTTTATTCTTCGCGAATCCATTTTCAACCTCGCAAAATTAAATTTTTATGCTTCATTCCGCTTTTAAAAAATGCCAAATAATGGTTTTGTGTTGAAATGAACTTTGCAAATTATTTTTAGTGCCAACATTCATTTTTTTTTATTTAATTACTCTGTCAACTATTTTCTTGGTGCGAAAAGTAATCATAAGCAAATTTTTTTGATGCTTATCACAGTCGTGAAATTTTTTCATTTTCCTTTCTGACTCAGATCGTTCTGACAGTTTACAGAAAATTCATTAACGCGTGGTCAAAAAAACGTCAACGATACTATGACACATTTGATGAAGTTTTTGTTTTCTTTTCCTCTTGCTCAAACCGGCGTCAACACATTGTAGTGTGTGCGACATCCATCAGCAACATGAAATATTTGAAAAGGTCAAAATTTTAATTAGAAAAGTTTGCGTTCAATTTGAGTTTCAAAGCTTTTGCTGTTTGGCGCCTTTTTTTATTATTTATGCCTTTTGGTCAGGCCTCGTCACAAATTCAAACAGTCACTTTCCCCACTGGTGTTAACAGTTTAAAAATACATTAAACAGCCAATAACATTTTTTATGGCACACACTTTACATCGCATTTTCCTCTATGATTTATAACTGCCGGATTCTTTCTGTTCGATTAAATGTCGATAGACTCGAGTAGATATCAAATGCATTTGGCATGCTTTCAACAATACATAGACAACTTTTTAGTAAGCATCAGTCATTCGATTTTCTTATGAGTGCCGTTAATGCAGATGTCGAGAAATTTTTTTTTTTTTTTTTTGAATCAACTTAGTTATAGTGGTTTGAGCTTGTAGCCATTTCCCCACTTGTTACTAATAGTAACTATCTGTATATATTTATACTAAAGGGCCGAAGTATCTAAACTTCACTCTACCTCATGACCAAGTCGGGGTTCGACCCCGGGACGTATGAATTGTACGCCCGACTCCAAGCGGCTTAAGCCAATGAGGCTATTTGACCCCTGATGTCGAGAAAATTTAAATTCCATTTAATAATTTCTGAAGATCCCTCAAATATTTTTCCAGTTTTAATCACTATCAGTCAATTTAAAATTTTAAAGCATCAATCATAGTTTCTGTTGTGGGAAGAACGTTACTGATGTGAAGATCACTGACAAACATTAAAATAAAAAGTCTCGTCAAACTTCAAAGTATTTCTTGAAACAAGATTTGATATAAAATATTTTAGTGATGTAGTGAAATGTCAATGAAATTGCAAGCTTGTATCGTTGAAATAGCACAACAAAATATTTGAGATGATGAAGGAGAAGCTAATAAAGCATCAAAAGTTGTTTTACGGTGACTTTTATATGAATGAAATGTTCTTTTGTCATTGTGTCGTAAAATTAATTAAATTTTCTCCTACCCTTAGAAAACTTCTTCAATCTTTCTAATGATAATGATCACACAAATAACAATCAATTTGTTCTTCGTTGACTGACTAGAAGCACACGCGGTTAAATTAATGGTGACGGAAGTGAGCACGTGAAAAAATTAAACAATAGCGCGCGATATGATAATTCAGAAGACGAAAATAATTGAAAATATTTTTGGGAAATGTCACTGTTTACGTTAATTAACTTAAATTCATTAAAGGAGTCTTAAAATTTAATCCGCTTACTTTACAACGTTCGAAAACAATTAGCGATCTGCGAGCGACGCGTGATGAATACTAAAGCAGGCAGCCGAGAAATTTTCATTCAAAGATTATTTTTCTTTTTTTTTGCTTCATCTTCGTTTTTCTTCTTTTCCCGAAAATTACTTTCAAACATTCACACACGCACAACTGATAAGTTATGAGTGTAAAACTAGAAGTCAGTAGCCCGATCAGCATGGGAATGTGAAATAAATTGTTGTAAAATATTAAAATTTCGATTTTCAAATGATTATCGCTGTTGGGAGTCATAAATCCACCTCATGCACTTTAAAATGCACCAAAACACCAAATGGGATATAAATAAAACTGGAAAAAAACGAAGCTGTGAATTGCTTTTTCACATTTACAACGGCAATGTAGATCACGGAGAAAATTGAAAAGTTCAAAAACTTTTCACAATGGAATGCTTTATCAAATATAAAAAACGATGTTTCTTTTTTTGTGTGAAAATACCCGAGATATGATCGGGTTAAAGGCATTCAGAGTTGAAGATTGAAAGTATTTTCAATTCAAATTCTTCCATGTGAGAAGCATCATGGGAAGAGTGAGATTTAATACGATTTCCTGAGGAAAACAAAAAAGCAAAAATCATGTGTAACAAACGAGTGGAAAATCATCATTTTTCACAGCTGAAGTTGAGCAAAAATCATGATGTGTCATAAGAAATCCATTTGAGTGTTGTTTCGCATAGAAACAGACTGGATTAAATTAAATTGTAGTTACTAAGACATTGTTTTTATTTAATGCAAAGTAACTGAACAGCATATGCTACCTAATCAAGCCAACATCATGTTCTCCACACAAAAAGAACATTACTTGAATTGCCATGAGAATAAGTTTTTCTTAAAGATTTTATCTCATTAAGATTTCACATGAAAATATTTGTTTAGTCGTGGAAATAAAATTGCTCTTTGTTCATCTCTCTTTACGAGATATTTTCAATTTTTTTTATCCTCGATGTGTCAGAAAGTTTTCTTCTCTTTCCTTGAATCGTCATTAACCACATGTTATATTTATTGTTAAAACTGTCACATCATGCAGGAGGAATTGTGTTTACATTTCTTTCTTAGAAAAATTCCATTTAGCTGATGCTAATGTGAGAGAATTAATTTTACTTCTATCTGTTTCTATTTCATTTTTGATACTTAATGATAATTTGAGATGAGATTTAAGTATCAAAACGAGACTGTTCAAATGTCATAACTTACAGCTGTGAATATAAACAAATTTACTGTATCAATTTAAAATGAATTTGCGATGTTTATATTTTAATGGGAAATTAATCTTCAAATTTTCGTAAGAGAGGAAAACGTCTGGAAAAACGAAATTTCCCCTTCATATTTCCCAACTTTATTATATCTTTTTTTGCCAGATGTTAAAATTGGTTTATCAATTATGTGATTAACTGATATAAAAAATCGTAGCTTCATGACGTCACTTTTGACATTTTCAAAGGAAAATACGTCAGCGAAAATATTTTTTCTATCATCTTACTCAACACAGAAAATATTTTCCCATGAATTGCGGTCAAGGAACGAACAATGGGAGTCTTAAATTTAATTCATGTACATGTAATTTAGGTACGCTGAAGAATTAAATCAGTAAATAATTCAATTATGATTCTATCGCAATTTTCGTATTCTCTCAACAAGTCCAGATTATCATATTAATATTAAATCATACAATGTCTCAACATAATCTTTTTGTTGCCATGTTTATGAAGAAATATGTTATAAATTTTCCATTAACATTAAATTGTCTTCCTCGCGACCGTCGCTCTTATTCGTTCTCGATTTTGCTTCAGTGCTATTTGAAAGAATTTTCATAGCAGATATTATGCTTTATGATTATTAACAGATAATAATAAAACGATTTTCATCCACTTTATAATAAAAGTTTCTTATGAATTTTAAACATGAGGAAAAATATGAAAACGCTGAGAAGTGGCAGTTCCATGAAATATGCTGAATAATGACATTGGGGAAGGATATAACTGATACAATTTAATGGATAAATTCCTTAGTTATGTTTTAAACTTAACAGACAAAGCCAGCAGTGACACTTGTAAGATGTTACACCATTGAAAAATTTGTCACGAAATTTCATTTCATTTGCTAAAGAATTTCTTACAATTTATAAGAAAAGTAAAGAATTGAAATCATTTTTTTAAAAGAAAAATTCTTTAAAATGAAATTGCATGGAAAGAAAAAGGAAAAACAGAGAGAGAAGGAGACCTCATGTTCGTGTGACTTATTTTAAATGATAATGCATGAGTGTGCTGTTGTCGTTTCTACCCAGACGATGAATAAGAAATGAGAGTATAAAAAATCACATGAATGAATTATAGTGAAAAATTTTCTTTGCTCATAATGCTTTTAACGGATTTCCATTGTGTGTTGGCTTTCTTTACTCGTTCATGCGACGAAGATTTTCTTTTAAAATTCCTCACTCATAGTTTATTTACGAGCTCCATAAAAATCATAAGAACCGCTTTGAAAGAAAGACATTATCTTTCATTAGGAATAAAAGAAGCTCTGAATAATCCTAATATTTCTCATTTTTTCGTTTCAATTACGAGACGGGAAAATAAAAATGAAAATTTCTAAACAGAAAAGAAAAGTTTTTCCTTAAAGTATGTTGAGCACAACGTGCTTCCGACTTCTTACATTGAACGTGAAAAACAATTCGAAATGAGAGCAAAGCATAGAAAAATTCTCTTAAAAAATTTAATTCCAGAAAAAGCTTAATGAGAACAATTTTCAAGTTTTCCATTCATTTTCAAGCATCAATAGCCAAAGGCAGAAAATCATTTTAAAGACCAACGAACATGTTTTGTGTGATTGTATTTTATATAAATTTCTAGACTATTCAGAGAACAAGGGATAATCCGGAAATTTAACTTATGGGCATTCTCTTATTAAATAAAAAATCTTTTTCATTTCTTGTTGGATATTCTTTTCATCAGAAATAATAAAAAAATCCATGTATGCATGTACCTGTTCGGAACATACAGAAAATTTAATGTTTTATTTAATGATGAAAGTAATTTCTCTCCCTAAGCGATTCTGAATTGACAGGAATGATGAAAAAACCTCATCTTGATGGGAGAGCTTTGATAATAATTTATTTGTAGTCTTGCGGTTGATTTATCCAGTTTATAAAGGCTTTCGACCGATATTTCTGTAATTAACAATCAAAACATTCATTAATGACATCCCAAAGCTTGAAACTTCCAATCCAAATTCTTAGAAAATGAAATTATCGATAAATATCTGGGAAACATTTCAAATTCAATCCATTTTAAATTTGTTTTCAGTTTTAATTATTACTGGACGAGATTTTCCAAGTTGAATATAATTGCATAAACATGACTGGAAGCAAAGAAATTCAAAATGATGATAGATAAATGAATTCATAAACCAAATTTCAATAAAATGGTGAACTCAATGTTTACCAAGTGAACATCGTAGACATTTCGATAGTTAAGTAACTGAGGTTGAAAGTCTGAAAAACAACCCAGTTAAGTTATCATCATCAGTTCTGTGAATTTATTCAGCAAAAGGTACACAAACACATAAAATATTTCTTGGAGCTTATGTACGTTTTTGAACTGTCGGATATGCATCACTTACAAACAGAGTTGGGATTTGACTGACTGACTGACAGACATTGACTTGTCAGTCTGTCAGTCAAACGACTTGAGCGGAACATTTATATGAACGTTTCCCAACAAACGAATATTTTTGTTCGCGATTTTGACTGACTGACTGACTGACTGACAGACATTGACATGTCAGTCAGTCAGTCAATCGAGTTGAACGGAACATTTGCCCATCTCTGCTTACAAAGCTTAATGTTTAAAAGATTGCTAGACATCTAACGTGAAAATAACGAGAGACTTTGTTAAATAGTTTATGGCTAAGACAGCAAACTAAAAGAAATTTATAAATTGGAGGAATTAAAACGTTTTAAGAAATCATTTGACCTCATTGGCCTAAAAGATAAAAGTTTAATTAATTTAACCATAAAAAAGTTATTTAAAAAACTACTAATGAAATTAATCCAATCACTGTAACAAAATTAAACAAGAAAAAATTCCCAATCAGAAGCAGCATTTTTAATGGAGAATTCGCGCTGAAAAAATATTTCAAGGAAACGCTTTAGGACGAAAACAAGTCTTCTGAGAGATTTATTGATTTGCTGACTGGACTTAAAGCTATGAAATAATCATGAATATGTTATTTATGCTCACGAATGCCCCTTCCCTACCCTCCAATTATTCATTGCCATCGCATCCATTGAATCGAGATTGATAATCATGGAAAGAATTATTGAAAGACTCGCTTTTAGGAAGTTTCGTCCTGATACATGCTTCACTCTTTCACTCCTTTGCCATCAGTAAAATCACATTACTTCTTTCCGATTTAATTATCGGCGTTCGTTCGTGTTTATGTCGGAGATTTTATATGGATTTTGTTTTCGCACATCAGCCGAGCTTAAGGCTTATTTAATCACATACCACAAAATGCTTTGGAAATGGAAATTAATTCGTATCGTAAATAGGAGAAAGCGAAAATAAAGTCATTTGCTACGAAGAGCTTATAAAGCTGTAACGTAATGTGTGACTGTGACGTAGAAGAATCAATTCTGGTGTCATCAATATTCGTTTGAAGCAACGAGTATAGCACATTAATTAGTGTAATTGGATGTCTTAGAGGAATAGCATAAACATGTATTATTTGGTATATAAATGTGGAGTCGTTTCGTTTATTCATTTTTAGATATTTTCTTCACCAAAGACGATTCAATGAATGAACGAACATACGGTACGAAATGTTTAGGTGGAAATGCGATCCTATCATTTTAATTCAGAAGCATCAATTTTGTTGTGAATCATTAATTTTAATTATAATTATATCTTACAGATGATATCAGATCAAAAGTTTCGTTTTTGTGATGAGAAATTGGTTGACGATATCAGAGCAGCGAGCTTTTCAATGGACATCAAGTGAATAACCTTCGTTGTCAGACTTTTCGTCAGGCATATAATTAATGAAACACATTTATCAATGGTTTCCCTCGCAGCGAATGAAAACACCGACTGTGGGATTACAAACAAATCGTTTTCAACGAAATAGAAAGCTCTCGAACTTTAATTGTAGGCGACTGACACCTTTTCAACTTTTCCAAAATGTACAAATAAAAAAGTCGCTTAGCGTTGATCAACATTTTGACAATGTCAAGAAGCGGAAAATTAAAATAATCATAAAGCAAGCTGCTGTCATTGATTGTTTAAAAAGCGACCCTTGAAATAACTGCTCGAGGGGAAATACGTCAAGCAAAAGTAATCAATTATCAAGGCAAACTCTTTATTGAGCTTTCGATTGAAAAATTATTTTTCCGCTTTCTCCATTTTCTCTTAAAATCTTTTCCGATGTGACATTGAAACTTAGATAGATTTACTATGGTTCAGACATCTTCAATTCCATTGCAGAATGTAAGATATCTTCATTCTTCTATCCGTTTACTTATTGCCTAAAGATTTTCTTTCTTTCGTTCTTCAACATCTGCCACAAAAGCCGTCGAAGCTTCAATGAGTCGTGAAGATCCTGAAAATTGTTTATTCTCCTAAAATCTATAGAAACGAAGAGTGAAAATATCTTTTGAAAGGATTTTTCGTTAGTATTTCCCGCTCAGCTGTAAACCCTTTCTTTATGTTTCATCGACTGACTTTAATGCTGACTTATGCGGCAAATATTGTCGGTGTCGCAAAGCTTAATTTATACGATTTATTTATGGTTGGGGAAATTGAAAAATACACATGAGATGAAGATTATCCTCGTTTGAAGCCAACCAGCCAGCATTCTTTGACTTTCCTTAACAATATGTAGATATTCAAGTAAATATGTTTGAAAATATGAAACCAAGTATGGAGATCGTGAATTGTTGAAGTGAATGAATCAAAGATATTTCCATAGAGAATAAATATCTCTGAGAAATAAGATGTTGCAATAATCTTGTGGAAAATGATGAAATAAAATGGAAATAGATGATAAAAATGTTTCTTTTGTCCACATCATACCTTAGTACTTACATACATGTGTGCGGTTTTCATGATGATGATATCTAAAGATTAATGTTGAAAAGCTTTCTTTTCTTTACTTTTCTACTTTCAAATGAAAATCTTGTGAGTTGTGACAATACTCAACAGGGTTGGCAATCGTAAAATTTTCCAATTAAATATCTTTGTCAAAGCTGTCAAATTATATTAAACCTCTGTTTGTTAAATGCCATTGTGACATGAATGGATGAGATGAAAAGGTTGAAAATCATCATCCCTGGTGATCTGACCTACTCACAATATCTTTTACGTCAGAACTTGGGTCCACTTCTTCCTTCCTTTTCAACATCTTATTTCATTTTATTATTTTCCCTTGATGTCCACATGATGAAGAAATCATTCAGATTTCGTTGAGAAAGGTATCATGCTGAGAGGGCATCCAATTCTTCTATTTTCCTTTTAACAACAGTGAAAGGATATCAATTCCACAGCTTCACTTTTCATCTATCCTGCTTCTTCGATTTTCCTTGCCATTGTTCACATTTTTCCGATTTTCCACCTGAGCGATTATTTATTTTCTTATTAGTTTAATAAAGAATCAAGATTAAACATTTCTTTTATATATTTTGTTTATTAATTCAGAAGATTTCTCTCTACTACACATTTTTGTTTTCTTTTAATTAAAATACATTTTTAAATGAAAAATTATCTGTCGTTATAAAAATAAAACTTTAAAATGCGACTAAAATGGTAAATAAACTGTAGATAAGTAAAATTAATAGCAACTTTAATCATTCTTGAATAAATATTTTAGCATTCTCTTACATCACCTTCACACTTCAGTCAATTAAAGTTGATATATCTAAGAAATTTTCTAGCAAACGTTTTCATTACAAGTTTTTAAGAAAACTCAAACTTTGTTTTCAATTTGATCGATGGTTGTTGAGCTTGAACTGATGTCTTATTTTCAGCTTCTGTTTCAAGTGACGTCTTTTGAATACTCGCCGCTTGTTGCTGATTTCTTACAGCCGATTCCAATTTCATCCTCAATTCAGGTGATTGACTCATGAGAGATTTAAATTCCTATTAGTTATTTAAAAAGAGAAGAAAAAAGTTGGAAATCTTTAGTAAAGTTTCTTTTACAGTGAAAATTTCTTTTAAAAAATTTGTCAAACTTTTTGGTGTTGATTTGTATGGATGAAGTCAAGTCACTCAAGCAAGTCAAGTTAAAAAAATAAGTCAAGTGGAAAAAAATTATTTCAAGTCAAGTCAAAGCCTTGCCCAAAATTCAAATTCTAAAGAACTTTTACTGTATGTTCATTCCCCTCACTAATAAATTTAAAATGTGAAAGATTTATTGAGAAAACAAACCTGAGGATATTTCGGTCCAACTTTCATCAGCCATTGCAAACTTTGCTCGTGAAGTTGAATGCAATATTTCGACGACATTCTTAACTGATTCGATTCCAACAAAAAGCTTATAAGAATTGGCACCAACAAAGTCAACATTTGAATTCCTAAACGAGAATTGAATTATAAATTTATTGCCATTTGAAACGTGATCAAAATAAGATTAGACAGGGTCAAATGTGAAATTACGTCACGAAATGTTTCTTCATAATATTGATTAAGTGTTGAATTTCTTGTCTATCCCAAGATGAATTTTCCTTCTTTCCTTCACTTCTTTATTCTCAAATCTATCTTCATTATATTCAATAAGAAGCCTTCTTTACGAGAAAAAGCACAAAAGTAAAGCAAAGAAGATCTTACGTGACGTAATTTATTATCTTCACCACGATTTTAATTATTCAAACGATACCTTGCATTAAATTTCCTTTTTTAAGCGAGCGGAAAGCATTAAAAGGTAAAAAATGTCTTTAAGTATGAATGTTGACTAGAGAGAAAGGGAAAGAGTGAAAGAGAAAGATAAACTTACGATTTTGTGGTTCCGCCAACGTGATTAAAGAATCAACAGTTGTGATGCTTTCCAAAACCAACGCCAATTCAATTTCATCCTTCGGTGTTTTCGTGTTGTCAGCGAATAGATTTTCTATAATTCTCGGCGCTATTGCGTGAATGTAAGGTGTCGCAACCTTCAATTCAGCATTCAAAAAAATCGATTTCACTGTTTGCACGCACTTCAAACGAACCAAATTCGAATCGCTTTGGAAGCATTGACGGAAAAGATTAATCGATGGATATTGAAATGTTGGCATCATCACGATTTTCGGTGTGTGCAAGATAAAAACAGCGATTGCTAGCATCATCGTCACTTCGTCTAATTTCTTATCATCTTTCGGCCCAGTTTTTGTTAAATCAATAATTTTGGCTAAAGCACTTTGCAGAAATTTTCGCCATTCGTCGCATGATTTGTCATCGTTCGAATATTTGTGTGTCGTCAAAGTTTTGAGCAGATGAAGAGCCGCTTGAATAGATGCACAATTTGCAACAATTGTACTGTCATGAATTGACTTAGTTGCCATTTCCTGAATGACCCCCGTCGTTAAATAAAGAATTGTCGGAAGAATTTTCACAGATCCTTCTGCTGTACATAAACTTGGAAGATCTTCCATTGCATGTAGAGCAAACGCCACCAACATGTTGTTATCATCATTCAATCTGAAGTTTCCATTTGAGCTTTGACTTGACATCATTTTATCGCTTGTTAGACGCGTTGTCTGCGATGGATTAAGTTCAGGACAATGTCGAGCGAGAAGACATAACGTCACTTCCAGTACAGCATAAACATGAGATTTTCCTGGTTCAACATTATGTTCAGCTTCTTCTTTATCTTCATCTTCCTCCTTCTCTTCATTTTCATTTCTATTGTCATCAACATTCTCATTTCCATTTCCATCTTTAACATTTCTTTCAAGCGATTCTTTTGCAATTAAAATTGATTGCTTCATTATTTCAATGGAAAGAAGTTGAACTTCCAAACTATCTCTGGTTAAAATTTGACGATAAAGAACATTGCAAAGTTCAATTAATAATTCTTTATCCTTATTCATTGTTGTTCGTGCCCATTTCGAATCGAAAATTGTGTAAAGTGATTGCAAACATGCAATGACGCAATCCAATTTCTCATTTGATCTGGTCGAGCACAACGACTCCATGCAGATACCAAAAATGAGATGAAAACGATCAGCACTTAAACTACCATGAGATATTGTTTGGGTTTTTGCTTCGCTGTTGTTCATGTCATTCTCAGAGGTAGTTGTCGGCTTTAAGCCCAACTCAAAACCACCTGAATTAAGCCATAATGAAGCAGCGTAGAGAATTTGCGGCCATGATGACTGGTAATGTGGTTTTGAACTGTTGATTGTGTCGGGTGTGGAGAAAGCACCACCATCATGTGGAAGTTGACTTGAATATTCTGGTGGAAGTGACAACAACGCATAATCACGTAATGCAGCCAACCAATTTCTTGATAAATTCTCCAATTCTGGTTGCACGAGACTCAACAAACTTTCACCACGTGATTCGTAATCTTCAAAGATTTCATCATCGGATGGAGCTGAAAATGAATTCTGAACACTTTTCAGCTTCTTCAGCACGTGATTCGCTGGTGAAGAACCATTGCTAAGCATTGCAACGATGTAAACTTGCGCCCACGCTTTCAAAATGCTCAACTTCTCAAGTGTCGTCATACTTTCATTATAAAGTTGCGTCGAATTTGTCTTTGTTTGTAATTTACTTAAACTTTGCACCAACAATTGATGAACTCGTCGCAAGTCATTCAAATCTCTCGCTACACCTGAGCCTATCCATGCACTGCAAACTTCACAAGCTGCTGCTGTCACATGTGATGGAGTTTCAGTTGCAAATGCTGGACGTAAAGCAGCACCAACTTGTGCTTGAAATTGTTCAAGAAGTAAATGACCGGGAAATTCGGGTTCTGGAACTCTCGCAAATTTATCGATAATTTCTTGAAGTGTTTTCAACCCTTCAAGTCGTAATTGATCTGAATCACTTGTCGCTGCCATAAACGACATTCGAATAAGATCTGACAAATGAAGCACAAGATAATCTCCACGATTATGCAAATCTTTCGCTGCAATTAAATCGAAATGTTTGGCATTTCCTTGCTCGCATGTCGTGATGATTCTTCGAACACATTCAGCAGCAAAAACACGCGTCATCCAACGTGGTTGAACAGCTGGATGTGTTTGTGTCGATTCGTCAGTATGAAACTCAGCATTATCATCATCTTCATCCGCTTCACTTTCAATTTTCAGCCCTTCGGCTGCCATTTCACTTTCAGAAGCGACTGTCAAAACACGTTTGCACATGCTCAACCATTGCGACAAATTATCAGCTGCCAACATTTGAAGCATCGACACAATTGTGTCGTGAATGTTTTTAATCATTTCCGGGTCTGATTCGGTATCTAACATTGCAAATAACATTCCCATCAAACCATATTCCGACAATAAACCATCATCATCAGTAAAAATGGAAATTGCATGTTCAGTTACTTCTTTTGCTTCTCTTGTCGTCAACTGTCGAAGACAGGAAATTGCAGCTTTTCTCAGCACAAGATAATTACTTGAAAGATTGCGACAAAGTGTTGGAACGAGTGTTGATAGAATGACATGACGTGGTGCGAAGAGATGAAGTTGTTGTAGACATCCAGTCGCTTCCGCTTGAACCAATGGATCTGAATGAGCTTGCATAACTGCACAAGCACAAAGGAAGTTCGATCTGACTGAACAAATTGAAGTCGCATTGCCTTGAAGTTCAGGACCGATGGTTGTGATGAGTGCCGCCAAAACTCGTCCAATGCATTGATGAACGTCGACATGTGATTGCGGAACTGTCAATAATAATTTAAGTCCCGATGACAAAGCTGGTTCGATGTAGCCTCTGAACATTGGACCACCAGAGTCAGCAATCAACGACAATGCGTAAAGTGACCACACTTGAACAACTGGAGATGATCCATCTTGTGCTAATGCAAGTAAAATACTGACACTTGTATTCAAATGTTGTGACGATCCCATGCCACCCACATAACGATGTAAACATCCAAGTGCAAGTGAATGACCAGTTCTTGTCACAACATCTCGTGCTGACTTCAATCGATCGAAGCTTGTTTGTGCAAGTTCAGCTGTGAAGCGTGAATCTCCAACAACTTGCGCGATTCTTCCTAAAGCTTCACCAGCAGCACATCTTAAGATTGGATTTGTACTGACAAGAGCGTTGATGATCAATGTCGTTGCTGACTTTCTCACATCTTCCTGACCAATTGAACTTTTACTTTCCGTCAATCCCTTCAATCCACACAGTAATGCGGTGAAGATGTTCATTTGAACAGCTTCTTGTCTTTGACTCTTTGCATGCTTTATGCACTCACCGAAATGGTCCAACATTTGCAGTCGATGTTTATTTGACACACGAGAGAAAATATTCCCAAAAAGCATTGCACTTGTGTCGATGACAGTTACACCAAGTGGAAGTGGTCCAGGACATTGTTCGGATTTCGATAGCGGTCGATAAAGACAACAAGGATCGTGTTCTAAAGCTCCAGAACCGGAAGCACTGTTTGGTTGTAACTAAAACAATTTTTGTAACAGAAAACTTTTTGTTTAATTTACTGAATCAATTAAGAAATTTAAAATGTTAGCAAATAATAAGAAAAAAGTGCTGTAGTGGGTGGAAAACAAACCAAATAAAATCTTTTCGGAATTTCCTTTTAAAAGAAAAACAAGCAAGCAAAACTTCCTATAAATATTTAATTAACTTAAATTCCCAAGAATTCTTGTGGAAAATATTCACGACAAACGAAACTTCAAAATCTGATGGACACTTACATGATCATCAGCTTTACGATTTGGTTCCATCTTTTTAGAATTACAGCAAAAAAATATAAAAAATTAAATTAAGGAAAGAAAGAAAACAAAAGAACGAACGAAGAAAAATATTTTTTTGTTAGTGTCTGACTTAATGACGTTTCTTTAATCTCACCTGATCTTCAATGTTGCGATGATCTGTTTCCTGAAGCCACGTTCCAAGTATAATTGAATCTTCAGCATTGCACATGTCACGCAATAACGAAGTCGTTGTGTTTGCTGCATTTTCTGTCAACGTAAATTCCGACACCAACATTCGCAGCAAATGCGTGTAAGAAGATTCCAAGGAGTTTGAAGGAAGTAAAGTTAAAGTTTCGTATAAACGAAGTCGAACCATTGCTGCTGGTGCTTTCAAGTGTTGACCATAACTCTTAATAATCGGCGAAATACTGTAAAAAGAAAAGAAATATTTGTAAACATCGCGTGAGTTGAATTCTGAACTTGACATACTTGATTAGCATCGCCAGAGCGCTTTCAATGGGTGTCAGCAACCTTCTCGTAATATCATCAGTCAAAAGTTCGCCACAATTAAGCAGGAAACTGTGCATGACGGATAAAGCTCCAGCACGTCCTTCAAGTGTCACTTGCCAAGTAAAAGCATCGCCTCGAGCTTTTTCCGATTCCAACTCCTTCGTTGATCTTGGAAAAGCATTTCGCCATAACAACAACATTCTTGGCAGTAAACCTTTCACCACTGGAACTCCAAGTGTCATAATAGAACCGATAAGAAGCCATCCACTCTGTGTGCGATTCAAGCTAAGACGTGAGTTTTGACTTGCAGTTCTCAACAACTCTTCAGCTGTGTTGAAAATAATTTTTCCTTTCGTGTGTGGAACGCCCAAAGGCGAATATTTGACACTGCCAACGACTGCTGCAAGTGCTCCACTGTAACCAGATATTGCATCAGGTGATGACCTCATCTTCTCAATTGCATCAAGAAAACGATCAATTAAGGGAGTAATTTGACTTGGAACAGCAACACAAACACATCGAAGACACCATGCAGCAGCAAGACGTGCTGCAAGACAAGGATGAACAAGAACAGCGCAAACTGCATCGATAAAGTTTAAAGATTGATCTGAAAGAAGATTTTGTGCAGTTGTTCCGAGTCCTATTGTGAGACTTCCCAATTCTTGCAGTGCACAAACCAACAAGTGTTGACTGAAAAGTGTTTCTTGATTCGCGTCTTTAGCATTCTCAGGATTAAAGTCAATGGAATTCATTTGTTTTGCAACGATATGTATCAATTCCTTGCATGCTGATGATTGAGCTTTTTCACCTAACATTTTACCAACAATCGATCGTAGGATGAAGTTGATACATTTACGTGAATAAACAGCATCGACATGTGACGAAGCTGCTTTAGGATTGGCCACTAAATCGAGAATGTGAACAAGGAAGGTTTGCATGTTTCTCTCTAGCCAAACTGATCCCATTGTTTGAATGAAGATGACATAAGCATGAGTGACACCGACACGAACTTCACGATTCAATCCTGAAGATCCTTTAATCATTTCTCCAGTTCCTTTCAAGAAAGAAGCACCGCCACGAAGAAAACCTGACATTAAAATTCCCAAAGCTTCATCCAACGATGTTGGCCGTAATTTGTTCCCTGACGATGATGATGGAAGTGTTTGAGTTGCTGCTAAACTTTTTCCATTAGCCTGCTGATAGAGTTGAGTTTGAGCGATTAAATTTCCTAACAAATTTGCCACAGCACATCTGACTTCATATGTCGATCCTTCAAATCCACGAAAGCAAAGCGAAGCCATCGATTCAAGTTCAGTTGTGTAGAGAAACGGCGCATGTTTCAACATTTCCAAAAGACAATTTGAAGCTGCAACACGCACTGACATTACACGATCTGATAAACAAACACGAACTGATTTGTAAATCTCTTTGTGAACATTCGAAATTGCATTTCCCATTCCTGCACAAACTTTCTCTAACGTTATCATGATTTCGATTCGCATCTGTGATTCAGCATTTCGTAATGACTTTAAAAGAATTTGAACAGTTTCTTCATATGATCTTCCCATCATTCGACCGAGTTGTTCATACATCGAACCAACAACGCTGATGGCAGCTCTGAAATATTAAAAAAGAAATTTTTGTCATTCACAACTCAAATTCAATTTTTCAACTTACAATTTCGTTGGAAGGAAACTCGGAGAGTCGTCTTTATTCTTCAAGATGTCATTGCATTTGTTGACAGTCTCAAAGAGTAAGAAAGTGTCACCAACTGAGAAGAGAGTTGCCATGCATCTGGCAATAAGTTTTCTAGTCGGTGGACCTGGTGAATGTTGCATATGTGCAGTCAATTGTTCCACAAGTTTCTTTTGACATCCTTTTATGTCAGACTTCTGCGCTGCTCCAAGAACTTTGTCTAGGAATCTTAACCATTCGAAGACGAACACGGGGCGTTTTTGCTCAGGAATTTGATTGTAGGCTTCCTCATTAAGTGTTAGACTATGTGACAGCTCCATTATGTGATATGATTCTTCTTGATAACTCTTATTATTATGATTACTCTTCTTGTCGCTGTTGATGTTGTAAATATTATTATTGGCTTGAGAACTGAAAGAGGATAAGAAATCTCATCAATGTCTGTCATCACAGAATAATAATTTTAAGATATATAGAAATTAATTGAAAGAGAAATGGATCATCGAGCAAAGCTTCAAAAGATTTTTATTCTCATTCAACTGATGACGTTACGTTTGGTTTGTGTTGTTAAATTGCTACGTTTATGAAGATTGAGATTTCAAATTGCGATAATAAATTTTCCTCCTAATTGAGACAAAGAGTTATCTTAATGCCACAAACGTCGCGAAAAATTCTTAACGATGTCTATTAATCATAAAATGAAATAATTTGAATGAAAAACAAAAACGAGAAAAATATTTAAAAGCAGAGAAGGAAAATCTTTTCATTAGTTTGAGATTATCGATTTGAAAATCTTTTTCAGCATGGCACGTTTTGCCACAAACATTGCTAAGACAACAATTGTCTATGACGTAAAAATAGCAGAATATGGAAATGAGAAAAAGAAGAAAATTCTTCACATTGTGAAAGGAATTGAGTCGAGTTGAATAAAGGAAAATAAGATCAAATTTATTTAATTAAATTTTAGTTTGTTTACCTCCACCGGTGCATTAGCGACGATTTCATTAACTGAATATTGTTCATTGTCACTTGTTTGTACAAGTCTGTCCCAGTTTCCAACTTCAATTTTCTCGCTCTCATACAACGACGAGGTGGTTGGTTTCAAGAGACATGAACAATTATTAAAAGTTAATTCAATGAGGGAATAATTTGAGTAGAAGGAAAATTCACGAGATGGATAAATGTTAATGACACCACATTATAACACAAATCTTGAATTGTTTATAAGCATTTCTATTCAGATTAAAACAATGAAGAATTTTCATTCATTTTACTTAATTCTTATCACTCAAAGCTTTTACAACCGGAACATGAAGGAAAAGTTCTCGCGTGGTGCGGAAGATTAAATTTGACTGTTACGGTTCTTCATTGTTTCCTGAATAATCAGGAAAAGTTGGAAAATAAGCGGATAATATTATTCCAGTCAAAAAGAAAGAAACATTATGATGAAATGGAAAATTTTACAAGGTTTACGTTAGTTAAAGTCACGCGAGCTTCACCGACGATGTGTGAAAAATAATAAGAAAATTAATGCTTTTGAATGAAAAACTTCCACCATTAACCATCTTTATCAAGGATTCTATTGTCGTACTTAAAGGAATAAGAAATTATTCGCCATTTATTAGAATCATCGCGTTTAGGAGTTTGACTTTTGCTTTTGTCTTCTTTTCAATGTTTCTTATAAATATCACAATGATTAATGACCGTTGAGCTTACACGCAAGAACTTTCCAATATACAAACCCAAAAGAATGGATTTTCATGGGAGTAGAAAAAGGAATTGATTTGAAAACTATCTATTAAGTTTTTGCATGCATCAACGCTCTTTCCACATGATAAATTCCTTTCGGACTGTTGCCAAAAACTTCTTCAAATATTCTTTCTTCACTTTGTCATTAAATTTTCCGCATAATTTATGTTGTGGTTTCCTTTTCAAGGTACCATTAAAAGAAATCACTTTCACAGTGCGAATTTGTCATTTAAAACTTTCACATGAAAGGAAAAGTTTTCAATTGTTTTTCACACATAATAAAATTTCCCTTATTTCATTTGTAAACTTCCATCCGATAATGCCGGCGCTTGAAAGGAAACTGAATGAAAAAAAACTGCTAGAAAGCTTTGTGTGTGGAAAAACAACTATTCAAAGGAGAAAAAAGGAAAGAGAAAGCAAAGGAAGCATTCAAATGCCTAACGCAAAGTTAGAAGAAGTAAAAGCATGTTTTGCATGTTGAAATAAAATTTACGATGAAAGTTCAAGTGGCAATTTATCTGCTGGGATGGAAATAAATAACCTAAAGTGTTTTTGTTATGGAAGAAAGCCTTTCTCATCTGCGCATTCTGAACCCATTTCACCCTTAAAGCGGATATTTTTCTTGCCAGTTATCCACAGCGTAATGTCGACCTAACTTTAGCCGAGAGCCAATCATTGTATTATTTTTTCTCTTGCCTTCTTCCTTGAAGGTTGTTTCTTTCTAAATCTTTTCCCAGCCTGAGTTTGTTCCAAGCAATGATTGCCAATTTCATTTTATTACTTCTTCCGCACGAGAATGTTTTTTCGTCTTCCAACTTTACTTTTTCATTATAAGACAAAATTAAGAATTTCGTAAACAGCTTTGACCGTGAAAAACAGAACTTCAATGAATGTTTTAATAACAAATAATTTTTAATAAAAAAACGCTGATATCAGCTCTTAAACAAATTTAATATGTTAACAATTCATGAACGTTATATTGACATTGAAAGAAAAAACTTTTTCCTACGTTTACAAAAAATTTTTTGTGACGTTGTTCATAATTTGTGTCACAATTTAATAAAATCACTTCTTTACATAATATTAGCGCTTGTGACAGTTTAGAATAAAAGAAGTTGTAATTTTCCAGACTTTTCTTGAGCTAATATTATTTATTGTTAAATATTACTTAGACACAGATTGAAGTTGGCTTAAGAAATCTAAAATATAAATGATATCACATGATATCGATATCTTTCCATTAATCTTAGCAATACGTCATCCAAAGTTTGTTGGTTCATCAATTGTAATCAATGATGATGTCCAATGGTAAGTAGGAGGGGGAGAAGTGCCCCTGAGATTAATGTTCCTAACTCAATATTGGTAAGTCCTGAAACTGGTTTAGCTCCACCTGCACCTTGCTCTAAATGACTGTAATGTGGACCTGATGAATGGAAATGTGAATGTTGTTGTTGAGTAAGTTCTGGCAAAACATGGACTGTCGCTACGTAAAGAAATGTTCCAGCTGAAAACAGCATCGCTACTGCTGTAGCATTTACGTCATTTAATGTTTCCTTTTGTTCCTGTCCAATTCCAAAATAAGTTATCAAAGTTAAAAGTGGAGCTGACATGGAGAATATTCCGAGATGTCTTCGAATTCGTTGTCGTTCGATTCCTTCGTGAAGTAGAAAACTAACTAAGCCGAATGCTGCTGGCGCTTTGTGCAACATTATTGCTAAAAACACAATCATTTCTACATCTTGATGACTTGTTTTCGCAGCAGCACCAAGTGCCACCCCGTCAGCAGCTGCATGTACTACTAAGCCTATAGTTGCTGTTGCGTTTCTTTTCCCGTCTTTACTTTCGGGACTATGATTGCTTCGTGATGAAATCTGATCTACTAACATCATAAATACAAAGCCAAGAACTAATGATAAGCCGATAGTCTTGGAAAAATCTTCAGGTTCATGATGATGATGGCTTTCTTCAGTTGACGTGTCACTGTGTTCATTTGTTTTGCCATTAGCATATAGTGAACGTACACCTTCTGGAATAATCACAATAAGGGCAGTGCCTACAAGGAGCCCAGCACCAAGAATGGAAACGATTTTTAATTTGGCCTGAATAGAGTTTGTAAATATTTCATTAGCTTCTCTTAATCGATTGAAGAAATTTTGATTACCTCTGATAACGATACAACTAATGGAATGCTTCCAGCTAAATACGATCCAACTAGCATTACAATTACTAGAAGGATTAGCATGAATGTGTCATCCATTTTCTTACAGTATTTTTTTCTTCTAATAAAATTTGAAGTTAAAAGTAATTTCTCACTATGGGAACTGATAAAAGTAAAATGTTATGTGCGACTATATGATCACGACATCATATTTGTGTATTTTCAGGTGTTTGTGGCTTTACAACTTGTCGTGAAATATTTTCTAATACTTCTTTCACTTTTTTGATGATGTTTTATTTTTCACTTGTTGTTGTTGATTTCACACTCTTCACCTAAAACTGCACCCCCAGAAAGTTAGTTTCAGGTGGAGAGTGTACAATTTTCTTGCAGACATCCATTTGAAATGGTAAACTATTTGATCTTTTGTCCGAGAACGTTTCAGTGGCGGCGCTACGATCGATTATCTCGCACGGAGAAATTATCACGCACGGAGAAATTTTTTGAGGGTATTTTGTATGGGAGGTCAAATCCGCGCGAACCGTCGGAAATTAGACATAATAAACATGGACATTTCGGTAGCGTTTTGTATGGAAGGTCAAATCCACGCAAGCCGCGGAATTCACTCGGATTAGACGCCGCCTTGTTGTTGGACAGCGGGGTTGGAACTTTGTTTTCGTGTTGCCATACGAGTGAAAGTGTGAAAACTGACAACGTCGCTATGTCTGACTCTTATCAAAATTGCAACTTTCGCCTATGAATCATTTTAATTTCTTCTGAACATAGAACGATTTATTACTTATGACTTGAGTTTATTTAATTTTGCCATGGGGAACATGGAAAAAGATTTGCGCGATAAAATTTAATAAAAATATTTGAAAATTATGGAATTAAAAATCTGTTATATTAAATTATAATACACCCACGTAATTTGTAGCTTTACTGCTCAAACTTCCGGCGATAAAATGTAAACATTAATTGAAGACTCTTGATTAAATTTTCCTTGAACTTTGCTAATAGCATGTTGCATTTAATTAAGATAAGCAAAAAATATTTTTTTCGACTTCAATTTTTAGTAATTTGAAGTTTAAGATCAGTTAGCAATACTTGCATTTCATGTTGATAACTTCTTTGAACATGTTGATCATTACCAAATTCAATTCGATAATTTTTTAACAAAACAGAAGGAATTTAAGGAAATTTGCCTTGATCTAAATTAAAAATAAAATACTCACTTTATCCATCACTTTAATCTGATATTTTTGGCTTTTGTGTTGATCCCTTTTATATTCTTATTAACACAGTTAACACCAATAATTTGTTTCTTTGGATATAAAGTTCATAAACTGCTGGAACTCACGATTAATTCACTAAAATTTTTTATACCTTTTTGATACACATTAAGAGAAAACAAAAACAACAATTAGTGTTGCAAGCAAAAATTTAGAGTTGCCCAGATTGGCTCACTATTTAAAAATACCGTTAACAATATCATTTATTCTGTAAAATTTTCCAATTTCTTGATGATTTTCTGTGGAGAATACTTAAAGTTGAGCAGAGATGTTTATGAATTCAATTGAATCAGTTTTTAATACATACAAGAATCGTTCCTTCATGCTACGCGAATATCCAATTTTTATGAGGATTTGTTTTTAAATTGCCTGATGTTAATTTTTTGTGTTTCCACATTTGTTTTGTTATTGTTGTTTTCTTTGTATGTGCAATTTGATGTGGCAAAGTTTTCAGATAAATTTTAATTATGTCGTGGATAACAAAAGCAGAAAACTTGTTAAATAAAATAGATCAGAGTGCGGCAATAGTACTCCAATCGAAAGAGGAAGTAAATGTCCCAGTTGCACCTCCTATAGTTGTGCCAGCTCCAATACCAAAGACTCCATCAGCCAAAAATGTTATGATACTTTCTCGATCGACTCCGAAAAAAGCTGCGAAATCATCAGATGTAGATGAAAAATGGGAAACAATGTCAGAAACTAATGAATCCAGAAAGAGTTCCATCAGTTCCAAGCATGACACTGTTATTGATCAGAAATCATTACAAATGAAAGAATCTTCCTCGAATGTTTCCTTAAATAGCTTCAGTGTTGAGAAAGAACTAACAGCAAACAAAATTCTTGTAGCTGAATTGAGATCTGAAAACAACGAATTGAAAGGTGAACTTGAAGCTTTGATGGAACAAATCAAGGTAAATGGAAACTCACAGAAAATTCAGGAGCTGGAAGATCTCTGTGCAAGTCTTGTAGAAGAAAAAAAGGAATTGACAAATATGTTAGTTGACATTATTCTATTTTTATCTTTATTTGCAATTATTAATGAACACATTTTTCAGATCCCAATCATTAGAAAATTCCAGTAGCAAATACGTGAAAACGATTTCTGAGCTTGAAACTGCAGTAATGAAATTACAACAAAACGAAAACGATTTAAAGCATAAACTTGATTACGCAAAGAATGAAACGAGAGACATCACAAACGAATTACAACAATATCGTCTTCGAGCACAAAACCAACTTCAACTTAAAGAAAAAATGATTGAACAGTTAAAATTTTCGGGTGATGAAAAAGTTGTGAATGGAAATGAAACTGGTGAATTGACTCTTCAAGTACAACTAGAAGAATTGAAATCTGAACGAGATCATCTTCAATCTGAAGTGGAATTATTGACAAAAAGATTTGATGAATCACGGAATTTCATTGAGAAAATGGAGCATAAGCATCGAATGATGCAAGCAGACGCTGAGGATAAACTTTCTACTTTGGAAAATTCCATATCTCAACTAAACTTGAAATGTTCACATTACGAAGAAGAAATTCAATTTCAAAAGCAAGAAATCGCTCGAGTGAGAGAAGAAATGTTGAATCAGAAAACTGTGATGACTACGAAGCTTCATGATAAGTAAATATTTAAATTTCAATATGATTCAAAACTTCTGTTTTAAAAAAATCTTTCTGGTTTTTCATTACAGAGAAAATGAATTGAGACGAATGAAAAATTCAGTTCGAGAATCACAAGTTCAAATAGAAATTGAAAATCGAATGCAATCTTTGACCCAATCACTTCTCTCAAAGCAAAATAATTTAGAGAACGTCACAGCTGAAAGAAATGGATTAAAACTTCAATTTGAAAAATTATCAGTAAGTTGAATCTAAATCAATGTCTTAATTTCAATTAATATTCAAATTTTATTTTATCTCAGCATCAGCATGAAGCATTACTTTTGCAAATGCGTCAAGAACGTCCACAAATTATTCATATAAATGAAACGGATGATGCAAAATCTCAAGTTCCTAACTTCATGATGGTAAATCCATTCGACTCGAGAATGTCTCGAAGAGTCAAACGAGCTTATTCAAATCTAGATCAGCTAGGAGTTCGGCTAGGAGTATTTTTAAGACGTTATCCGCTTGCAAGAATTTCGTCCATTTTCTACGTGGCTTTGCTACATATATTCGTTGTTTTTGTTTTACTATCATCGACACCTTCTCAATAAATGTAAACGTCATAAAGCCATTGTAGATTTCTTCAGAAACGTTTTTATTTAAACATAAAATTTTATTCATTTTAAAAATATATTCAAAAATTAAACGAAAGCTAGTGAATAAATTGTTTCATCGCTAAGTCAACTTGAAGTTGAATTAATGAAATATTCTCGTCAAATATTTCTTTTGATAATAGAATGCGCTTCTGTTCTAGAAGAGAGTTTTCTTTCATGTACTGTTCCACTAATCTTCCATATTCGGGATCATCAACATTGACAGAAGTCACGACTTCATTTTGAGGTTCCTCTGAATTTATGAGACGTTTTAAACGAACACATTCAGCACGTTCAACACTTATTCGTGCTTGCAGTTGTTGTTTCCAATTCATTAGTTCTTGATTCTCGAGTTGAAGTCGAATGAGATTCAAATATTCAGGATGATCTTTGTGAAGCGTCATGAAGCCATTTTCAGCAACATAAACTTTATTAATGTCGACAGCTGTTTCATTATTTGAAGGTTGACTGTTCTGTTCTGGAATGGTCTCAGGAATATCTTGAGGAATTTTTGTCTCGGTAGGTGCTACTGTTTCAGTTGTCTGCAAAGTGAAATCAATTGCTTCTTCCACAGCTTCAGTGTCCATACTTTTTTGCATTGAATCGTGACGTTTCTCAAATGTTCGAAGCTTGCGCTATTAAAAAAATCATTGCTGTTTACCCAAACAATTAATAATTGGTTATTGTTTACCTTCAATTGTGTAATGATTCGTTGAGTTTCCCATAATTCTTCTTCTCGTCTCTTAGTCACAAACCCAGCATTCATTTCGGAGTGAATTTGAGACAACAAACTTTCCTGTTTTCGTAACTCCATCGATATTTCTTCAGGTGTTTCCAGTAAATTTGGGCTTGTGCTCGTAATTGGTGGAACATACCTAATTGAAACAAAATACAAAGTATTAATTTAGATCAATTAAACAATTTAAATTAACACACAAGCACTGATGAAATATTTTCGGAAGCCGCCAAGAACGTTTTCGTTGCAATTTCTTATTCATTTTTTATGCAATTTTACAAATGTTTTGTGCAAACGAAAATGAAACAAGATATTAAATAAAAAAATCGTGAGTCGAACAATCGAAACAAACGAGTGGGATTTGTTGGAATGAAAATGTGAATGGAAGAAATCAGTTACAATTCATGATGTAGTAGAAGGGGCAATGCGTCGTGTCTGGTCTCGGTTATTAATGACAAAAAATCTTTTTTTCTTTCAAAACCAATTTTTTTGCTTATTCAATCAAAATTGAATAAAATTATATAAAACAAAATTATTGATGAATGAGTCCGCGCCCGCACAACACACTCACATTGAAATGTTACACTTTTTTTTATTTCTCAAACGTCAACTTCATCGCTCCACGTTTGAACAAATGTTGGAGAACAATAAATTTTGACAAGATAACGTTGTTATTCTTTTTTTAGCTCGTAAAGCATCACAGGTGAAATTAATGTGTGAGATGATATCAGGGAAGCATGCGGTTTCGTATGTTTAAACTTTAAACGAAATACAAGAAAAGAATAAAAATGGAAACTGAATCGAATCGTTTCAAATCTGTGAGCATTAAATTGGGATGAATTTCACGCTTCGCAGATTTTTAACACTTTTTCGTGTGGTTTTCTTGCAATGGCTAAGAGATATTAAAAAGAGAAACTTGAGTGTGTTGAGATGATGGAGTGGAAAAGCGTCAAAATTAATCAACTAATGCAAGTAGAAGAAAACAAAAAAAAATCTACTTACTTATGAAGTTCGACATCAGCAAAAAGAGTTTCAGCATGACAAAGTATTGTAATCATCAATCGATGAGACATTTGAAGAACTGGCGATAAAAGAACAGCAAGACTTTGAGCATTTAACTTATTATGTTTTTCATGATCAATGACACAAGAGAAGTGACGTGAAAGCCATGCAAGGAGAATTTGATTGCATTTTGGAAGCTGCTCAATGAGAGATTCCAATTCAACAGCTTGTTTTGATACATCTGGGAGTGAAGAAGCTTCTTCAAAACGTGTTATGAGTTCAGTTGTCAAGATCGGTTCAGGCAAATCTTGCAAATAAGCTTTCAATAAACTACAAGCAGTTGGAACATCAAGTTCTTCGTCTTGAGATTCACGATTGTTGTAGCACTTTCTCAAATGCATCAAACGAGTTTTGATTCCTTCAGTTTTATAAATTTGTTCTGATTGCAATCCATGCTCTTGCAAATAATCAATACAATTACGAACAACGAGAGGAATCTTCACATTGTCATGACATCGCGAACGTTCTACAGCTAAGCCTAGAGATACTCCAAAAATTGGTTGAATATCTGAAAAGATGAATGGGTCAAGTTTTCTGAAGTTATAAGCAATTTTTAATTCTTTTCATTCACCTCCAAGTTCGAAAACAGTTTCACCGGAAGGCAACACATTTGACTTCGATTTTTTATCTTTTTTTAATTTTTTCTTTTCACTTTTAGGATCATCTTTAGATTTCTTATCTTTTGTCCCATCAGCTGTATCTTTTGATGGTTCTTGTGATTTTTCACGTTTCTCTTTTTTGCTCGAAGGAAATTTAAAAGTTTTTGATTTTTTCGACTTTGATGGACTTCTGAAAAGTCTTGATTCAGGTTCATCCTCTTCGCTCTCTCCACCTAAAGCTTCATATGACTGTCGATCTTTTTTATCTTTCGATTTCTTATCCTTCTTTTCTGATCCTTTTTTTAAAGTTAAGTTTTCAGACGAGTTTGATTCATTCTCTTCGCCACCACCTTTTTTATTTTTTGAAGAGTTTTTCTCATATAATCCAGGAAACTCTTTCTCATCAGGGCTACTACTATCATCCATCTCCATACTGTCCCCAATAGAGAGCATTAAAAACTTAATTGTTACAATTATTTTTATAAATATTTAACTAAAATCGAAATGAATTAAGGTTTAATTTTTTTCCGAAACATAAACATAAAATGCGATTCGCAATAAATTGAGGGGAAATCGCAGAGATTTAAAATAATATTTAACGTTAAATTTTATTTTCATATTTATCCAATTCAGGTTCCTTGGTACGTAGGAAGAAAAAAGGAAAATAACAATTTGCATATGAAAGCTTTGTGTAATTGATTCATTAGAGGTTTAAATAATGATATCTTTATCATTATAAAGAAATTTTCTCAAAAGAAAAAGAAAACTTAATTAGGAATATCGAAATTATATTTTCTTATCGATATAAAATTCCCAAAAGCTTTTCCTTATTTTCATTAAAATAATTACGACGGTAGAAAAGTTAGATAGATATTGAATTAGGTATTAAGTATTCATTAGATATTATTCTACCAGGTGAAAATATATTTCATAAAACTTATTTAAACGGAAATCGCTATGAGAGGAAATCGAGAAATAAATCATCAATGTATCCATGACAAGATTGTATAATAAAAAAAAATGATATTTTTAAAGAATGTTTGAAAGTTTTGTTATTAAAATTCTCGTTTGCGAAAAGTTTTAAGTACTCGTTATCAAGCTTTTCTTTTCCTCAGTTATGGTAATAATTTCATGAATTTAATATATCAAATAACGTTTTAAGTGATTTATACATAATTATTAAATCCCATGACCTTTAAATTATTATTCAAGCGTATTTGACTTAAATGTCACTGAAACCTTAAGTGTTGATTCGAAAATTTTATTACCATCTTGTTGGCATTCTTTGTTGGTGGAAACAAAATTAATATTTTTAAAGTGAAGGGTAGTGAAAGCAGATGAATTCAAGCATAACTTGTGAGTTGAGAAGGAGTTCTGCAGAAAATAGATAGTTAAGATGATTCTTCATCCGTGTTCATCCACATTAAAGACCTTTCAATATGAAATATGATGTTAGTGAAAAGAATTTATACCCAGCGAACCAGTTGAGTACACAAATTCTATCACTCCAATTTACATGGTAAAAATGATGAAATGATTGATGGTATTCCATACTTTCAATTGTTTGTGGGAATGTGCATAAATATATTGATAAATGTTGATGAAATCATGAGAAAATAACGATTTGATAATACTATTTACGGTGAATAATTGCAGGGAATGTAATTTGAGATCTTGTTATAGCAAATCTTCTAAAGTGTTTTCTTATTGTAAGCACTTCTTCAGATTACTTATAGAAACATACAAAAGTAAATTATTATACAAGCTTCGTTTTGAGCAATTAATATAAAAATAGCTTTTAAGCTTTGAAGGATATTCCTGGAAAGATTATTGGATATTATAATTTATGTAAATATATTAAAAAGGAAATTAATTTTCAAACTACCCAGATGAATTTTGATATTTCAGGAAGCACAAATCAATATGTCAGTAAATGGAGACAATGTTTGATATTCAGTGTCAAATACCTGGGAAAATATTATTTAAACTTATTATATTTTGAAAGGAAAAGCTCGGTTTAATAAAGAGAAAGGAGAAATTGATGTGAAAACCAAGATAGTATCTCAGGTATGAATAAAGGTAAATGAGCAGATGGTATTAAGATTTTCTATTTTACGGAACTTCTCACTTATAGATAATTTCTCAAACAGTTTCAAATCTATCACAAATATATTTGTTGAAACTATATCGTTTATGTCAATAACATTCAAATTGAATTGAAATTCAAGACCATTAAATTAATGTGTCAGTGCAGAAACAAGAGAAGAAGAAACTTGTTCAAAGCGAAACTTTATTTCGATAGAATTTTCAGGATATAATTTTATTCTGTTGGAACAGATTTAACAAGGGAATTAATTTCAATTGTTTAGATATACAAAAATATGCTGAACAAAGTGGTTGATAATTGAGTTTATGCAAAGGTTGCATTTACTATCAGAAAATCACTGGCGAATCAATATAACTGATTGCTTTATCTCATTACTTGACACTTTATATAACATTAAGCGCGATTACCTGACACTTACCTAAGCAAATAATTTAACGTTAAATTTATTGATTTTTCTTCTCAAAATAAATATCAGTCAGTTTAACAACCAACGAGTTTCAAATACATTTCTGCATTTAATGAACATATGCAAATGGAAAACTATTTTAGAATTTGTTTTACATAAAACATGTTTAAAGTTGATTTATGCATTTGCATATAACAAGGAAGAAAACCAAAAGAACTTTTTTTAAATACTTCCATGTTTTAAAATATTAAAAAAAATGTTTTAAACATGAATAAGGTAATGAAACAGAGCATGGTGTTAATAATATTAAAAACCACAAAAGTTTTAATAGAAAATATTTAACGTGATGTCACCATCAATATCAGCAATTTGTTTGATACTGATGTCTAACTCTTCGAAAGTGTTTAATGAAAACTGAAATGTGTTAGTCATACACTGAAGTTATTCATGCAATTAAAATTATATTAACTTCATTATCTCTTTAATAAAAGTTTTTTCTTCGTCATTAATCTACATGAAGCGAGAGATGCGCATCTTTGCTTTAAATTAAATGAAATCATTTTTAATATACTTTTAAATTAATAAAAGGAAGCTTGATAAACACTTTTCATAAACAATATAGTTAATAAAGATTCATTTAGATTCCACTGAAGATGAAAATCAAGTTTAGCATTCTAAATTGAATTCTCAATTTATTCAAATATTGAAAGTCAATAAAGAGCCAACGCATTGCTTTTTTTTCTCGGAAAGTAAAAATCCTTTGAATTGAAAAGAGTCTCGAAGGCTCTGAACAAGACAATTGCTTACAAGTGTTGCTGTTCAAATTATTGAAATGAATAAGAACAAGGGTTGAAATGTAAAACGAAAATTGTTTTATGGTAATGTTGTATCAAAATTATTCTGAATTTTTAATATCTTTAAAAGCAAAATTAATGAACGTTGACAAAAGTCTTTAAAGGAAAATTTATGATAAAATATAAAAAATGGGAAAGCATTTCGTACAGAAGTTAACAAAATGTTAATTACTTCTCCATGTTTTAATTATTGATACTTGTTATGAGTTGATCATACATATGTTTGCACTTGTCATGTAAATTAGACAAATGTATTTAATTAAACCCAAAAAAAGAACCCAAATGGATACGAAAAGGGAATTTTCCTGATGTTTTCATATTTATGTTATTAATTTTACCCTCATAGACATTTATCTCCTTAAAAATATAAAATATTTTACATTGCATTTCTAGTCTGAATAAAATTTGAATCTAAATGAGATCAGCAGAAACTTTCTCAGATGTGAATTCAGTTTTGGCGTATCCATTGCTTTAGGTATCATGATGAAACTAATGTGCAATGTAGATAAACTAAAACTTTTTCATTTTAATCAAGCATTCATGTTACTAACTTTTGTTTCATTTCAAATGTGCTTCCTATGTATTGATTCTTGAGCTCCGACAACATTTAATTCCAACTAGATATACAAATTCCATGATAAAATGTAGATAGTTCCAGATATGCATCCATTTAAATCATGTTAGATATTTAATTATTTTCTACACTGGTACCCTCTGATAATCCTAAATAAACCATATTGGAAAACTAATAAATTTTGGTAATCAAAAATATGATACGAAAGTATAATAAAATAATTTGTCTTTGATCTTATTTAATTATTTATGATTCGATTCTTTCTCATAGTACATAACATATTATGTTATGTTATGTATTTATTACATTAACATCAAAGTTTTGCTTTTGCTCTTGAAAGAATGAAATCAAATAAAATTAGAAACAAAAACATAAAGACGGAAGGAAATCTACTTAATGACTGAAAGCAGAAAATCTTTCTAATCTTATTGTCTTCGAAGGTTTCTTATAACAAATGCTTTGATAACATAAGAAAGTCATTTCAAATCTTGAACGAATGAATTGGCTGTCGCTAATAGAATTTTTTTCAGATTCTCAATCAAAGAATGTAACCCAATTAGTGCTTATTGGGTGGGCAGTTTTGTTGATTTATTTATATTTTAGTGCTTTAGGTATGATTTTTCTGACGTGATGGAAATGAGGGAAAAGCTCCGAATAAATCATGAAAGCTGTCAATAAATAATTAAATTTATTTACATTTACTTTCAAACATCATGTGGGTTTGTTGTCTACATTAGCCAAACTTTTCATGCTTATTTTTAGAATGAAAAGCTTTTAATCATATGAGCGTCTGTACATAGCTCAGACACATAGATGAGACTCAATTGTTCGTTGTATTTCTCCATAGATATGCTTTCATGAAATTAAAAATAACTTTGATGCTGTTTACAAATATTTATGAGAAAAGCGAAACCAAACAACTCGAGGCGCTACACTCGACGAATAACATAGTAAAAAAAAAATGTTAAAACCATTTCAATGTAAAAACATTAGAAGAATGAAAACATTTTTATTTTCTGCGAGCAATACCTACATAAGCAATTTCAATCGTCTTCGGATGGGGCCTTGAGAAAACTTTCACTTGTTGTGAAATTTTATTTTGCAAGTCTTTTATTTTTTCGGATTTGCGATTCTTGTGGAACCGAATTTAGCTACCTATTTCATATTAAACGCAAGACACGAATAAAACTGCTTAATCATTGAGTTTTTCGTTTAAGAAATTTGAATCTTGAAATGAGAAAAGCGTCGCCTGAAGGCATTAGATAAATGTTCTTTATGAAAGTTGACTGTTTAACGATAGCGAAAACCTTTCAAGAGAATAACAAAGATGCAAATTGTGATACCAAAGCTGCTACCGAAAGAAAAAAAAATCAATTTTCTTAAAAGTTTTGACTTCATTGTATTCAAGAGTTGGTTAACTTATGACAGCAACAGAAAGTTTCGTTCTTTCCTAAAAAGCTTTTTTGCGACTTTATAAAATCAATCCGTCACATTGTTATAACTCCAGCCTTTTATTCTGAGAATTCTGTTCTCGGTTTGTTCCTCATAGATAAACTAGAAATAAAAGTTGCTACATAAATTTTAGTAGGGATTTTCAATTCTCTTCAATACTCCATTGTGTCCAAATTTTCCTGAAAATATGTTCTTGTGTTGAATATTAAATGTTCAACATGAAATGTTTGCATCCTTAGAAAATTTCAAATTAATTCTTGTTGAGGAAATTCCCTTTGAAAAGTATTTATTCTCACTGTTCAGTTTAATTAAATATTTACAAAGAGTTTGTTGTTAAAATCGTTACATGAAAATTTTAAGCTTTAAGCTTTCACTTGACCCATGAAAAAGTTTCAGATGTATGCTTAATAAAAAACTAAACAAACCCTCGCACGTTTTCTCTTAATTTATTTGTCCCTTTAATTTATTAATGTTTTCTTTTCATTCCGTAATGAAATAAAAACATTTTTAACTCAAAAGTTCTAAAAATGGGGAAAGGCTGAACAATGCAAGGAACAATGTAAATATTTCAAAAGTAATCAATCCTGGACTAATTTGGATGTACGTGACCTGAATAATTCTTTTATGTGGATATTAAATTTATCTATGTAGATAATAGGTGCAATAAAAGTTGTTTTTATTTATTTTTACTCGTAGACATTGCAAAAAAGAATTTTTTGGCCTTTAAAGCCATTCAAGGTGAATTTTCGTAGCATGAGGTAAACGAAAAACGGAATGTAAATTATAAATTGTATGCAGAAACTTTCCATAATTTGATTTTTCATACTTAGTCGAAAAGAATTTTCTCATTACGAAAAACAAACTTTTCTCAATTTACAAAACCACCTTCTGATAAACGTAAAACCTTCAACACAGGAATATAAAAGGGAAAAAGAAGACTTGGTTTGATACTTTTCTTCATTGCCTCCTTCTTAAGTTAGTATTTGGTTTTAAAACTTTGCGAAAATGAAATCAGAAAAAATGAAAATCAAAATAAAACTTTTTAACTTATTTATCATCTTACTTAAATAAAAATTTCAAAAAGAATAAAACAGAATTTCTTTGAAAATTCTTTTGTTAAAAATAAGATTGAAAATTCATTGAAATTCTTTTTATGTAGCTTTGAGATGAAAACATTAAATACTTATTCATACTCATTACTTAGAGATGATGTTGAATTAATTATGTTTGGGATGATAATGCTGACTGAAGACTTGCCTACATGATTCCAAAATAAAAAACCCAGTAAGCTGAAGGTTCAATATTTTTCTAAGCTTAACAATAAACACAAATGATGTCGACCACAAAGGACCTTTAACAAATTTTCCTCCCTTCTTGATGCCAAAACAATACACTTCAAGGCGTAAGACGTATCCAAAAACAAAACTTTTTTTTCTCCAAAGCTCACGAACTTTGTAACAACAAATTTTAATAAAAATCCGATAAAGAAAGAATGAAGGGAGCTTGGCAAAAGACGGAAAACAATGGTTAACTGGTATTACGTAAATTATTAAGATTTTGTCGGTCAAGCGTTAAGAAACATTGCTCCGTTTGCGATTTACAACTGTAGATGAGAACTCTATTGGGAAATCTTGAAGTTTTAGTCAATAAGAAGAAAGAACGAGTAGAATGTTCATCACATATTATGTTCTATCCCTATGGGTCTCACATGTTAGCGTTCCTTTCATTTAGTAATGTAACGGAAACTCAAATGTAAGTACTTGTGGTTCTCTTATCGTAATAATTAAAACCGTCAAAATCTAACATAAAATGTAAGCTGAGAAGTTTTCTCTTGAAATAGAAAAGTTGACTTACCACAAATGATCAACTGAGAAGGCAGAAGAACTGAAAAGTTCACGAGAAGACATCAAGGAATAGTCGTTAAATATGATATTCAACACTTTTTGTATATCTTATATATTTGGCAAATCAGTACACATAATGTAACATTCTCAAACCACCACAAATAAAATATTGGATCAATAATTCAACTCATCAATCATGCAAACGGAAACGAAGTGTCCACATCATTTTATGGAGCTAAACGTTCATAAACCCATCCATTTTCACCACGATGAACCAATTTGTCGTTGACTTCTTCATCGCTCTTGCGGAAGCGAATTCTGTCGTGCAGTCGATTTGTTTGACCTTGCCAAAACTCAATTGCCCTCGGAGTAATCAAATAGCCACCCCAGTTTGGCATGGGAACAACACCAGAGTCTCCCACTTTTTGCTTAATTTCTTCTTCTATAATGTCAATGTGTTCTCGACTTGGAATTAATTGAGATTGTGGGCTTGCAAGTGCTCCAATTTGACTTGCACGAGGTCGCGAGTGGAAATAACTTTTAGATTCTTCGTGACTTATTTTTGTGACACTTCCTTCAATACGCACAGATCGTCTTAACGGAAGCCAATAGAAAGCGACGGCAACATTGGGATTAACTTCCATGTCATCTGCTTTACGACTTGCATAATTAGTGAAGAATGTAAATCCTCTTTGATCCGCACTCTTTAGTAGCACATAACGATTTGATGGAAATCCATCTCTTGAGGAAGTTTATTAGTATAAAATTTTATTTCTTTATTAGTTTAACTCACTTGCTCACTGTGGCAAGACACATTGCATTTGGTTCAAGTATTTCTTCAGTCTTTGTAGCTTCGTTGAGCCATTTTCCAAATAAATCAATCGGATCTTTCTTATCTATTGACTCTTCTCGAAAGATATCTCGTTTCTCTTTATATTTAATGCGCAATGCTGTTAAAAGAGTCACGTAATGGTCATAATTTAATATCATCGAACTAGTAATAACTTACATGCAATATCTACAGAAGACATCCTTCGAATAATTTGAAACTGTTTCAACATCAAAAGTTGTAAATAAAAGTTGTTGAGAAAACCTAAACAGTAACTTCAGCACCACTAATTATTCGGCACTTTAAAGTAGAAACGTTTTTGGTAACTTTTATAAAAATATTTTCTTTTATTATCGATGAATAAATTTCATATAAATCATTGATGAAAGGATAAATATTTCAATCGCAATAATTAGGATCAGAATCAACTTGTTGTAAAAAATATTTCTCTTCATTACACTCAGGATCTTCCTGCTTTCAAATAATCCATCATTTGCATTATCAAGTCTCTCGGATGTTCTTATCAGTGCTTCTCTTTGGGTGTCTAACTCTGATAGTATTTCAGTCCCAGTATTTTCTGATTCAATCGCAATCTATTGTACAAGAAAAATATTTGTTCTTGTTTTCATCCAATTATTCATAAAAGCAAAAATAAGAAAATTTCTTTACTTGATTACTTCTCGCGATACTTGCTGAAGTTCTTTCAAGGATTTGTCTTCCTTCCAAAACCGTTCTTCGGTTATGAGCATCCCAATCATAATTCGACATCACAATTAATTATTTTAAACACTTAAAAACAAATATAAAATAATCTTAAAAAATTGGAATTCTGTTTGAAAACAAAAACAAACATTTGCGATTCGCAGCAAAATCGCAAAAGTTTTGTTAGAAATCGTTCGTTCACATTCACGGAGAAAAATTTAAATTGCGTATAGTCAAATTGTTAAAATATCGGAAGACTTCAAAGCTAAAACTCTTTTTTTATATTATCTCCTTATTTTTAATAAAACATAAAATAACTTTAAATATAAATAATTGAGAACTCGACAGATTTCAAAATATTAACTCGCTCAACAATTTTCCTTCAGTGTAAGAAATATTTTGTTTTGGTGACTCGAAATAATTTTTACTCAATATTTAAAAATAATTGTCGAAACATTTATAAACTTGATTAAAAGAATAAGTGAAATTTAATCATGATAATGAATATAACGTCTGCAGGTAATGATTATTTGCCATGATTCTGTAGTTTTCATAAAAAATTGATTTAATTTCGCAAGTCATTATAACCTAGAATAATTTGATTAATAATATTATCCAATTTCTTAGCTGGAATTATTTCTCTGCTTGATGAGCCAATTCCTGAACTGCAAGTTTTTGCATTGAAGAAGCTGGATAGCATCGTTGATGAGTTTTGGCCTGAAATTTCTGAAGTTGTTGAACGAATGTAAGATTTGATTTCAAATTTATTATTTTTTACAATTCTGAGTTTAATTTCATAATTTTAAACAGTGAAATCCTTCATGAAGACAAGGATTTTCCAAAGAAGAACTTGGCGGCTTTAGTTGCTTCCAAAGTTTATTATCATTTGGGTGAATTTCAAGATTCATTGACGTTTGCTCTCGGAGCTGGCAATCTCTTTGATGTAAATGCTCGTAATGAATACGTCGACACTATAATTGCTAAATGCATTGATCATTACACTCAACAACGAGTTGCTCTCGCTGAAGGTAATAAAATTGATAAGCCAATTGACCCACGCTTGGAAGCAATTGTAAACCGAATGATTGAACGTTGTTTGGATGATGGTCAATACCGACAAGCTTTGGGCATTGCTCTTGAAACACGTCGTATGGATGTCGTTGAAAAGTCAATCATGAAGTCAGATGATGTCACTGGAATGCTTGCTTATGCCTTCCAAGTAACAATGAATTTAATTCAAAATCGTGGCTTTCGCAACACGGTCTTGGAGTGCTTAGTTGAACTCTACCGCAACTTGGGCATTCCCGACTACGTCAATATGGTTCAATGTTTGATCTTTTTGGAACAACCGATGGTTGTTGCTGAAATGCTGGATAAACTTACTAAAGGCGGAGATACACAAGTTCTCATGGCTTATCAAATTGCTTTTGACTTGTACGAATCTGCAACCCAAGAATTCCTTGGTCAAGTTTTGCAATCTTTGAAAGAAACCGCACCAGTCCCGTCAGCGCTCGTATCCAACTTAAAGCCTCAAGGCATCAAAGAAGGTAGCAAAGATGAGAAATCCTCAAAAGATTCCGACGTTGAAATGTCAGAAGTAAAGCCCGAACGTTCCATCGAAAGCTTAAATGACAGCGAGAAAATTCATCAGAAAAATATCGAAAAACTTGCAAGCATTTTATCGGGTGAAATTTCAATTGACCTTCAACTTCAATTCTTAATTCGAAGCAACCACGCTGACTTGCAAATTCTTCGCGCAACAAAGGAATCTGTTCGAGTTTCCATTTGTCATACAGCAACTGTAATTGCAAATGCTTTCATGCATAGTGGAACGACAAGCGATCAGTTCCTTCGTGATAACTTGGATTGGTTGGCACGAGCAACAAATTGGGCTAAATTAACAGCGACAGCATCACTTGGTGTCATTCATCGAGGACATGAACAGGAATCACTCGCACTCATGCAAAGCTATTTGCCAAAAGAATCCGGGCCTTCAGGATATTCTGAAGGTGGCGGTTTGTATGCTCTTGGATTAATTCACGCAAATCATGGCGCAAATATCATCGATTATTTACTTCAACAATTAAAAGACGCTCAGAATGAAAATGTTCGTCATGGTGGATGTTTAGGACTCGGTTTGGCTGCTATGGGAACTCATCGTCAAGATGTATACGAACAACTAAAGTTCAATTTATATCAAGATGACGCAATTACCGGCGAGGCTGCTGGAATTGCCATGGGCATGGTAATGTTAGGCTCGAAGAACGCATCAGCCATCGAGGATATGGTTTCGGTGAGTGAAGTTTAATGATGCCCGCTTTTGCTTTTCGAGAAATTATGGATGTGCGTGGGGAAAGGATGTGTGTTGAATTTTGTTTGCTAAAAAAGGAAATTTTTATTTGGGAAGTTATCCACATGTTTGATGGTAAAATTTTTGTTTGAGCTAAAAAAAGCGTAGGAAAATCTTCCGCCATGGCACGTGCTACTTATAATGAATGAATAGAAATCACCTGCTGAGTTAAAAAGTGAGAATCCTGTGTATCTACATTAGATTAAGTCGACTTGTTAGGAAGTAATTTTGTCACAAAGGCGAAACTTTTGAAAGCATCTTCTAATTAAATCTCATCATCATCTTGCTGTGTTTTGTTTCCACTTTCCTTTCTTTGAGCTTAGAAAACGAAGAACTTGAAGTTTAATGAATCTACTTAAAGTTTAACTGCTAGTATGTCTGGTAACTAGAAAAACTTTCCTAAGATGATAACTTTTTTCAGTAGCTCGACATTAGGTGCTTCTTTCGTTGAATATATTTATATCTACTATGTATAAAGAACAGAACGTGGAACATCTTTTAATACTCTTGACACTTGAAACATTCTTAATCGCATTTTTTCTGTGGTGTTTGTAAGGCTGTCAGCTTCTCATTTAACTCAATCATCTCAAACTTTCTCTTAATATCTAAAACTGAGTCTTTCTTCTTATTTTATGTGTAACCTTCTTGACAAACTTTATCTTTTGAACTTATTTTTATGATTTGCTTTCCCCATGAGATGAACACATAGAAAAAGGTTAAAAATAAATAAAGATGTGGAAAACACGAGTAACCTTCACATATATCATGAAATGATCTAAGAACAAACTCGAATCACTCTCACAACAAAATTCGCATCTCGAATCTCGAGAGAATTTCGTAAATTTATGATACCCAAACATCTAATTAAATTTCATAATCTCGGTACGTGGCAGGCAGGCGATGTTAAAATAATTGAAAAGAATTAATTCTTTTCCCTTAAGCCTTATGTTTGTCCATTAATCTGTTGCATGTTCACTCACTTATTTAGATCCAAATAAAAATAAAGAAATAAAAGCATCCCCAAATCCTGTGATGAAAATGTTTTTTCCTCGGAAAAAGGGAAGTGAGAGAAAAAGGGCTTTATTTTTGAGGTTGAAGACTTAATCCTTTCTCGGGATAGATTCTTTAAAACATTTTGACATGACCAACGTTTGCGAAGAAATATTTACGCTTTAAAATGAGTTTTTGGGTAGACATTTCGGTTATTTAGTGAAGAAATTCGAATCAGACTTAGGTTTTAAATCCCTGAATTTAAATTGGTTGGCATTGGAAGTTTTACAATAATATTTAACTTCTCAGCTCTAAATTGCAACATCACAGATTTGTGAATTTGATTTTCATGTACAAGGATAGCGAAAATTCGTGTTTTCACGCCCCAAATGGCAAAGCATTGTCATCAGATTTTCGTTTCAACAACGACTAATTGGCATGATGAAGAAAAAGGGAAGAAGAGAGAAATCTTTTAATGACTAATATAAAAAATTACAAAAGAAAAGCGAATTGCAGAAAAAAGGAAGCAAAACCCTTTATTTAGATCTTATGGGAAACTTTTTGACAATAAATACACAGAAAAATGGAAAAAAAACATTGAAGGATGTTAATTAGCATCGACTTTGTTGTTCGCTTATTTAATTTCCATGTTCTTCAATCAGCAACCGGAAATTTTTGTTTTTACTCGCAAGTTGTTTTTATTTCTGTGCACTTCCGAAACCGCCGCCACTCATTGTTAATTAGAAATAAATTTAGAATTGCTTTGAGCGCTGTTGAAATTAGATTTTATTCTGCTTCATATTTAATTAAGCTTGAAATATTAGTTTCTGATTTTAACTGACTATGACGTTTTATGAAACACTTAACCGGTTGAATGGAAGTACATTTATGTGTGGTTTGCATAGAAATGCATTTAAGTGGAAAACAGATTTGCTATGAAGATAATTGAAATGGCTTTCATTAATTAAACTTTTCATAAAATCTACTCGAAGTTTTCCTAATGTATCAAACTCTTAAAATTTCAACAGTTTTGCACTAATTGTCTACCCGTTCATTTGCCCTCATGGTGGTTTGAATGAGCTTTTAAGACTCGTATGAAAGTAGGAAAGCACTCAACCAAAGGCTATCATTGAAAAGCGGTCGTTTAGAAAAAGAGCTGATGGTAAAAGCGGTCTGTTTACATTTAAAACCTCAACGATAAATTTAAGAGAGGAAAAGAATCTTTGCGGCAATGTCATGAAAACTCATAAAAGTCATTTTTCACTTTCTGCCTTTTTGGCGATTTTTTTTCCTTTGGCAAAAAGAGAAAGCGATAAACATTTTGATTTCCATCCTATTACAGTTCACCCCATTCACTTGACATTACCGTTTCAAAGCTCTTAAGAATTTTACATAAATTTGCAATCAATTCCATTCAATTTTATGGTCTAAATAGGATGATCGAGCTAAATTAACTATTTTATTTTATCCCTTTACTTGTGCCATGTTTAAAAAAACTTATGCTTTATAATTTATGGGATTATTGATTTTTTTATACTTTTAAGTCCGCACATTTTACCTCGCTACTATTTTGGGTGAAACGGGAAGGAAAATTGGCGCATTGAAAAGGTTTTCTCACAGGGAGAAGAAGGAAATAAAAAGTTTTCTTTATCTAATTTTCAATATATTTTAAGGCAAGAAAGTTTAATGCTGCAATGGCCTTAATCCTCTATCATTATTCTCTTCCCTCTCTTCTTCTTTAACTCGCGTTGTTAAAAATGAGACCGGGATTTCATCCATTACCTTCCTAGCCTTCTTACATCTTTCCCAAGAGATGCTTAAGTCTTTCCTACTCCTTTTTGTTCCTTGCATAATTCGAAGCAAAATATTTCAAAAAAAACTCGACAGAGATAAGCTTTAAAAAAATGTGAAGACACGTTCAGAATTTCATGCTTAACAACGTACAACATTGACGAGAATGTCGAGCTTTAGTAAAAGCTCCTTCTAAAAACAAAAACAAGAAAAAAAATTAAACCTTAACAAAAAGCAGATAGGAAATTCTTACAGAATTTAATAAATTTATTATATCGAAGTATTCTCTTTGTAAAGCTTTTTTAAGTCTTCTGTGTCTCGACAGAATTTCGAAGTCGTTTTTGAGAGATTTTTACCATAACTTTATTAATAAATTATGAATTGCGAAATATGTATGATAAAATGCTTATGATTTTACATATAAGGTAGCAATATGTAAGCATTTGAGTAAGCACCAACGGATGTTATTAATTTTACTTTTTTGTAATACTTTATCAGAGCTAAGTGATTGAAAAATTTTAGGATTAAACTTCCGATCCAAGTTGTTCGGTTTAAAAGTTATAACAAACTTTCCATACCCATCTCTGGTTATAATTCGCCGCTAAATGCAGAAGGTAATCGACCACATTTTAATTACCTTATTGAAGGAGAATTTGTTTGTCATCCTTTGTGGTTTCTTTCACAATTTACTCCCTTTTCAAAAATATTTACGAGATATTTAAAACTTTTTCCACAATGAAACCAGTTTAACATTTGACAAATAATTATGCTCAAATTCAACATAAATAAGATGAAAATTTATGTTTCTAATTTAGGGTGAAAAATGTAATTTCGGAAGCAATGTAGTTTCGGAAGCTTACGACAACAGTGCAAACAAAAATAAATTTTGGACGAACTGATACATTTGTTCGCTATTTGAAATTTTTTCTATTTAGGCTATTAGTTATAGCACATATTTGAGCAGTCAATTGATCTGCTTGAATAACATTTAATTTTAAAATCGATGTTAGATTTCGTTTTGTTTTTTCTCATGGTTTTGGTCTACCATTCCGAAAAAACCTCATCGATTTTCATCAGAAGTTTTATAAGCCTAAAGACTTAAAAATTAAACTTCTATTTTAACAGAATGTTACCTTATTTGGTATACTAAATAAAAACACTTCGATTTATATTTAGTTTTAACAATTTGTAGCATAATTAATAAAAATGTTAAGGCAAGTTTTTGAATGTTGATTCGCAAAGCGTTTTAATGTTGATTCGAAAAGTTTTTGTGTAGCAATATTCTTCAACTTGCGGAAGTTTTGTCTACTGTTGTTTACATTTTTATTTTAGTTCTACAATAAAATGAGCTAAAATGTTTTTAATTGAAACTTTTTTAATTTGTTATTTAAACTAAAATTTAATTATGAAAATGAAGCTTATTTAATTCATGAAACGAGACAGAATAATGTTTGTTNTTTAAAACTTTTTCCACAATGAAACCAGTTTAACATTTGACAAATAATTATGCTCAAATTCAACATAAATAAGATGAAAATTTATGTTTCTAATTTACATAAAGTTTAATGGCAATTTCGAGTTGATGTCAAAAGCTTTGAGATGTTCTGTTTTTATTGTATATTCGATAACATGATAGAAAGTTTTATTGATGGAGTTACTTAAATCCAACTAAGCTTTCCTCTTCATTACTCTAATGTATACATCATTTATCAAATGTCCCAAATAGTCTGGAGTTACATACCATTCACAATTCGAAATTTCCATTCCCTTGTGTTTACTGGGAAACGAGGGCAAAAATCTATTTCAATGGAATGAATTATTTGATTTCTCTCCTTTCACCAAATCATGAGCAAATATTTGAATGGCATGGAATGTTATCACATCCGAATAATGTTAAATGCTCGTACTCTAAATGGAAAACAAGATAAAAAAATATGTACGAAAAGCTGTTTGTTCCCTTTGAATTCAATTTGGAAATTCTTCAAAATTAATTTTAACATGAACCGCTTTATGTCATAAACAAAAGTGCTTTTTTAACATTCAACGATCTGAATAAGCACCTCAAAATATTCACTACGCCATTCACTTGTTTCGCACCTGTTGCAGTGAAGAAGAAGGGTTTGGGAGAAGTAGCAGAAAAATTGGTTGTGAAAATGCTTGTTTGACATTAATCTACGTTCCCTTTTGGGCTTTCCCAATAATTCATGCAAAATAGGTGGAGGAATCTTAAATTGAAATTACTTGTTTAGTTGAGTAGTTGAAATTAATTGAATTCCAACCATTAATAACGAGGATTTTCCCTCGAAACATGTTTAAGTATTCGCTAATATTATTTATCATTATCAAGCAATGTGGAAAGAGTTGAGTAGCAACATTATAATTCTTTAGAGTCTATTAAAGCCCAAGATTGAAATTTCTAATTGAAAAAGCGACGTTATGAAGGAAGCTCCGCTCGTGATGCTTCAAAACTTATCAATGAATATTACATCATGGCAGTTTTTTTTTATTATACATTGTGAACGTGCAGAAAATATTTTATGAATCCTAAACCATCATCAAATGCTCAAATTTCTTAAGGAAAAAAAAAGAAAGCATGAAAAATCCTCTATTTGTATGTATTCATTATAGCGTGATAATGGAAAGTATTTTCGTACACCTCTGCTTGCCTAATGTTGAAGACTTACGATAGCAAGTCAAATATTTGAAAGAGTTCTTTTATTTGCTTTCTTTTCACAAAGAAACAATAAAAATTCACCTCAAAGCCTCAAACATTTTTAAATAAAATGAAAAGATTTTCCTGCAAATTTTCATCAAAAAACTGCGATGCTTAAATTCATAAAGATTTTTTTTTATTTGAAAAGCGTTTGAGTTTTATTTATTTATTTTTTGAGATGCTTTTTAGGAATGATGAGCTTCGTTTGACGTCAAAAAATAAAAAATAAATATATGTGAAGAAATAACAAAGAATGAAAAATATTTCATTTGAATTTTCCTTCCACTATTCTTTCAGTATGCTCAAGAAACTCAACATGAAAAGATTTTGCGTGGTTTGGCTGTTGGCATAGCTTTAACCATGTTCAACCGACTCGAGGAAAGCGATGCTCTGGTTACGAGCTTATCAACCGACAAAGATCCAGTTCTTCGACGAAGTGGAATGTACACGATCGCAATGGCTTATTGTGGAACTGGCAACAATCAAGCTATCAGAAAACTACTTCATGTTGCCGTAAGTGTCTCATTAAATTTGAATATTTAAATTCGGGTGCTTGAATATTCTTATCATGAATCTTTCTGCTCTTGAAAAATCGTGGCAAATGATATTCGTTTGCATCGCAGTTCTATATTTTATTCACACTCAATACGTATTTGCCTTCATCTTTCTCTCCTTACGTATACTTACATCATGTATTGTTATTATTATTATATATTTTCCTTTTCATTCTTCCTTTTAACACGAAAAAAAAGGTTTCCGACGTAAATGATGATGTTAGAAGAGCTGCTGTAACTGGAATTGGATTCTTATTATTTAGGTGAGTGCAAAAATCATCATTCCTTTTTCGGTATCCTGATGACTTCTTCAAGTCGGGACTTATCGCCCTCGTTTCCTTCTTCTTTTTTATTATTTCATAACATACTTAACTCTCGCATTTCTTAGCTCTCGAAAAGAGTCTTCACGAGAGCCAGACAAGAAGAAAAAAGAAATCTTGAAGATTAATTAACCCAAAATGCGATAACCCTCGTTTTGTAGAAAAATTCAAACATCTCGTTCACCGCATTCATGCAAGATACTTAAAGAAAGAGCTTTCAAAGTATTTGAAGAGAAAAAAAATAAGAAAGAAGGAAAAGCGAAAGAAATGGAAGTCAAAATAAGAAAAAGCAATAATGAAAAATGAGAAACTCTGTTTCTAAGCATTTCTCAAAGAAAACAAGACGAACGTTCATATTTCGATCGTCTTGAAATTAAACACAATGAAATTTTGTTATCAATATTTGACAATGATGCCAAGAAATGGGAAAAAAAGAATGAATTGAGTAAACGAATCATTTTTCTCTTTTGCGCTTTATTTTTATTATTTTTTTCAATCTCCAAATCTGAAAAATTCGAATTCAATGACAGTGAAATGTTATCGATTGAACGATTGAGGGAGGACACAAAAAAAGAAGTTTTTTCTTTTCATTTTGCGTTCACCAGAAACGGAAAATAATTTACCATGTTGAAGCTTATTATGTTATTTTCATTCATTCGCTCATTCATACAGCTTCTTTTTATATTTAACTTATGTCATCATGCATTTGAAGGAAATAAATATGATGGAAGATTCATTATCGAAATCAGGGTAGCATATGCTGCTTACTTATACCAACTCATAATCTGAAGAAAGAAACATTGAAAATGACAGGAAGTTGAATTTGCAAATCTCTCAGCTCGCTTGAGTTATTTTTATATCATGAAAAAATTATTAATGGATAATCTCGTGGCTTCCATTATGAAGAGTTGTAATTGAAAATAAATTTGTTTCCTTAAAGCAAAGTACATTTAGAAATGTTATCAATGTGATGGCTCTAAATGTGCCTTCATTTGGAGATTTCAATGATAAAATCTTTTTACATTTCCTTCAGTAGGTTTTCAATTTTAAAGGAAGGAAGAAAATGGGGAATGTTCACTCGGTTCGTCATAACAATAAGTGAAGGAAGACTTTAGACATTTGATAGCTGATGCGATAAGACTACTAAAGATTTTAAAGGAACAGACAAAAAATAAGCTTTTCAACCTTTAAGTTTTCAGTTTTCTTATCAAAATTAATTGAAGGGATTTGAAAGACGAAACTTTTTGTTCCCAATGCCCAATTTGAGAGAAGAATTCTTATTATTAGCGGTTCTGTTGCTGCTTCTGTTTGTTCACTGAAAATTATGTAAACAGAACATTGACAAAGATTGAAAATGAAAGTCATTATCTTTCTCATAATTTCTTTAATGATTTGCTATGGTTTCCTTTTTTATTTTTTTCCATTTGTTTCTCATTTCCCACAGTAAAATTCTTTCATTTTATTATCACTGACTACTCATAAATTACATTATTTGACAAACATAAATTATAAATGCAACATGTATGCGATACCCAATTTGCGCAAGTAATATTTCACAGAATTTTATTATGATATCTTTATGTATAAATTGTTATGAAAAGGGAAGAAGAAACACAAACGTTTCTATTTTTATAAAAGAAAAAGAAAAACAATTTCAATTCATGAGAACGTAAATTCTTTCTGTTGGCGTTTTCAACATCGTCAGTTCACTTTAACCCTAAAATTCTCAAGGAATTCAACAGGCTTATTTGACTCCCTTTTTCATCTTATAAAAACATTCTCTTTAAGAGTGGAAAACTGAAAGAGTTCTGTAAAAGAGGTTTTTCTTTTATCTCAATATCTTCAGACATTTTCGACATGAAAGATATTTATTTAAATATTTCAATTTTTCGAGGAACTCAATGAGTGACATTTTTGTTACGTGGGTAACTTTTACCTATTAAAATATTTGCAATATTTCCAGTAGAAGACGCCTCCATAGTAAACTTAATAATCTATTCCGTTTGGCTGATTAATTTTCCTTGAACGATCGCTATTTGGTATATTTTTAGATAGAAAGGAAAACACGATAAATTAAAATAATTGAAAATCCTTTCATTGCTTTCCTTTCTGCTGATTCATTCTTGATGCGAACTTCTATAGTTCGACATAAAAAAAAATATTTTTATGTTATCACAGCCCATTCGACATTTTTTTTTCTACCTTTTCTATCTGCTTTTACTTTTTTGCTTAGCTTAGCTTGACTTTAATTTATTGAATAGCATTTCTCTTCCCCAACAATTTCCGTGAAAAACAAGTAAATATTTTACGATTAATTTTTTTTCCTATTATTTTTAAAAAGGAGACAAACATAATAAATAATTCTACGATGTATACATACACATAGTAAACGTTACTATAGGAAAGCACAAGTTGAAACAGTCAGACAACAATTTTATACGATTTCATTACTTTTTTTGTCTTCATCGTAACTTGAAATCGTTGTCACATTTGTGCAAAGGATGAATGATAAAGTCTGCTTTACTTCTGTTGTCATAAATTCTCATTTGTTATCTCATTCTATGCTGTCACTTTAAAAAATTAAATATAATTTTTCATAGCTTTTAGCCAAAAGTTTCATTTTACAAAAGCTTTAATAGAAAATATATTTTATAGCTTAAAGTATTGAAGACAAAAAGGAAAGGAACTTTTATTTTTCCCGATATTTTCCTTAAGTTTTCTTTTCTATTGTGTTATAATGCGACAGAGGTTTCCGTAAGATTCTTATGTGATGGTGTCACCAAAATGGTTGGTTGTGTGTTAAACGCACTTCGGTTGCTGCTACCGATTATTCGTAGGTACCGGTCGCCAAATAGCCTTGCTTTTGTATCGACACAAAAGCACCTTTTTGAAAGCCTGCCGAAAGACTTTGTTGAAAATTGTATAAAAAATCGGATTCACCATCGATGATGCGTAGCCAAGCCACGTAACGAAATCGAATACGCCATGGCTGATGTTCGATTCACAATCCGGACAAACAGTGGGAAGAAGATTCAACACAAAAAAAGGCGCCCACAAAATGACAAATGTGAAAAAAACAACGCCAAGTACTTTTGTTGCTTTTTGTTCCAATCGAATTATTCTGCCGTGTCGTGATGAGTTGCGTGAGATAACGCTCGAGTTTCGTGAATGGTGAGAACGAATTGTTGTCGTCCTTTGAAGAATGCATGGTGATGATGGAACTTTCTGTGTCGCAATGCTATGTTCGTCGTTTGAAATGATATTGTTGTTGTGACGAAGTGTAACAGAGCGTCTTAAGGGAGTTGAATTGACGAGAGATGACTTTTGTGGTGACGGCGCGAGGGCTGTTCGTATAGAGCCACTCATGCTTGATCCCCGTCTCTGATATCGCCTTGAGTCCCAGGTCACAACAGAATTACATTTTGAGTAGCTATACTTGCTGTTACTTTTATTCATCGCACTTTGAGCCGATGGCAAGCTACTTGTTGATGTTGTGTTCTCGACGGAGATGCTTGAGGCCGACATAAATTGACTAGAATCGTTCAAATGATGTTTCTCTGGCGTCAAGAAATTGCTCGAGGATGTTGTTATGATTTTGACTTCAATTGGCTTCACTAAAGCGCAAGGCTTGTCGCCAAAGTACGGACATGTACATGGAGGTGGAAGTTCCAAGGAAGTCGTGTCGCGTTCATTGTTTTTATGTTGTTTCTTTTTCCGCTTTAACTCATTAATTTTTTCCATGATATGATTCTCGTTTTCTTCAGCACGTTCATCACGTTCCAATGTTTGTATGCTGTTAGAGCGTCTAAGACGTATTGATGATGGATTCTTGCTGTTGCTGTTGCTAAACACATTTAATGAAGCTCTTCGCTTCGTGGCCTTAACTAGCATACTAGAAGTTGATTTTTTACTCTCGCTGTTGTTGAAACTGTTGGAGAAATGGATGAAATTTATTAGATTTCTTAACCTTTGAGCTGTGTGGAAATGAAGCAGAGGGAAATTGTGTAGTTTTTCTTTCTGATTCAAATTGTGATATGTTAGAAGAGGGAAATCCATAAAAATTACATGATTAAGTAGTTTCCTTCGTGTCTTGCATTTCCTATGAAGAAATATGAATTGTCGGTCGGAGAGGAAATGTGACACAAATACTAAAATCCATTTGTTGCTACTTCACAAAAATGTATTTGAAAGTCTTCCAAAGCATGAGAATCACCGAGAGAGGTTGGAAAATTTTTCTTATTTTTTACTTTTTGGGGTTCTCTTCATCTTCGAGCTCGACATTAATTCAGATTAAAGCTCACAAGGAGAAAAAGCTTTCATATTTATTGCACTGATGCTTTCCATTTTTCTTTTTCCTTCCTTCCAAGTATTTGCTTCATACAAACATATATTGTGTTGAGCACCTGAGGGCGTTCCACTTCAACTCATCAGTTTTATGTGTATCTACTCAATGAGAAATGATTGCACATTGTTGAAGTTTTGATTCTCTTCTTCTTGTATCATGCAATTGCATTAAGAAGTTTAATACATTTGCTCAATCTTCCGTTTTAATCCTTTTCGAATTGAGACGTTTACGTCTTATTTATGTATTGTTTACTTACCATTCTACTCGAGTTTTATGTTGTTTCGATGAGTCTAAAGTATTGTTAGTCATTGTTTCACATTTCTTAGGCTCTTCGCATCTTCTTGTTGATGTTTCTGTGATTGGTGTAAATGATTCTAAGCCTCGAGAAAGCTTTAACATTTCAGCCCCAAATTGATGAAGTGCTGTCATTGTTGATGGTGTTGGTTCGGGGATGCTGGGGGTGAAACGAAATTAAAATATCCGATGATAATTAAATTTGATTTGTTTCGATCGTCACCTAGACTCTGGCAACCATAATTCATGGGTATTAATGTCAAGAGTTGACAGTTCTGTGTCTGTTGAACCAGCCGAATGCGCGTGATTTGGCGTTGACGGCAAACTCGTCTTAATGAATCGCTTCCATGTGTTTTTTCGTTCTATTCGAATGAAGATTAATGATTGTTTTTAATGGCGTCATTTTCATTTTATTTTTAATTACTTTACCTAATGGCGGGGCGATTCCAAGCCATCCACTCGACCATCCACTGCTTGTAGGCTTTCCACCACCAAGATTCTGTCGCTGTTGTGCTAATAATCTTACTGTCAATGTATACGTCAACAACATAACGCCTAAAGGAATGTAAAAACAAACAATCGATCCAACAAACTTGTAGACTGGATCAGGAATTTGACAGGTTCCATCAACGAGAACCGAAGCGTGATCCTATAATCGAAGGAAAAATAAGAAGATGAGAAATTGTTTTGTACAAAATCTTCTTGAGATTAAAAGCTTCTATAACAAACCTTAGAATACATTAAGCTCAATGGTAAGCTCATTGCAATTGACAGCAACCAAACAAAGAAAATTTTGAGAACAACTCGCCGGCGAGTCTTGTTTCTTCCAAATCGCATTGGGTATCGTAGTGACAGATAACGGTCAATAGATATTGTGCATAAATGCATTATACTTGCTGTACAAAATAGAACATCTAAACATATCCAAACAAGACAGTGTTCTGATTGTAGTGGAAAGTATCCTAAAAGGAAAACATTATTAACAATCTTTTGTTAGCTTGAAGCCTTTCATTGGCTTTCTCTTGCATTTAAATTATCGTCGCTTATTTATTCTTCATGTTTACCCTCATCATTGCACGATATGAGAATTGAAAATATGAAGTAGAAACTCTTTTCACATGTTACATTCCAATATGTATGCAAATGAAGAAGAAAGAAAAAAAAAAGTTTTAAAATTTCCTTAACGGAAGGAAAATATCATTCACTTGATCAGGATTGTTCGTGCGACAGAAATATTGTTGATTGACATTGACATTTGACAAACATTTAGGAATGTGTTTCGAACGCTGTTGAATTCACTTAAACGAAATAAATATGTTGGAAATCTTATTGAGATGGAAGATATTTAAAGGAAGGTTTGATATCTAAATATTTAAGATTTCTTTTCGTATTTCTTACAATTGACACTTCTGCGTAGCGCAAAGGGTGTCAAACGAATGAAAGCTTGAGGGTGTTGAAAATGTAGGTGGAAATTTAGTCACATCCACTCCTGTTTACAATTACATTGAGTATTTCCCTTTTTCATATAAAATTAAAATGATCTCAACTTCTCTTTTGTGCTCAAAGCCCTTTTTTTTGTATTTTTGACTTTCTTTTTGATGTATTTTGATTTAAATTCATGATGAAAAGCTAAGAAGAAAGCTCATGAAGAGCTTATTTTTATATTTTTATTCACAGTAGACTTATTTCAACATCAATGATTCCTTTTGCTTACCTCTAAACAATGTTACAATTCCTAAAGGCATTACGAGTACAGCAACCATTAAATCTGTTATTGCTAAAGATGCTAGAAAGTAATTGGTAACATTTTGTAATCGCTTTTCCCAAGCAATCGCTAGACAGACCAAAATGTTTCCACAGGCAGTTCCTAACACAAGGATTATTGCCAGTAGAGCCCAATAATTGTTAACATCCTCTGTCGCACTATTTGACAAATCTTTTGTAATATTTGTGCTGTTATAATTGTAATCCAAAAATTGATGATTGTTATTATTTGTTGCATAAGTTTCGTTCTCATAATCATAATCAGTTGCGAAGCTATCATTCTTTTGCAAATAATTGCCATCGCTTTTGTAAAAATTTCGTCCAACAGCCGAAAGCACCATTGATTTAAAATCATTGTCATCATAGCTTGTTGATGTCATTTTCTTCTTAAAGTTGTTCTCGAACTTTCACTTCTGCTTCCATTTATTGATGCTTATGCTTTTTTCCTTCTTCTTCTATTGTTCAATTTAATTAAAGTGTTCATTTTAATTGCTTCAACTATTCATGACACATCTCAGAATAAATCCGGAAAATCTCATTATCAACTGAAACGTAAAATAAATAATTCAGTTTAGCGCTTTCAAACCATGAAATTAGTCACAGCTTCACTTCGTTGCGCAACATTTCATCATTCCGATTTCATATACATTTATAAAACGATGTTAACAATAGTTTGAGTGACTCAAATCATAATTATCTTCCTTTAACGACACATATCACGAGCTTCACTTTTCATCATCACATAACTGGAATGTTTCTTATATTCCCACAACTTTCTATTGTTTCTGCTTTTTGATTGCTTCTCTTTAAACATAAATCTTTCTTATATCACAACCACTCCCTAACTTTGAGGCGATTTTAATTAAATTTCAAATTTAATTACCACCAACTGAAGTTCTTCCATCAAAAATCAGTTTAGGAAGTAAAAAAAAAAATCTTATCCAGTCCCATTTTGGACCATTTCATTCAATAAGTTTTCATTCCATTGGGCGACTTTTATTTATAAAAATTTTTATCGTTTGTCAATATTGGATTTGCAGCAAATTACATCAGAGTGAGAAAAACGACCCGATTTTTAGGTCGATTTCTTCCACTCTCTCCTACAGCTTCGCACTGTGGCAATCAATGTTGAATGTTTTTTTTTGTGCTCAACTCAATTGCTTCGAATTTAATGAAAGATAGATCACTGCACGATTTAATGGTTCCTCTTAATCTTTTTTTTCTCTTCTCATTTCTCGCGGTTTGAACGTCGCATGATTTTCGAAGAAAAATTGCAAAAGCTTTAGCAGGCAACTGAAACTGAACGCTTGTTCATTAATCATAAAAAAGAATTCTTTGGAATTTTGCAATGTAAACTTTTTTTCCAATGGAATGATTTGTAGGCGTTAAGTAAATGCGTCAACTGACGTTTTCATTCAAGGCTTGACAGCTTTAAAGCCTTTTGTATTTGCATATCAAATTTTATTTAATGTGTCATTTTGCCTTGCTTCATAAAACAGTTCAACGATCGTAAAGGCAATTCCTGAACATTCAGAGCAAATCAGAAAGAAAAGCGATTGAAGAAACCTGCAAAGAATGTAAATATCCGATAAAACTTTTCTTCATAAGTACAATCAATGAAAATTTCTGATGAAAAAAAAGGCAGGCAACTCGTTCGTTACTCAAACCTCCTCAGAGATTTTCTCAAGTCCTCCATAATGACGCAATTAATTTTTTGAAACTAAAGCAAGCTTTCTTCAAATCCCTTTCGTTCTCTTTTTATTTCGGAATCATTAAAGGAGATAATTAAGAAATAGAAAGGCGTGCATAAATTTTCATATAACGATGAAGAAGGTCATTTAGGGATAAAGGTTCCCATTCGAAATTATGTTTGATATCAAACATTGAAGCTCATTTGTAGTAATCTGATGCCAGGTCATGTTCGACATTGTTATGTTAGTTATTACACTTTGCTCGGATTGTAATTAACTTTTTTTTCTAGCTTGTTTATTGATTATATTGACGTATCCTATTTCGTTCATTCTCTTTCTTTTCCACCTCATGCATTAGCTTGAAAAATAATTTTTTATTTATATTATTAACGCTTCTAGAAAATATTACTTTAAGATAACAAATCCAACAAAAGCAAGTTTTTTTAATAAAATATTCAGACAACCGTTTACATATTTACAAATGTTTTCGCTTATTTATTATAATTTGGTTTGTGTTTAATTAATTGCGAAATCATTATTAATTGTAGTGTAGCTGCGATAACCGCTGCTAATGTTAGGGAAGATATAATTCAAACGGTGGAAACTTGCTTTTGTGAACTTGTTGTTTATCACCGTTAATCGATTTATCGTTAATCATCTACAAGCTTTTGTTATTGTTGGCTTCTCTCTCACTCTCTCTATCTATCTTTCTCATATATTCATTTCTTATGCGTGTTTTCATTACTGTTTCATTTGATGTTGATAGCGATACATTTTTTTTTATTAGTATTCGCTCGAAAAAGCAAAACAGAAATAAAACGAAAAAAAGGTTCATAACAATGATGAGAGATGCCCAATAAATTTTCCTTTTTTTATATGTTATTATTGATGTGTCAATATCTTATATTCATGTCAATAAATTTAGTATCTTTCATGTTCAGACAAAACAAAACTAATTCATTATGTTGAACATACACGTGCACGTCATATTTGTAACATATATCAATTGGATTTTATTTTATGAACTTCATAACATTTATAAATCCATTTTCTCAAATTTAATTTTTTTTTTAATTTTTAACTTCATATGCTTGGAAATTACATGAAGGTTGTTGACTGAACCACGCAAAATTTAAATATTTAATGAAGTTTAAATTTCTCGAAGGAATTTTTTGTTAATCAATTTTCTTTCTCTTTAAAGTGCTGCACTTGAACTTTTCGTACTTCTCTTTTTTTTTTTTTGTACAAATTAACCCATGACTCAGTTATATAAAACTTGCTAGGACCCGAAAATTTTCGAACCGTTTCATTTCTCTGCTGAATCGAAACTAGCATAAAATTCATTCACAATACCTCAGTCATCAATGGATGTACGAAGATGCATTTCCGAAGTTGATGGCTGAAGCGCAGACTCGTCTTTACGACAATGCCTTAGTTGATGACTTTACAACGATTGCAAGTATTGCCTGATCTCAAAAAACGTGCTTTTTTTCTTTCTTCAGCTTGTTTGTAAATACTTTCCTGCGCTTTTTGGCCAGGAACGAGCTGAACTGAAGGTCAACATCTCATTTTCCTAATGACACGTTATTAATTATTGTTATCAAAAATTTAGGTTAGTGTTTTTAGAATCATGATGATATTCAAATTTTAATGAATTCATTTTGATGGAAAAAATCAGAAATAACTTTATCATTCCACTCTTTATTCCTTACATAGAATATAGAAAAATTCATTCTGAACACAACTGAGGGAAATTTTGATTAACAAATTGTATCCATAATAATTCATTTATCACATTTAGATTACGATACAATTTTTGCCTTTAAAAGTTTTCTGTGTTTTTGTTTATACTAAAAGTCAAAGAGTGTTTAAAGGAAGCAATCATAATGTCGAAACGTAATTAATTTTCATTATTAATTATGAACATCAGACGTATGCATAATGGAGGAAAGAAGGTTAAATTAATCATTAGCTCATATAATAAAAGGCTTCACATTAATAACTTTTAAATCTCCGCTAGATTTTAATGTAATAAATCACAAATTCTTTATGTAACTTACGAAAGAAATTCTGAGTTATGGGGAAATAACTAAAATACCATCGAATTGTTTCAAAGTTTCATTGACAAGATTTCAAAAGTAAACTACAAAACATAGAAAGTAGCGCCATCTTATTGTGAAGTTTTATTCTAATGCAAGTGTTTCATACATTAACTTGTATGGAAGAATAATCTCAAATAAATTAACGTGACGATTTACAATGTAAGTTCAATTGCTTTCACTGCACTGCTAGTTTTGTTGACGCTTTTCAAAATTTCCAATATTTCCAAATCAAATAACTGATATAAATAAACTTTCAAAGGAATTTTCCATATATGATTTTAAACGACTCAAAGGAAATTCTCATTTTAAAATTCCTCTTTTTCTTTTGTAATACATACTTATATTTTATTCTTTTCAATTGAACAGTTATAACAACATCAAATTTTAATTCTTTTTTTCTTCTTTGCACTTTCAAATTCTTATCACATACAAGGAAAGAAAACATTAAAATTTAATAAGAGCAGATACTTTTTGTTCTACAATAGCGAAATATGAAAGTGTTATGTAGATTAATCGATATTAAAGCTATATTTAAAAATATATGTATATATATATTTTATAGACTCTTACACTTTAATTTGATTTTAATATGTTTGACATGACTTTAACAATCCTCATCTGTAATTTGGTAACTACTTCTAAAATCACTAAGGGGAGTTTGAACTGTCGATGGGGTTAACAAAGGCGCACCTTGTAATGAAATGGCTAAGGGAAGCGCTGACGGCACGCATAAACTGATTGCACTTCGGCCATCTGTGACACTTCGATATCGGGAGGGTCGACCAGATCTGAAATTGATTGGATTAAAATAATTTAAGAAAAACTTTCATTGAGTTTACTTACTTGTGACATTTACATTTAAGTAAGCGAATAAACGCTGCACGAAAAGTCTTATTGAAAATTGTATAAATGATTGGATTGATTGTAGATGACACGTAGCCCAACCATAAACATATCTAATGTTCAAAAAAATTGACGAAATAGAAGATAAAAAATGAGATTCTTTATTGTGTCGTAATTGCTCACGGCAAGGGACATCTTCTGACGCATACTCACATTTGTGATGTGATCAGGAACTTGACATTTAGGGCACGCTGCGAATAAAATGTTAAGAATGAAGAAAGGACTCCAACAGAGAACAAACGTGAAAAATACGAGCCCCAAAACCTAACAAGAGAATTTGAAATGAGGGCAAAGAAGGAAAAAGAAGAAGGAATTGAATTAAATTCGTTAGTGTGCTGTCATGATTCCACTAGCGGAGTTTGATTAATTTACCTTGGTTGCTTTCTGCTCTGTGGCGACAGCGTTTGCGGATAAATTTGTACGCTTCCGTTGATTCAAGAAGCCCAATTTGAAATTCAGTGATGGTGTCGGCACATTATTAAAATTTATTTTTAACGATCGCAATTTATGGCGACGAGTCTCTCGTTCAATGTTTTCGGGAGTTTGTGTGCTCTTATCAACTGGCCGTCCGCGTGATGAAGAAGAAAATATATTACGCGTGCTACTGTTGTTGCTATTGTTGTTATTAAAAGTCAGCAAAGGATGTGATGTACTTGTACTCATATTGTTGGATCTGTTAGGTTGAAAATTATATCTGATTACATGTGAAGGCTTTAAAGGCAAGTTTTAAAACAAGACAAAAAGAAAGCTTTTTCGTTTATCCCTTTTTCTACCCTCGACTTCATTTCTTTCGGTCTCTTGCCGACTTCAATCTCATCTTTCATGCAGATGAAGTGAAGGAAATGTCAACAATGTAAATTTCAATACTTTTCCATCTCGTGTACCTTCTTTCCGGTTTTAAGATTCCACCGCTGCCATGTGTTCTCCAACTCATTGAATTCTGTGATTGGGAATGTGAAAGGTTTTTGTTGCTGTTGTTATTGCTTCTGTGTTCATCATTGCGACTATTTCTTTCATGGTCGCTTGACGCTGATGGCTGCTTGGCCGAGTATCTTCCTCCACCCAGTCTAACGACGATCATCATGAAATTAAAATAAGAAAAATGCGATTTGACATTAAATTCAAATCTCATAATTAATCTTGTTGATTTTAAATCCGTCAACGACTGATGGTTTCTGAAGAAAGAAAAACTGCCAACTTCGAAAGGTATGTGACGACGATGGGAAGTTTGAAACAGAATCTCGTTGTTGTTTGTTTTTCTCTTGAGAATCTTGAGACAATTTGTGATAAATTCGAAGCCTGAACGACTGAAAAAATCTTTTTTATTCTCCTACGTTTATTTAAAGGCTCCATTTCTGTGCCAAGAACAAATCCCTTATTAGTTTGGTTTTATGTAAATTTCTGTCGTCTCGAGAAGGTTTCTGCTAATGCTTTTCTTTTGTTTATCAGTCTCATCATGTAAACAGCTTTTCTTATTCATGTATTTCATTTCAATATGTAAAAAAATATCAATATGACAGCATATCTAAAGCTTTATAATGACGGAAGAAAAAACTGCTGTCTACATAAATTGAATAGCATTTTAATGGAAGTTGAATCTCTAACAGCAACTCAGTATTGTCGCTTAGCATTCAATGGCGCTTTGCAGGTTTTTTATTTCATCTTTTCCAAATAATAATGATTCGGATAGATAAATATCAAAAATGAGAATTAGAAAAGGATTTAGAACTTTTACGGATATGCAAGAAATAACAAAACACGCTTCATGTGAAACTCAAGATCAGAAAAGAAAAGAAGGAAAAATTTCGTTTCATTACTTTTCTTCCTTGCAGCGCTCATGATTCTTTCGTTAGTTTTCATCACGTCGCTTGTTTATAACAACTTATAGTTACTTTATTTACATACCTACGAAACGTTTCGCTTTCTGAATGTTCAACAATAAAGCGAGCTTTCTTCTTCAGTAACTGAACAGTTAGAGCGTATGTGATGACCATGAGAACCATTGGCACATAAAATGCAAAGAGCGAACCAAAGATGAAAAACATTCTATTGTTGATTACACATTGCTTAGGTTTGGGCATTATGTTTTCTCTGTCAACGATTCCTGAAATGTTTAAATGAATACGAGAGAAGTTAATTTGATATTAAATTGCCAGTAGGAACTTTAACACTTTAGCCGCTTCCTACCTAGAACCGTAATTGACGAGGATATGAGCATCGCAAGCAGCCATACAAGAGCGATCTTGAAACTAGTCAACCGTTTCGTCGAACTCTGACGAGATCCCAAAGGGTTCCTTATACCTAAATATCTTCCTAGACTAATGAAGCACATGTGCAAAATGCTTGCCGAGCACGCTAGCACATCACATGTCACGTATACATTACACCATGTGATGCCGAAAGGCCAATATCCTAGAAAGAGAAGAACAAAACGAGTCATTGAGATATTCATGTAAATGCGTGCAAATCCTGTGAAGCAACAATAGGCAGGAAGAAGCAAAGGTGATTTACGTCTTTTCCACTCCTGCCAACTTCCTTCCTTCCTTTCATTTTTTGACAATTTTTTCTCTGCGACTGTCGTGAGATTTTAAACGCTTCCATTTAAACGAAGAAATCATGTGTGAAAGTAAATGTTCAAAGAATCGCGTCGAGTCACGACAGTTTTCATAAATGAATATTCTTTTGCTTTTAAAAACGCTGCGATTCGCAACTTGACTCTCAACAAGAAGCTTTAAAATTCTTCTACTCTGAGTGCTTTCAACTTCTGTAGATATGTTGAGAGCGAACCCATTGAAAAACGAAAGAAATTAAAAACGCTCTACCGCCTCCGTAAACAGTGAAAAGTTTGCTAGAACTTTGACAGAGTCGAGAGGCTGTGCGAGAGGAAAATCTCGCTAACTCCGATGCTGATTATAATTTCTATAAAGTGCTACAGTAGAGGCATATTAATTTAGCTTGTTACATATTTGCGCATTCTTTGATGAAGAGAAACAATTAGAAATAGGAAAGGCTTTCCTTTGTTTGCACAAACATTGAAACACGAGGGATTTTAATCATCAGACAGCTTTTCACTCATTAAATCGAGCTTTGAGCTTTGTAAAAATCTTGTTGACTAATGAAAAGTCTTTCGTGGAAATTCTTATGAAAATTCAATTTAAATTTTAATGTCGCTCTTAGGGAATGATTAACATATTTTATGTGAGCTTCAGGGGCAAATAAATAGATGAAGAGAAATGCAGACGAGACCTCAATTTAAATTTGTCGTAAGTCGCTTACATATTATTAGCCATGAAAGGTGAAGAGGCTGAACAAAGAAATTTGCATAGAAAATTCGCATTCACTCGTAAATTGAAAAGAAGAAAATTCTCACCTAAGAATGCCGGAACAGCTCCCAACGGCATTACAAACAGACTAACCAGTAGATCGGCAACAGCGAGGGAAAGAAGGAAATAATTTGTGACATTTTGTAACTTTTTATCCAATGCTACCGCCAAGCAAACGAGAATATTTCCCAGTCCACCAGCCAAAATAAACAAAATGACAAACAAGTAACTCCACTCATAGTGAAGTCGATTATCATTCTGACTGTGATTCACATAATCACTTGCGTTTAATGAATAATTCCTTATTATGTTATTTGAGTCAAACCGCGACAATTGGTCAACAAAATCCAATGAGTTGTTACTTGAATTCCAAATGCATTGAATATCTTCGTCGATTAAACTATCGCCGACAAACAACAGTTTGCCATCTGCTTCGAACGTTTGATTATTCCCGAAACTATTGGAACAATTCAATAGCTGATTCATACTTGTCCATCTTTTGAGTTTTCACAGATTTTCTTCACACAATCACAGCTAATCCATCATCAGAATTGACATTGTCATCACTCACTGTTCAATCATTAAATTGTATATGCAATTCTCATAACATATTCAAGTCAATCGCTTTACACACTTTGCAATTTGTTTTATTTCTTAATTCACTTCACTGATTTTACATTTATTTGCATGTTCACAACTTTTATGTCTTGTCGTCGTCTCCGTCTGCGGTTTTCAAACAATTTGGTTTACATCTGTAAGCAAAATGTGTTACATGAGACTACAATCTTGATATTCACTTTATTCTCAATGAACGCAATTCATTTTCAACTACTATTCCAATTTTCTTTTGTAATGAGACATTTTATCGACCATAATCATTTTATGGCTGAGGTCGAGGAAGCTAAATACTATTTAGCTTCTTCAAAGACATTGTCTGAAAGTGCAAATGCTTTTATAAAATTTGTTCTGGAAAACTTTTCCCTTGTTCTGTCTGCTGATCTTGTTTCCCACCATAAATGCTTTCATCTCATAAAATGCAAATTGATAATTAATATAAAGGAAACTCTTTGTGTAAAATGGAAGAGAGATTCAATGTAGTTTATAACATTTTCAAAGTTTGTTTCCAGTTTTTATTTTTCTTCGTGACCGAACAAGAAAATTTAATTATCAGGCACATTTTGTTTTTAACTATCCAATATAATTTACAAGCAAAAGTGCTTGAACTAAAAATATTTTAATTGTGCTGCTTTTGTTATTTATTTGTCATTCTGTTCATTATTATTGTGGAAGCGTCTTGCAGCTCTTTCGAATTATTTGTGTGCATGTATCGAAAACAATTCGAATTGTTTAAGAAAAAAGTGTAGAAAATTTTCAATGGTAGTTTCGAAATTTCCTTACTATTGATACATCTGTGTAAGTGTAAAATATCATTAAGTTTCAAGTGATTGAGTCGTAAAAGTTGAACTTCAGTAACAATTATTGAAAAATGTCCAAAATCTTTCCTCATAACCTTAACGAAACGTTTCACTAATGATCAATGTTTTTGAACAAATACAATTAAGAAATCACAAGTGGCAAGTCTCAGTTACGCTTAAAATTTCATAATAAGAGTTTGTAAACTATAATTGATTGAAATATTTCAGATGAAATTGTCCGGAAAATATTTTCATCTTGCCACTTATTACTTCAAATATTTAAGAGAAGAAATTTTGATTTTTCTTTCATACAATCAATCGCTGCGTGAAAATTCCTAAGTAGCAGATTTGATGGAAAAGTTATCGCGAGGTTTTATTTTTTATTAAGAAATGAAAAGGGGTTTGCGTGGAAGTGTAGAAATAAAGGAAGTGAAAGATTATTAAATTTTCCACCATTTCATTCCTGTTTACGAAGGAAATCAGGAAAACGCAGTCGATTTTCTGTTACATCATTCTTCAAATTTGTTTGTATTTAGCAAGCAAATTTACTCGCACATCGCGGTTGTTTCTTTCATTTCGTTCTGCTCGATTTACTTTTTTTCTTTTTCAAATATAAGAAGAAAAAAAGCGATTGAAAAATTGTCGAGGATATAGAAATGCATGCGACGAAGCATGAATGAGTTATCAGTCGAAATCTTTTGTTTTATCGCTTCAAAGAATTTCCAAGACATAAATCTAAGTAAATTCTTTTTTATTTTCCTTCATTCAACTTGTGATTCTTTGCAACTTTGAATGATAAGCATAGAAAGTCAGCGACCGAGAAAACTCGGAAGACCTTGATCTATTCGAACTAAATGATTATTTCCTCATCATTCTCACTCTTTCCCTCCATATCACTTTCTCTTCCCGAGCATAAATTCACGACATAAATAATTTGTGAGTGAATATAAGGTTTATTTATTTATGTACGCCTAGATTTTGGAGGAGTGGATAATTATTTTTTTTTGTGCTTTCAACAAAAAAGAGAAAATAAACATTCTTTACTCGAGATATTTTTCTATTATGGATTTAATGGAGTCGAGCGGCGGGAATCTGCAATGCTCGTTCTGAATGAAGATGGAAAAGTATGAAACTTGTGACAGCAAAATAATCACAAATCTCAATGAAAGATTTTAAGAGGAAGGGAGAGAGAGAAGGCACGAGGCAATGAAAAAATATGCTGAAGACGCTTTGTCTAATATCTCATGCACACTGACATAAAACAAGCCAATGTTTTCCGATATTAATGTTGGTGGAAAATAACCGTTGACATTATTGATATTTATCAAAAGTGATTTCTCTTTACTTTTGCTTGAATCAAATTGTTTTTCTTGGGGAGAAAAGATTTCATTTTGTGGTTGCTTTTCAACTGACAATTTTCACCATAAATATTTAGACAAGTGCGAGAAAACATTTGCTTACGAGAATTTCATTTATTTTCTTTATGTCAATTCTGTCAAAAATTGCACAATTGATTTATTTCATCATCACAATCTGGTTTAAAATTAAAATTAAATATTGATTGTATTTTTTAATATATTTTTTTATATTTCTTTACTTGAATAATTCAACTATTTATTGAGATGCATCTGAATGCATGTGAAAATTTAATTTCCGTAAATCTCAACAGGTTATTGAAGTTTTTTTCAAGTTCATTTAGTTTCCACTTCACTCGACGTTTGGTGACTTCACCATTGAATTTTTTTTCAGTTGCTCATTTTACAAAATAATAAAAAAAAATTTCGAGAAATTCACTGCATAGCAAGATTTCAATTAGCGACTGCGAACACTTATTTATTGCTTTCTACGGTTTTTAAATCAACTTTTGATCGATTGAAGTATTTATTTTATACACTTGTGCGATATTCTCGAAGATCGATTGAACATTTTTATCCATAAATGGTTTTGTAATCCTTGAGAAGCTCAACAGTTCCATAAAAATTATTTATTAAGAGATTTATTGTAACTGCTGATGGTACTGATAGAATGACCGTTTAAATCCAATGTTAGATATCACTAAATCATCAGCTCTCGATATTTGTTCAAACATTCGCAAATTGCTTTTAATCCCACGACATCACGATCGAAACTGACTTGGCAGCGCAGCAAAAAATATTTATGTGCTTCTATCCGAAACGATGAATGAAAATTGCTGCTTTGAGCCTCTCTCACTGTTAAGCTTTGGCGAGAACAGACTCTCGATAAAGCGACTGGGAGAAAAAGAGAGTAAAAGGAAAGATTTTCAATAAACTTTCACTCTTTGCAAGAAATTTTCCGCTCAAATATTTATGTACATCATGTGTTGAAAAGTCTCGTGCGTTTCTTTCTGCTGTCTGCACGAACTCTAATATATCTTAGAGTATTTTTTGTCTCCATAAGATATGAACGAAGAAGAAGACAAGATCTATTCTCGTAGATTGTCGAAATAACTATGATTATTGGCTGGCTGGCTGCTACCCTGTTGCTTCTAAATATGAGACAATCTTCCATTGAATATTTTTTTTAAAGTAGGTAATTCTTGTAATTTTCTAAAGAAGAGTGAAGTAAATAAAATGAAATCACTTAAGCATTTGAAGGTTAAAGTTATAAATGTGGTGATCTTTATTGTAATACGCTTAACTAAATCTATTCTCAAATTATTTAAAGCTATTTGTGTCCGTCTACAGTCATTATTGAAATATTTTCCAACTATTTAAAAGATGATTAAAAAAAAAGAGTTAAAGATCACCAAAATCATCATCATTACTTCTTTTGATTCATTCAAATTATTTTCTGTGTACGTTTTTTTTACATCTTAAACTATCTTCGCTTCTGAGAACGTCAAGTCAAGGTTACACGACACAAGAGATTTGTGTGGAAGTGTCGACTTGCAGTGATATCTTAAGATCTTAAGAATTATATTTAAAGCATGATGTTTCGCAGCATGCCTTAGCGCTTCTCGTTACATCAGGAAAATTAAAAATATCTTCAATGTCTTTTTTCTGCTGTTTTCTTAAAAGCACTTCACAGCGAATGCTTCTATTGCCGATGGATCATCAATTATCGTAAAATTTTCGTTTAACCTATCGACACGAAGAAAAAAAATTCCATTTCTTCATTAACTTTAGATGTTTTGTTTTATTGCCATCAACAATGTCGATGACTTGACCCAAAAAAGAAAGGAAAAAAAATTCGTTTTTTCAGCACGCGCTAATAAGAAAAACTTTTTAATTTTCTCAACTCAATTAAATGCTTCCGAATACTTGTTGACGGACGCGCTTAATGTCTGAGTAAACATTTTGTCAGCAGTCGAAAGATTTTTTTTTTTCAAGGGAATAATAATAATCATTTTTATCGCACATTGAAGTAACAAAGTAACAAACAACATTTTCATGTTTTACCGCTGACGACAATCAATGGTGACATTATTTAATTGGATGGGGTGAAACTCTTGGGGGTTATCGCAGAGGGTGGTTAATTAATTTATTGCAATCTTATGAAGATCATCTGTTGCGTTTTTTTCTTGCTTATTTACGTTAATCAAGATTCATTTGTTTCCTTTACTAAAACTTTTTTTTACTTTTGAATTTTTTATCATTGCAGAACTCCGGAACAATGTCCATCAGTCGTCTCATTATTGGCTGAGTCATATAATCCACATGTTCGTTATGGCGCTGCTATGGCTTTGGGCATTGCCTGTGCCGGTACTGGACTTCGTGAAGCTATCGCTTTATTGGAGCCAATGGCAAAATTCGATCCGGTTAATTTTGTTCGGCAAGGTGCTTTGGTAAGTTTAAATATTTAAATAACAAGCAAATAAATAATCTGAAATGATTAATGTTCATATTTATTTATCAAAATCTGAACAGATCGCATCAGCAATGATTTTGATTCAACACACCGATCAAACATGCCCTAAAGTCACTTTCTTCCGTCAATTATATTCGCAAGTCATCAGCAGTAAGCATGAAGATACAATGGCTAAGTTCGGCGCCATTTTGGCTCAGGGTATAATCGATGCAGGTGGTCGTAACGTGACTCTGGGACTTCAATCACGCACTGGACATACAAACTTGCAAGCTGTCGTTGGAACGCTTGTCTTCACTCAATATTGGTATTGGTTCCCATTGGCACATTGCCTGTCATTAGCATTCACTCCAACATGCATCATCTCTTTAAATTCGGATTTAAAAATGCCGAAAATTGAGTTCAAATCAGCTGCTCGTCCGTCTTTGTACGCCTATCCGGCACCATTGGAAGAAAAGAAACGAGAAGAACGTGAGAAGGTCACAACAGCAATCTTGTCTATCGCCGCACGTCAAAAGCGTCGAGATGACAAGAAGAAAGATGAATCAAAAATGGAGGTTGATGAAGAAGTAAAAGAAGAAGAAAGTAAGAAAGTCGTCGATAAGAAAGAAAAGAAGCAGAAAGAGAAGGAAAAAGATAAGGAAAAGGAAAAGGAGAAAGATAAAGACGACAAGGAGAAGTCTGATGAAGCTACAACAGCTCCAAAAGAACGCAAGGAACCTGAACCGACTTCTGAAATATTACACAATCCACCTCGAGTTTTGCGTCAGCAATTGAAAGTCATTAGTGTCGTCGAAGGTTCTCACTATCAACCAATCAAGGATGTCACCATTGGCGGTATCATCATGATGAAGTACACTTCACAAAGCGAACAAGTTTTGGTTGAACCCGTTGCTGCTTATGGTCCTAAATCCAATGATGATGCCAAGGAACCTGATGCACCTGAGCCATTTGAATATATTGAAGATTAAATTGAAGCCGAAGTGAAATTTCCTTCATCAAATATTTATCTCTGAATGTCTTATTCATTTTTAAATTAACTATTGAAATAAAGAAACTGATTCAAGAAGAGTGAATAAAAGTTTGAAATTTTCTCTTCATTTTTCCATTCTTTATTCAAATCAGCCAACTTCATTCAATTCATTTGAATATTTAATGTAAAAAATGCATAATACTTGAAGATGTTGTGAAAAATATTTGTTCAAGAACTCAGTTGATTGGTGATGCAGGTTGGATGATATTGAAATAGTTAGACGAGTCTTGCTATTTGCCTTGAGACAAGAAAACTTTTACAATAAGGAGAACAAGTTTGATGTTTCATTAGATTATCAGTGAGTGTAAGTTAAACGACGTCTTTAATACAGGGATCGTAACCAGTTCTATTGAACATCCGAACCTGTTCCGCTCCCTGCTTTAATGTGCTGTTTGATTTAGTCAACTTTTTTCTACGTTGAGAAGCTCAAATTTGAGTTGCGAATATTTGATTTGTATGATTTTCTATGAAACCATCATGAATTGCCTAAGAGAAATTCCATTTCATTCAGAATCAGCAGAATTTAACTAATGTTTATGTGTTCCGAATTTTTATTACGAGCTACGCTTGATTTTACTTAATCTGTCAGCATTCTCCATCGAATCGAATAAAATTATATCAGAGATGGAGATTTGTACAATTTTATTTCTTTTATATTAATTTACCGAACAACATGTTAATTAGTGTAGCTATTACTGGCATTTTAAATATCGATACACGTGTCGTGATTAAATGCAGTGAAATTCTTCGAAATTTTTTCATTTTTTTTCCTTCGCTCATTCAAAGCTTTAAAAAGAATTCGATTTGAAACAAACAATATTGATTGAAACTCAATTCAATTACGAGATGCTGATTGCTTTAGTTTTCCATCAGATTAGTATCAGTTGCAGTTCCAGTCTCCAATGAAATGCTTTTCATATCGTTTATTAAATTATCATGCAAGAGGAAAAAAAGTGTTTAAAATAAACAAAATTTGAGGGACTGGTGAATGAATGTTGGATATCTAAATGTGTAGTGAAGAATGGAGAAACATGAGAAGCTCGTTACGTTACATTTTGTCGGCAGTTGACGTATCATTTGTTCAAATTATCATGAAACTTCTATGACACCTTCAACTCATGATAAATGGTTAGACATAAGTCTTTTTCCTCTCCAACATAAATTTATTTAAGTAACAAATGTTTTGATGCTTCTGCTTACATTCAAAATTAAGCAATTTCTGTTTTTTGGCAATTTTCGTTCTTTTTTTCTTGTTGAAATTGTTGGAAGTTTTCCAATTTTGTTTTGTTAAATGTGTGGAGTTGAAATAAACTAAAACAATCATCACAATCGAAATAATTGAAAACTTTTTTCAAATCAATTTAGTTTTTCTTTTTATTTAAATTTCTTCCTTACAACTTTCAATTTTCCTAAAAAAAGTAAATGAAAGTTTTTTGTTTGTTGGATCAGATTGTGATGAGAGTTGGAAATTAAAGATTTCCTGAAGAGCATTGATTTGCTTTTGCTTTTTAACATACTAAACTTGCTAATTTTCGTTATGAGAAGTTAAATCTTTTCGAAAACAAAAATAAAATCCAACGAAGCATGAATATGATTTGTCAGCTGAAGTTTTCATTCAAACGCGTCTAATATTCTACTAAAATTAATAAATATTTGTCTAAAATAAGAAATCTTTGATTTTGCTGGTGAATTTTTTCATCAAAAAAGTTAATTGGATTCTTGTCTTTTTAACCAGAAATTGAACACGTCTTTTGTATTTATAATAAGTTTAAGCACAATGAATGAGCTGGGCTATTAAGTACAACATTTTAAGTCTTCAACAAGCACAGCTAAAAATAAACTTTCAAGTTTGGATAATTGAACTGAAGAGTTTTTTGTTGGTCACTTTATAATTGAGGCTCATTGAAGTTTCAAGTGCATGAATAAATACTTTTTATTGTCATTTTGATAAAATGAAAATCAAACTATTAATAGAGAAGAATCTCAAGATTTCAAATCCATTTTAATAAAGATAAAACTGTTGACCCTCATTAATTCAATTTATCTTAGCTGAACAAATCAATTTTAGTTGATTTATTATCTCATTACACGCAATTTACCAAACATTTTTTTTGTCCACACTAAAGTGCTTGCTGATGATTGTGTTTTATTTCATATCAAAAACTATAAAAAAAGTTGCTGATTGGTAATCCATAAAATCTGCCAATCTGTTGGGCTATGGACGTGAAGCCACAATGTCAGATATTTTTAATTATTTCGACCGGCTGACTGATTTTATCCCGCAAATAATCATCGCGCACAAGAATTTTCACGCAAATAATTTCGTGTCGCTTCAATCCCACGGCATCGCGTTTAAAACTGACGTGAAATAACGAAAAATAATTTTTTCTTTCTATTAAATCAAGAAATAGGCAAATACCTTAGCTCTCAGGTCTCCGCCTTTGTCTGTGTCTACTCAGTCAATGCAGAGCTTTTCGAGATGAGAGATTGCCTGCCTTGCCTGCTTTATTTTCTCTTGATTTCGTCTCTCAGTTTTTCCTTCTTTCATTTGGACGATGTTAACCTTTAAGCTGACTCGGCTGTTTTGAAATAAATAAACAGTAAGCACGTTCATCTAAAACATAAATTTTAAGTTTCTTATTTTATGTCGTATTTATTCAATGAAGCTTGAATTCGCATCCCTGCCCGTTATCTATTTTCAAATCGAAATCCTTTCATCATTTCAGCTCTTTTTTCTACTTTTCACGATTCAAAGAAGCATTCATTCGAACATTTTCCATTTCTCGTAGAAAAATTTAATGATTTTTGAGGTTTCATAATCACATTAGGTAGATTTTATGCGGTTAAATCTTCTTCTACATCAAAAGTTTTTTAATTAAAATTTAAATGTGATGAGAACTTGAGATTTTGTTGTTTTTTTCTGCCTACTCTTATTCGTATTTGTTAATGTGGGTCCATCCATTTTCAACTGAACGAACAGCTTCTGTTCTATATACAATTATTGAATAAAACTATAAAACAACAATAACGACAAGAATAAATTTTTGTGGATTCATTTTCCTTACCCTTTTACTTCAATGATGATTAACATGGCACACATGCTACCAAACAGTACGTAGAGACTAAATAGAGTTACGAATATTTTAGTTATCCAAATTTATCGACTAGAAACGTGATTAGCACACTGTTGATTGCTATTACCTACAGCCTTCTCTTTTGCTTGTAACTATGAAAATTATACTTTCTCATGTTCTCGTGTTCGTAACCGAAATAATCAAATGAGATCTTAATTACCGTCGATTCGCAACAGCCATAAATATTAATTTAAGTTTCAATGTCATTTACAGATTTAGAGTAACAGAAGCAGCAGTTGTAGCTTAGTAATTAAATATATCTCTGACTAATTCGATTTCGAAGTTTTGAAAAGTTACCTGCGATGAAAATTATTTGTTGTAATGGAATGAAAAGTGTTTAGAATATTTAACGTTGCTTTAAAGGTAGCGAGATTTTATTGCTTTCGCTTGCCGTAATTTATATTCTGCAAAGTTTAATTGCATGGCTGGTGCTATGTAGAATGACGAGGTTTTTATGATGAAGCAAATGTTTTCATCGCCTCTTTTTTTCTGTTCATGACAACATCACGACAGAATGGATATCATCCATTAAACTAAGCTAAGCTTTAATAATAAAAATCATACCGCGACGTTATCCCGACCTGCAATAATAATTCCATAAAAATGTGATTATGATGAGAACATTCACTGCTCGAATACGTAATAACTTTAAATGCAGTGAGGTTCTGTTCATTTACCTTGTAAGCCTCTCGAGAGGTTTTTCATTTTTCTGAAGCGTGCTTTTGAATGCGGGCAAAAAATGTTTTTCCTCTCTTTGAACTTTTCATCATTTTCAATTTTGCATGTCTATGGAACGCCTGCCACCGCATCATAAAGTTTTGTTTACTCGCTTTCTCGCTTACGAGTATGAATTAATTAAATTGCAATGAGAATGAGTTTGAAGAATATTTCAATTGATTTACTACGTGATTAATGTGTAAACAGTAATAAAAAATGCAACAAAAAATTCATAAATATTTAATTAAGTTATTGGATCATGTTCATCAATCAAAACTAAATAATTTATTTGTGTTTAACTAAAGCAGAAAGTTATCAACTTTTACTCGTCGCTGATCAATTATTATTGGTAATAAATCAGATTATTGATGTAAATTCAAAATCAATTCTTGTGATCGCTTTTTAGTTGAGTCGAAATCATTGAAATTATGTAAGCGGAACAGCCAGAATATCATTTATCTTCCATTACATTATAAGCTTAGTAGCAGGGGACAAATCTATTATCGCATTATTTGCTTCCTTATTCGTTTCGAGCAATAAGAAGAAACGATTCGTAATTCGAATTTCCATCAATAACTTTAAGGAGAATTAAGGAAGAAAGATGAAAATCGACAATGAAAATTCCTTCTTTGTTTGAATTATCACTTGAATTATGGGTCGGATAATGTCGGAATTGTTCATTTTTTCCCGTCCATAAATTTATTTTCACGATTTATTTTCACGCAGATTTCGTTCGCTTTTTTCTTATTTTTTTTTAAAGCGGACAGACAACTTTTCTTTTATGTCGTCTTCGCTATCAACAGCTTGCCATCTTCAATGGATCTTTTGCTAGAGGAATGCGAGCGAGGTGGTGGTACGCGTGAGAAAGAAACAAAAGTTTCAAAATTCAATTACAAGACTTTTATTTACACTTCGCTGATTTCTCGTCGCTGGCCTGGCCTGGTGTCTTCTTCAGTGAAGCCCTCTTGGTCAAAGTCTTTTCTTTCTTCTTGTTTTCTTTTCCGCACTTTGAATCTAAAATTCGACGAAGGAAAATGTTATTGATAAAAAATAAGACAAAGGATGCTAATGGAAAATAAACTTTTCAGTCTTCGCTTCGCTTTGATTCTTCGAATGGAAATGGAAGACAAATTGATCCAATATTACATAAATCGCACCTCATCTGTATCCATTTGTATGTCGAGTCGACAAAAAGAGAGCGAAAGGAAGATATGAATGAATGTGGCTGGAAATGGTAAAAAAACTGAGCACAAATGTGCGCGTATCGACGATAAATTTTTGATTTCAACACAAAATTGCTTCAAAAGCTTCTTACCTGCAATTGAAGGAAGTTTGTTGACAGAATTTATTGAACACAGAACTTCCCAATTCTTCCCAATAATATCAACAACGTGTTTCCTCTGCTTAAGGTTTCCTGTTTCCGCTGACTTTCGCTTTTTTTAAATATCCATCATTTAAAGTGAAGACGTGGGCGACGAAGGTTGTTGAGAAATTGAGCTAAGCTTGATTAAATTTCAATTGAATTTCCGTTTTTCTCGCTTTTCCTTTTTCTTTTCTTTGTTTCTCCAACACGTTGAAGACTAAAAATGTTTTCTTTCTATTTTGGCAGCAGTCGAAGTTGGCTTTGCTGTGCCAAAGATCAAGAAATTACGACGACAAAAATTGAAATGTTTCAGCAATGTGAAGTCTGATTAGCAACCACACAACAAAGTGAAGTTGAACATCAACAACAGAAACCGAGAGAGAGAAAGAAGGAAAATCTAATTTACGATGAAACGAAACAAGAATTGAGATGTGAAAATATTTTTAATGAAAAATCGAGCATGTGAGAATGAATCTTGCGAAATAGGAATTCCCACCGATAACATCGAAATTAATGTCAAAAGTCTGAATTTGCCATTTTTATTCCTAAGATGAATTTCTACAACGTGTCGCAATTACATCATCACAAACACTTTTTATTAGTCGACGACAAATTTTCCTCCATCTCAGCACATTTATCTTCTTCTCGCTTCGCAATCTTTACAAAGACACGTCAAAATTCTTCTGTTACGAAATTAGTTAAATTTTAAAAGCCAACAACAAGGTGAGCGAGCGAGCATTGTTTAGAATTTGCTTTCTTCTCATGATCCCAAACCATTAGCATTTCTGTCGTCTTCATCCAACTCAAAACAATTCAGTATCCTGACCAAAATGTTCATCATTCATTAAACAATCGACCACGAAATTAATGAATCATTCTACCAAAAATAAGTTTCATCCCAATAATGAAGGGAATTCATTCAAGTGAAAAGCACGTAGCAAGCAACGAGATCATTATCAGCTCCGATATTAATTAATGAAGAGATGAAATATAATAAATGGTATTTAAGTATTAATTAAAATGATTAACTTTCTTTCTCTCTCCGCCTCCTCCTCTTTGACTTAATTGTTTGTTTTGTTGCGGTTTTTGCTTGTCTGGAAAAGCTCTCTTCTAATGAATGAAACATATTTCTTATAACGTTAGATGTTTAATATATTTATGACATTAATCGAAGTAAATAAGTTTCAATAAAATAACAGCTTGCTTACTTGCTGCTTAATACATTCAAAGATAGGAAAGCAAGCATCATGCTGTGTTTATGATGTGAATAACTTTGTAAATGTGAATTTTTCCCACTAGCTTTAGTGCAAAAGGTTTCAAGTAGATTACATTTATTCATTTCTCCATCTCTCTATGTCTAAATTGTTTAAGAAATTACAGTAAGTCCCAAATAAATTCATATTTTCGCTACCCTTCTAGCAACTTAACCCAAATTTAAGGACAAGAAGGAAATCATTAGAAACAATTTTTCTCCATTCTTATAGATAGATTCTTAAGAATCAACAAAAGACTTCTCGAGAAACCCTTTCGCTTAGGATCTGATGTTGGATTACGGTGAATCTTTTGACATAATTTCGCTTTAACAACTGAACTCATCTTCTGGCTCATTGAATTCTTCAAGCAAAGTCTCGAGAGAAGAGGCAACAAAGAAAATTCAATCATTCAATGCAATGTTTGAAAAGAAAGAAAGGAGGAGGAAAATTTATTCCACAATTTTGTGGAAATTGTTTCAAAACAAGTGATGGAATCTTATTCCCAACCAAAACAATTGATGTTGAGTTAAACCACAAACAAAATGTTGCGAACATGAGAGAAAAGTTTACTTGAGTTCAAGCCAAAAGCTTTTCACTTTTCACTTTTTCCCTGAGATTGATGTGAAATGATTTATAAAACACTTTACTCGGATGATAAACTAAGTTATGGCGGCATCTTGAGTGCCACAATTCGAACTAGGAGCATTTTCATTGTCGAGAATTTAGATGGAATAAAACAATCATAAAAATTATGATGGCTTATTTACTTCATTACCTCCACATCTCTTTTCACCGAGATGGAATCTTTGAGGCTTATTTTTGCTGCTTTTAATTTCAATTCATAAAGCTTTGAAAATGTGAGGAAAAGTACAGAAAAATGTTCTCTCAATACGTACCAAATCTTCCATTCCATTGGTATATGACTTTAGGTTTCACATTTATATGTTTCGTCTGCCAATTTCAACTACAACTTAACATCATTTATGCAAGCATCCAATGTTCATCTGCTCATAAAAACGTATTAAAGTGGCTTTATCATAAGCTTACAACATTCTTTCTTTCAGAAAATGATTGACGGCATGCTATCATCTCTGCCTCAAGAGAGATCTACAGAAGTTGGCTTTAATTTTCGTCTTCTCTTCGGTGCTGAAGGCGAACTTCTGCGTGCTTGAAATAAGATAATTTATTTTACAAAATATTTAAATTGGATATTTTTTATTTTATTATACTTTAAGTAACTGGAAATGAACAGAATTTTGTTATCCTCATTTTTTATTTCATGTTTCGTTCATCCTTTAAAATAATTAAAGTTAAAGAAAATTTATTTGATGAGAAATTTAGTAAGAGCAGAAACAGAAGCAAAGTTTTCAGAAGTCTTAGTAGATTCTTCTTTAATAAATCCTTTACAAGTGATGTCGAGAAACTTGTTATAAAACATATCTGCAACATTTAATTTATTTACAAAGCTTACATGAATATTAAATAAATTCTGTTTCATGTTTCGTCTTTCAAAAGCTTGGATGAAGCAAAGCCATAATTGTAATCAGATCAAATAATTTTGAATAGCTGAGTTTACTTACGTTAACGTTGAAATCAATTTTGTGGTTTAAGATACTGATCGAATATTAAATGAAATCTAAATCTCATGTATGTAAGTTTCATTTTGCTTTTAGATCGTTTAAAACCACAAGTGGAGACGATGATAGGACGTGAACATGCACATTATGAAGTTACTAAATGAAATAAAATGAAAAGTTCATTAAAATGAAATAAAATAAAAAATTGGTGAACATTTTTAAGATTTTCAAGTCGTTGAAACGAGATCAGAAGCTTCTCTACATCTGTAAAATTCCACATTAATGTAAAACTCCATTGCAAGATGTTAATGTGAATTTTCTATGCAAATTTCTTTGTTCAGCCTCTTCACCTTTCATGGCTAATAATATGTAAGCGGCTTACGACAAATTTAAATTGAGGTCTCGTCTGCATTTCTCTTCATCTATTTATTTGCCCCTGAAGCTCACATAAAATATGTTAATCATTCCCTAAGAGCGACATTAAAATTTTAATTGAATTTTCATAAGAATTTCCACGAAAGACTTTTCATTAGTCAACAAGATTTTTACAAAGCTCAAAGCTCGATTTAATGAGTGAAAAGCTGTCTGATGATTAAAATCCCTCGTGTTTCAATGTTTGTGCAAACAAAGGAAAGCCTTTCCTATTTCTAATTGTTTCTCTTCATCAAAGAATGCGCAAATATGTAACAAGCTAAATTAATATGCCTCTACTGTAGCACTTTATAGAAATTATAATCAGCATCGGAGTTAGCGAGATTTTCCTCTCGCACAGCCTCTCGACTCTGTCAAAGTTCTAGCAAACTTTTCACTGTTTACGGAGGCGGTAGAGCGTTTTTAATTTCTTTCGTTTTTCAATGGGTTCGCTCTCAACATATCTACAGAAGTTGAAAGCACTCAGAGTAGAAGAATTTTAAAGCTTCTTGTTGAGAGTCAAGTTGCGAATCGCAGCGTTTTTAAAAGCAAAAGAATATTCATTTATGAAAACTGTCGTGACTCGACGCGATTCTTTGAACATTTACTTTCACACATGATTTCTTCGTTTAAATGGAAGCGTTTAAAATCTCACGACAGTCACAGAGAAAAAATTGTCAAAAAATGAAAGGAAGGAAGGAAGTTGGCAGGAGTGGAAATAAAAGCGAAAGAATCTTTGTTACTTCTTGTTCATTTTCGTTTCACTGGCTTTGCACACATTTACATAAATATGAACGTTACCGAAACGAAGAAGTTTTTCTTTACAGTTTAAGGATTTAATTTGCATGCTTACAGAATCACCAAAAGCTTAAATATAAAAAGAGTTTTCTTTGTGTTTAAAGAAGTGACTTTAATACAAATTTTTGAAAGGAATTTCATCTCCAGAAAATTAACAAATTCAGTTTGTTTGGTGTGCTCATTTTATATGTCGATGGTTCTCATGGTCATCGCACACGCTCTGATAGTTATCATGAAAGAACAAATTTTAGTTCATTCATGAGCGAGCATTCATGCTACGAAACATTCCGAAGGTGAATAAAGTAACTATAAGCTGTTATAAACAAGCAACGTGACGAAAACTACCAACAAGAATCATGAACGCTGCAAGGAAGAAAAAGCAATGAAAAGAAACTTTCCGAATTTTTCCTCTCTTCACCTTGCGCTTCTCTTGTGTGTTTGTTCTTCTCGATTGCTATTAAAACTTCTAAATCTTTTTCCAAATTCTTATATTTGCTTTCCATTCAAGCTCATTATCATTGCGTGAAGAACAAAAAAAGTTGCAAACCTTCATGGAATGCGAAATTGCTTCCAGAATTCTATGTCCATTAAAACGTTATTCAGTTCATGTTCATGTAACAAACTTTCATTGTCCTAAGAACCAGAAGGAACCTTTAGGCATGTCTTGGAATGTTGAAATGAAATAAATGAATAGGAAAGACTTCGTTTTAAACTTTTGGGGATTCACAATACGAATAAACAACAAACCAAAGGAAATTAAATGAACACAGAAATTTATCCTTTAAAAGTTCTCGAAAAAGCTTTAAATCAATCAGAATTTGAAATTTATCACCATGTTTAATTCAATTCCATATTTTAAGCTTTGAAAAGCAAAACTTGAGACCAAAACTCGAATATCTGTAAAATTGCCAGATTTCATTTTGATATTCATTTCTGGTATTAAATTTACAAAGGAAATAAAATATCTGTGACTCATTTGCTTTCGTTTTCAACGTAGGTTTAATAAAATGAAGAAATTAAGTGATGAGTTGACTTCATTTTGCTGAAAAATTCAAATAACGAAATTGCAATAAAATTTCTTGAATTTCCGCCCGTTGCTTCTCTTCTTCATTTCTCTTCATTTCGAGGTCCTTTTACAAGATTTTTCTGTAAAGAAGGGAAATTCGAAGCTAGCTTTTCATAGGCCTACTCATATTGAATATCAATGCAATATTCAAATGAATTCTCTGGTAACTGAACTCCAACATTTCACTGACATTTATTAAAGAACGAATATGATTAAATAGAACAAATTCTCAATTAATCTAATGTTAATTAAAGCTGGTCAACAAACAAAGTCCAGAGATTTAATCTGACAGAAAATTTAAATCTCCTGAACAAAATCTGAAATGAAAAGTAATTTTAAAACCCTTTTTGCTCCTTGAAATATTTTCTATTCGTACTGAAACTTTTGCATTCACATTCCAGATGTGCTTTTCTATTGATTCAGTTTTATATTACAAAATGAAAGCTCTGAGTTGGATGAGTTTAAATGATGAGCTAAGCTTGTTTGGCAGTAAACAAAAACAAAAGAAAAGCATTAGCAGAAACCTTCTCGAGACGACAGAAATTTACATAAAACCAAACTAATAAGGGATTTGTTCTTGGCACAGAAATGGAGCCTTTAAATAAACGTAGGAGAATAAAAAAGATTTTTTCAGTCGTTCAGGCTTCGAATTTATCACAAATTGTCTCAAGATTCTCAAGAGAAAAACAAACAACAACGAGATTCTGTTTCAAACTTCCCATCGTCGTCACATACCTTTCGAAGTTGGCAGTTTTTCTTTCTTCAGAAACCATCAGTCGTTGACGGATTTAAAATCAACAAGATTAATTATGAGATTTGAATTTAATGTCAAATCGCATTTTTCTTATTTTAATTTCATGATGATCGTCGTTAGACTGGGTGGAGGAAGATACTCGGCCAAGCAACCATCAGCGTCAAGCGACCATGAAAGAAATAGTCGCAATGATGAACACAGAAGCAATAACAACAGCAACAAAAACCTTTCACATTCCCAATCACAGAATTCAATGAGTTGGAGAACACATGGCAGCGGTGGAATCTTAAAACCGGAAAGAAGGTACACGAGATGGAAAAGTATTGAAATTTACATTGTTGACATTTCCTTCACTTCATCTGCATGAAAGATGAGATTGAAGTCGGCGAGAGACCGAAAGAAATGAAGTCGAGGGTAGAAAAAGGGTTAAACGAAAAGTTTCCTTCTTACGTTTGCATATCGTAATCCAAAATCAGTTTTAACCAAACAGACTACTTACAAAAGCTTTGTTTATTCTAAGCAACAGTTTAGGCGGTTGACTTTGTAAACAATTTTTGAAACTTCTTTTCCTGTTTTCAAATAAAAATCAATTAAATAAAAATAAATTTCAAGAAAAAAAAATTTCATTTTGAAAGAATTTACAGAAACGTTTCTAATTTAACACAGATGAATCAACATTTAATTCACTGCTTTTATGTAGCATATTAGGGAAGCTTTATTTATCATGAATAATTTATGGAAAATTTATTCGTTTTATTAGAGGTAGAAACACATCAAGAATATTTAGAAACTCGAATACTTGCTGAAGCTTGTTCATAAATCTTTCGCACAGCTCACGACAGATATATTTTCTAAAAGAATAAACAGTCGCATGACAGTCATCACATGCTCATTCACATGTGCTTCCATGTCGTTGACACACATTATGAGCGAAGCCTTTCTCGTCGGAATAATTTTTTTCTCTCACTCGAATGAATCTTTCAAGCTTTCAGTTTTGTTCTGTGACTTCTCTTCAAAAGACGCAATTTTCAACATTTTATGCAAATTTCAATCACAACAAGTGATGGAAAATAATGTAACAGAGAATTTCTACATGAATAACACATCGTTTCTTGACTTTGAAATCTTTTGATAAGCTTTTCACATTGCCATCGCATTATATTGTCGCAATGTGGAGCGTGCAAGTTACTCGAGTTTTTAAATTGAAAAATTTTGAATTTACGACATGAAAATTTATTCTATTGTGACTTTCTAATGAACAACTAATAAATTGTATTAAAAGTGAAAGAAATGTTTTCAAGCTGTCATTTAAAGATCAATTTTTTAAAGGAATTCAAAATATTTCCTGCTTTCCATCCATGTTGGGCTAGAATTTATTTATCTACTTCTGCTAGAAAGAAGTAAGCAGCAAAATACATTCAATCTTTGTTTTAATTTATTACTGAAGGCTTTCTACTTCTACTTACTTTTAGTAGGAAATAAGAAAACATTTCGCTGTGATTATGTTAAGAGAAAAGTTGAAGGTTGTTGGTTTGAAGTTCAAAGAATTTTCAACATTCACTTTTGATCATAAATTGTAAGCTGTTTCTTTTTCACTTCCATTATCAGAGAAACTTTTTTGAGAAAAGATTAAGGAAGCAATAAAGTACTTTTATCACTACCAGAAAGAAGATTTACGTAGAGAATTTACCAGAATAAGTTCCATTCGCCTTAAGCACCATGAAATGTTCTTCAAATGTTCAAACGTTTGAGATGGAAATAAAATGTCTGTCTTAGGAATGACAGAAAATTCACCGACTGAAATGTCAAATTTGGAAATTTCAGATGAATAAGTAAATTTATTTATTCTTCTAGCTAATAATTTAACTCCATGATCAACACCCATTCGCTTGAAATGAGATTGTCTTTAACATTGTCAGAAACAACTTTTAATTGCACGAATTCAACGTATACTTGTCTACAATTTCAAGTGAAAAGACATTAAAATGTGCTAGAAGGATGTTGATAGTGAAACACTCAGGCGTAATTAAATGAACTCATGAAACATGAAAACGATAGAAAATATAACTCCAAGCATAATAATTATGTATTTATAAGTGAAGCACGCAGAACCTTCCGCAGTTTATTTCTTTCATCATTATCATCCGGCTTTCAATGTAGGTACTTCTGTGATGTTTTGAATTACGAAACAGTTGTACACATCAAAGTTTCGTGTCTGGGAAATCTTATTCCAAATGAAACATAAACTGAGTGAAATGAAAATTTTGATCCGCTTGTGATAATATCAATTTGAGTAAAAGCAAAAGCATAACATTAAAAAAATCTTCCGCACATCATCAGACATTCGAATGAAATAAAACACTTAAGAAGAACCAAGAGAGGGTTATTAAATTTTCAAATAAATGAATAAATGTGAATTTCGTGTGATCACGAAGCTGTGATAATTCCTTGAGAAAGTCTTAATGTCCTTGAACATTTTATGTTTGTTGCTTTGCCAACACATATAAATTATATGGAGATAAACATTTAAATACATGGGAAGAACATTTTCATGCTTTGTTTGTGTAAATTTGATATATTTAGTTTCAAACGAGTCAAGTCGTTTGTATTTATGCTGATACAAGAAGGTATTTCTAATAAACAAAATCAATTCTCAAAGATTCAACCTTTTGTTGAACGAAAATTAATTTACAATGTATTAGGTTGCGTCCTAACGTATAATTAATGAGAAGAATTATGATTTGTATCAAAAGTTAGGACTTACAAGGCTTTTTGATTCTCTAGGAAATTCAATTAAAATGTAACAATTTCATTCTTCGGAAAATGAATTAAAACAAAGATATTAAATTTTTAAGAATGGATAAACAATTTTGTTATGTGATTTTAGAATCCAATTAACTTCAATTAACGTTGAACAAAAACATTGTAGAGAAGTTATGACGTGTCTTTGTAAAGATTGCGAAGCGAGAAGAAGATAAATGTGCTGAGATGGAGGAAAATTTGTCGTCGACTAATAAAAAGTGTTTGTGATGATGTAATTGCGACACGTTGTAGAAATTCATCTTAGGAATAAAAATGGCAAATTCAGACTTTTGACATTAATTTCGATGTTATCGGTGGGAATTCCTATTTCGCAAGATTCATCCTCACATGCTCGATTTTTCATTAAAAATATTTTCACATCTTAATTCTTGTTTCGTTTCATCGTAAATTAGATTTTCCTTCTTTCTCTCTCTCGGTTTCTGTTGTTGATGTTCAACTTCACTTTGTTGTGTGGTTGCTAATCAGACTTCACATTGCTGAAACATTTCAATTTTTGTCGTCGTAATTTCTTGATCTTTGGCACAGCAAAGCCAACTTCGACTGCTGCCAAAATAGAAAGAAAACATTTTTAGTCTTCAACGTGTTGGAGAAACAAAGAAAAGAAAAAGGAAAAGCGAGAAAAACGGAAATTCAATTGAAATTTAATCAAGCTTAGCTCAATTTCTCAACAACCTTCGTCGCCCACGTCTTCACTTTAAATGATGGATATTTAAAAAAAGCGAAAGTCAGCGGAAACAGGAAACCTTAAGCAGAGGAAACACGTTGTTGATATTATTGGGAAGAATTGGGAAGTTCTGTGTTCAATAAATTCTGTCAACAAACTTCCTTCAATTGCAGGTAAGAAGCTTTTGAAGCAATTTTGTGTTGAAATCAAAAATTTATCGTCGATACGCGCACATTTGTGCTCAGTTTTTTTACCATTTCCAGCCACATTCATTCATATCTTCCTTTCGCTCTCTTTTTGTCGACTCGACATACAAATGGATACAGATGAGGTGCGATTTATGTAATATTGGATCAATTTGTCTTCCATTTCCATTCGAAGAATCAAAGCGAAGCGAAGACTGAAAAGTTTATTTTCCATTAGCATCCTTTGTCTTATTTTTTATCAATAACATTTTCCTTCGACGAATTTTAGATTCAAAGTGCGGAAAAGAAAACAAGAAGAAAGAAAAGACTTTGACCAAGAGGGCTTCACTGAAGAAGACACCAGGCCAGGCCAGCGACGAGAAATCAGCGAAGTGTAAATAAAAGTCTTGTAATTGAATTTTGAAACTTTTGTTTCTTTCTCACGCGTACCACCACCTCGCTCGCATTCCTCTAGCAGAAGATCCATTGAAGATGGCAAGCTGTTGATAGCGAAGACGACATAAAAGAAAAGTTGTCTGTCCGCTTTAAAAAAAAATAAGAAAAAAGCGAACGAAATCTGCGTGAAAATAAATCGTGAAAATAAATTTATGGACGGGAAAAAATGAACAATTCCGACATTATCCGACCCATAATTCAAGTGATAATTCAAACAAAGAAGGAATTTTCATTGTCGATTTTCATCTTTCTTCCTTAATTCTCCTTAAAGTTATTGATGGAAATTCGAATTGCGAATCGTTTCTTCTTATTGATCGAAACGAATAAGGAAGCAAATAATACGATAATAGATTCGTCTCCTTCCATTTTAAGTGTTTTTAGTCATGAAAAAGTAGAGATAGTCGAAAAAGAAATGGAAAACAAAATAGGTTTTCAAATGACATAAATTATTGTCATATCATCGATGGCAAATTATGTACATAAAATAATTTGACAATGTCGATTGCGTGCACTTTCACATTTTTTTAAGTTAGAAACAGAGCTCGAATTGAGATCAAGGTGAACTATTAATTAATTAATTAGAAGAATATTTATGGAACATCAAAGAACTATTTTTAAATAAGCTTTCGTCAAATTGAATAAAGTGGTTGGTGCTTTATTTGTGCTAATTTGGCTTGAAGTTTGAATTACATTCTAGGAACTACAGCGGCGTTTAACGGTACTTTTTACCAAGCTTATATCGAACCATAGTTTCAAAAAAGCAGTAGAAGCATCCAAGCATTTGCCCAGTGATTGCTCCGGTGATGTTCGGAATCGGATATGCTTGCCATGGACGATCCCAATCTAGCGGGAATGCGATTGATCCAATGAATGCTCCAAAAATGACTAGATAAGCATTTCGTTGCAGTAACTTCAAATATTCCTGACTAGTTACATTGACAAGTTCAAAAGTTTCTGTGAAAAGAATTCCCAATGTTCCTGACACTCCAATAAACAACGAAATGGGAAAAATGGTAAGTGCAGTTAAAAGAGATGAGAGCGTCAACGTTTCCTCAACATGTGTAAGTGGAGGTGCTATAAATATAAAACACTTTTGTATAAGAAGAAAAATTAAATTAATTAAAGATGTGAATTTCAACTTACCACCCATAATAACGCAAATAAATGCATAAAAAAATATCGTCATAATCATTAAAACAGCAAATTTGATACTGTCTCCAACCTTATTACTTCTTTTCTTTCTCACTCCTTCCTGACTGTAGCTTAAGTCAAGCCCATAGTATTTTTGGATAATTACAAGTTTGATCATCTCGGCGACAATAAAATAAATTGAATGTAGCCATAGTTTTAAGAACTCTGCTGAGAATGTTGCGACGGTGAATGTATAAAGTACGATGAAGCCAATAGTTGAGGCTGCATAATTTAATCTAACACGTTCTATTGTTGAGATCACTTGCATATTGCCTCGGAATTATCGGAGCAATATTTTTTCACTAAATATTTTTTTAAGAGACATAAACAAAAAATAGTTTTCGACCCCTCTCAAAAAAGAGCTATAAATGATTAAAAATGTCTGTTGAAAGGTTTTCAGAGTTTACAAAAGGGGCACGAATGAAGCAATTATATTCTGTACACCCCCTCATGTATTATTTTTTTGTTTACATATTTTAAGACAGTAATTTATTGAATTTTGAGCAGCTAACAGTGTCTTTCTTAAGTTTATTGACGACGATAAAGCATAAATAATGAATCAAGGATTTAATCCTCGTAAGTATAAACTAAAGTGAAGTGTTTATTTTGAAAATTTAATTTTTTTCTTAATTGCATAAATTTTTTTAAAGTTTTCGAGCCAAATATTTTCAACATTGGTCATTCTGAACCTGAATATATAGAATTGGGAACAATTCCAAGCTCAAATATTTCATGCGGATTAACAACTGTGAAATTTGATACGCATGAAGAATTAATATGGACGGGAAATCAAAATGGATACGTGACGAGCTATTATGGACCAACAATGCAAAAGTACACAGCGTTCCGTGTAAACCAAACAGAAATGGTACATCAAATCGAAACAAGTTCTCAAGGAATCTTCGCTCTCACCAGCACATCATTAAGACACCAAATCAGACGAGGAATTCCCAAATTCACATACAGATCAAAAAACTTGAATGACGCTCTTTGTATGTTTTCCCTCTCACCAACAAGAATGCTCATAGCGGGTCATCAAGAACATATAATAGATTTGGATCTTGAAACGTTAACGGAACAGCAGTTAGTTGACTGCAGTGGGTGTGCAATCATTCGACATCATTCAAGATTTCTTTGTTGTGGTGACGTCAATGGTTGCATCACCCTGAGAGATCCAATTTCACTTCACGAAGAACACAAACTCATGACACATTCAGCATCTCTTAACGACTTTGATGTTCAGGGTAATTATTTGATTTCCTGTGGATTCAGTGACATGAATGGAAAGCTCTCAGTTGATCGATTCCTCATGGTCTACGATATGAGAATGTTGAGGTGACTTAGTTAATGTTTTTTTAATTAAATTCATGTTTAATCTTTTTTCTTCCATTCAGACTTGTGTCACCAATTCAAGTACTTATCGATCCAACGTTCCTTCGATTCCTTCCATCCTTTGTGTCTCGTATTGCGATTGTTTCGCCTCTTGGACAACTTCAATTAGTCGACACTGTTGAGTTAAGTCAACCACGAGTGTGCATGTATCAAATAAACATTGCATCACAATGCATGTCGTTTGATATTTCATCATCAAACCAAGCGATGACATTTTGTGACAACACAGGTCAATTAAGTCTCATCAGTTCGATTTCATCGCCACAACCACAATTTAATAATTTTTCAAGAGAAACTGAATTTCCTGACACACCTGAACAGCTGCCGTTTGTATCAGTCAACGACATAAATTTTCCACTTTCGTCAATTCTTTTACCGCAATTACAAACTGGAACATGGTTGAGTGATTTACCAAAGGAAATGTATGAATATCAATATCGTCGTCCAAAACCAATCGATCCAATCATATTAAGCACAATGAAGACACAAGGAACGATAAGTTATGCGCCAAATCCAAGATTAACTAAACGAAATCAAATTCCTTACATTCTCGAAACTGATTCATCTGTTAATGAAGACACTGAAGTGATTTCAACGACAAGTATTTCAATTAAGTCATCGTCACACATTCCGAAGCATTATCAGAAGCTTGAAATCAAATACAAAGGAATGATGGAATTTGATTTTACGGAATACAATCAGACTGAATTCTCGGGACTTGAAGCCATGTTACCGAATGCTTATTGCAATGGAATGCTTCAAGTTCTCTTCTTCTTTGCACCTTTAAGAAAATCACTTTTGACTCATACATGCACGAAAGAATTTTGTTTAACATGTGAATTGGGATTTTTGTTTCACATGTTGGCAAATAATCGAAGTAAACAGCCGTGTCAAGCGAGTAATTTCTTAAGAAGCTTTCGAACTGTTCCTGAAGTGTCCGCGCTTGGACTTGTGATAAGTGATCGAAATGCTGGCCGAAGTATTAATTTGATTCGTTTAATTCAGAACTGGAATCGTTTTATGCTTCATCAAATGCACACAGAATTGCAAGACACAAGAAAGAGAACCAGCATACCAAGTCAAGATGTTGAATTGACGAAACTTGTGTCGACAGTTGGTAAACGTCTTGAAGAAACTTCACTCAGTGAAAACGAGAAAAAATCGGAAAATTCAGAAGAAGAAGTTGAGGAAGACAGATATCAATTCTTGGATAATAACAAGACATCACCAGACAATGAATCGACTCCACCAGAAGAGACGGATGTGAGTTTGTTGTTCGGCATGAAGCAGAAAGTTGTTCATCGTTGTTTAAAGTGTAATGAGAAGAAGCTGAAGACAAATGTCGTTCTTGTTTGCAATCTCCTCTATCCACTTAACAATTCACAAGAAAGTGGTGACTTCTTAAAGCTTTTGAAAGAATCAATGAATGTTGAAAAGACTTTGAATGTTTGGTGTGATTCTTGTAATCGTTTCATTCAACATAATCACTGCGCTCGAATCACTGACTTACCAAACATTCTAGCAATCAATTGTGGATTGGATAATGAGAAGGAATTAGAATTCTTGAAGAAATATCTGAATCAAACGCATCAAGATTTCAATAATCAAAGTCCAGTAAGCGAACCGTTGATGTCTAAAGCGTGTCGTTATGGAATGAAATGTACGCGAATTGATTGCATGTTTACACATCCAAATAGAAAGCAAACATCAAGTGAATCATCATCATCGAATGGACATAATGGAAAGCCTTGTGATCGATGGTTTCCTTTGAGCTTTAAAATATCAATTAATGAGGCTGAAAATATTTTAATTGACGAGAATGATTTGAAGAGCGATGGGGACAATTCAGTGAGATTGTTCAGTTTAGTTGCAGTCACTTATTGCATCGATGATGGCCAACAACGAAACTTAATCGCATTCATTCTAAAGAACGACCAATGGTTTGTGTTTAATGACTTTTGCATTAAGAAAGTCAATGAAGATGAAGTCTTGACTGTTGTTCTTGATTGGAAAATTCCAACGGTTTTATTTTACAAAGACACGTCTTTCGACATGAATGAAAACGATGTTGTGGTTCATGAAAGTCCTTTCACCTCTGATTTGCTATTGAATGAAAAATTCTTTGCGAAGTTTGAACTGGATTCCAGTAATTTTCTTCCACTATCAAAGGATGAAATTCCAAAGCAAGGTAAGAGTCTATTAAAGAGTTAACTCAAAAACATGAAGAATTCTTTTGATGTTCATTTTTTTTACTTTTCTCTTGTTAGGTGATCTCGTTGCAATGGATGCAGAATTTGTGACTTTAAATCCCGAAGAAAGTGAAATTAGTTCAGATGGAAAAATGACTATAAAGCCTCGTGTAGCAAGTGTTGCTAGGATAAGCTGCATTCGAGGGTAAATAATTTTAAACATTTTAATTATTCTATTAATTAATCATTAAAAATTTCATTAGACCTGGAAATGACAAAGAAGGCGTCGCATTTATCGACGATTATATTTTAACTTGCGAACAAGTTTCCGACTATTTGACAAAATTTTCTGGAATCAAACCGGGAGATTTGGACGCCAATTTGAGTAATAAACGATTGACGACTTTAAAGAGCTCTTATCAGAAGCTTCGATATCTTGTTGACAGGTGAGTTTTATGATGTTTATTAATATAATTAATTTGCTTAATTTAATTAATCTCAGTGGAGTAACTTTTGTCGGTCATGGACTTAAGAATGATTTTCGTGTCATCAACTTACACGTACCATCGAAACAAATCATAGACACGGTTTATTTGTTTCACTTTCCCCATCATCGCATGGTGTCGTTGAAGTTTTTAGCTTGGCATTTTCTTGGTGAGTTCTCAACATTTCTCAGAAACTTTAAGATAAAAATAACTTTTTTGTTTGTCACCAAACAGGAATTAAAATTCAATCAGAAACTCATGATTCCATCGAAGATGCTCGAACATCACTTCAACTGTACAAACATTATCAAAAGCTTCAATTGGAGGATGCCGTAAGCTCAGCACTTAACACACTCTACGACGTCGGAAAGCAATTGCAATGGAAAGTCCCAGAATAAACAATCAAGTGGAAATCATACTCAAGTGATGTCAATCTCAGTATTCATCTTAAAAATCGAAGTTTTCATTTAAATTGTTTTTCTTTTTAAGTCACACACACAAACACAGACACAAAATAATTTTAATTAAAGTTACGTAAGTTTTAAACTCATTATTGTATCGTAAGAAATTTTAATTTTACAATAAAGAAATAAAATTGAAACAAACACCTGTTGATTTGTGCTCGTGTCTAGAAGTGACGACGTCATTGTCAATGACGACGATTTGTTGCTATGGCAACGTCGAATCATCAAACAAAAATTTTTTCTCATGAAAATAAAAAAAATTCAGATTAATTTTCATTCTGAAATTATTAACTTGAAATATGCAAAGTGCTCGAAGGACAATAACAAGTGGAAACCGAGTCCGTGAAGTGGATCTTTATGGTGGTTTTAACAAAAATATTTCTAATCTCTACGAGGAAAATGAAGACGAAGCATATCAAAATGCATTGAAAGTTTCCAGTTATGGAAAGCGAAATTCAACGCCGAAGACTAATTGGGTGGGTTTATGAGAGTTAATTGAGATCATAAATGGATTTCAGTCCCTTTTTTTCCTTGTTTCTTGTTGTTGTTGATTTGGGTTGATTATCATAGCTAAGATAGGGACTAAAATTGAATTATTACGGATTTATATTTAGGTAGTAAATAAAAAATTTAATTTAATTTCATAAGATTGGTGAACGTTTGCGAACTGGCGAAGTTCCATCGACAGCGATGGCACGAGCGAGACCTTCAACTGCGGTTCGACCTGTTGGATTTTCATCAGACACTTTGATGTTCGATCCCTTCAACCAAGCGAGTAAGAAGGCGGTTGCTATCGAGAATAAAAAAGAAGACACGTGAGTTACTGTTTTGACGTTGATAGCGACATTTTATGAGACAAAAAAAAATATTTTCTCTTGAAAAAGTCCTGAACAGAAATACAAAAATATTGAAAAGAAAATATTTGACCTTCTCGAAGAATCAATTCTCGCTAGCACGGGGTTGAAACCTGACGTCATCGCAGGCTTGGCAAAAGCTAAGGAAGCATCTTCAATGGATCGAACATTGCTTCGAATGAGAAATCAAAACGGTGGAAATTTCACTCATAATTTTGATCTCACTTATTCGGTTTGTTATTTCGCATTAATTATTTCTACATTTTAATTGCCTAATTAATAATTACCATTCAGGTTTTATTCAATCTTGCTAACCTTTATTATAAGAACGAGATGTTTATTGAAGCGTTGAACACCTACACGTTGATGACAAAGAACAAAATGTTTCCCAACGTCAATCGATTGAAGATCAACATGGGGAACATCTACTTTCAATTAGGATTGTTTTCAAAAGCAATTAAAATGTATCGGATGGCTTTGGATCAAGTTCCGGGTAATCAAAAAGAACTTCGATTGAAGATAACTCACAACATTGCAATACTTTTTGCAAAGATGGGACAATATTCGGACGCTGCTACAAGCTTTGAGTTCATCATGGCAGAGAAGGGTGACGTGAAGAGTGGACTTCACCTCGTGTTGTGTTATTACGCTCTTGGTGATACCGAGAAAATGAAAAAAGCTTTTCAGTATCTTCTCGACGTTCCCATTGACTATAATGATGAAGAAAAGCTGATTAATTCCGGCACAAATCCATCGTATGAGTATGTTTACAACGCAATTCAGTCTGATGAATTGTATAAATATGAACAAAAGCTGAAAAATCAAGCACAACGAAGCATTCTTGTGACTGTCAATCTCATTTCTTCAGTCATTGAGAATAACTTCAATGATGGTTACACTTGGTGTGTTGAGACGATAAAATATTCTGGATTTTCAAAGCTCGCTACTGAATTGGAAATCAACAAAGCATTGATTTTTCTGAAGCTTGACGATGTTAATCAAGCGATTGATGCTTTGAAGTTTTTCGAGAAGAAAGATTCAAATGTTGCTGTCAATGCTGCTATTAACTTGACCTTCATTTATCTCCTGGTGAGTTCAACGATTATTGCTTCGCCTGCTTCCATTTTTATTCTAACGACTTTCTTATTCTTATACTTTAATCTATTTAGAAGCGTGATTTAGAGACAGCAGAAAAATATGCTGAAACAGCAAGAAAATTGGACTCTTACAACCCTCACGCTTTTGTCAACAGCGGTGTTTGTGAAATGATGAAGGAAAAGTCTGATGTTGCAAAATTTATGTTCAATAGTGCTTTGGAAATTGATGCAACGCTTTTTGAAGCGATTTATAACATGGGCGAGTTCTGTCATATTTAATTTTATTTCAAATGAATTTTGTGACTTTTTTTTCAGGTTTGGTTAATAAGAAAACGGGAGATTACGATGAAGGTAAGTAAAAAGGAATAAAAAGAATGAAAAAATAAAAGGAAAAACTCGTTTTCTTAATTTTCAACAGCCTTGAACTATTTCCACAAACTGAATGCGAATCTGGGTCATCAACAGCATCCAGAAATTATGTTCCAGATAGGGAATGTCTACGAGTTGATGGGCGATTTTAGTGCCGCCCTCGAATGGTATCATCAACTGCTTGGAATTGTACAATCAGATGCTGGTGTTTTGAAGAAAATTGGAGAACTTTATGAAACAAAAAATGAACGTCAACAAGCTTTTCATTATCATCTTGAATCGTATCGTTTATATCCGAGTGATTTCTCTGTTGTCAATTGGATTGGTTCACATTTCATTGAATTGCAAATCGCTGAGAGAGCTATAAGCTTCTTTGAAAAAGCCGTTCTCAACAATCCAAACGATTCATATTTTCTTCTTCGTGTTGCTGGGAGCTATCGAAAAATAAATGCGGCAAAGTCAATGCAATTGTTTCAACAAATTCAAGAGAAATTTCCTGAGAATGTTGATTGCTTAAGGGCTTTAATACATTTAACGCAATCACAAGGATTGACAGAACAGCATGAGCTTTACGTTGACAAGTTGGAGAAACTTGAGAAGCAAAAAGAGGTTCGTCAAAGGATCAACAGTTCACGTCCCGGAACGTCGTTCAATTCAAGGCTTTCCGGAAGCGGAAGATCAAACGGAAGCGGTCAACTTGAACATCATCATCAAGTCGTTAACAATTACATAAACTCACCCAATGTCAACTCGCCAGTCGACTTTTCCTACTCAGATCCCCTCGAGGCCGACAGTTATCAAAAGCGACCGTTTACTTCCGGTCGAAGAATCGTAGAAAGCTATTCGGACGAAGAAATCGATGACGAACTTTTACCAATGTAACATGATTTTTTTATTTTTATTTTGCATTATTTATAAACAACAAAATTCAATGGAAAATAAATTTGAGAAACTTTCAGCAATAAAAGAAAACTATGCGCATATCGTTGTTTCCATCGCTTCCAAAGAAATGTCCACATGATTTGTTTGTAAGCTTTCGTATTATAAATCGTTACTAACAATGCAACATGATGTAAACAATTTTTCCAATGACTTTCCAATGCTTTTCCTGATTTCACTTCCAATGAAAGTTTGAAAGCTTTTCCAGTCAAGTCACGTTGGATGCTGGATAAACACAAACTCACACATACAAATCTCTCTTCTCAATGTCACACGCACACATTGATCAATCTCTTGTTTCAACGCAAAGGATATTCCAATTTTTCCATGTATAAATAGGATGGTGTTAGTGTACAATTCTGCTTTTCATATTATCATTCATTTAAAGGAATTTTGATGGAAAAGCACATCAGTGTTGAGAAATCGTTCAATCTGTTCAGATCGTTAAGCTCATTTAAGTCGCATGTTGAGCTTTCATTCTGTTTTTTGTTGTAAAAACTATAATAAAAGAAAGCAAAAAAAAACATAATAAAATATTTCAGTTGTTGACAAATTTCCAAATATAAAAAAAGAAAAAGAAAGGAAAATCATTGTGTTTACGACGAAACCTTTAAAAGCTTAGGAATAAGAAGCTAATCAGCTCTTAATTTGTCTACCGATTGTCGCGCGCGCTATTGGGGACAGACAGTCTGATACTCAAAATTTTATTAAAAAGTTAACTGCTTGTCCAACTGCAATTATTTGTTTCTTCTCCTATTCATCCTTCTCAATACTAAAAATTGTAAAATATCTTTCGGGATAAAAATAAGTGGGAGTGAATTGGTTAAAATAAAATCTTCCTCCATCCATTCGAATAGTATAAACTGAAATGAAAAGATAATAAAAACAAAATAAAAAGTGATATGATTTAAGAGAAAAGGAAACACAAAATGAAAATTATTTGAAACAACGAAAGGAGGAAAATGGAAACTGGATGAAAATATTCGCGAGAACAGTGTCATTTATTACACAAATAATTTTTTTCCCAGGCAGAGCTTTTCCTTCCGTCTCCCCCTCTATTCGTACGGCGAAGTGGCGCGTTTGAAACACATTTTACGCTGAGACTATCGTTTTAGGAAGGGAAGAAGATACTTATAGGCAGGCACAAGGGTTGGACGAAGAAAGCGAAAAACACTGTAATCGAGCGGGAGAAAAGAAAGTGGAATTTATGTTGTTGATGTAATTTAGTGCAAGTACAAGCTTCTCCCTTTTCGCAAAACATTTTAATAGGAGAGTACATTTGCTCTTCTTTCCTTCCTCATCGCGAAATCATTCAGATTTATGGAAGTAACTCCATGAAAATCACATTTACGATCTGATGAGGTACGGATGTGAATATCATTTTCGTTTTTATTACACTTGTATACGTTGATTTATTGTTTGGTCAAAGTGTCAACGGCAAGCCGTTGAAAAGAGGTGAACAAAGTGACAGAAGATATTTCTTAATGTTGTTAAGGCCACCACAATGGTGTATTGAAAGAGAAAGGAAAATGTTACAAATTTTAATACTGAAGACAATTAGTTTTCTGTCAACCGCACTTATCGCGATTCATTTCCTTCAACACATTAAAAGGTTCTGAAAGTTTTTGTCTTAAAGGCTTAGCAAATGGGTTGGGAGGTGTTGGTTTAAAATGTGGCTAATTTATCGACATGAATGCCTTTAATTAACACATAAATAAGAAAGAATAATTGGAAGAGGAGTAAAGAGAAAACCCCCAAAACATTTAGCTTCTTTCTCTCACGCGTGAAATGAATAAAAATGAGGATTAATAAGTTAAGTTCAAACTGCCTACACGCTGTAAAAGGAAGATATAGCTGACTCAATTAAGAGAAGATTTAATCACATTAAATTAATCTCAATGCAACTTCGTCTTATCTTTCACTTTTAACCCGAGCAACTCGTCGCGACTTATAATGATTTTCACATTTTCGTTGGGTGGTGTAGTTGATGGCATGAGTTTCGTTATTCAGTCAAACAGCAGTCTTCAAGGCAAAACATCAAATCTGTTAATAACTCAATAAAATCGTTTTCGTCTTTCTTTTTTTTTAATGCGGCGTTGATGGAAAAAATCAGTGATTGTCGTTAGTCGAGGATAAATCTATGAATATAAATACTTACGAAGAAATAGGAGCGGAACATTCTTTGCGGTCAATTTTATCAATTTTTCTTTTTCCATGTTGGCTTTTTTTGGGTTTTTCTTTTCCCCTCCTTATCGACTGAATATTTTTCCATTTAATTTTAAGGCCGCCGCTTTTGTGATTCTGCCCCGTCGTAACTTTTGTTTGCTTGTTTGCCAATCGACCGACCTCTGCTTGATTTTTTTTTCTTTTCTTCTTGGTGACAGCTTTTCGAGGCGAAAATATTTGCACAAACAAAAGAACAAAAGTCTTCTTTCATGGTTTTTAACAAAATGAAATGAAAGAAGTGAGAAAGAGTTTTTCGATGCCAAAAAGAAAATCGCAATACGACGACTGATTGACCTTTCCGACTATTTCGCAAGTTGACTTTACTACTCGTGTATAAAATCGATGGAATGTCAATATTGGGAAAATAAGCCTTTATTTACCAACCCCATTTATAAGTAAGCAGAAGAAAATCGCCTCAGATTTCGTGTTTCCTTAAATCTCATAAAAATAGGTTTTTGATTTTTCCGGGTAGTCTGACAAAGACAAAATTGTATTAGTTTGCTCAGATTTAATTTCCCTTATAAAAATCTTGATACAAACCAACACAAATCTACCTGGTTTAAGTATAAAAGCACATTTGTTAATTAAAGATTATAATCGCATAGCCAACATTCATAAACTTGACGATAATTAATTTCCTTTCATTATGCATTCTGAGTTGACAAAAAACGTAGCTTGATGTTTGGGGTTGTTTCGACTCAATTTTATTATGCATCTTACAAAATAATGAAGTTGAAGGAGTTGATCAAAAATGTCGTTTATTGTGTCACTTGAATGATTTCCATCTCTTGCAGAAAAAACCGCGAAGGTCCGTAAAACACAAATCAAGACCTGAAAATTAAGTGATACCAGCTACACTACTTTAAAATAAAAGAAAAGCTAAATGAGAAAAGTAAAAGCCATTTAATTTGATTAAATTAAATGAAAGAAAATTTATGCGAAATAATTTAGATCATTAAAGAAATGATTTAAGGGATGGTAGCTCGATAAAAGCAAGCACATAAAAGAAAGCTGCTCGACTTTGAGGTTGACGACTTGATGAAACGGAAACATAATTAGCAACAGAGTCTGAAAGTCTCATGACTCTATTGATCCGCCTCACGGGTGACTTAATAATTAATGGCATTATTTGTTTCACTTATGTGAGTCTTTGTATGATTAATAATCCACAAGACTTCAAAAGCTTCTTCTCTTTTTTTCTCATTCATTCACAACACTATCTTTTCACACCTGGAAGCATCTTTTATAATACTCAATATGATGGTTTTTTTAACAGAGCGGATGAATAATATCATAAATAAATGCTGAAGTCAGATAAAAAGTCTTGTAAATCGTGCCACAGACTAAAATATTTATTTTCTCTCATCTCCTTCGAGACTTGCATTAATAATGAATGGAACACGACCTAGCTTATAGCTACTTATTGTATCTAAGCAGAACCACATAACTTGATACTTTTCATAACTAATTATTTTGGACTCAAGTAAAATAATTTCAAGCACTCGGGAGGGATTAAGACAATTTGATTAAAGCTAAAAGAGATGAGCACGATGAGAAATTTATTAGTTTTCAAAGTTTTTCTTAGTTTTTCGAGAAAGTTCTTCAGGAATGGAGAATTAATGTAATAATATCAATTTTAATTTGTAATTCATAAATAATAACTTCGGATGGTCGATTGAACAGTCATCGCGATGAATTTTGAATTTTCACAAAATAATTTTAAATATTCCAAATTATTAATTTAACTTCCATGTAGAAATTGTTTCCAACAGAATCACGATTTGGCGCTTGAAGTTCTTGTCATAAATGAAATGGAATTCAATCATCTGTCTATTCGAGTTTTTTCTATTCATTGCTTATTAACATTTTAATAAAAAGTTTTAAACAACTTTGATTATTCGTCAAATTTCTTTATTATTCGCTTAAGTTAAAGTGGAGTTTTTCAAAATGACGAGAAACTCAGTTTACTTTGTAATGTTTTTGCTAATTTGTCGGATTCAACTTTTGTGAATATTATCTAGAAAACTTTTATTGATAGAATTGATATTAATTTTTCCCAGCATTTCCTTTCCTTGTATGACCTTTTGGATACTTTAATGAACCGATAGGTGGTGAAATGTGTCGCTGCACAAGTGAAATTTAGTAATTCAGTTTCCTTATAATTTTGTATGATTAACAAAAAGTATTTTGAAGCGCTTCGAAAGCCAAATTTTGGTTTTTACCATCTAACAGCGCCCTGATTCAAATTATTGTTCTTAAACTTTCTCTTCAAGGCAAAAACTTTCGCTTAAGTAAATTAAATTGAGTTGTCACAATCTTTTTGTTAAGTTGTGAAGTTTATTTAGCTTCAGGTTATAAAATACTGTGTTGTCATTTTGTTTAAGCATCTAATCTGGCCAACCAGTTGCAATTACACTGAAAGCACATTTTACCATTAATACAGTTGGAAATTTTGCCAAAAGATTTTTCACATAAAAAGACAGGAAACAAGAAGACTTTCTAAAACGATTAATCAAAATGTTTACTCGAAAAAGTTACTTTTAGACAAAAATTACGATTTGCTTCCAATTGTTCTGGTTTTCCTATAAATAAAGCAATTTCTAAAAGCATTAAGCAATCCCAGACGAAAACTATTTATACGTAAATAATTCAAAAGCTGATATTTGAATCACATAATTTATTCCCGATCTCTGGCCGAAGGCTTTGACTACTCTTCTCATCTCCTTTCCCTCCACTCTTCTAGATATTCAATATTATGTGTTCTGGTTACATACAGATTTCCCAGTGAGGTATGGAAAATATGTACAGCTGTAGACTTTACATAGCAAGGCACAGCTAAGAAGTGAATTTGAATTATGGTCGAATTATGTAACAATAAACAAAATTTTATTTATGGTTTATTTTGTCTTCTGAATGTGGCGATAAAAGTTACATGTTGTCAATTGAAGACAGTTAGGCTTAGGTTTATCGAATTTATCCAATGAACATTCATCATCCCTGGACATTATGCATTGTAAGATTCATCCCTGCATTCCTTTTTCTACTGTTTTCATATCTTTCATTTTTCCCATGCTCAAGCATGAAATTTTTTTGCTTTCTTTTTTTATTCTAACAAGAAAGGTAAAAATGTAAACATTGAAAGAGGGAGAAACTCTAAAAATAAAAGTGCCTTAACGGCGGTGGAGAGCTCGGGAAATCGATATAAATTAAGGATGGTTAGAAACTTCCCAAATACTTCTACCAGAGAAAATAGGATAGAATATTGTAACATACAATAGTATGGTTGAGATATCACATCAACACGTAACACTACCAATGAGCAGATCATAAAAGAGCAAATGTAAAATCAATAACCGTTAAGCTCTAGTTCTTGTGGAAGAATTTGGAACACCTCAACCTCATATACATAAATATTATCAATAATTTTCGTTTTTCCGCATGAAATGATAATCGAAGTTGAGCTTTTTCTTTTCTAAGTATCAAGCAAAGTTTTCTGCTTTTACTCTTTTAGGGTCTTCGTGAAAATTCAATTTTTATTGGGAAAGATTTGAATTGAAATAAAAGAAGTTTCCTAGAAAGAAATGTTGACATTAAAATATGTTTGAGATTTCAAAAAATTCCTTTGAGGTGAAAACTGATTTAACGTTTCCATTTATTGAAGAAAAAGTTGGAATGACGAAGAAACGTGGCAGTGAATAGCATCAAAATCTTGTAAGTTTTAAAGAACTAAACTTCAGTAGTAACTTCTCTAACGAATCGAATCTCGACGCCTTCTGAATTAGAATAAAAACTACTTTAATCAATAGAATTGACCTAGTTGGAAAATTCAATTAGATAGTTCCAGTCCCTGGAAAAAATATTTTCTCGTTTTTGTTTTCAAAACAAGTTAGGATACTTGGAAAAAAGTTGAGCCGCATAAGTTACGCACAATGAAGTATTTCTATTTCTAATTTTGTCCTACATAACAAAATGAACTGACTGGTTTCGGATGTTTTGTAATCAAATATGTGCTTAACATTCAAGAGAATATCTTGTCGGAATTATAAGTGAGTGGGAGGAGTTGAGGACGAAACTTCTCCTTTTGTTCAATCGACGACATGTTAGACGACACTTTAATAGTTTACGCAGTTACCACATAACAATGAAATAAGAAATTAATCTCGCTTTTGAGGTGTAGGAAGCAACATCTGTTTTAGACTGGAAACTTTTTAATCGACAGAAAGTTTTCATGAAAAGGTTTAAGCATTAAATATGCATTGCCGCAAGGGAATTTTAATCATGAGCGAGATAAAGCTCCCATTGCAACATCTTGTTATTATTACTTAACATTCTTAGCTCTATCAGGGGATCTTGGGATGTTAGCTTTTCATACCATTACCAAGAAAAAAGTTTCTCGAACCGTGAATGTAAATGTAGGTCAAGATCACTGCCTTTGAATAACATGTCAAGGTTGGATAATGTCTGTGAATAAGAAAGTAATTGATAACGCTCGCAACTTGTTTATTTCAATTTTCTTTCATAGTGTCATTGCACTTACATACTTTCCTGAATGAGATTTACTTTTCAACAGAAGTTCGTAATCATAACATCTATTCAAGAAATCAAGATGAGTGGATAAAAGATTGCTAAAGGTTAGAAAAAATCAAACATAATTGCAAGTGAATAGCAGAGATTTTCACTTGAAGGCTTTTTGCCCTCTCAATGCTTTCAGGGAAGTTTCTTAAAGTGAAATCTTTTCCATTTTATACTTTTCTTCCTTCTCGAGCTTGTCAGGAAAGTTAGACAGAAGAATTTTTTCTCATGACTAAAAAAAATTGAAGTTGATGGTGAAATATTAGCAAATTGTTTTCGTTTCACTCGTCATTGACGATAAAGTTGGTGAAAATCTCGCGTTAACAAATGAAGGCATCTGAAGCCTTCTTTGTTTTCATTCTAAGAAAAGATTTCAAAGACTTCTATGAAGCTTTTTTTATGTCTTTTCAATTTAAAAAAGAAAAGCGTAAACAGAAAACTTATTTGAAAAGAAAAAGGTTTTCTTGTTATCATGAGTCAAAACATGGTTGAAAATGTCAACTTTTGCATTTGTTTTCTTTAAATTTCATTTTATTCTAATGAAAGAATTAAAACCTGTTAAAGATTCACACGAATTTGAAGGAAAGAATTTTCTTGTTTATCTAATGGGATTGTTTCAAAAACTTCTCCGCTTGAGTTATTCTTCAAATTCAGAGAAACGAAAGGTTGTCAGAAAATTCATTTCAACATTTCGAGAATTTCAACATCTGCCATTCAGAAGTCGCATTTCGTGAGTTAATGTTATGATAATTTGAGTCAGGAATATAAAATGTAAGAAATATCATTATCATTATCAAAACCCTTTCTTCATTTTTTCACTTGGTGCTGCGACCAAAACGATTCAGTTCTATCATCACGTCATTTAAATTCAACATCGACGAAGTGCTCACGACGAGAAGTTGAAGAGAAAGGAAAAAGGGATTCGTTTGCTCTTATTTACATCAGCATCAGCATTGTTGAATATCATTGAGTGGTTGATTGAAAATTCGAATGTAAATATTCAACCCAAAATAAAATAAAATAAACATGAAGAAGCGCTGACATTCGATTTGTGTCCGCATCGAGACTAAAGCGGGTTGACATTTATTTGGGCTCCTTTAGTCTCTAATGCCATGATGATGTCTTTATTCCTTGTTGTAATTGAAGTTCAATATTTATTTTCGAACAAGCGTGGGCTGAGCTTGAGCTTTAGTAGGTGGTGGTAAACTTTTTTATAATATCTATAAATGACTTCATGATTAACATTTTGTTGTTTACACACCTGTTAGTTGTTGCCTGGCATCCTTTCGAACGAACACAAAGTCAATTTATTACAATATCTATCTTTAATCTGTCAAGTTCCGTAGGCTTTTCATGGAAATCTCTAAGATTAAGTCACTGTACGTAATCAATTATTAAAATTAACACAGAGTGTTTTTAAAAGCTGTTCAAACAGAAAACTGATTGTGTTTCGATGAAAGATTTAATTACTAAGATGTTTCTTTCATTTAATCTCGAATGTAGTTCAAAAGGCAAGGAAGGAAGAACCTCAAGCTTTAAAGTTTAATCGATTTTCTGTGAGTCGGAGGAAAGGCTTTGTTCGAGAATTTGAGATTTTATCAGTCATTTGATATTGTAAGCATGCAACGAGTATCTTGGTTATGGGCGTATTATTTAGACAGCGAATCTCTGAATCGTGTCTAAGTGAATTTCATTAAGAAGGGCGATAAAATCATAGATCCTTTGATAACTGCTGATTTAAACGGAAACGGATACACGCTTCGAAGATAATTTCATCGTAATTTGAAGATTACAAAGAATGCTTACAAATGCGATTCCAACATCACGCTACCATTTTGTTTAAGATACTCTTTTACGTCTTCCCTTGCCTTTGATGTTGTTCTTAATCCTTGTTTCTCACGTTACTGCTGCTGTTGCCAACGAGCAAGCGAGCGAACGAACGAACGAACGAACCAGCCACAAGGCAAATTCATGTGTGGATACAAAAATCGTATCAAGATAATTTACATAAAACAGAAACACATTTCGTGCACTTCATTTACTCTTCAATCATTCGACATACAAACACACATTAACATATAAAGTTTGTTTTCTCAATTCTTACATTATAACATTTAGCACATGAACAAACAAACAAACAAAATGTGAAAAAAAATAAGAAAATATTCTCGAAAGAGAAAGCAAAATGAACTAAAATCGATATAAAATATGGAAATTGTTTTAAAGCCAATCGCTTCTACATATCAGAGCTTTTCATTGTTTCCCGATTTACGATTATTGAATGATAATGTTTACAAGCTTTAAGTGAGAGATAAAAGAATGGAAATTTGCATATGGCAGCGAGCCATAAATTCTCGCACAACAGACTTTTTTTCTCGCCCTTTAACTACCTTTAAAGCTTCAACACAAAAGAAGAAGCTTTAATTTATGTGACAATGAGGGATATCGAAGGTCGATGTTGGATAAAAGATTTTGTTTTCATATGATTATCGTGTAATTGGGGGTTTAAATCGGATGAATGAATTTAGACTTTGATTTTTCTCGCACTGGTTGGTGAAAGATTTGATGGAAACATGGAGTGAAGGACAGGAAAGAGTTTGTCATGAAATATGTTTAACTTATTGAGGATTCAGATTCCGTTTCATGCTTTACTTGTTTGAACAAGTATGGTGTTAATATTTAAATTTATGTAAATTTAATAATAGCTTCCGATGTAGTGATGACAGCACTAAATTATGTTCATCTTAAACATAAATATCTAAATATGATCTTAAGAAACCTAAAACTTTGTAAACTTCCTTGAGTGGGAAGAAAACGTTGGTGTTATGGAGATTTGATATTCTTGTTTTAATAAGAATTATGACGCAATAACATTCAGTAAACTTTACACTTGCATGTGTTAATCTTATTTAGGATTCTTCGAAGTTTCTAAAGAAGCTTTTGATGTTCTGTTTGAAAATCACTTAAAGAGAATTTCAAGCAAGCAAATGCTATTAAAATCGCTAATAAATAGATTCTTGAAAGTATTTAATGACGATAATAAACACATAAATTGCTGTTTAATAAATTTATTATTAATTCGATGAAATCGGAAATTTCATGTAATGATTTTTTTATATTCTTCAATATTCTGCAACTCATTCGGTTTGCTTGATGATTTGTTAATACAGTTAATTTATGAAACCCACAAAATTCATTGAACTTTTATGCGAAAAATATCTCATGATGATTCCTAAGAATTTCGTCAATGAAACTATTCAATTTAATTTACTTAAGCGGAGAGAAATATGGAAGCATGGAAAAAGGGACAAAAGTTTTTAGTCGACGCCAGGATCCATAACACTTTATCAAACTTTGAATCATTCAACCGGAGGGATTTGTTTAAGGTTCATCGAACTTCAAACGCCTCGATAAATGCGTTCCAAGTTCTTGTCTCTCATATTTAAAATTCAGCGTAAGCATTACAGTTTGAACTACGATTTTATGGCACAAACATACTTTAAAGTGAAAAAGGAAGAAGAATTTATATTCCCAATGCGTGCGATCGTAGATATGTAGTGAGAAAAAAATGTCAAGACAGAAAATTTGTTATCAAAATAAGTTCAAACCCTTCATCAATCCTATATATGCCTGAGGGTGTGTCTGGAAGCTAAAAGTATCATCATCATCATCAGAGTAGGGAGTGCACGACTGTACACTTAAGCGATTAAGAATACAGGAATATAAATTCCAACTTGTTTCGCTCCCTTTGTCTCATCACCTGAATGATGAAGGTTCCACTTTCAGTAGCGTTCCACAGGATTGTATATTCCTGAATACTCTTCATTGTTCATATTTGACAAATTTATATTTTTATCAAATTTGATACAAAGAGACATTTCAGTTTATTATATCCTAGTGAAAAATTCCACTTTAAATGAAACAGGGGCGAAGTATCTAAACTTCTGAAAACCTCAGCCCAAGTGACCACCACCGAGAATGGAACCAGGATCGTACCGATTAGTGAATCGATACGAATTCTGATACAAATCCGATGGCACAGACACTTAGGCCAATGAAGCAAATTTGCCCCCCAAGCTAAAAGTAATAAATATGTTGAAATATCACGAAATTCTTGTGACGACAGCCATGAAGTGCTTAGGACATATTTAGGCAAACATTAAAGGGTGTCGTTAGGTGTCATTTTACCCAGCTTAAATACTAACAAAACAATAAACCGGATATTTCAACACGTAAGAAATTGAATTTAGAAATCCTCTTATGAAAGTACTAGTTAGGTAGATATATTGAAATAGAATGGAGATAGCTAAGTTGAGTTGAATTAAATTGACAAAATAAAGAGATTTTTGTGTCGGTCGGAAAAGTTTTCAAATTCATTTTCACTTTTACCTTTTGTAACAGTCGTAACATTGAAAAGCTGGGTCGTCTGAAGAAATTTTGGTTGTGAATCAAGACAAGACCATAAAAGGGTTCATTTGAATTTACTACACGTATCAGTCTTAACAGTTTTGCCAACAATTCCTTTACCCATAAGAAGTTTGAAGTTCGAACGTCTTTTGGTTTCTTTCTTTCTACTTTATGATGATGGCAAAAAAAGGGGCAAAAACGAATTTCATTTGAGCGAGCTTTTGATGCTTCTTCAATTTTACAAAATATTGGGAAAAATCTTTAAACTAAAATGATTTGTGTAAAAAAAGTTTCAGGTTTTCAGAAGACTAGAAACCTGATAAAGCCGAATTTCAGCTTTACAAGCAACAATGTTAAAGCTTTTAAGCAGCTTCACATGAAAATTTATTTTAAAATGAAATTGTTTTATGGTGTTTATTTATGTGAATATGTTGAGGGACTAATAACATTATTTAATTATCTCTGCGTGTAAAATTATTAAAATTTTAATAATGTAATTTAAGCTTCATTTACAGATAAACATGTTTTGCATACGCTTCAGATTAAAGTTTTTAAATTTATTAATCGTAAAAGTTATGAAAATTTTGAAGGCATGAAGAATTCTGGAACATCATCAAAAGCTCAAATGGCTAACTTGTTGCTTATGGATTAAATTTTAAAATTGATTTCTACAACAAAAGGAAATTAAATTGAAAATGTTTCTTGATTGATATATTTTTTTATTGTTTGTTTCATAAATGTTTGCATTTCTATAATTAAAGTAAAATAACTGCAAGCTTGCAACAAATGTTTAATCCACTTAGGAATTCAAACAACATAAACTGATACGAACAACAATACTGCCAATGGCACAAGAGAAATTGTTTTTATTTCTACTTTTCAGCGAGTAATTGCTTCGCAAGCTTTTCCCAGCTAGCTGTGGTGATGTCAGTCAAAGCACATCATTCAAATTTCTCGTAGAATTCAGATTGATTTTTCAATTAACCATTTTAATATAGTCGACAGGAGTTTAAATTTCATTTGCGGCTAAGAAATTAAACATTCGAATTTAAAACAATCAATCACAGCTAATGTGAAATTGAGTGAAACAAAAAATATGAAATTCAATTAATAACATTCCACAAAATTGCCTCTTTTTTCGACTCTATAATTTATTTATCTTGAAGCGCGTAATTGAAATACGAAATTGATGTTGCGTACTTCATATCGCAAATAAATTGATTTTTTCCTCTGCGTCTTCCTCTTTACTTCGTACACGTTAAAGCAATTTCTATCAAGCGACAGAGAATCTTATGGAAACCGGAAAGAAAATCACGCGCAAAAATGCTTTGTGCTTAACATTTAATCCATAATTCATGAATGATAAAACATCGGATTTAATCTGTAATGGGGAATAAATACGAAATGTAATCAGTTGATCCCTTTTTTTCAAGCCACAATCAGATGGAAATTAAATGATGCGAATGTAACTGAAAGCTTTTTGACGAACATGTTACAACAACAATGCGATGTGAAACGATCCAAAGAGAACTCTATGTGGTTTGATTGAAGTGAATGCGGTTTTGTCTCATCAATTCTATTCCAATGGCTTATGACTGTTATCACGAATTAAAATTTACAAATGATAAATTTTCGTTTGAAAGTTCATTACAGATCTGACCTAGAGAGTTTCTCTGTTAACTTTCTGCTTTTTTTAGATGGAAACAAACTTGATGGAACAACAAACACACATCAAACTTTCACATTAGGTTTCGTGAAAAGAAAATGAAGAAAAATTTCTCAAACTTTTCAAATGTTACAATTGAAATTCTCCAAACACTCATCAGGAAACTTTATTGAAACTTTCATCATTTCTAATCAAAATAAAAATCTTATAAAGAAAATTTCTTATGGAAATTTTTGTTTCGTAAGCATTTCTTGAAAACGCATCAAAGACTGTAAATGGAGTTTCAAGATTTTAATCTCATTGTTCAAATATTGGATTTGATTTTCATTTTGAGTAATCTTAGCCTCATAATGAATCAACTTCGAACCCATTTCAAATACTGACCACGTCAGGGGATTAATTTCCTCATCAATTTCGGCTTTGATTTCCTTTCTCAATTCTTCTCCATTGACAATTTCGGATTTCATCATTTCAAGTGTAGGTGGACATTTCTGGAAAATGTCAAAAAGAGCTGCAGCGATTGCTGATTTATTGTTATTGATGTTCCTATCGAAGCATCTTTGATTCATGTGCAGCATTTCCAGCTCACTCAAATCATCAAAAACGTTGTGTGCAATATATTTGATAGGATTCCAATTGAGTCCGATTACTTTCACTTTCGGTGTTTTCTTAAATAGATTCCAATTTAATCTTTCAATCTTGTTGCTTCCGAAATCAATTTGAGTAAGATTCGGGAAGTCTTGAAGGTCTTCTAGATTTAATTCGGTAATGTCAGAATATCTTACAGTCAATGACTCAAGGTTTGGGTAGAATTGATTTATGTTACGAAGCATCGATTTAATTTGACTATTATCAAGAATTAATGCCTGCACTTCGTTATTACTTTTCCCATTGATGTGGTTATGTGATACTGCTGTGACGTTGTTCGGATCACCGATAGAAATCAATTTTCCTTGACAAGCGTATAAATTGGGAACCGTCCACACTCGAATGATTGAATAAGTGCAATCGATTATCACAGCTTCATTTACAGAAATTCCAACAATCAGAAGCAACGAGAACATTTTCAGTACAATCATTTTGATGATCTTCTATTTTAAAATCTCACAAAGATCTGAACACTACGAAATTTCACCACAAAATGAATTAATTGACTTCTTATTTAAGCTCGGATTGAAAGAGATAAGAATTTGATTTCTTGACCTTAAGACGATAATTAAATATTTTACAGCACTTTTTATTCCTTTAAAATTAATGCTTGAACTTGTCTGACATTTCTAGCGTAGAAATATAAAAGTTACTGTTCTCGTAAATTATAATTTGTTTTCGTAGTTCTTCTTCGTCTTCCTTTCTTCAAATCAGCAAGAAAAAAAAAATAATTTCATGAATTATAAAGAGCAAAAATTGAATAAAATTTCTTAAGGCTTTCCATTCTGAATTGAAATAATTCTATTTGGGGATTACGCAGAAGTAAGCATATTTCGTTCATTAAAATGTTCCTTTGGTGGCTTGTTCAATGGTTATGTTCTTAACTTTTCTTCTTACTTTTTTCGGGATAAATAAAGTAAAGAGGAAGAGAGGAAAGCAAAATGAAAACTTACCGAAAGTTGTAAAGTTTTACACATTTTTTATGTTAATTTGCAACACAAAACGGACCTTAAAAAAACTTTTTGCATTATTTTCTGTTTGTGATGAAACGAGTAACCGCAAGGATACATATTTCTTGTTATATTTAGTTTTCGGGACAAGCATTTATGAAGTAAACAAGCTGTTTGCTTGGCTTTTATAATGACTTACGAAAAGAGCTTCAGATATAACTTTTTGATTAGTCCGCTATATATTTACAATGTAAATCATGAAGATTATTATCACTTTTAACGACTAAAGAAAGTCCGCAAAAATAAATTTTCATCAAACGTCAGATAAATATTTTTAACTGAATGTAGAAATATGTTCAATCATAAATCAAAAAACACGCAGAACCCTTGTTAAAAATAACTTCAGGCAAATAGACACGATGGACTTATCTAAGTAAAGTCAGCAGTGTTAATGCTGAACCATGCGGGATAGAAATTGGATAATGAAAAAGAATGCAAACGGCACGGTTTTTTATTATCAAGATTTTTCCTTCTCCATATTGTGGGCGTTTTAATAAGCTTAAGCTGAAGATATTTTTCAATTAAATTTCCTTTCTTTTCTCAATAATTCTTTTCTCCCTTTACCTTCGCCTTTGCTTTGTTAGAAGCTCTGTAGATGTATATAAACGTTTTATATAAATTGGAAGAAATTATGATCATAAGTTGAAAGTCAAGCGGAAATTTTTATTGATTTTCTTCTTTCTCTTCTTATTTTTATGATTATGTTATACAATTGTCTGAATTATATTTTGAGCTAGACATTTTGTTCAGTTAATCAAGAGATGAAAATAATTTGAGAAGTTAAATTAGATTAAAAAATTATAAAAGTAAAATATTCAAAGCATCAGGTTCAATAATGGAACAGAAAATTTCGAATAATCCCTAAACGAAAAATTTACCAACATAAGAAAAGAAAATAAATTAAATTAAATTTGTTTATCAAAATCGATTTACGCATTCAAAGCTTTTTTAAAAGCTTATTCCATAACAATGAGATTATTTATGAATAAGTATTGAAAATTGATTTCCAACATCGTCTTCAATTTTCATAAAAAATTTATCCCAAGAAATATAAATATCAAAGGTTGAAAGTTATTTATTTATAGAAGCTGCTTTAAAAATTTTCTTTTATAGAAATTCTGTCGAAACAAGTGTTTACAATGTTTTCGGCAACGCCACCTCACATCCAAGTCATCGTAATTTAAAATATTTTCTCTTTTCAAACTTACCGAAGCGTAATTCCTTGATTGACAGTTTCTTGCTTAATTTATATCCCCGTCTCTAAGAAATGATGAATTGTTTCGGGAAAAAATTACATCTAGATTATTTAAAATAAAATGACTTGGACGGAGAAAGGAAAACGAATCCACAAGAGGATAATGACGGGATCGAAACTTTTATAAACCTTAACTTTAAGCAAATGATACCCTCGAACGTGGAAGTTGACGATTTAAAGTCTCGTTGAAATTTTTCTCCACAATTTTCCATAAGAAATAACGAAGTTGATAGTTACATGATGTAGGACTTTCCATAACCATTACATGGGTTTCTCAACAACATAAAAAATATCGGAAGGTTTCATTTCTGCTTATCGATAATTTACGATCAATAAAATTTATGTTTTTGACAACCATTGACAATTGTTTTTAAAAGCATCAATTCGTTCATTGCGTGCTACTGACAACAATTTACTTCAATATTACACAAAGAGATATGAGAGCTGCTCAACCTCTTGACATTTATCCTATCATTAGGAAGAGTAATAGTTCAATCACAAATAAGAATTAAAATTGATTCTTTTAGCTTCGTAACGAGCTTCTTGAATGACATTCTTAAGACGGACTTTTGTTTAATTGACGAAAAGTAAAAGAAAATTGAAATCAATGCCTTAGTAATACCAAATAAATTACGATCAATCTAACGTACAACACAAAGAAAGAAACATCTTGAATGTATCGTTATTGATTGGGCTTTTACGGTAATTGGGCCAAAGATGTTGTCTTAAATTTCACCACGAACAACTCACTCTGAGCGACGATGTTAATGATGCTTCCTATCTTGGGTTATCACAATTTATTCTCATTCGATTTCGTTTTGTGTTTTCGAAACCTTTGTTGAAAAAAAAGAGAGAAGAATAGTTTTTACCCTCATTTATAATTCTTTTGCTTTTTTCTATCTTTTCAGTGGTTCAAGATTGCGTGAAATTTCGAGGACATGATGTCACATATTCAAAAGATGGAAGAAAGCTTGGAAGAAAGGAATAAAAGGAAACTAGTGACATGAAAGCATATGAAAATAATTACAAATTTGTGCAAAAATGATGATGTTTGTGTTTAGATAACCGTAAAAAATTGCAATAACAAACTCATCCATTCATCTACCACAGCAGCAGCAACGAAGATAAATAAAAGAATGGAAAAACAATTCTAAGAAATTTCTTAAAGAAAACAAATCTCTGCCGTTCAGATTTCGATTTAAAGAAAACATGAAATGATTGTCTAAGAGAGAAGATATTGTGTGATGATTGAAAATCAAAAACCTTCAATGGATAAAATTGTGCTTGTTTCGTTTTGTTATAAGAGAAGAAAAGTAGAACGAGTGGAAAATGTTTTTATTGTGAAATGTGAAGACATATGAGATGAAGATGAATGTTTGTTGGTTCATATTTTACATTAATGTGACTAAGCATAAAAACTTCTATGTCACTATGAATAAACCGGAAGTGAATGATTTATTAGTCCATGTTCAATGTGCAATTAAAACATGTTAAAAGTAAATAACAAAGATAGGAAGTGCAATCAATTTAAAGTTCATACGAAGAGACTTTACAAAGTTTTGATTTAGTGACGCAAAGAAAAGTTTTGAGCTTAACAATGTTTGTGGATTCAAAAAATGATAATCAAGCTCAAGTATAGACAAAATGGAATCAAAAATTGAATAATCCACATGACGTCAAATCGGAATTATTTTCACATCTCCCTGCTGCTGCCTGTCTTTCAACTCTTTCTAGCCTTCCAAATCCTCATCGTTCCACTAGCTGCTCGAAATATCAAAAGCTCAGGAGTGAACAAATCAAATCAATCAGAGATTCTTGTGATCATGGCAGGCGGGATAAATGTCACATCCATCTATAATGGTTTCAGTGAATATAAGAAAATATTTGCCGACGAATTCCCAGATGACAGACGAATTATTTTCAAGACCGGCGAAGGTAAGCCAAAAATTCAACTTCATTGTTTTTCTTGAGTTTCACTCCACGACGATGAACTAAAGAATTTTACTGTTCATGTTGAAGTGTCATGAAAGTAGAGTAAGTAAGTAAATAATGAAGACAAAGCGTCCAAAGACAAAAATTCTTCTTCACACCCCCTTCTTAAATAATGTTTTGAATTCCTAGTCACGTTTTCCATTGGCATGTGACATAAAAAGAAAAGAATTTTGAAACAACAATAGCCATTAAAATTTAAAATAAAAAGAAATTATGCACAAACGTGAGAGCTTAGTGCAAGAACGGTAATTTAGTTTTATTATTTTGTGTAAAAGCTTTATGAAAACATGAAAAATGTGTCTGTCGACTCGCGTGTAATTGACTTCGTTTGGTGTGTACTTAAAAATCTTTATGGCACTTTCAAGACATTCGTTAGTTTTGTAATTTTATTAGTTTTAGTTTAAAATAGTTCAAATAATGGTTGTTGGTGGTATCAATTTAATATTCATTGTACATCGTACAATGCTGATGCATAACAATTTTCAACAAATAATGCAATTCACTTCTCTACAGCTCTTTTGTTCTATTTATAAATTTATAAACGTATTTTTTTTCCATGAACAATTTCCCATTCATCACAACGGAAAACTTTCAGTGATGACGTTGTTCGTTTTGTTTACAGAAAGCTTTTAGAAAATTTTCCCTACCCCTACCCAAGAGTCTTGGTGTAGTTGATTAAAGATTATAACAAAACAATGTTGAAGTAGTTAATTTCTGTACGATATAAAAGCACTTGGAGGGTAAAGAGATGATTTGTTTTTGATTTGAGGAGAATTAACCAACACAACGGTGCGTGAATATCAAATTTTTCTAACGTAAGTTTCGTTATGTGAGTTATGTGAGTTATGTGAGTTCAACTTCACTATTAATAGAAAAGGAATGAAAACCGTTTTTGCCTTTTATCCCTCACTCCATTTTCATCGCTGGCAATCATTATTTTTTTCTTAGTAGGCATCTTCATTCATATCTCATAAAATATTTGTAGGGAATGAATGGCATGATATCATTTCCATTCAGAAGATCCAATGTTGCGCAATACAGGTCTCATTATAGATGAGAAAAGCAGTTTATGAAACTCGTTCCTTACCTAATTTAATGGAAATTTCATGTATGTTTATGACCTCTGCTTGAGAGCTTAATGACAGGAAATAAGGAATTTATTGTATAATTAAAGATGTATAGGAAAATGTTGAGTTGCTTACTTCCTGCTCAAATCCTAAACAAGACTTTCAACGCTTGAGCATCATGATGATTTATTACATATCGTTTGAGAATAATTCATCACGACTGCAATGGGCCTTTGTTCAACTTCTATTAAAATTAGAAAGTATAACTAAATCAATTAATTTTCATTTCTCTATTGATGAAGAAAGCTTCAAGATCATTTTAAAATCTGCCCTTCAAATCATGCATCGTTAGTCATAATTAAAAACGACCTTTGCAACATTTCAACTCTTAATCTGATATTTCCTCTTCAAGGAAGTCTTTCAATTAACTTGTTGAATAAACAAAAATTTATGAAAAGTTTATTCGATGCGCTTATACAAGTTTGTGCTTTGCTTCGTTCATAAATTCCAACAAGTTTCTGTTTTTTTTCTTTTCTTTCATACTTTCAATCTTTAAATGCAATTCAGAATTTTGATCACGAAATCATTTTTGCCCGGCAGGCGAACATAAAGATAAGAGTCAATTTGACATTCTATTGAATTGTGCGAAAGAAGATTGGTGAATGAAAGAGCTTTCCTTTCTTTCGATTTCCTTCCCCTTCTTCGAAACTTGCTTCAAATGAAAAGTCAGTCTCTCAAGCAACATGAACAAAAATAAATACTTAGACGCAATGAGAATTGAGGAAAGAGTAGCATATTTAATGTAAACAACCTGAGATGTAATGAAAATGTTTATACAGTAGACGTTGAACCATGGAGAGGAAAATATGTTGGTAGAAAAGCTGAATTTGATATTGTGTAATGACAGCTTGAAAAGATTTGTTGATATGCTTTGAATGAAGAAGTTCTCAGAAATAAAAGCACATCTTTTTGTCGTGCTTCATTTGATGTGATTTAATGTATTGACGTTGTGCTTATTGAAATATATTCTCGTAATTATTCATTTAATTGTCATGTACTGGTGCTCAGAGTTACCATTTACGATTCCATTATTTATAATTTATCAACAGAATTAATAAGCATTCATATTTCTTAGAATCGTCGTTAAAACAAAACCTTTTAATTTCATAAATATGAAACAGGAAATCTGGCATTAACATTAAACATTTATTTAAATACATTCTTGACTTATGTACATATATTAGAAAATCACTTCAACATGTTTAAAAATTGTTTTATTGATATTGAGTAAATTTGCGAGCTTTTAAGAAGCTTAAATATTTAAGAGAGAAAAAAAATGCGATGAAAAGTCTCGGAAACAAATAACAACAAGCGAAAAAAGTCATGCTGTGAGTGCTTAGTAAGCTTCTTATGTCAACCATTAAGTCTAAAAAGACTTTCTTGACTTCAATCAGAATGTTAACATGAAACTTCATTTCTTTTCTTTCAGACATGAGATCCCTCATTCAGCAGCTGGAGAGCACAAAATATTCTACAATCGTTTATGTCTTTAGCAACAATTCAAGTGACAAAAACAAAAGTCAAGTTAAAGTGGTTGATGGTCATCTGAATGGCGAATTTTTTGGATATTGCGATGTTATAAGTTCAGAGTTTTCTGCCCTTTACAGCAAGAATATTATTTTCTGGCCATGTCCTAAAATGAAGGTAAGCCCTTAGAGCATTTGTCGAAAACATTTGTTTCTTTCTATCTACAAATAAAGCTTATTGTTATGAGAATCTATTTTGAGAAGATAATAAAATACCTCCAAGTCTCATACAAAAAAGATTAATTCATAAAGCTTGCTTGGGAAAAGGAAATCTGGAAATCCTACTTTGATTGTCTGATTCAATGTCATAAAACGTGTTGTTGGAAGACAAATTTATAAATAAGAAGAAAAAATAACCAAATTAATTTATCTACAAGCGTGTTTTTTATAATGATCTGGATTTTTCCTTTGATAAATTTATTAATAGAAACACGAAGTTGAGGTTATCATTTAATGCTATGTCTTCATTGCTGTTCACGCTCACCAAGAGTTGTCTGAGTACTTTAGGATTAATGTTGTATTTCTCTGCCTTAAAAATGAATGAGAGAATAAATTTGTCCATAACGAAAATTTATGTAAAACCATTTACCAGTCGTTGATTTACAACACCACTGACAAGAAAAATAAATCAAGTTTTATTCTATCGTCCCACTTAAGAAAATAGAAACGAACAGCGATTGATTTCTTGTTTTTCTTTCTTTTTTCTATGGAACTTCAATTGCAGAGCCACGTGATGAATGCAAAATGTTGTGTTCGAGTTGAACGAAACAAATTATTTAATAATGCATCAAAGAAATTGGTTCTGAGCTTCCATTTAATCGAGAGGAAAGCAATTTACTGTCATTTTCATGACTTGAAAGCATTTCATAAAATATTTACACAAAGGGCACAAAATGTTTTCTCTTTCAACTACTGATTTGTTTCTACCCGAAATTCTTAAAAAGTAAGCTAAAAACTTTTCCCTTTCTTACATTACGCGTTCAATCGAAAAGTTTTTATAACATGTGGGTGCGTGTTTTTTTTTCGCTTGTAAAATAAAAGTTTCAATTTAATTTCATGTCTCCCTTATCTGCATTTTCTCGTTGTAAAAGTTTAAGAAATTATTTTTCATGCTAAGTTTTCTTTCTTTCTTTTTACTACTTCCATCTTTAAATGAATTCATCCCTGATAATGTAATAAAAAGAGATTCTCCAGAGAGCTTTTGCCTTTCAGGTGAAGGTTGAGTGAACAATGAAATTTTTTTATGCTAGATTTTTCATTTTAATAACCCTTAGCTTTCCCTTTTCCCCTTTAAAAAAGTAAGAGAGGAAAGTTTACCGATCGTATCACATTCATTGCTCTCTTCGTTATGAATTATTTTCCTTTTGATTTATAAAGTAAGTTCTGAAGTTTTGAAGTTCGTAATTTAAATTTCACAACACTTCTACTTAAAGTAACTTTCCACTAGAACAACTCCTTGAAAAGAATTTCTATTTCGAATATTTCAACATTAATTTCTTGATAACTTCAAACAAAAAGAAAAGAAAAGAAGAAAAGATAAAACAATAAGTATCTACTTAGACATCTTGAGCATCAATGAAGCAAAATTGGAAAATTAAATTCACAAAAGCTCTTTTCATTCAACTTGGGAGTCTCTTTGAGTTCTTTTTTGTGCTTTTTCTTTTTATTATTAGACATGAAAATTATTTAAACAGTAAGCTTAAAATGCGTATTTGGATTTAGCTTATGTAAAGTTTTTAAGATGTTTAAAATTCTTTACTGGAAATTTTTTTCCCCTTTCTCAGCATCGTCATCACTCTGACAATTAGATAGATATTTAGAAGAATTTCAAGGATGTTTTTGTGTAACAAACAATGGGGGAGGCAAAACGTTTAGAACAATGTCATTAAGAAATGTTTATGTACAAGAGTTTGAGAAAATATAAAGTCTGCTCTTGTTATGACAATGAGAAATCCTAATTTGCTTTGTGAATGGAACTTTTTCAATAAGCTTTGAAATATTTGCAAAGAATCGCTGAAGAGAAGAGTCAAATCGCTTAATTTAACATGTTGCTAAAAGATACTTGGAGAGCATTTAACGTCTCAAAACGATGCTTAGAGTTAAAGAAAAGCGCAACAAACAAAATAAAATAAATTTATAGCGTAAATCTTTGTTATTTATCATCAATTCCAAGAGTTTTATGACTCCACGTTATGAATGAGCATTTGTCTTGTTTTATTTCAACGCCCGTTTTCTTTAACAATGTTGATACACGCAGAAGAAAAATTTGATGATGTTTTCTATATCATTTCTTCACCGTCACTTTTACATTTAAATCCATATCCACCAAGGAGGCGAGAGAACCATGATGGCTTTGTGTAAAATTCTTTACAGTCATTTACATAATAATGAAAGATTCATGAGAATCATCTTCCACGCTTAATTCACTTTATATCGCACTCTAATTGACTGAAATTATTGTCCCAGGTGAGGTGACATTGTTAGATTTTTTTTCTTTTATAAAACCTTCACAAATTGGAAATGAAGAATAATTTGTCGCATCCCGTGGAGATGCTGAAGAAAACGTGTCAATCATAAAGCTATTTTGTCTTGTTCTGTGCAACATTTTAGTACACCTGCTACTTAACTTATGAGGATTCTAAAAAAGAAATATCAAAGAACATATTGACTTTAAAAATAAACTGAAAGATATTTTAGAACGTCTCGAATTTATCATCATAAGCTTGAGACTCATGAAGCAAAGAAATATATTTCTTCTTCATCGTAATACTTGGCCATCCATCCATATTATTTTTCTTTACCTTCGTCAGTTGAGCTCAGTTGTCAAGTATTGAAAAGTGGCACAAGATGATTTTTGGGGGATGATCAAAGATTGTCATTGACATGGAAAAAATTTCAAACGGAAAGAAATTTACGATTCAATCAAGTGGAAAATCAATAAGAATATTATCTTGTGGGGATGAAAAAGTTTTCCGCTCACTTTCGTCTTTCGTGTGGCACATATGAAGAGACGATAAAACGCAAAAGAGTAAAAGTGGATAAATAATTTTTAGATTCTCTGGCAATCATAAATTTTGTTTGTTTTTATTTCCACCACGAAATGTGAATTAATTTTACGAAGTATCTGGGAAGGCAAGTGTTCGTTTTCTTCAAAATCAATGAATGATAGCTCTTTGATGTTTACATAATATATCCAGTTTCAACACAATATGTTGCCATGACATTTTATTGGAAAATTTTGTTAAGTGATATTTCGACTTTCTTTGTCTCACAAATGTCATTAGTTGCAGAACTTTTCTGGCGAGAATAATACAATTATCTTAGTTCTAAATCATTGTACATTGGAAGTTTTTTTCTTGAAATAAAACAATAACGTTCTTCAAATGTTGCAGACAAAAGATAAATGTACAAATTTAATGCTACAATTGGATAATCATTAAATATGTAAAAGAAAATAACAATAAACAAATATCATGTCGTGTAACAAAGGGACAAGCTCACATAAAATATTTACATTCATTTCATTTTTCTTCATTTTTCAGAAGACTGAAAAGTTTTTGACATCCTACGAGACGGTTTCATTCGCTGTTAAAAGCGTTTTTGATGAATTTAACTGGACCGAAGCGATTATCCTTGCGACAGGTGAGTCAGCATTTAAAATATTATTCAGTATGAGTGAATGGAGTTTTTAAGCAATCTTTTAAGTAAATAGAATTTTCAAGTTTAAAACGTAAAGCCAAACGTCAATTGAATTGCAAACGTCAATTCTGATTGCCGATTTTCGTCATCTATTTTGATAAGAAATTCGATATTTTCTTTCTCAGAGCTCATATTGTCTAGCCCTTCCCAAAATCTCGTGATTGCCTTGTTCTTATTAAAACAAACAAAATACGACTCAAATTTCTTCTGTAGTGATACGAGGGAGTGAAAAATTCATTCATGAAAACTTTTTCCATCAATACTCAAACTGTTTCAGGTGAAGGTTCGGATGAACAGTTTGAGAATCTTAGTTGTATGTGAAAATCAAACTGTTACCAATCGAAAAAGTGAATAAACGCGAATAACAAGAAGTAGAGTGGAATGTAATAATGTTAAAAGGAGAAAGACTTTTCAGAAGAGCCCAACCCTTCTATTGTTTTAATAAAGGGTAATTAACGCTTTGATTAAATCTAACAGATGGCCTTTTGTTGTTAGCATTTATTAAATCCCATTTGGCAAAAGGAAGAAAAAATTTAAACGACTTAAATACGCAAACAAATTTATGTAATGGTTTTTACAAAAAGAAAACTACTTTCAGAAATTTTATTAGATAATTCTAAAAACTAAATGGAACAAATGTACATCAAATTTTACACAAATTACTCTAATTTTAATTTAACTCTTATTATACTCTTAATGAGGGTGCAAGAATGAATTTTAAAGGTACATGTTTTAATTGAGATGTTTTTATGCTATGCTCGTAATCAATTTCTACCACGTCCCATGAGTGGCTTCTTTTCCTTTCTATTTGTTTCCCTTTCCATCAACATAGCAATACGCCAAATATCACAAAACAATTTCAAAAGCAGTACAGAGTGTCGGAAGTTAAAGTTGGAAGTGTTCAGCTCTTGACTTGAAATGTTGTATCTTGGTAACTCGAGTCTAAATTTTCCTCTTCATCATCAGCAAATTTAATGTCAGAAAGTTCATAGTACTCAGATATTTTGTTGTCGCTTGGTGACTTTATGACACTGGTTTCCTTTTCAATAGCTGAAGATCTTTTCACTTCTGGCTTCTTGTTTCCAATATTTTCAATTTGTACACCTGTTGTAGGCTTCTCGCTCACTTTTCTTTGAAGAAAATTTATTTTTGAAAGAATTTCTTTAGGACTCAACGATCTGGAAGTAATCGCTTTCGCTTCGTCGCATGATGGCGACTTTAAGCTTTTCCTTGGAGGCTTTGGTGGTATCCTTAAAACGTCTTCTTCATCCGGACTTTCTTTATTACTTCCTGGATCTATATACTCATTCACTGGCAAAATTTCATCTCCGTCGGTTTCACTGTCACTAAGAATTTTTCCGTTATCATCAATCGGTGGAATCCACACGAGAAAAGCCGGATCCATTCCGAGATAAGATCCGGGCGCTGCGCTAGCATTTATTACATTGTAATCGTAATAATCCATCTCCATTTCTTCCTGTGTTGAAAGTGAATATTGTGAGCCAGGATTTGCCATTAACTTCTCACGATTTTTCTTTTCTTTGTTTTCTTTGAGATTATTTAGTCGAATTCTAGCTGTGCTTGTAAGACTCAAAGCTGGTGAATAGTTGCCCTACAAAAAAAGAACATAAAAGTTTTACAAAACTCAAATTAAATCCTTAACCGCAAGCTGTCATTTACACTTGTTAAAGCTGCTTCAGTCGAAAGTGCCGTCACTTTATCACGATCCTTATCGCTTGTTTCATCAAAATCTTTTTCTTGAAGCTTTTGGCATTTTTCCTTCGTCCATTCGACAGGAACGGGGGAATCTTCTTTTTCTTTGCTGCTTGCATCAAGACTCAGCTTCTTCTTCAAGGGAATGGGCGTAGCATTATAAATACTGCTCGATGTATCTGATTCCGGAGCGCTGTGCGCTTTCTTCTTTAACATTATCGGTGTCATTTCTTCTTTCACGTCGTTTGTTAATGTGTTTGTACTTCCGATACTAAATGAATGTTTCAAGACAATAAAGATAAGATTTATGACATATGAGACTTTATTTGATCTGATAAATTACTTTGAATAATTTCCAATTGAATCACAATCGTTCAACTGATCCTTTTCGAAATCTTGGCTGACAACGCTTTCACGTAATTTCTTATGCTTGATTGATGATGTCTTTGGCTTTAATTTGACAAGTGTGACAACTTCTGAAATAAGCGTCGATGTTGATGTGGCTCGTAATGTTCCATTTTGGGGATTTTTCGAAATCGAGACGGTTGATCCGTGTGGTGTATTCAGTGGTGATTCAGCTTCTTCTTTACTCTTAGCCAATTGATATCGATGGTAACGGAAGACATATTGCGTGCCAAGAAAGACGCTTAAAAGCAGTAAAATTCCACAGAAAAGGAACACGAAGAAGTGAATAAGATTTAATTGAGTTATTGTGCGATCCTTTCCAAGCATTCCCATTATCGATGATTCTGCCATGATGGTCACGTTTGGTGGATCTGAAATATTCAACAAACATGCACATGTTGATTCAAAGTGATTTAGAAATATTTTCATTCACATACCAATCACTTCAACATATCCTATAAAGCCAGCATAACATGCCGTATTGACAATTTGTGAATCATTCATGTGAAATTCTATCAGTACGAGATTTCCAGATGAAACCACATTGCCACTGAAGTGTACTCCACGACCTGAATATTCGCCAATTAATTCCGACATCCATGGATCTTTTCCGTCACGTATTTTGATGTTTTGAGTTGGACAAGGAAGCACAAAATATTCCAAATTAAATTGTATTTGCTGACCTTCCTCAACCTGTGGAAGTTACAATGAAATTCATGTTATGGTTAAGAAATAATAATTGTTGAGAAAATGCATACCTGACCTGTCCACAAAACATTTTCAAATCCAAAGCATCCTTGAGATGACGATGCAAGCATTCGTCTTGGTTTTGACTTCAATAAATGGATAATGCAACCACATTGACAACTCGGTCCTACCTCCTCCATTATTTCCGTGCTGTTAATTGTACCAAATATCTTACGACCGAAGAAATACTCCCAGATATTTGACACCGTGCCACTACAAGGTCGCGTTTCAGTTGACGCACCCTACGCACCAGAACGCCAGTATTGAATTTTGTTTGATGGAAGCGAAAAAAAAGAAGTCAGAATGGGTGGAAAAAAGTTTATATTTTTCAGTTGGTTGTAACTCAATTTGCGAATCACGCTTCAATGAACCAACCACCCACGTTTTCACATCAACTCACCTCACAATATTTCCCATTATATTTTGGAGTTGGAGAATCACAAAATCGATAACGAATTTGAGTTCCATAAGAATACTTTGACGAGCACTTGCTCCAATTGCTCCACTTCCCCCACTTGCCATCGACGGGACCTGTGAGTGATGAAAATGAATTGGTGACAGTTGATTAATCGTTTAACATTAAATTGTTTCGCCACCGCAATTCGATTTATGTCAGAAGATGTCTTTGATAACAAGACAAGGAGATGATATTAATTAAAGGAAAAATGTTGAGCCAAACATCTTAAGAATGACAACATAAATTATTTTTATCTTCTCCTCTCGTTGTCAAGATCGTCTCGGATAGCGTAAACATTATAAATAATTACCATAGATCGGTGATGTAGGCACACAATCCATGCGAATATCCGCCACTGCGCCCGTTTTCGATTTAGTTACATACACAAAACAATATTCGAGAAATCTCCCAACAAACAATTCACAATTGAAGTAAACGCTATGCTGACCTCGTTCAATTTTTCTCTCGCTGACATACACCAAGCTTTATAGTTGGAGATTAAAATGCAAAATTTAATCAAAAATTTAATTAAAATCTCTTAACACGATTGGGAATCTTATCAAATATGCAAATGGATGGAAGCAAACTTTGTCCGGGAAACGGATCTTAAACGATGAATTGAATACAAAATGTAAATGAAATACCTCGATGGTTTGGCAATTGAATGCACATCAGCTGGAAGTTTTCCATAAAGCCTGACGCGGTCATCATCCATAATACATGCTGGATATTTGACAACAACAGCAATTCCTGTGACACAATCGTAAGTGCTTTTTATATCCATAATATTGAGGATATATTGAGTACTCCAGTCAGCCTAGAGGCAAAAATCAAAGAAACGATTCATCAATATGTGTGACAAATGAGAAGAAAATACTTGGAAGGGGAGAAGAAAAAAAGAAGAAGGAAAATCCCAACACATGAAATCATTCAATTGAGTGGAAAAATGGATTTCCTCTACTACATTTATTTATTTTTATTTTTTGTTCGTACGACAACAAGAAAGAAATCTCTATTCGACATATGGAATTACCTTAATAAACGCACTGACTGCCATCGATGAAGGTAGGGGCGGCAAAGGTTTTAAATGAAGCACGTAGTTGCCAGCAAGTCCAAAGTATTCGCAATTTAATGGAATCACCTGACTTCGTTGCATTCCATAGATGGACTGAATAGGGAATGTTGAGTTTGATGGCACTGAACGTGAGTCACACATAACATTGTACGTTCCACAATATATCAACTCCAATTGAAACGAAGGAACTTCTTCAAAAGTTGTTGTGTCCACGGGACATTCAAAATCTATAAACTCAATCACAGCATTCACGGTATCTGTCGGATACGTTTCAATGACCTCGTGAGTGACACTCAACTTAGCATCTGGCCATCGAACATCGAGTTTGTGTTCCAGGAGGTGATTATTGTTGGTCGTCAATGTTGAACTTATTGCACTATCTTCAACATGTAATGTGTAGGGGCCAGCTCGTGTGAATAGCGAACATGGCACTTTGAACCTCGTTGAGTTTGATTGTTCATCGGTGTAAAAGTTTATGCTGCCAACATTACGAAATTGTGTTGTTGGTCCCAAATAAGAAACTTTAAGACTAAGAGCTTGGGATACAATCTCAGTAGTTTGAAATTCTACAGTGAAATCTTCCGATAAGGCTGTGTACACAGACGGTGCAATAATTTTCCCAAATGTAATCCCATCAACATGAACTGGAAGTGAAAAACTTTGTTATCGCATTTATGGAATTTTCGTTTCTGCTGACCAAGAATAATTCGAGGAAACTTTATGGCATTTATATCAAAAGCTTTTATTAGAATCTTCTTGAGTAAACATCTGCGTAAATTTCAATAATTCGAGTATGAAAATGGAAGGAAAATTTGACTACTTAAATCAATTTATAAATTATGAGATTTGTTGAATCATTAAATTGAATTTTAATTTTTCATCTAATCTCAAAAACTTTTCCATTTTCCTCATTTCCATTAATCGTGAATTTAACTTAATGTTATGTCTTTAATAATTAATTGCATTTTGCGATTCTACTCACCAACACAACGAATAAATAGAAATAATCCAAAACAAATAAAACTTTGATAGTTAATGTTAAAACACAATTTATCAACAACACCATTCATCATAGAGATTTTTATCAACAATCATAATTTTCTTTTTCTTTCACTATAACTTATTTATTTTATGTTTTTTTGCGTGTATTGCACAAATCTTTTCCTTTTTTGATAATATTTCAATTTTGTGTGTTTTATTGTTACTCAACCGAATAAGTTTCGCACTATAAAAATAACACATTTAAATGTATCAGTCTTTGAATTGTTCCATTTTATTCGCTCTCCATTTCCTATGACGATGATGATGATGATTATTGTTATATCATTTCTCGATTGTTTATTTCAAGCTTAGGAATACGTGAACAATACAGAAAACAGCTGCTGCAAACATAAAATACAATTTTCAATGACGTTCTCTCGGAATAGGAAAATGCTTTAATTATGATATTAAAGATATTTCATATCCACACAAAATGAAATCACTGAAATTTCGATAAATAAGTTATCAAATATTATTTCCTTATTCACTTTCTAATATGGAATATCATCCTTTATATTTATATTCAAATCATTTTCCATATGATAATGTTCTGTTTATGTTTATCCTTTTTCTTTCCTTCACTCCCTTTTTTTATGAAAGATAAGAAAAGAAAAAAAAGAACTTTGAATGGAAAAAGCGGATAATAATGATGCCAATAAATTCAAATCACTTTAACGTAATCATCAAAATGAGATGTTAATAATAAACTTTTCAATTCATATTTATGTTGATTTCGATGCGAAGTACCGAAACAAGCAAAGCTCTAACGAGTAAATTTATTAATGATGGGCTCGAACAGTGCACACAACAAATCATGCACTCAGGGAGATAACGAAGGAATGGATGAAGACTCTCCTCGAATATTTTGTTTATTTAAAATCAGGGTTGAATAGACCCTTAATCGTTTTTTACTGCTTTCCTTTCTATAATATTTTCACTGTTGGTTTTTGGACGACATGGAAAATATAACAACGCACAAGGGCCGAGAGTGAGTGAAGATTTATTTCAATTTCAACCCCCACTATGTTGATGAAATCGCATGGTGGGTGAATGTCTGTCACAGACTAAAGGAAATATAGCCACAAAAAAAAGTAAACCCGATACGGCGGCATGCTCATGTAATTTTAATAAAAATGTTTTCACATAAAAAAGTATAAAAATTCTTTTAATAAAAGCCTCAAGAACGGTGCCTAGAAAAAAGCATACGCAAAGAATTTGCATAATTCTACTCTTCAAGCCAATTCTCTGCGTTGTTGCCACAATTTAAATTGCCAGCCGACATGTAAACTGAATTATATTGCTATTACATCTCCCGTTAGCTTTACCCTCCCCCATTTCTATTATCCTCCAAATATATAAATTTTTCTATGGCTCTAAGTCTTAGAAATGTTCCTAGTCACGAGATTGTTAGCTAATTCTTCTTGTTTTTATTTGCTGTGCTTCTGAACATTATAAAAACAAAGTTCTTTTTGTCTTTTCTTTGTTATTCTGTAGTCTGTTTGCTTTGCTTTGTGAGATAGAAGCCTGGAAATGACTACATCGACTCAAATGATAACTTTTCTTTTTTTCATCTATATAAAAGACGTGAATGTTACAGCATACACGAAGGATAAAAGCGGCTGGAATTTATTTCTCTTACACGACAGGCATGAGTAAAATAAGCACTGTGGTAAATTATTTCTTTCCTTTTTTTCTATTTTTCGCACGGGAAATATTATTTTTATGTCTAGCAGTAGGTTTGAGTTGGAAATACTTCATTTTCATTTTGAATTTATTTTGTGGATTCATTAATAAAGCTTGGGATTATCCCTTGGCGAAATAAGTAAATGGTCCGGCTATAAACATTTCTGTTCACTGTCTCGTGCGCCTAATTGGAGAATTGTAATTTCATATTCCAACCGTTCATCTGAAGCGATGATTCCTTTGCTTGTTGTGTAGCTTGAAATAAATGACTATGAATTTGTCATTTCTTTCGTCTAACAAAAGCGTGATAGAAAATGCGCAATCCTCACAAATTAAGTACGCTGAACCCGAGAAATGAAAATAACAGAGAAAGAACGAAATTGAAACAACCAAAATTCAACACCATAATCCGATTAATGCCATTTTTCAACGTGAAATTTTTCCACAACAGAACACAAAAAAGTATTGAGCGCGATCAAAATCATGAACAGCGATTCATCCGATTTTTCTTCGAGTTTTATGATTTTTTTTTCTTATTTTTGAATAAATCTATTCAACGGAAAAAGCTTTTGATTCGCATCGCGATTTTTCTCATACGATATCAAATTGAAAAATTTTCTTATACATTTTCGACATCCCACTCAGTGACGAGAAAATTTCATGTTTATTCGTTTGTTTTTCACATTTCCTTTCCAAAATATGATTTAGTTGAAATTCAATTATTTTTTAGTGATTTATGCAATTGCCAGGTTATTACACTTCTGTTCTTTCCCACTTGCTGTTGCTTGGGAAATTCCCCGAAATGATGTTATAAACGTTTTAGGGGAAATACGCGGCGCGATTAAATATTGAGGGTGTGAAAAATCCTTCTGAACGCTTTTAAGATCTTCAGCAAACTGAAATGAAAAGCAAAAAACTTTTCACTTGCTGCAATCGCGCTCTCGTTTTTCTTTCTTTTCACTCTCTCGCTCGCAAAGAATCTTCATGAGAGTTTCAAAATATCTTAAAAAAAAGTCGAGGGTGAAATATAATGAATGAAAAGACTCACACATTCACACAAGCTATTGCATACGAAATTTAGCATGAGGGATGAAAGGACGAAGTTGAGGGGTTGATGGATTGGTGCAATAAATAGTGGTCTACCTTCCGACCTTCACATTAAAGAGAATGTTTGTCATCAACTACTTTATATCGAATCTCGATATCGGCAAATGAAGTTTCCATCCCTTTAAAGGAATACGAGCAGTTTGTGAAAGCGCAGCTAAAAACCTTCCTAAGAAAGGCTCAACTGAAGTAGATAAAAATCGAGGGTTGATTTTCTTTTTCATCAAATCCTAAAATAAAATTATTGAACAGGGTGAATCATATCATCAGCTTAACTATATTGCATGTGCAATGTCATGTGTGCATTTTCAGGGGTTACTCATCAAACACATGTCAAAATTTCGGCTCGTGCCACCAAAATATGAGTTGACTGGCAATATTCAAAAGATAAAATTTAAGTAGAGAGTTTTCAAATCACCCTGCATTGCTCTCTGTTTATATTAAAAAAAAATTCTGGTGTTTGAATGGATTCTAAAATAAGTCTTTACACTTCTCTCGTCCCGTTCGGTTCGTTCAGACGCTTCAAATGCGCCGACGCGAGTTTAACACCCTAAACATTAAATCGAGAAAAATACTTCTCTGCTTTTGTTGTTGCTTTATTCGGAGTATCATGAATATATTGTTGATCATTCTACGAATACACCTTTAACGATACTAGAGAAACATTTGCTTTTCTCGCGTTAAATCAACCCCAAAACGGAGAAAGCAAAGCATTGATGGTAAGGGAGGTGAATCCACCTCGTTTTACGATCACCTCCGCAAGACCAAAAGACATAAACGACGGATATCGTGAAGGGATAATTACAGGTACTTTTTCGTGTGTACGTTGTTTGCCTTTCTCTTCTGCTTTTTTACTGTTTACAATCCCCAACCTCAACCAGCCCTCCTTAAACCACTCTTTCTCGTAAATGTCGACGACCAAATTCACTTTCATGTTTAAGTAGATTCAAGTACATGGCAAAGAGAAAATGCTGCAAAAGAGGAAGTAAGAAGAAAGCCAAGCGGAAAGTGAAGAAAGTCTATTGAACATTAATAATAAATGTGAGTGAAGTTTTATACAATTTTCTAGAGTGGATACATCCACATCATTTGTACACTTCCAGTTTTCAACAATGAAAAGGCGAAAGACTTCGGATGAAATTTGTTTTATCGTTTAGTTCCGGGGAGTTGGGGGGGCGAAAAGAGAGTCAGAGTGAAAAAACGATTTCAAATATTCATACACAAACAAAGCCGTTCTTCTTCTTACCCAACCATTTCACGTCTGCTTCCATATCACACAAAACGGTTCCTGTGCAAGAGAAAAAGAGAAAGAGTGAGTGAGAGAGAGACAAGGAAAGTATATCATGAAGGGTTGAAAACTTCTCTTATTGACTTTCTATAATTTAAATATTTTGTATGTATTTTGAAAGTTTCCATGCTTCGTTGAATAGGAAAGTTTAATTTCAGTTTTAGCATAATTTGCCTTCACGGAAATTGTTTGTAAAAGCTTTTGAATTGTAAAGTTAAATGGTTTAATTATTCAACAATTTCTTGAAGTGACAAGATGAGTCTTTCTTATTTCCATTGTGAAAATTTTGATATTTTCATCGATTACAGTTGAAATCTCGTTACTTAACTTCTTCAGTCATAATAAGCATAAATAAGACGATTACGTGTGCCAAGCGAGAATTCTGATACTTACGAAACTACCTGAGAATCTCGTACACTAAATTCTGATTATCCAACCCCTCGACACTAAAAGAAAACATCTTCTTGATAAAACAGAAAAGTGTCACACATGCATAAAGACGAAAAAAATAAACTGAGAAATTTATTGTTCACTTTAACTTTTGCCTTTGCCATCTCCGTAGATATCATTTAATTTTCCTTTATGGCATTTGATTCAGTATAACGTTTACTCACATCCGCTTTTCTTCTTTTTCCTTCTTCTCTCAACCAAAAGAAATAAACAAAATAAAAAATATAAAGAAGATTCCTTTCATGATGGAAAATAAAAAGAAAACAATGTGGAGAAGTTTGGAAAAAAAAATACGTGGGAGTGAGGGTGACAAAACACGAGATTTCATCTCTCGTGATATGTGCTTTGTGCGTGTAAGTGAACTTTCATTCTCGTCGCATGAGCTGGTTTTGTAATGTTTTGAATAATCCCACTCAGCTTCGACTTGTCTCAAATCGTAAATCCAATTATTTGCTGGCTCAAATTCAATTTACCTGAAGCGTGCTTCATGATTTTTACGTTACGCCAATTGATTGACACAATTTTTTTGTTGTTGTTGATGTATGTAAACAATTCTTCCCTGACTTCCTTTATCCCTTTCCTTCCAGAGAAGCATTTCCACGGTGCGTTAATCTCGTTTGTTTTACACAATCGGAAGTTTCATGGACGTGATTAATTATGCATGATGAATGCTTTTTCATTTATGTTCTGAACACGCAACAAAAAACTTCTTTATGCACATCGTGACGAACAATAATGATGATTCTTTGTTTTTTTTCATCATTTTTGTTGCACTAAATAAATTGATTTGAATGAGAAGTCACGCACAGTTACGAGTCAACTCATTATTTCATTATTAATCCACAGCTTTCTTTTATCTTATGCTTTGGTAACGAGGAAATAATGAAAAATAAATTATCCAGATGTTTCATAAAATATCCATGTCAAATATATTTAAATCGATTAATAAATGTTTGCATTTTAATTCAGAACAAAATCTTTTTACGGTGATCTGATGTAACACAATGAAATCCACTCACATGGTCATCAGCCGAGAATTGGATTTAAACCAAATTAACCATCTCAATGAACTATGCAACCAATAAGCTGTTCAAATGCAAACCCAAAAATGTTTCAAAGTTATTCAGTCGTGTGTTAATTTCACATTTTCAGGCTGTTTAATTTAATAATTTCCTGAAACTGGCACGTTTATAAATGTTTCGAATATTTATAGAACCCTAGAATGATGCAACTCAGAATGCAAATGGCAAATTTTGTAAATGAAATTTGTTACATTTGCTTCGGTATTTGGTCATCAAATATCCAGGACAAGAGGTTAATGATATGAAAATTTAATAAATTTAATACGCAGATATGATTTGTGTCAACACATGCTGTGTATGGAGGAATTGACTTCATAACTTACTAGAAAACTCAAAATGAAACTTTACCAGATCTCAGAAAACAACAAACTTGGATTTCCTTTTAAGCGCTTTCTGCTATCGGAAAAGATTTTTTTAATCGAAATCATTTTTCTTTAGATTTGTCATGAAAGAATATCTGAAATGGAAATCATTTTTTCTTCCAGCCTACACCGCCTCTCTCTCTCTCTTATTTTTTTGATTGTTTCACGAAAGTTGAAAGCTTCAGGCGGAGAATGAATCGCTGTAACACCAACAGTGATATTTTATATTCAAATTGCGCAAATAAATTTTTGATACTCAATCTCGTGTGATGCGATAAGACAGCGGTGCTAAAGTTTGATTGCAATTGGCTTGAAGGAAAACGAAACGACTTTTCAGTGATGGCACTTTAGCTGATTGAAATTGCAATTCTCTCAATTGTTTCCAAAGCTTTAGCTACCATTTGTTACTTAAAACGTTTTACTAACAATTCCAGAGTTGAAAAGTAATGTAACGCTGATACGAAGCATGAAATTGTTTACGGTTTCTGTTTCCCTTCCTTCGAAACTTTATGCAGCAAGAATAGATCTGATTATTTGAATATCAAATGACAATCAAGAGAAAGAAAAAAAAGATTGCTCCTAATCGGATTTTAATCTACTTCTATAACACTTGAGTGCATGACACTTCTTCTGCAATCACATCCACTTCTAATTCACTTTCCGGCATACATCGTAAGACTTTCATCGGACACAACTGCTTTACTCTCTTTTTTTCAGATCGTTACCTTTTCAAATTCTCTTCTAAATGTGAATTAAAAAACGTTTTGCCAACATTTTGCTTCGTTTATTTTAAGCTTTTCATATTTCTCCATTTTCAAGTGAGAAAATTTAGTCAGTGTACCTAACAAAGATACAATTTGAAGCAGTTTTACAACGAAATTTTGTTCATTTTAGGATGGGCACGAGCCGAGCACTTTAATTGGGGTTAGAGTAAAGGCAATTCTTTAAATGGTCCCTTGACCACATTTTGCTCTCCTTCAGCATGGCATATAGGCTCAACACACCGACCGGACTTTTGCTTGCTCTCTTTCCCAAATTACTGTAATTCAATTTGTTAATTATAAGGAAAAAACTTTTACGGGTTTTGTGTTGGAAATTTCATTTGGAAAAGTGAGCATTGAGTAAAGGTAAATAACCCGGAAAAAGTCCCACTGTCCCCGCACAAACTGTGAGTTGTTTCACTTCATAAAACATTCAAATGAAATGTTGTTGCTACATCAGATATTGATCTGTGACTCCTGCTGCTTTCAAAAACATGCTTTAATGTCTTGTTTTCTGTTGACCACACTCACCAACTCTCTCCGGACGAATAAATAATATTTTCTCTTGTCCTTCTTATCAAACATATTTTTAGGTGATTTGAGGTTTTACTTTCAACGAATTTATGTGTCTTTAATATTTATGCTTTATACATATTGCATAGAAAGTTTTATTAAGACTTTCACATTATTTATGAAGATAAAAAGGTTTACAATCATACAAGTGAATTTTCTCATCTTTCATGTTTGTAATATTGAAACATGAAACATAAATAAATTGTAAACTATCGTCTTATACTCTTCAGAGGCTTCCTTATTCACTTCACTTAATCAATTTGTTAAATATGTGCTTCTGGGGATTCTTAACAAAATTAATCTTTTACATTTTGCAGCCCTTATATTTGCTGTTGAACACCAAACACAAATTTTTAATTACGTAATTTAACACTTTGATTGTGTAACGTTAAACAGAAATTCTCTACCTTTCCTCTGAAGAAGCTTATTTTTCGTTTCCATCCACCCACGCGTTACTAGTGAAGAATACTTACGCTGAGTCGAGACGATAATTAAAAAGCATAAAAACTTTTCACTCGAATTACTTTTGCTCGTGGAAAATTTATGATGTGAACATTGAATGTTGAGTGGGGTAACAATTGCTAGTAATACCGCTAGAAATGGTTGAAAATTAATTAAAGAGACTTGGCGTGTCTTCAAAAAAAAACTCTTCGTTGCTAAAAGCTTTAGCGAAAGAAAGCGAAAACAGCTCATTGAACGAAACAAAAGTATCTGCGATGAGAAAGAAGCGATAAGCATCAAATGCTGAATTTTTCAGCCACCTTTAAAAAATTATGTTTTGTTCTTCGTTTGCTTATTCTTCTTCAATACCAACCGAAATGTAATTTAATTCTAACATCGTTACGGTTGCTGAACAAAAAGGAGCAATTAATAGAAACTTTTGTTTAGTCATATTTTACAGAAGATTGGAACTCAAAAGATGAAAATCGAAAAACACGAAAAAGTGAAGAAGGAGAAGAAAGAATTCCTGATACTCTACCATCATGCCATAAAACTACGAGGCGAACATAAAAACTTTTGTTGTCTTTTGTTGCAATAAAGAAATCTGAAAGTTAGAAGATGGATTCCTTCATTCTTCTTTCTACAAATCGTAAAACAGGACAATAACAGGGCGATTTTAATGCCTTTGTCACATTAAATTTCTTCTTTCCTTTGTCGTCGCCTGAAGTCAAAAGTGTCTGCTATTAAAACTCAAATAAAATGGCGAGAAAGAAAAGAAGAAGAAAAAAGTTTTTATTGCGTTAAAAGAAATAAATAAATAAATAAACAGAGCGGATGAAGACAGACAAAGTGGTAGTTTTACACGACTTAAGAATTGTTTCATGTAATTGAGTTGAAGAAATGTTGATCACGTAATTAATACGACTCTCTCAAGACAATTTTATGTTGTTCACTTTTAATTCAGTTAAAGTTTTCTTTTGTGATTCTAACATCAAACTTATTAATTTTGTTTCTTCAGCAATTTTTTATATTCAAGACTTGAATGTTTCTTTGAATCAGCAATCAATAAATTTTTAAGTTTTACTGCTGTGTTGTGTTGTGTCAACACTTGTGACTAACCCAAATCTACTGCCTTGAACAAGCGTTTCGACAACAAAGTTGTACAATTGTAATCATTATTTGCCGATATCATCGTTGTTTGTCTTTTTAGTAACTTTCTCTTCTCCAGACACCCCCAAACGACTGCCCTTTGCAGAGAAGAGAAAAATAAAAACATCTTCGGGTCTCGTTGGGTTTATTGCACATGCCACATAAAAATAAATGAATTTATACCGAAAATAGCAATGCGAAGGAAAATCATTTCAGCACTCATTGTGTAATCATCATTTTTTGCATTTTTATTATGTTTGTTCATGTTTTTGGAAATTCCCCAAAGAACGAAGGCATTTCAATTTCATTTGGAATGGGAAAAACTGTCGTGTTGATTCTTCAATAACTTTCTCCACACTTTCTTATGGATATTGGGTAAAACAAGATGAAAATTATTTTACTGTTCATCGATTATCATGACAATAACACAAACAAACAAATACACCCACGCACAAAACCCTAAAAAAGACACAAATGTAAAGATTTTTAATGATTCCATCTTTCTGACATCTTTTCCCCCTTTTCAACGTTATCGGTTTGTGCTCCGAAGAGTTGTAATTTCCTCCAAAAGAGGTCAAAATTTCTTCCTTATCAAGATGCTGGAATTTTTTCTCTCGTGGTGAAAAACAGAACATTAAGCAAGCAACCCCGTTGAATGTGTTACGAATGATTTCATGCTTCATCGACAATAGCTTGAATTCTTAGGAGAAATCACAAATCATAAATATTTACACATAATTTCACATTTCTCGAGCGCACAAGGGAATTAACATCCGCTTGTGGAAAAGAAAAGTTTGTTTGGTTATAAAAATTAAATGACGGGGAAAATGTGAAAGCTTGGTGATTCTTGACAAAAGATAAGGTAAAACTGAAGAGCTTTTCTCATTTCTTTTCACCTAAAATTCCTTCGCAAAACAGAATAAAATGAATTATTGTCTCATCCTATTGCTGCTGGCTGTGCTTTTGCTGTGGCTGCTGCCATTAATGTTTCACAACACTCATCGCGATTCAATTATGGTCGTTATTTATTAGTTTCGTCTCTTCGCATGTCCTTAATTTGGGGAATTCTCTCGCATTTCTCCCACATGTACAATTTCGTATAAATAAATTTTCGTGGATGGTGAATTGCAAAGATGAAAAAGAAATTTCGACGCCACAAACCTTCAAAATCTCCCCTAAAAAGTCTGAAGTTTCTCGACATCTTCTGCATTAAAAATTCCACATCAACCATCTCAAATAACAGAATCGAATGTTTTTGTAATCACTTAAGTGGAACGAGTCGAATATTTTACCCTAATTTTTGTGTTTGTGCGTAAATTGGATGAAGAACTGTTTCGGGTGAACTAAATTATATTCCTTAGAATCATCACATGGGATCGCTTTTGTCATCAACAGCACCATGTCGCACATAAAAGAATAATATTACCATGCAGATTAGAAATGTTCACATTTCGTTCATAATTCTCTTTGACAGACTTTATGAAGATACCCGAAGAGGCTTATGCTATGAAAATATTCCTTAAATCAAATCCATAAGCAAATTTTGTTTGTAGACAATAAATTTCAGTGAAAGTCTGCGCTTAATTTCGTTTTCGTGCCACTGTTTTGTCCTAAAATGTTATTTACAAATGATGATTGCTTCATGATACTTATTCGTTTATGCTTTCGATATTTATGCTAGAAAGAAATTACAAATCAACATGGAAATGAAATATGTTGGTTAGAAGTTCTATAAAAAAGGAAATTTATTCGCTTAATGTAAAAATTGAATTTCGCTGAGCTTCATTTTTTATTCGTTTCGCAAGATCTTCCACGTTTTCTTTCTTTCTTATTAAATTTTTTCTTTCCACAGACATACTTTCGATTCTTTACTTTATTCATTTTATCCGATTTGATTCAATTTGTAAAACGAGGAAAAAAGGGAAGAAAGAAAAAGCTCAAATACTTATATTGATGCATTGATATGTTTAAGAATGATGGTGACTAGGCAGTTATGAAGGCGTTTTGTTATGTTAAATATTTGAAGAAAAGAAATCGTTAAGATTTCATTCTTTACATAGCGAAACATTTGGAGGATGAAGTCTTGTTATGTATTTATAAGTATCGAACACGATAACTCGAGGAAGAAAAATCTGTCTAAATGAGTTAATGCTCGACATAAATCTTACATTATTTACTTAAGATTGAATCAATACTAGTCATCCTGAAACATTAACAAAACATCATCAAGGCTCCATCGTTTCACACAAAATCTGATGTAAAACATCGCTTTCATCAATCATATCTCGTATATTTATTACATTAAATGTATTCGTTCTCCAACATCACTTCATTGGAAGATTCTTCGACTATTGATAAGGATATTCGGAAATAAACATCATGTGAAGGATAAATCCAAATGACTTTCAATATCATTTACATCGAGAGCAATTTATAGCTCATAAAAATTGTTTGCGCATCTTTCACTAAATTGCTCTACACACTCATGATTATTGTGATGATAAAAATGTCGTCCAAAACAATGTTATCAATCAAATTGAGATAATCATTCATGCAAAAAAAGAAAAGGAGAAGAAGGAAAACCGAAAACCTCAGAAAAAGCAAGAAACCCGGAAAGCAAAGCAAATTTATCACCCCTCAGGTGTAACGAATGTTTTCAAGATTAAAAGATAATAATAAAAAGGGCATTCGTTGTGATATTCTGATGGGGATCAAAAAGGAATCATCGGACGGTTCGTTACCTATTTCGGTAGTTTTTATTATGTAAATTTGTTAAATATAGTAGTAGGGTTCACTTCTTCTGTTCCTGAAATCATTGAAAACATTTTTTTCTGCTTGTCTGAGTTTATGAAACTATAAAATGTTTTTAAAGAATTTTTCTGATGAAAGAATTTTTTTTCATACTCCTTCGAAGTTTTTATTTTCAACATGATAGCAATGCTGAGAAAATTTGTTATTTATGTTTATAGTTATTTACTAGAACCATCTTACTAAACTGGTTTTTATTTGCATCTCGAGCGATAGAAGAAAAGTGTTCTTTATTATCATCCCACATCAAATTGTCTTCCACTGCTTACCAAACGCTCCACATGCTAACACCATAATTTGCATTTGCTGTGAAGTCACAAGTGTCAGAAGTACAAAGAAAAATGATGATAAAAATGGAACGCAAGAAAACAACAGTAATTCAACATTTACAACGACGCTACAATAATCTTAGTTGAGTGAGTTTCAAGCAAAGTTCAGATATGAAACACAAAATGACATTTTTCATCACCCCAAGAGAACAAATGGAACAAAGTTTTTGTACGAGTTTTGTGGCATTTTACAGTCTCTGAGGGCTTTTTAAATGTTATTTTTTAAATCAAACTACAAAACAAATGGGGAATAATCACAGCGAAGTTCATAGATCTCATAATTCAAGAAGTTGTACTATTGAACAATTGAAACTCCCACACAATGATGTTGTATGTTAACACAGAGTGTAAGTAATCATGAGAACACATGATGGAAAGTCTCTTGTGATGAATAAAATAAAGAAAAAGGAGAAGGAGAAGGCAAGAGAGATTTCATTGAAATGAACATCAAGGATCGTGTCGTAAGTATTGCGGTTCGGGAAAGAATGAAAGGAAAGAAGACAACTAAAGCCATAATAAATCCCTACAAATGATTCTTAAATGGGGGGAACGGAAGGAAGGAAACCTATCGAAGATGGGGAGATTAAGTGAAGCTCATTGATGTTGTCGATTCAAGCAACAAATACTTTCATTAAGTATTCCAAAGCTTTTTCATGTTTTGTTGTGAACCACAGAAATTTAATTATGTTCATGTGGGTGGCTAATTATTTTATTGATTTCCCAACCTCACGATCTGTGCGTGTTGTGAACTTGAGTTTGGACAATCGTCTGACCGTAATAACTCGTGTGGTATTGAGAACAGTAATTATTATTATATTTGTAGCTACATATTGGACTAACATAACAACATTCATCGTACAATTAAAGTCGAGAAATTATAGCTCCAATTGGCGATTGCTACAACAGAAATGGATACAAAAGATCAGACAATTACCATTCAATAGTCTCTCCAATAAAATGTTGAACATCTACTTCAACTTTCATTTCCTAATGGAACATAATCCAGATAATCTAGAACAATGAAGCAATTGAAAGTGCCAATTTATTGGATTTTTTCCTTTGCAATCGGCAAGCCTCTCAATGGAATAAAATGTTTCCTTCAAATTTGCAAATTATGTTATTTGATTCCGAAAACATAAAACCCCTTGAAAACAACAATGAAAAGTAGAAGCGATGTGCTAACAATGCCTAAGGATTAAGAAACGTAACTTCAGTCAATGACACGTGGAATGCTTCAAACATCAAGGAGAATCTTCAGTGAAGGATATCAAATTACAAATTGTGCATATATTAACAAAGTTGTTTGAATTTATTGATTTATTAACAACTTAAAGTATTCAATTCAAACTTTACTTCATATTTCAATGTCAAACTCCATTTTCATTGTAATTAAATAACCGAAAAAGTTTGAAGTCAGCAATAGATGAAAGAACTCTTCGTTGTTTCAAAGTAATGTAAACAATTAACTGGAAACAAATGTCGTGACCATGTAATTTGTAACATCAACATGATTTATGAGTATTCATGATTATGATCTGGATAAATGAGAATTTGTCAGCTATGTCAGCTAAATATGAAAAAAAAAAGTCCCACGAGAAAAATATCATCGATTTGTTGTGGCAAGTTAGTTTCTCACCAAGGATTAAATTGAAATATTGAATGAATTTGTCAAGCATTCATACATGTTCTCGATCTAAGAAAAGTTCATATGAGTTCGTCGTTCTCTTAAATACTTTGGTTAATTAAAACTTAATCCATGAAATCATCTGTTTAAAATCTGTCGACAACATTAATTCTCAACATTTTGAATGAGAAACTTTTCCTTCTCATGTCAATAATTTATCTGTTAACTAAAAGGATACAAGATGAAGTTTAAATGGAGACAAACTTTAACTATTGATAATTTATCTCACATAATTAAACTTGAAATGTTGCTTGATTTTTCATTTAATGATTAATCAAACATAGATTTACTTATGTATGCGCATAACTAGATAAATATCAATGAGATGATATGAATTGTCAATGTTTCTAGCACCTGTATTGACTAATAAAATTCTTTTATATTAACCAAAAAGACAATACTCGGATTTCAATGGTGAAAATCGATTTGAAATGCTCCACACTCACTTCATAAAGGACGTGACTCGTTTCATTGATGCTTTCGCTGTAGATTTGAAGCTGAGAATTATTTGGATGATGGTGTTGTTGAATTTGAGCAATCATGGCGCGAGATTTACAATACCTTTTGTCATTTTTCTTGTAGCTGAATAAATAAATTTCAATCACTCCCCCACAATCAAGAGGGATACAAAGTAATCCATTTACCTGTTTTTTATTTATCGTTGAACGTAGATGAGAATTCCACGCTTCAAAATTTTCTTTCTTTGCAGCGGATTAATGTTATAATGGATTCTAATGAATTTCATATCTCTTCTGATTGAATGCATAAACATAAATTGAAATAGGATTTTTAAAGTGTGCATTTAACTTCTATCTACGACCATATGCGTTCTGAAATTTATTTTTAACGATGAAAAGCACCAAAGAAGAACATTACACGAAAACGAATAAAAAAAAACTTCAATTTCATTCAACGACCTGACTATCCATTAAAATACTTGCAAACTATCATCCATAAAACTAAATGGCAGTTCAACGGTCATAAACAGTCTAGTCGATGTAAAGTTCGCAAATTTGAATGGGAACATAAGCTCGCCATGGTGAATGAACGAACCATTTTACTTTTTACTTCTCCCGGAAAGTTTCGGAATAAAAAAGAAAACTTTCAGTTTTTAGGAAACTTTGAACGATTTTATGGAAGGAACTTATTCAATTAGAAGAAATTAAAATTTTGAATAAAACACTTTTCAACGTCAATTCAGTGAAATTTCTTTGGTAAAGTTCTCTTTATAATTTATATTGTGAACTAATTGGTACTTAGGACGTAAGAAAAAGAATATTCATGAATGTGGAAATGAATTGGAGCTTCACACGGAAACGTCTCTGCTTTAATTCTTCTTTGTTGCAATCAGGTTCAAGGGTATAAATTTGCATTTCATCGATTTTTAAGAACATAATTCAGTTACGTTTATTCAGTGGTGAAAAGCGAAGGGAAGTTTGAAGCAACATTCAAATTACTGGGATTGTTTTGAGGGTAAACAAAGTTTCGTTTTTCCGTCTAAGACCGTAATTTTAAAGAAGGTAACAATGAGTACGATGTCGATCATTGAAAATTCAATTTAGAGTTTTTGTAAAATTACGTCAATTAAAATATTTTAATCTCGTGGAAAGCGCCGTTTGGCGAGAAAGCATTAACATGGTTTACCATCAAAACTTTGTCGCTTAACTTTATTCGACGTTTCGTGATGATGACGGTAAAGTTTTCAACTTTACATGTATAAGTAAATACTTATTACGTGAGAGATTCTCATCCTCAACTTGTTCACATCGATTTTAGATTGTCTGCCTCACTATCCATGCATGAATGTTTAATTTCCAACAAGATTAATTAATTTGTTATTCAGAGAATAAAGTTTAACAGTAAATGAGGCTGAACATGTTCATTTAACTTCAAGTTTTATCTCTCAGAGATCGTTGAATTTCAAGCTCGTTCCATGTTGTGTGAAAGGTTAATGAGAATGAGTGTTCTTGAGTCACAACTCACAGTTTCCTTTCCTTCACGTTCAATTACACCTAAATAATTAACTTTTGAATCTTTTAACTTTACAGAACCTAACTGGGGGTTGCCCTTGGCAATAGCAGCAAATCTACACATTTCATATCGAATTATAATCGAAAATGACAATGTTGGAAAAGCTGATATCAAAGATATACGAGGAAAAGGTGAGATCAATAAATTGCTTCATACTTTTAAATCGAAGAAGTTTATGTGAAACTTTTAATTACATATTATTGTTGATATGTTATCATGAAAATTGGAAATGATATTGCCATGACAATAATAAATAACAATTGAACTGAGAAATTATTAAATAAATTGGAAGCTGCACCGCAATAATTAAAATCCATAAATGTCATTGATATGTCAAATCTTTTTCATATGAATCAATTAGTCACATGCAGCACACACTTTACCGGCTTTCACCATATTTGTAATTAATATTTTCGTTGATTTTCCCGCTGTTTATATTTTCATTTTTATCGATTTTCCGTCACAGGTTTTCAAGTTAAATTTTACGAGCTAGTCAATTTAGATTCGCGCATTCAATGGATTGCTTTTTTATGTAATGTTTTGATTATATTTTTAGAATGGAAATGGAAGGGTTCGAAAATTCCTTTTTCATTGAATTCTCCCTTGAGAAATTTTAATAAAATAAAAATAAATAAAGTACAAGCATCGATAAGTTCATGACGAATCGTTGAAGATAGTTTTTTATTGATTGGAATTATTATTTAAAAATCACGTTCAAATAACTTCTTTCTATTGCAGTTTTCATTGTCTGTTCGCCTTTGAATTCTCCGATAACAAATCGTGTCATCAATCAATACAAACATTTCAAGAAAGCGAAAATACTTTTGATTGATATCATTGGGAGCGTCTTCCATCTAGAGAATCGATTATTCAAAGATTTCAGCACTACAAAGTACAATAACCTCCTCGTGTTGACAATTCTGACGCAGAAATTCAAGCAGATTTTGAGCAGGAAATATCACGTTGAGTTCAGTCAGTATTTGAAGAGCTCTCAACAAGGTAATGAGTCTGAAAGCGACTTCTTTTGTGATTTGGAGAAGCGAAGTATCAGTCATTACACGATGAATGCAAACAATCTTACATCATGCGAGAACGAAATCAAAGAGCGATGTCATAATTACACTAATGAAGACATTAAAAGCTTCTGCACGAATCATACAACAGCTTTAAGTCAGAAGATAAATGGAAGCGACGTACAGCAGTTGAATGACTACAATTTCAATAAGCAATTAGTTGTCCCTGAGCACTTCAACCTTTTCGATTACATCACGTCTATGAGCTTAGATGAGAAGAATTTAAGCAATCATGAACGTCATCATCAATTCGATTTCATTGTGTTGGACTTCAGATCCATTGTGAATGCGACAAACGGCAGCATCACGATTTGGCGACCACTTATGATACTTGAACAAGATGAAATCTTTAAAAATATTTTTACAACACATCGAGCTTTTTCAGAACGAGATGCTTTCGAAGATTGGATATTTAAAGCAAATCTTTGGAATTGTGGAACAATTTGTTTGGGAATTATCGCTGCAAGCATTTTCGTAGCTTTCATTCTTATCCTTATCATCAGTGTGTCAGCTGGAATTGCTGCGAGGTAAGAACTTTTTCATCTTAAAATGTATTCATAAATTATTTTGTCACATAAATGGACGAACCTTTATCATACAATGAAATGTGTAGGTTCGTTCTTAACAGTTAAAATTTATGTGACAATGTAGGAATATTCTAAAAATAAACAGAAATTGTTAACCTTTTGTAGTCGATCCAAAAGCATTGAATTCGAAAGATGTTTCAATGCTTTTTTCTCCTTTTCCATGAATTCATGAATTTCGACGTTTTTAAATTCGATATTAAAGCAACTGCATAAATTTATGTTTTAATCGAAATTCTTTTCAATTCGAGAACCTCTGCACTTCAATAACATAAAAAAGAAAGATAAAAGATAAAAGTTTCACACTTTTGTCACCTTTTCTCTCTCTGTTAATTTCATTTGGTCCTCATAAAACTTGTTGAAGACTTTCCCTTTTTCTTTATTTCCCTCCATGTGCTAAATTTCAATGAATGAAAGAAAATTCATTCGTTGCGCGACTCTGAATACTAATGAAAAACTTTCTCATTTTCAGAAACTATTTCTTAAAGAAACGACTTTCGAAAGGCCCAAATAAAGTTGTTCTCGCAGCGTCAGACTTTGTTTTTCCTATCGACTCACGACGTGTTGATGAGGGTATGGAAGCCATGTTATGTTGTTGGCTTCAACAGTTACAAGAGTTTGGAGGGCCTGAAGTTGATAAACCAGATCTCTTAAAGGGATCAATAGGATCGTTAAAAAATTTAGGACTGCCTGGCATAAGTGCAGGCAATAAGAATAGCTCGGGAACAGGAAGTTTAGTTAAGCAAAATAATGCAAATTTGCTTGAATTCAAAGCTCGTTATCAGGGTGATTTAGTACAGTTAAAGGAAATTCATATTCCATCAGGAAACTCAGTTGAGCTGAGAACAAAAGCCATGGATCATCTCATTATATCGCACGGGTTGCGTCATGAAAATATTAATCCACTCATAGGATTTCTCAGCGATCCAAATCGCTCTGCACTCGTCTTCGAGCATTGTTCACGTGGATCACTTCAAGATGTTCTCATCATGGACGAAATCAAACTCGATTGGTCATTTCGTTTGAGTTTACTTACAGATTTAGTTCGCGGCATGCGGTATTTGCACACGAGTCCTCTGCGTGTTCATGGTTCTTTGACGTCGAGAAATTGTGTGGTTGATGCTCGATGGGTTTTAAAGATTACAGATTATGGTATGCCAGCATTCTACGATGCCCAAGGATTAGCAGCGCCAGTGAAGTCAGCAAAAGGTAATCTTAAGAAGATTTAGAAAATCGGGGTTCGTAAAAGATGTCACAAATATTCGTATAAATTTATTAACTGAAATATGGAAAATCTTCTGACATCATTTACGTAATCTGCCCTTAATCCTTACCGGAATGTAACTAATTGAAAGCTTAAATAACGATTTACGCTTCAGAACTTTTATGGTCAGCACCGGAAGCATTACGAGGAACAAAGAACTATCCAAAGCATGGAACACAAGCAGCTGACGTGTTCTCATTTGGCATAATCATGCAAGAAGTTGTTGTACGAGGCGAACCGTATTGTATGCTCTCACTTTCGCCTGAAGAAATCATCGCGAAAATTAAAAACCCGCCACCGCTTATAAGGCCTTCGGTGTCAAAAGGCGCTGCACCACCAGAAGCAATTAACATAATGCGCCAATGTTGGTCGGAGAATCCTGAATTGAGACCTGATTTTGCAACGTAAGGAAATATTTTCTTAAAATTTTACCAAACTTTTTGGGCTTCCTCAAGCAATTTCTTCTTTTACTTAGAATTGGCGAGAAGTTTAAGCTTCTCAACCACGGAAGAAAAGTTAACTTTGTTGACACGATGTTTCAAATGTTGGAGAAATATTCAAATAATTTGGAAGAGCTCATTAGAGAGAGAACCGAACAACTCGACATGGAACGTAAAAAGACTGAACAATTACTAAATCGAATGTTACCAAGGTTTGCTTGAAGCTATTTCAATTCAATTTTAATTGAAAATTAAGTCAATTCATTCATGAATTTAGTTCTGTTGCTGAGAAACTGAAGATGGGTTTGGCTGTGGATCCAGAAGAGTTTGCTGAAGTTACAATTTATTTTTCTGGTAAGTTTTCTCCATAAATTAAGATTCACTTGGGAATAAAATGTAATTAAATTTTCGTTTAGATATCGTCGGTTTTACAGCAATCGCTGCACATTGTACGCCAGTGCAAGTTGTAGATCTTCTCAACGATTTATACACTTGCTTCGATGCCACAATTATGAGCTACAATAACGTTTATAAAGTCGAAACAATTGGCGATGCTTATATGGTTGTCGGTGGGTTGCCAAATCCCCGTCCTGATCATGCTGAACAAATTGCGACAATGGCTTTAGATCTACTTCATCAAAGCGGAAATTTTAAAGTGCGACATTTGCCGGGTGTACCACTTCAACTTCGAATCGGTCTTCATACAGGTTCGTTAATCATTCTTTCAAATGAAGCGTATTGTGTTGACATCGTCACATCTATTTTTCATCGCTGACAGGTCCTTGTTGCGCCGGAGTCGTGGGGTTGACAATGCCTCGTTATTGTTTATTTGGCGACACGGTGAACACAGCATCAAGGTAAATACGAGATTTTAAGAATTAATTACCTGAGAGTCATGTTTAAAGTGCTGATTTATTAAAGGATGGAATCAACGGGTTCTTCGTGGCGCATCCACATGTCACAAACAACTTGTGATCGTTTAGAGAAGACTGGCGGCTACATCATTGAACCGCGTGGTCCCATCGAGATTAAGGGAAAAGGAAAAATGAATACGTATTGGCTTTTAGGGAAAAAAGGCTTCGATAAAGTTCTACCAACGCCACCACCTATTGGGTAAGAGAAACTTTTCTCTCGCTTCATTATTTTCATATAAAAAACTTTGATTAATCGAAAACTTTCTTTCGTTTCATTTTCTCTTGACATTACTAAAGAGAATCTCATGGGTAAGCTCAAAAAAAAGAAATGTTTAAACTTTATCAATGTCTCTATCATATTTTGTCAAATAAAAAAACTTTTTTTCTATTCAGATTGGATGAACTACTGAAACGAAATTGCGAGGCAAGTAAAAGTGAAGCAGTGAAAATCGGAAATGCAAGTAGTTTGCCTGGATCGAATCAATCAAGTCACTCGCCTTCATTTGGAGGTGAATCGCTTGATGTGAAAGTTGAGATAACACCAGCACCGCCAACTCCAATGAGCGATATACAAAATTCTTTCTCGGTTGAATCAACAAGTAGCTTAACCATATGCTCAGATGTGTCTGTTAAATCGCAATCAACGTCACCTTTAACCAGAAAATTCTCGGAAATTCCACACGAATCTGGTGGGTTTCTTAATCCGATTGGAAATTTTAATCGCCTAAATCCTTCACCGCCAAACACTGCATCTGCTCGGTTGTTTAAAAAGCTGGAAGAGATGATTGATCTGAGCTCTCCTTACAATCATTACCGATGCTTAAGTCCCAGTGAAACTAATCTGTCTATTCCTGTGAGTGAAAGATCTTCTAGCGTGAGTCCTAACTCAAAACAAATTGATTCTGGGAAGCCCGGATCGAGTCGCCTCTTGAGACGTCAATTCAGTTTAGATAAAGACGACATGACAATGCAAAAACACGCAAATTTGGAAACAATTTCATCCTTCGTTGATTCAGCTAAGCATTTAAACTTGAAATTGTATCAGCCGCTAATATCATCGTCTAGTCTCCCAGGATCATCACCAACAACGAGCAGTTTGTCAACTAAAATACAAAAACATCAGTCGGCAAGCGTTGCTCAAGATCTTGAGAAAATTGAAGAAATTCCCATATCACCCATTAACACATCATTCAACTCGAGCAATTCCAACAGCAGCGTTAAAGATTTAAATAGCTTTAAAAATTCCAACAACAGCAACAATAATTCAAAGACTTCACCATCCAATTGCGATGAGACGAAAGAGATCAGCATAAACATTGAAACACTCGGATAGATATTTAATAGGAAGATAAATTTGCCCTTTAAAAGCATTTGAAAGAGAAAAAGTTTTCACCTCGGATGGTTTTAAAAGGGTAATTTGAAGTCCAAACGGCTTGTGCTTCTATTCGAAACCCTTACGCTTCATTCATCCGTAAGTGGAAAGTTATGAAAGCTAAAGAGCAAAAAGATGAACATTTAATAATGAAGATGAATGTAGAAGGAAAGAAGCTTCAGTTTCTTCATAGATATCTTAACAATGGAAAAAGAAAGATGAACATTTTGAGAGCTTTAATAATTCTTTGATGATGTATTTTTTATACCTTTTCTAGTGAAAGCAGTAAGAAATTTTTATGATTTTTGTCTGAAGCCATTTTAGCGCCTCGCTCCATTTCTTCCAATTTCGCCCATGAATAATGTCAGAACAAAAGGAAGAAGAAAGAAAACGTAGATTAAAATCTCAACCAGACAATCGTGCTCTATCTCGTTATCCTATTTAGGATTCATTTTCACGGTGTTGTTGATTTCTTTCTTTATGATGTTTTGAAGTTGATGAAAATGAAATGAGATAAAAAAAATTTCCTTTCCGACTCATGCAGAAACAAGCAAAAATATTAACTTTTTCATTACTTTCAAGACATGTGGGAAGTTGAGGAAAAGGTTTGTCAATAGTGACATATTACTATGATGAGTGATGAATTTATCTGTTTGTAACTAATCGTTGAATCATTTATGACATGACTTTTAAAAAAAAAGGAAGAAAAAAATCCCAAAAGATGTTACATCACTCATGACTTTTCCTCAAAGTTTTAAAATAAGCAAGCACAAAATATATACGTATGATGTTTTTCCGACACTTTTATGTTACGGATCTTTTCATAAAAATGAATGTTAAATCACATGTTGATGAAAACCCTTCTTTAAAGGATATAAAAAAACCTTTCCTAAACTCATGTGTAGTGAAATAAAAAAAAAGCAGACAGAAGATAAAACATAAATTCACTATATGACTTGCAAAGTAGATGTTATCGCATGAATATACGAATCTAATATTAATTTAGAAAAAAAAGAAGTGAGTGTAAATAATTACATACATGTTGATGAATATATTTCTGTATGAGAAAACTTTATTTCTTATGATAGAAAAAAAATCTTCTCCAAAGAGCTTTACCTTCTCCAAGGAATCAATTTTTATTGAATGTTAGACAATGATGAAAATTATATATAAAAAAAATCAAAATGAATTTATACAGTCTAAACACAATGTTGAATGAAGCGTTTATTCTAATGACACATGATGGAGCAAAAAAAAAAGTGGAAAGAAATGCCAAGAAAAAAAAAGAAAGAAGAATGATATTCAGTGACTTCATTTCAGTCGTTTATAATCCTTAGATTCATTTCAGTGTTTGAAAAAAAAAATATGAATGGAAAAAAATAATAAAAATATAGAAAATGTATGAAACGTTGAGATAAAAACCACAAATGTCTTTTCTAATTGAAATTATCTCTTTATTGTTCAGTTTGAAAATTATTTACAGAAGTGAACTTTTCAGATTTTCATTTCTACGAAAGATTCTAAAACTTTTTGAATTTGTTTTCGTTACATGCGAGGATTCTCAAACAGATTTATTTTACTATAATGGTTCTCAAACCGTTTTTTACTTTTGAATTTAGAAAGCTTTGGAAACTACGATTTTACTTAAAATTGCATCGAATACAATTTGTAACCAGTCGAATTATCAAAGAATCAAATTTAATTTTCGCTCTCAAAATAAAAGCTTTCATTTCTTATATGAGAAAACAAAAAGCCTAAACTAAATAAAGTGAATTTAAAAGTACGTCTTAATAACTCCTTTGCACTAATACTCGAGATTCTCGTATATAATATAATACAAAATTACTTTTAATGGAATTGTTAGGATAAATGTCACAAATAAGTTTAAATAATTGAATATAAAAGTTCGAACAACTTTACTGTTGATTATTAAGCTATGATGTTGCCATTAGTTTTGCGGCTTGAATCACGTTGTGTTGATGATGATAACCACTTAGATCAGAATGTGGGCCACTTCCATGAAAAGTTCCGCCGAAATATCCATTTTGTATGCAGTTACTCATGTAATCATAATTGCCGTTTATCATACTTCCAGGATTTGTTATTCCTGGTATATTCGATTCAGACTTGATGCCTCCGTAAGAAGAATTCGATAGGCTATTGTTATGTAAATACGAACTATGTAAATTGTTTTGAGACGATGATATCAAAGGTGAAGTGTATAAATGGGATGAAACTGTTGAAGAATGTGACAATGACGATGATGAGATAGCAGAATGAGACGCACTAGATGATGAAGATTGTAAATCATACTTGGATGGAGAGTTCACGCTTGAGGGATGCATTCCTGCCAAAGATGATGCTATAGGATAAGAAGCCTGAGTTGACAGATGATGATGATGGTGGGAAATTGGTGAGATGTGACTTTTTGGCGTGCTATGTAATAACTTGGGACTTCCAGAAATAAGCAATTTAGAATTGGCGCCTCTGTCAGAACTTGATGTCGATTTTATATCGTCATGATGATGATGGTGATGATGCATATCTTCTTTCTTCACTAAACCCAAAACTTCAGGTCCGGAACCAGCTTTTTTCGGTTTTCTTTTTCTTGTTTGTATTCCATCTTTTCGCATCGCAAGTGGACGGTTGATTCCATGTAATTTAAAGTACAAACCACAAGCATTGCATACTGGTTCACCTTCATTATTGCGTCGCCAAAGGGTTGTAGCTCGAGTTCCACAGTTGGTGCAACACAAACCTAAGCGTCTAGTGGCAGTTTGCTAAAAGAGAAATTGTAAAGAGAATTTATTTATTGTAAACAATTTAACGGCTTTTTAAAATTCAAACCCAAGAGTAAGATTTGAAAATATTATTTCCGTTAAATTTTATACAACTTACCAGTCTTTTGCTTGGTTTGATCAATGGTCGATTCATCCCATTCATTTTGTGATAAAGTCCACAAGCATTGCACAAGTAATGTCCTGTACCATCTCTTCTCCAAAGAGGAGTACTTATTGCACCACAATTCACACATTCTCGACCTTCTCCAAATTGAAAGTCCATTGCACTCTCTTTATCATATATGGAAAAAAGAAAACGAAGAAATCAATTAATGACGCCCAATTATATCTATAAATCAAATAAGAAAATTCTTTACCCATTCCATATGGAGAAGTTCTTTGAAAACCGGATGGATCGGGATGAAAACCCGCTCGCATATACATCATGTTTTGTGCATAAAATGGTGAATGTGCAGAACCTGTTCGAATGAAGTAATTCAAAACGAAGGATATAACTTAAAAGGTATTTTTGGGAGGATTAAGATTGACTTACCGAATGCACTTTCTGCTGGCCAACCATTTTGGCCATTTGTGTAATTTCCAGCGTGACCGTATTGTGCATGAGTTATTGCACGGTTCGATGGCACATAAACAGGAGTGTTTGCTGAAGAGTTAGTGGTTTGATGAAATGAAGCAGTATTCCCTGCAACTGATGTCATATCGGAATACGAAGGTGTTGAATGAAACATGATTCAGATAATCGAACTGTCGAATTTAAGCCTGGAAAAGTAAGGAAAATTTTATTAGAAATTATTTTCTTTCACATGTTTTAAGCAAAACTAAAATTTTGACACGAGAAAGAAAAATTTATTCGAACATTTAATGCAAATTCTGTTTTTCCAATCTTTCGTTGATGAATTCTGGATAATTTCAATCATTGAAGAATGTTTCGCAGTAGAAATATCTATGCATCAAAAATTAAAAGCCAAAAACCAGACAAACTAGTTGATCATTCATTTATTTTTATGCGATGAATAAGAACGAAATTCGTTCCTCGCCACATGCAAATAATTATTAACTTAATTGAATCGATACAAAATTCAAATGAAGGTTACTGACAGATGCTTTGTTAGTGCCATGAATCTGTCTCAAAAACGTTTTTAATTCTCATTTTTTTAAAACTTTTTTGTTTTTCCATGAATGGGATTTCACGAATAAAGTTATTGATTTATTACTTCCATTTATTTTAAACCGTGAGTCGTTTGTTTAAATTTAATAATTGCACGGCTGTAAATATTATATTTTATTTCCATGCCATCACATAACAACTCGTCATCAACGTTAATGTCTTTTCCGGTGAATCTTCGTCACTACCCAAGTCGGAATTTTCTTCACTACATTAAAAGGTGAATGGCGTGAAAATCTTAAAATATTCCGAAGAAGACTAGTGAAAGAGCAAGATAAATGACTTTTTAATTGTTTTTACCCACAGTTTTCACCACAATTCTGGTTAGATTTGAACATCATCAAAAATGTGACTTTCTCTCTTAAAAAAAAATTGTGTATCGTTAAGTTTCCTAATGTTCTATCTATACGCGAGAAATGACGACGATTGCTGCATTTCTAAGCTAGTCACTTTGTGATGACTTCAGTTATAATTAATTAGCTCAATTTAGGTGTTGAGATGTTCTCGCTTTTGACATTAAATTTCCATGCAAGACTCAAAAATAAATCTTTTAAAATAGGCAACAGACAAACAAACACCAGCAAACCTGTGGACCAGTCATTTAGAATTATGCAAATCAAAACCACTCATCATCTTCCGAAACCAGTGTTTGATTAAAAATAAAATGGAAGAAAATATTAATAAATTTATGATGAAGATTCACTCTCATGTGTTGGTCGGTTAAGCGCGTCAAAACTTTTTATTTTCTCATTCTTCTTCGTTCAACAAACAAAAAATCTCCCGTCGCTTTTATTATTTCAGCTCGCTTTATTTCTTTATTGCTTCTATGTTTTATGTGTTTATGTATGAAGCATAGTTAGTCGAGCAGCGGAAAATAATTTTTTTTAAAATGGCGATCGTGAGCATGTCTGTTTCACACAATAACAAATTGTAGGCAAGGCAAAGAGTGATAACTTAGATATATGTGACAAAAATCGTATATTTTCAATAGACAGATCACGCATCGTAGCGTGAGATATAAGAATGCAGCATGTTTGTTGAGTTAAATTCAAAAAACCAACAACAAATGCATCACGCATTCGCACTTCATAGAAGTTCATGATTCAGTGTCGCCCGTATGTAAGCTTCATTGATAAGAAATTCATTGCTTATTACCGCTTCAAAGCACCCATGTCAAGCGTAACAAAGGAATTGTAAATTAAAATCTAGTTTAAAATGAACTACGATTAACTTCAAGCTTTAAATTGCTTTCCATGCCTTCGCTTTGTTCCAAAAAAGTTTGATAAGAAAATTTCCTTCAATTTTCATTTTGTTTAAAAGCTAAGTTGGCACTTAGAATTTTAATGGACTTCTTATCAGTTAAGGACAATAATATCACGTTGATTTCACATTTCACTTTTCAAATTGAATAATATTTTAAAATGTGGATTTTTTGTTTGTTTCATATTTTGTTTTAATCTTAAAAGTTGAGCAAATGCTTTTGATAAATCAGAAAACAGACGCACTTCCACAATCTACATATTATAAGAGATTATAAGTTCTGTTAATCACCATCAATTTGATAAACATTCATGTGACAAGCATCCGTTGTAGATTAAAATGAAATATATGCAAAATGCTTAAAGATTTTTAGCATACGGGATCGGCCGCCACTATGACTTGTAATCATTCAGCGTAAATTTTCACAAGCAACAAACTCTGTCAATAGCGTAGACATCAATTTGAGCTTCTGTTATTGGAATAATGTGTTCTGACGCTTTGAGGCTCAATCAAACCACCCGCATAACGATACCGAACAATAGCCTGGAAAAAGTTTTTTGAATTCGTTCTCAAAACATCGTAAAGTGCTATTTTATGTATTCTTATGCTTCGAGTCGAAACGCCAAACGTAACTTTAAAGAAAAAGTAATAAAAATTTGTTTAAAGAAACAATTGCTCACCGGACAAGTTTATCAGCGTAGACATTTTTACGCAACAGTGAGCTGACAACTCTTTTTAAATTAATGAGGTTTACATGTATCTGTTTAGAAGTTGAAAGACAAGGAAAATGGTTTTGCAAGTTAAACTTTGGTGTTAAAACTAAAATACTATTCTAAACATAAATTTAAATTCCAAATTAAATAAATTACGAATTCCGCAATTGTTTCTTGGAAATCATAATTTATTATACTTTAAAATACCTTTTTAAGTGCGTACTTTAAGTAAATGAAATCTTGAGAAAGCAGAGCAAGTAAAAGGAACATTTGATGCATAACAGATTTTATTGCGTTTTTAATGAAATGAAAAGGAACTAAACCTTCCCTTTGTACTTCAATTCAACATTCTAAGGCACAAGAAACTTTAACGATCTAAACGTAGAGAAGAGTTGAAACTGAAATCATATTTGTCGGTGGATTTTCAAAATAAAACAGATTCTTTCCATTAAAATGTTATCGAACGAAGGCGCCAAGTTCACTTCGGCATTGGAGAAGCAAAGAAATTAAAACGAGCGAGAGTTGAAAGAACAAGAAAAGAAAAATAAGGAGAGTAATAGCATGTTCGATGAATGTAATTTATACAGAACGGGGCTTGGTACAAATGAAGAGAATGGAAATAAATTTTATTCCAAATACTTTGTGTCTTTTATTCACTACGAAAAAAGCTTTTACGCAACAAAAACCGAAACATTGAACATGAAAGGATGACAGAATGAAAATTATCGTCAATGGTGGTTTCACCAATTGAGTTGGCAGTGGATAAATGTTGCATTTCTTTACTTTGTTTTTAAATATTGAATCATTGCTGTTGATGAAAAGAAGTTCATGTTCTTACCGTTGTTAACAAATCAACAATGTGACAATGTCTATGTAAAAACTATTAATAACTTTTACTGCTTGCCGATAATTAGAAGCGAAATGAGGAAAACAATTTTTACTGTTTAGATATGTTTAAAACGTTACTGCTTGCCTCTAACTGATAACGTGGTTATCGTTACTGCTAGATATGCTCTTGAAAACAAGAAATCGTGACAGAAAAAGTTACAACAATTTGATAGTAAGTAGTAAAGTGTTTAAGTTTCTATTTTTATTTCGCTTCATCGTAAATGAAATAATTTGGACTTGAAGTTGCTTCAATTCTGATGCGTTAATTGAATTAAATTGAATTTCATTAAAAACTTTTCCGAGTATCTTAAAAACAGAAAAACTTTGTCAGAATTTCAAAAATTCTTAGAAAAATCAAATAATTTCCAGGAAGTCTTGACTATTTTGTGATTGTTTATCGAATAAGACACAGACAGGGACAGAAATCACACAATGTGAATAACTATTAAGCAAATAATCGCACAGAAATAAAAAACGAACCAATAAAATAAAGAATTTCGGTATTTTTTATAGCATTTTCAACTCACGCGGTCGTAAAAAAGCCATTTCGAGTCAAGTTTAGAGTTGAAGCATATTATGCGACATATATTTTAATTTTATCAACCTCTATCGAATCATTTAACGTGATTAAATAATATATATTAGACCAACCTAAATGATATCAGAGATTTAATAATTTATTAATGAATCTTTGACTATGAGAAGGTTGCAAAATATTTCAATAAATTTGAACATTTCTTAGACACCTTCAACACCATTGCAACTGATAAACTTGTTTAATTATCATAGAACTTTACATTTTATTACTTTTTTATGTGATGTTCTTAATAAGAAGAATTTTATTCCTTTTTATTATTCATCTACGGGAATTCCTTTTAAAAGACGTTCGACCGCTGATCGATATAAAAGTTCACACATATCCAGCTATTAATCGAGTTCGCTTCTCTGTTTCATATCAAAAGATGTCTAGCGCAACTCATCCTGTCAAGTGAAGAACCAAACTTGCCATTTGAGTGCTTAAATTTATTATTGCCTTTTATTCGTCAACATCAACCAACGACTTAGAGAGGCTCGCGTTCTCATTTTCTTTATGTTCGTGAACGTGTATTAAGAAACATCAAAAGTCGATTCTCTCAGATTATTATTCAATTTAATAAAAAAAAAACAGAGAAGAAAGACAACAAACAAACATATTTTATCCAAATTCAAATAAGAATTCTAAATTTTCGGCATTTTTCGTTTCATTTCGAGATGCCGGGCATGACGAGAGAAGAAAAGAAAATTGATTACAGTGGCGACTGTCCGTTGAGAGTCGAATCTCAATAGTGTGACATTCTTCGCTTTTTAAAATCAGATAAAATTTGTTGTCGCAGCGAGAAGTTTCGATAGTGGTTAGCGGCGATTCAAAAGATGAATTTCATGTCGTTGAATGCCGCTACGACGTGAGTGTTAAATTCTTAATTGACTGTAATTAATTAATCAGCGCTTGATTAATTTGTCTCATCACAGACAAAAGGTACCGTTCGTAATGTATCGATAGATCGACGTCGTCACTTGAGTGACATCATCACTTAAACTCTTAAGAATGTTTCCTGTTTTTCCTTCAAGAAATACTTTATTGATCTTTATGATGTCGCTGTCTTAATGCTTTTATTAAGTCGAGGAATCTTTTATTCATTTCCACAAGACATGTTTGAACACAACGACAGAGAAGCCGCGCAACAATTCATTGACAAGACTCTTCCATACGAGGTGAAAAGAAGTTTTCAAAGCGGAATGAAAGAAAGATTAAAGAAATATTTCTCTTGCTTTTGAACTTTAATGCTGACATACTATACATACAAATATCGATAAACAGATTTATGGCTTCGTTGTTGGCAATGCAATTTATGCGAAAATAATGACTGTCAAAGGCTTATAAGTTTCATTCTTCCGCCATGTTGCTACTTAGTTTCGTTCATGTTTTCTGATGTTCATTACGTTTTTTCACCCCTAGCTAAACTCAAATTTTGTTATTAAATGATTCTTTGTCATGAAATTTCGTTTATTTACTGCGCAAACGCAACAACACCAAACAACTTTAAAGACAGAAATTCTTTTTCTACTTCTTTCTATGCGCCCATCTTGAGATCAAGTTTCAAGTGCGATAAGAATCAAGTAAATGAAATAAATTCCTAAGAGAGCTTCTGAATCAGCTACTGTTGAAAAGATAAGAAATTCGACCTCAAAGAAAATAATTTGATCCAGTTTAGATGTTTTGATTTACTGGCTCCAGCTTATTGGTGCTTCTTATGATCATCAATTATCCCGCTGACCACTTCTAAGGCAGTCTACAAAATATTTTATAATCGGATTATTTCATCAATACTCAAACATGCCATTCAAATCACTAAAGGCGAACTAATGGTTTTTATCTCATGCCGATCTCATTATTAATAATTCTTTCATTCTATCTTTTGTCTCAACGTCTACGTTTTCTCGCAAACATCTTTCATCACTTAAAAGTCATTACTTTAATACCTTTCTGAGATTGAATATGTTGTGAATTGTTCGTGATGCTGTGATATGATTGATTGATTATATGCTTGTGGCTTTGGTTTCATTTTACGATGCTGCGGTAAAGATTTAACACAGGTAGCTGTGGCGGCGATTGTTTGTTTAATAAAAATAAATAATTGACTTCGCTAACTGTGTGGCACTTTCAATCTGCTACTTTTATGCAAATTTATCTGAAATTCTCAGTGGAATTGAATTGATTACTTTGTGATTTAAATCTACGATACAAATTCAGGCCTTTTTGTATTTCATGACCGATTTAGTTTTCTAAGCTTTATTGTGTATTCCCTTAAGGTCAGTAGACACACGTCAAGTTGTTTTAATCTTGCTCGCCATTTTACTTCTAACTGAACTCATGGGAACTTAATTAACTCATGCCTTAATGTACATCGCTCTCATTTCTCATTCAAAAACACGCTAAAAGCTTTTCCATATTGATGGACTGCAGGATGGACTTCGACGCTCATAAATTGCTAATTTTTCTGAGCATTTTAGATTCTCCATTTATAAGAATTTAATTTATTAAACATTAAACTCCATTAAACCAAAATAAATGTTTCGAGAAATAAAAATGGATTGAATAAAAATTTGTTAAAGCTATAAAATTATGCGTTGCATAGGAATAGGAAATTAATTATTAATATAAGACGAATAAAAAGAAAATAAGCATAATTATGTTGGTTGAACGATAAATAGAAAAATAGAAAATGGAGAAACCTCAGCAATGTCAAGTCGGCAGTGAAAGAAGTCGAAAAAACTTTTTTGGCACCAACAAGCGAAATCCATTAAATCGATGAAAATGAATCATTGAAAAATCTATTTTAATCTTACAACAAATCTATTGTTGTCTTAAGATATACACATTTGAATCTTAAATGACTTTCTTATAATTTGTATCATTTTATTTTGACCGGGAATAATTAATCAAAGAAACGGTATGCGTCATTGTTTGAGTTAGGGTGAGATTACTTAGTATTCGTATTCACTGAGTAATGTTGATGAAAGAATTTATCGTGCATGCTTTTAGCGGAGAATGAAAATATATTTGCATATATCTGCATCAATGAATTAAAATCCTTTACTGGAATTAGGAAATAAATATGTGCTGTGCTTTCAATTAACATTTAATTTCATATTTATCACTTCTCAAGTATATTGCACAACTTAACATATTTCGGAAACCAATAAATTCTTGCGGGGCATGAAATGCATGACATAGTAAAACCTTTTTATGTAACAACAGTCATAATTCTTTTATAGCCACAAATCATTTCAATGGTAGCTTCAACCTTCAGCTCACCTAACGTTCTATATTGAACATAAAATAAACTCCTGAGACAAAACAATAAAAGCTATGGGCATTCCATGTTACAGTTCTTCTCCTTCTTACCTCATTTTTATTAATTTATTGGTTTTTGTGTAAGGGAAAAAGCAAAGAAAAAGAAACGACCTGAAATTGGAATTTCATGTTTTGGCGACAAATTTCCGGTTGTTTAAAAGCACGGTAACAAGGTTCAGAATAATTTTGAATGTTGCTTCATTATGATTAAGAAGGAGAATTTGTATTGCTCAATTAAGTTGTTTTACTTTCATATTAAATATAAAACCGCTGAGAATTTTGTTTTTCTCCGACGATGTTGTTGTTTTTAGAAACTATTTAATTGTGGACATTACAATGGCGAGTAGGCAATAAAAATTTGCAAGTCGCATCTCGTAAAAAATAAAAAGCTTTATTGTAATTAAATTTCCTTCAACATTGTAGAAATCTCACTGAATTCAATTTCACATTATACGATCAATTAAACGATGAGCATTATTGAAGGAAAAAACTCGAGCTTGATGGCGTCACAATTCATTACTTGTAAGTAAGTTGAAGTTGCAACTATGAACTTTGTTTTTGTGGTAAATCTTTCGATACTTGATATATTTATGTGTTAAATTAGCATACATTCTCCTTGCTTCTTCTTATTTTAATTCATTCTTTAAATTTTACAAATACCTACTTTAAACTTTCCTTGACATGAAAATCCTTTCTGCAGTTCAATTTAGCACGCTTTAAATATGCAAAACTTCAAACATTGCAAGCCGAAAAAGAATTAATTGAATCTCCTAATTTTACGATGACAGGGATTTGCGAATTAAAATTCCCAATCAATGATCAATTAAAACAAATTGATGTTACTGAAAATTTGCATAATTCAATCGATGATTTTACAATTTTTATTTTTTCAACTTGACAGTGAATTATTTTCAAACTTTTGCTAAAATTTTAATATTCCCGTGTTTGCTTTAATAGTTGAATATTTATGAGAAATGAAAGTTTACGTATTAGACGTGACAAAAACGAAAAAAAATGATGATTGCATAAAATAAATAGACATGATAAATCATTAACATTGAAAAAATCTCGTGTTCAGATTAATTTTAATTTTTACTCGCATATAACACGCTTGATGACATTTCTCATTACTCTTTTTACTAAAATATTTCCTTGATTATTTAACATATTTCTTCAACTGTGTCAAACCGCATAAATGCATGCATTCAAAAGTATTACTTACGTTAGAATAATATTAAAGTTGCAGCTTGCAATTCTTTTTTATTTATTAAGTTAGTCAATACACAATTTGCAGCAATTAAATAAATTATCCAATTGCAATTAAGATTGCTATCAAAACTTTATTTTGTAGTTTTATTAAAATAGCATTTGATTTATTCTTTTTCTTGTTTTTCATAAATATTGTTAAATGTTTTTATTTAGCTATCTCTGTGTGGTTGTTTTGAGTTAAAACTTCACCTATCGCGCTTATCAAAACGTTTATAAACTGTTCTCGCCCACGCACAACTTTAATTATGTCACAACTTATAGACAAACGATTGATGTTTTTCAACTCTATAAATATTCACGAATTTAAATCGATTCCAATTTATGTTTGTTCAATAATTCCACGCATTTTTCTTTTAATCTTAAACTTTGTTTCCTTTCATTTGATTTTTTATATTTTTTTAATCTTCTTGAAGAGCCACGAGACTAATTCAGTCTTGTATCGTACGCAATCTCTACTATACTGATTCTTGTTTGTTTAAGCATAAAAGAAAGAAAAAACAAACAACAAGAAACACTGCTTTGCAACTGGATATCGTTGTTTCTCTGTTTGCTTCAATTCTTTACGCTTTACTTTGGTGGTAGTGAAAGCAAGCAAGAACTCACTAAGTTTCTATACAACGCAGTGACATTTAGTTAATTTTTATATTCTCGATCGTTTTTGTGGGGCGTAAACTTTTTCACCGAAACCTGCCCATTTCTTATTTTTATTCAAAGCTTTGGTTCGCCGCTGTAATATTCGTTAATTGAAGGAAAAGAATTTAATTAATTGAACTCACATTTTTTTCATTTTTCGATATAGAAAAGAAAATGGTTTGATACGTTTTTTCTTAATTCACAGAAATGAAAAAGTTGTTCAATGAAACATAAAACATTAATCCACTTGCTAACCTTTGGCACATCATAATCAAGTTGTTTACTTTTTTTAAATTACTGATAATCAGCTTAGCTTAATTTCTTCTCTGAAAGTGACCCAAAATTCTTGGAACATTTACAACCAAACATTTACGTACCTGATTACCTGTCGAAGGACAAAAAGATTTTCAAGTGGCACCATCGAATTGATTTATGAAATCTCACACTTGTAACTTAGTCCCATTCATGTTTCTAAATATTTCAAAAGGAATTTAAGTTAAAAGTTTAAACATTTTTAAAAAGTTTCTTGTGACTTTTGATTAATGATTGATTAATAATGACATGAGTAAAGG